ATGTGATTATTCATCAAATGCAATAACTAAATTTTTGAATTCAACTAATTATAAAGGTAATTTTTTACTAATATTATTATTTTTTATTGTTGTCTACACTTTTTTTTAAGCTATATCATTATATTTTTTAACGTTTATTATACATAGGTATAGATATACACTACTACTATAGATAATTGCATTGTAATGATGTTTATTTGCAAAAAAAATTAAAATATTTTGTTGTCTAAAATGTTAAACATTATGTTAAAATACTTATATATATTATATACAGTATATATAAAATATTATAATATTTTTTAATGTTAAATATGTTTAGTAATTAAATTTTTCACTTATATGTAGTTAATCGTGTCTTGTAATTTGATTATTATTACAAATAACTTTTAATAATTTTTTTTCTGAAAAATATAAGTAAGTATTGTAATTATAGTAAATATGATATATCCAAACAATTTTTAAAACTATTTGCTTAATTAAAAGTTTTTTGTCTGTATTTATTTATTTTTTATATATATAATGCCATAAATAATACATAATGTATATAATACTGTGTGTGCACATTAAATAACTTATATATAAAAAAATGTGTTAATAATGTGTTATTTTTATAATGATAATATTAATATCTCAATTATTGTGCCAAAACAAATGTTTTAATAGATATACATTACTGTGACATTTATAATATAATAATAGTAAAAATATTTTTATTATTATTATTAGCTTATAAAATAATTTATTATCAAACTATTTTATGTTGAATATATATTTGATTATATCTAAGCTATTAATTTAGTTGTTATATAAAATTTTGTTTTTATATATAAATTTAAATATTAACATTTTACTGTCGTGCAATGTAATTACAATTTATTATAATTTTTTTTAATATAAAAATTATTAACACAATGATTGATAATATATATAATATATATATATACACTGTATTGAGTTAAGGAAATTTATTCAAATTTGATACAACAGTGTTTTTTTATTGAAGCTAAATGTTTGCAATGTTTTTGCAATTAAAAACCGACAAAAATTATTATTATTATATATATATTATAATTTAATATATATATTGTTTATAAGGAAATAATGCATTGTTTTGATAAGTTGTGTTTTCACAGTAAATTAAGGATTAGCTTTATAGGGAAGGCATAGGAAATTGCATTTAAAAAATATAAGTAATATATATATATACCGTAAAATTTTTTTTGATTATGAATAAAAATATAATATCCATAAAAATTTTAAAATACAATTGACTTTTAAAATATAAATACTTGTTTATTTTATTTGAAAAATATTTTTTAATAACATATATAATACGTAAAAATTGATACGTTTTTAAAAAAATAAATTTTATCTATAACATTTATCCCATATTTCACAACTACAGGTGTTATTATTAAATACATACATAAAAAAATTAATGCATAATTTTTTTTGTTGCTATTGTATTATATCTTGTTTTGAACTATTTTTCTAAAATAACTAGTTATGTATTAGTTATATTTATATAATTTTATGTTAACTACTATTAATAATAATAATCATAATAAATATATATATAGTTTGTATCATTTAATAACTTTGTGGACTACACACTGTGTTCATTATTATTATTATAGTTAAATATATTCATAAAAAAATATTAAAAGAAAAATTATAATTATTATGCAAATAATTATTTTTATTGTTAAGTGATATTATTTATGGTGATATTATTATTATAATGTTGAAATAATATTAATATCATAATTTTGCTTTTGTTGTTGTTGTTATTGTTGGTGAAAATCTAAATATATGTTAACTTTATTTTTTGTTATTAATTGATAAACTAGTTATTGTTATTTTATTGTTATTATAATCTCTTACTAAAAAACTAAATTCAAACATTTATTTTCTTAAAACTATATTTGTATTTTATTATAACTTTTGTATTTCATATATATATATATATATAATGTATAATCAAGTTTTTTATTTGATTGCAATTTTCACTTTATTATAGGGAATATAAAGAAATAAAAATATTTTACTATTTTTTAGTTTCTTATCTCTCTTTCTCTCATTTGCGTTAATTGTGATAAAAAACACTTCAATATTAATAGTCTGTATCGACGGCAACCAACAAATTTTCTCTGTATGTGTCTTATCTTTAATCTAATATTAATATAAAAAATAATAATTATTATTATTTCTGTGTAAGCAATAATACTGAGCATAATATCAATAGTTAGTTGTATTATAATTAGTGTGTTATAAGTACTTAAACTTTTTTTTTTATATATACGGAATAGTTTCTCACTCTCTTTTCTCTCACTTTTTTCAACAATATGTGACTATTGTCTTGAATTTATTTTTTTAAAAATAAGTTGTTTTTTTACTCTTTAATATAGCAATTGTTATAATCAGTAAATTAGTCGATAATAACAACTAACCAAAAAAATGGTTTTATTAACACGAATGGAGAGTGAATTACACGCCAGAGATCGGGTCGGTGTCGAAGACTTTGTCCTACTCGAGGATTATACCGATCCGAATGCTTTTATGGACAATCTTAAGAAACGGTCCAAAGAAAACTTGATTTATGTAAGTTTTTTTTAAAGGAAACTTTTATTAATCAAAATTTTTAAAAAACTAAAAATTTATTTTCAAATTATTATTATTAATTAATTAATTAGACATTTATCGGACAAGTATTAGTATCGGTTAATCCGTACAAAAATTTGGATATCTATTCAAATGATATGATAGAGACGTACAGAAATGTCAATCTCTATGAACTGCCACCACATATGTATGTGATATATAAAAGTTATCTAATTATTTATTATATCTTTAATTTGATTTATTTATTTATTTTATTATTATTTTTTTTTTGTAAATAGTTTTGCCATTTCCGACGTATCTTATCGTTTGATGCGTGAAGAATGCAGAGATCAATGTATCCTAATATCTGGCGAAAGCGGTTCCGGCAAAACAGAGGCATCGAAAAAGATATTGCAATTCTTGGCGGCCGCCAGTCATCACAATCCCACTGTCGAGTCGGTCAAAGACAGACTACTTCTATCTAATCCAGTACTGGAAGCGTTTGGCAATGCAAAGACAAACAGAAACGACAACTCGAGTCGTTTTGGAAAATATATGGACATCGAGTTTGACTATTTGGGTACTCCTTTGGGCGGACATATCAACAACTATTTGTTGGAAAAGTCAAGAGTTATTCACCAGAATAAGGGTGAAAGAAATTTCCATATTTTCTATCAGCTCATCAACGGTGCCGACGATGAGACTTTGGGTCAATTGTTTCTCCGAAGAGATCCTCAAAGTTATTATTATCTGAATCAAGGAGATAGTGATGACATCATCGGTACCGACGATGCAAAACAATACAGTATTGTCACGAATGCGTTCAAAGCATTTGATTTCAAAGACAACGACGAAATGAATCTGTTGTCGATTGTGGCCTCAGTTCTTCATTTGGGAAACACCGGGTTTTACGAAGAGAACGGCGAAGCAGTGATCGCACAGTTGAAGACTGTGTCGCATATTTGCAAACTATTGAAATGCAAAGAAGATTTACTACAGGAAGCTCTGACCAATCGGACAATTGAGGCCAGAGGTGAGTCCGTGAGTACACCATTAACCAGAGATCAGGCTATCTATGCTAGAGATGCATTGGCTAAGGCTGTCTACGAAAGACTGTTCACTTGGTTGGTGAACAAACTGAACGAATCGTTGGAAAGTAAGGGTCATCGGTCACGAAAAACACTGATGGGTTTGCTTGATATCTATGGTTTTGAAATATTTACGAAAAATAGTTTTGAACAGTTTTGTATCAATTATTGTAATGAAAAACTTCAGCAATTGTTTATCGAACTGACCCTCAAATCAGAACAGGAAGAGTATCGACGCGAAGAAATTGAAGTATGAATTCATCCGTGAATTTTGTTTTTTTTTTAAATGATTGCAAAAATTGTTATTAATTTTTTCTCTCTTTCTCTCTCTCTCTTTCGCAAAATTTAATTATATTAATGTAATTATTACTACTATATATAAAGTGGGAGCCAATCGAGTATTTCAATAATCGCATTATCTGTGATCTCATTGAGGAACGGCATAAAGGAATTATAGCACTGTTGGGTAATAATTGATTTGTACACTAATATAATAGACTAATAATTTTTTAGATATTTTAATCTATAATTACATAATTTATATATATATCTATATTTTTATCAATAGTTATAATTTATTACACAATATTTTAACTAATTTTTTCTTTTACCCATAAATATTGAATAATGAATTTTAAAAAGTTTTTATGTATTTTTCAATATTATAATTTCAGATGAGGAATGTCTTCGTCCCGGAGATGCCAGCGATGATACCTTTTTAGAGAAGTTGGAGCTCAATGTTGGCACTCATCCACACTTCTGTAGCCATAATACCGGTGACAACAAAACCAAGAAAATCATTGAAAGAAATGTATGTGTTTTTATTAAAAAAAAATTATATAATATATCAAATTTTATATTTAGATATTAATATCACACACACACCATACATAATAAACACCATTGTTTTTTATGATTGATTTATTACTACTTATAAATATAGCAATTCAGACTCAGTCACTATGCGGGCGAAGTTGTCTACAATATATCTGGTTTTCTCGACAAAAACAATGACCTATTGTACAGGGATTTGAAACGAGCCATGAATTCATCGGGTAATCCGATTATACAGAAAGTGTTTACACAAAATGAAATCAATAGCAAAAAGCGGCCGTTGACTGCTGGCACTCAATTCAAGAATAGTTTATCTAAACTGATGGACGCACTGTTATCGAAGGAGCCCTGGTATGTCCGATGTATCAAACCTAACGACAATAAGATGCCCAATCAGTTTGACGAACAAGTGGTCAGACATCAGGTCAAGTACTTGGGACTGATTGAGAATCTGAGAGTCAGAAGAGCCGGTTTTGCTTATCGGCGCACTTATGATGCGTTTCTTCATCGCTACAAAAGTCTATGCCCACAGACTTGGCCACACTTTAACGGTACGGCCAAAGATGGTGTTCGCGTGTTAGTCAATTACTTGGGCTATGACCTGGATCAATATCGTATGGGTAAAACCAAATTGTTTATACGATTTCCAAGAACTTTGTTCGACATCGAAGACGCATTCCAGCAGAAGAAACACGAATTGGTGGCTATAATACAGGCAAGAGTTAAGGGTAGACAACAGAGAAAGAGGTATCTGGAGATGAGACAAGCCGTTACTGTGATAGCCAGCTATTGGCGTAGATTTTTGGCCATCAAATTGTTGGCCAGAAGACGACTGGCCGCCCATATTATTCGGACGTTTATTAAGGGTTTTATTACACGCAATGAACCCGAAAATGATTGCAACCGTGCAGTGAGTTATTTGTTAATAATATATTTTATTTATATAGATATATGATTTTAATTACCAATAATAACTTTTTTTTGATAGTTTGTGAAGAATGTAAGGGCCGAGTGGTTGAAAAGATTATCAAAACAATTGCCGAAAAGTGTTTTGGATAAGAGTTGGTCAAATGCACCGAAATGTTGTCTAGAAGTATGACTTTATCTGATATTAATATCTGATTTTATTTTTCTAAAAAAATTAATTAATTATTATTATTAAGACATCGGAATTGTTGAGAAAATTGCATCAGCGATGGCTCGTCAGGAAATATATCAAAAGTATTAGTCCCGAAAGGAAACGTCTGATGGATGAAAAAGTTGTGGCCGAAGAGCTGTTCCGCGGAAAGAAGATTAGCTATCCATCGAGTATTAGATATATGTTTAAAGAGAATCGATTGAGTAAAAAGACTAAATTTATTTATTATTTTTTTTTGAAAACAAGATTTTAATTATCTTTGATTATCATTAATAGGTTCCGAATTGGAAACACTTAGACGAAGTATATTTGAAACAAAACATATAAGAAGTGACGAAAAGACCATCTATTGTACACAAGTCGTCAAATTTGATCGACACGGCTATAAACAAAGGCCGCGGATATTATTGTTGACCAATAGTGCCATTTATTTACTAAACGAAAAGGATATGAAACCTAAACACCGGTTACCGTATAAATCGATTACCGAAATAGTGGTCAGCGATCTAATGGATGACCTAATGATAATCAAAATTCCCGCTGAGCTTAAACAAGACAAGGTATATATATATATATATATATATATATATATATATATCTCTAAAATATATTATGATATTAATTGTTAAATACTTTTTTTTATCAATTGAATAATTTAAAGGGAGACCTAATACTTGATTGTAAGCAACATATTATCGAAGTGGTGACTAAAATCATTATTATGAACAAAGATAACAGTAAATTAAATGTTGTCAACACTGGCAGGTATTTAGTTTAATGATTCATTTATTTTTTAAATAATAAAATTATTAACTAATCTTATTATTATTATTTATTTATTCAAATCAACAATAAAAAAAAGTATTACACATTTAAGTAGCGATGGAAAAGTGGGACAAATTTCGTTTAGTAAAGGCATTGAAAACGGTATCATTAAGAGAAAGGATGGAGTCTTACAAGTGGTTTGTTTTATATTTTTGTTTTAAATTTAAATATTTATAAAGTTTATAATAATTTTAAAATATTTATAAAAAATGTGATTTTTAAAATTATTTATTTATTTTTGTTTTTAGACATCAAAATCGCCATAAAAATCGCATATTTTTCTACTAAAATACTAAATCTAGTCTTCAAATAAAAAAGGCACACATTTTTAAAAAAATAATTATCACTACCGTTATAGACAAGAGATTAGTGCCAAACATATTATAATAAACACATTAATTGATTTACAAATCTATTTAAAATTTATATTTATTATTATTAATTATTACCTGAATTACCTATAATTATGTTTTTTTGTTTCAACTAATTAATATGCATTCCAGACTATTAAATCCAATAAAAATTAATTAATTTCTAATTTTAATGATTTATTTAGAAAAATAATAATTTGATGATAATTAAATAATTATAATTAAATAGTTGCGAAAAAATAACTGTTATTATTAACAACACAATTTGTATAAATTTTATCAAAAGTTTATCAAATAATAAAAAATAATAATTAATTAACTTTATTATATTAGTATAAATAAAAAATAGTTTTTTTTAAATACCTTATATGGTGTGTAAATGATATTTTTATTTTATTGATGAATCATTTGTTACAATATTTAAGATAAAACTAATGAAATTTTTTATTTAAAGATTATAATAAATAAACAATAATTTTATTATTTTAGCTATAATTGTTACCTAATATTAATGCTATTATTTTTTATAAATAAAGTACATTAATAAGTTATCTGTAATAAATTACTGTATATATATATATATACAGTATATTATTATAATATTAAATTTTCATATAATTTAATATTTGGTATATATTTTTAAAAAAATATTTCTAGCGTTAGATAATTTACTGTATGTGTAATTTATGTATAATTTACATACTAATTTTTCTACATAATAAGTTACACAAGGTTAAATTATTTTACTGTAATTTAATTATTACATTATTATTAAAATTAATCAAATATTTTAAAATAATTATTTTACAATCTATAATAAATATTAGATCAATATTAAAACTAGAGTTGTTAGATATGTAGAATAAATTAAATTTTATTATTTATGTACAATTAAGTTATTCAATAGAATTAAATTAATGATTAATTAATTTATAATGATAATTCTAGCTAGTCTTATTTAGAAAATTATCTAGCTTGATTTTGAATAAATTATAAAAAAAATCATAAAACTTTATTGAAAATGTACATGTATAACACAAGTAGCTTGAAAATATACTAGGGGTACTTTGTTTATACAGTTTTAACAAACTATTTTAAAACTTTTAAATAATTTTATTAGTTATTAATTTAATTAACAGTATTTTTAAAAAACAAAAACTAACAAACATTTGATATCATTATCTCAATAAACAGTACTTAAAATAATTTTTAAAAAACAGTTTTTATATCCCTTTTGTGTATAAAGGATGTAATGTATGGAAAAACATGTATTAAGTTTACATTATATTCAATCATAATATTAGTAAAAGTGTTAAATATATGATAATTACAGAATAATGACGTCATTTCATATGAATATAATGTATGATAAGTAATGTAATAATTTAAATATTAATTTAATAATATGTAATCTAAAAAAAATCACTAAAAAATATATAAAAAAACACTTGTCATCTGGGGATCAGCTCTTTGACCACCAAAAAAAACACTTTCATCGGGCGGTAGTAATTTGAATTGAGTGAACAAACATCGGGCCACACATATGATATGTCATTAGGTGGACACAACTTCAATGCTGAAGATTATTTGAGTTATATTAAGTTATTTGATTTAATAATTAAATAAAAAATATATGAAAATATCGGTCATCATCGACATCAACACATCAAAAATATGAAGATATTGATGACATTAATGATAATTGTTTTACAATTGAATCAACTGACCGATTGTCGAAAACATCGTTTAGTTTTGACGGTAATTATCTAATGAATTGATAATCATTTTGTGTATGAATTCAATGATTATTTTATTATTATTATTGTCCAACAAATCTACAGAATGATGAGCGCAGGTATATAACTATCAGTACGTTTGGCTATTTCATCGGCGGTCACCTTAGTATCGAAGTCAACAAATTCAGTGATCGACCACATAATGACAACTCTATTGTATGGGATCTATCTCTTTGTGATCACTTTTTACATAAATTGATTGATATTTTTTTAAATTATTTATTTTGCAGTTTGGCTTCACATTAGCCAAAACAATGAGTGATAGTCTTACACCATATCTTGTAAATGACAGTATATTTATTCTTCAGGAGTTTTTTTTTGATCAATTCTTATGCCATTATTTTTATTATTTAATTAATGTCTCTTAAACAGGAAGGACATGAAGACAGATGTTTACTCAAGGATGATGTCGTAACCATTAATAATGATGAAAATATTGGATTAGTTTCGATGATATTTGATTTCAAGAAAAATCGGTCAGTAATTACTGTTTTTTTAATTACCGATAATTATTCATAACTAAATATTAGTTTAAAATTTTATTTTTTATAAATAATTTATTTAGTGTTGTATTGAAGTGCAATAAATTGTTATCCAAATTGCGATTTTCCGATGGTTTCGGCTTAAGGCATAAACGCGAAAATAAATCAATCGTTTCTAATAAATTTGAAATTAATAATAATAATAATGAAAACAATAAAGAAAATAATAATTTAATTTATTATAATAAGATTATCGGTAATAATGCAAATGATATTAATGTTATCAATAATTTCGATTACAAACCAATTGACACAAAAATCGATGAAAAAGATGATTACAAATCAGTTGCAATTGACGACAATAATGACGAAGACATTGAAGACAAATCGTGTTCAATACCGTACGTCAAACTCATCAGAAGTGGTGATCCAAATCATGCAGAATATAGTTTTAAAGTTAGTTTTTAATTGGTTTACTTTAGACTGTTATTATGAATAATCGGAATTAATTTTTGATAAACACTTAAACTTGTTATTAGATTCAGGCAGTGATTGCCGAAGACTCACAGGAAGGTCTTTATAGTCTATTGTTTCACAACTGTCCCAACTATGGACCTAACAGAGGATCTGTTAATCTCAATATGACTATAAATGAAGACAATTTAGGCAATTATCTATCAGCCGGTGAAATACCATTACCGGGACTGTATTTTGCACTGTCGGTCATATTTTTATTGTTGGGAATCGTAATGATTGATGTTATCCGAAACAAACACAACTATGCCTTTAAACTACATTATCTGATGGCTGGCTTTGTGTTTGTCAAAGCGTTGTGCTTAATGTTTGACGGGGTTTGTCTTATTGATAGCTGAGTTAACTAACCAATTAATTTCATGATTTTTATTTTTCATTATATTTACAGATCAACAATTACTACATATCGATTGAGGGCTCAAAAGTGGAAACATGGGCTGTCCTCTACTATGTCACCCATTTAATGAATGGCATCCTATTATACATAATCATTGTACTGATCGGCACCGGCGGGTCATTTGACAAGAAAATATTAATGATTGTGATTCCGCTTCAAGTAATCATTTTGTTGTTTTTATTAATGAAATGTTGTTATTATATTAAATTTTACCGTAAGTTTTAAAGCAAATGAGTCTTAAACCGCATAATATTTTTTTATATTAGGTTTTAGCGAATATCGCTGACATAATAACCGAAGAGATCGAAAAAGGAGAACTCAAGTATAATATGTGGCGCGAAATCTTCATTCTAGTGGATCTGTTGTGTTCCGGTGTCGTATTGTTTCCCATATTTTGGTCCATACGTCACCTGCAGAAGGCATCCAAAACCGTCGGCAATTCGGCCATTAATTTACGAAAACTGAAACTATTGCGACATTTCTTTATAATGATTGTCTCCTATATCTACTTCACCCGAATCGTTGTCTATCTATTGAAGATAACGATTCCGTTTTCGTACGAATGGCTTATTATTTTCTTTCAATATTTGGTTTCATTAGTATTTTTCATACTAACCGGCTATTACTTTCAGCCGACATCAACAATCAATCCATACTTTCAATTGGATCAAAGCAATGATTACTTAAACTATAAACTGATCCAATCATAATGTTAATGATAATTAGTCGGCAACGCTTACCTTAGAGAGGGTTTCGTTTTTTATATTGTTTGCGCGTGTATTACAACACTGTATTAAATGTATTAATAAAACTATTTGCACGTGAAATCACTCGATTGTATTCACATTAGAAATTTTTTTTTTAAAATAAAATCATAATATGACTCCACACCACCCCTACCTAACACACTACTATCTAACCTCACCCACCCCACTACCACTTCCTAACCTCCCACACCCACTCCCCAAACTAACCCAAATATAAAGATAAGTTTAATTGTTTTATATTACACTTTAAAAACAATATAAAAAACGAAGCCCTCTAAGGTAATAATGCCAATTAGTCTTATTTTTCAAAAAAAAAAATAATTAATATTTTACTTAATTTTGAATAAATTATAAAAATTCATAAATTTATAACTTTATTAAAAATGTACATGTATAACACAAGTAGCTTAAAAATACCAGGGGTAGTAACTATTACACTACAGTATTATAATTTACACTATGTTTTAAACAATTTATTAGTTTATTAATTTAATTAAAAGTATTTTATTAAAAAAAACAAACAAACATTTGATTTATACAGTATTATCTCATAAATAATTTGTTGGATAATCAAAAAATTATTTTAAATAAAAGTCACGTATTTGTCAATTGAATGTATCCATCATTGACTCTAATATACTGTGTGTTTGAAGTTTAATGTATTGCAAACACAGTGTTATTGAATTGAATGCATTGTTTTTTGCCTGAATTGGTCGCCAATAGTCGCGACAATCGACACATAAATATACTGTAAATGTAATGACAAGTAATAGTTGTGTTGTTTTTGTTATCATTTAAATATGATTTACATTTCATTACATAATATGATATGTAATCAATAAAAATCATTTGTTTGTCATTCTGTGGATCAGCTCTTTGACCACCAAAAACACACACATCGTTGGCCAACACATTCATCGGATGGTTAGTAATTTGAATTGACTGAAGCAGACACACACACACACATCGGGCCATACAATTGTACCGATCACTGGACGCGCGTCCGACCCGTCCGCGTGTTTAACCACCAATTGATTAACTCATTAGTTTTGTGGATCATCTGTTCAGTGCTGAAGATATTATTTGTTTCGATTATCAACAAAAAATATGGATATCTCGGCCATCGTGTCTATCAACACAAATATGAAGATATTGGTGACATTAATGATAATTGTTTTACAATTGAATCAACTGACCGATTGCCGAAAACATCATTTAGTTTTGACGGTAATTATCTAATGAATTGTTTTGTGTCTGTGAAGACAATGTGTATGAATTCAATGATTATTTTATTATTATTATTATTGTCCAACAAATCTACAGAATGATGAGCGCAAGTATATAACTATCAGTACGTTTGGCTATTTCATCGGCGGTCACCTCAGTATTGAAGTAAACAAATTCAGTGATCGACCACATAATGACAACTCTATTGTATGGGATCTATCTTTTTGTGATTACTTTTTACAGAAATTGATTGATATTTTTTAAATTATTTATTTTGTAGTTTGGCTTCACATTAGCCAAAACAATGAGCGATAGTCTTACACCATATCTTGTAAGTGATATTTGTTTTTCGGGAGTTTTTTTTGTGGATCATTACTTATGCCATTATTTTTATTATTTAATTAATGTCTCTTAAACAGGAAGGACATGAAGACCGATGTCTACTCAAGGATGATGTCGTAACCATTAATAATGACGAAAATATTGGATTAGTTTCAATGATATTTGATTTCAAGAAAAATCGGTCAGTAGTTGTTTGTATACGAAAAACATATTTGTTAACAAACTTTAGTTATATATATATATATTTAAATAATTTATTTAGTGTTGTATTGAAGTGCAATAAATTGTTGTCGAAGTTGAGATTTTCCGATGGGATCGGCTTAAGGCCTAAACGCGAAGATAAAGTAATCTCATATATCTTAAATGATGTCAAAAATAAATCAATCGTTTCTAATAAATCTGAAATTAATAATAATAATAATGAAAATAAACCGAAAGTTTCAGTTAATATGACAAAAATCAATACCAATACCAATAATAATAATAATAGTGATAATAAGGATCAAAGTGATAAACAAATTGGTGACAACAAACAAAATGATAATTTAAGTGATAATAATAATAAGATTATCGGTAATAATGCAAATGATGTTAATGTTCTTAACAATGCCGATGACATCAAAAACGACGAAAAAGATAAGACATTACCTGTCGATGAAAAAAAATCAGTTCCAAGTGAAGACAATAATGACGAAGACATTGAAGACAAATCATGTTCAATACCGTACGTCAAACTCATCAGAAGTGGTGATCCAAATCATGCAGAATATAGTTTTAAAGTTAGTTTTTAAATGGTTTACTTTAGACTGTTATTTGAAATTAATTTTGGATTTAATTTATTATATACTTATCATTAGATTCAGGCAGTGATTGCCGAAGACTCCCAGGAAGGTCTCTATAGTCTATTCTTTCATAACTGTCCCAACTATAGACCTCACGGAGGATTCCGACGCAATATGACATCTTTCAATCTCAATATGACTATAAACGAAGACAATTTAGGCAATTATCTATCGGCCGGTGAGATACCATTACCGCAACTTTATTTTGCACTGTCGGTCATATTTTTCTTGTTGGGAATTGTATGGCTTAACGTTATCCGAAACAAACACAACGATGCCTTTAAACTACATTACCTGATGGCTGGCCTTGTGTTTGTCAAAGCGCTGTCCTTAATGTTTCACGGGGTTTGTCTCATTTGATATCAATGATATTAAGCTAACTGTCCCATTAATTTCATGATTTTAAAAAATCTATTTACAGATCAACTATCATTTCATATCAACTGAGGGCTCACAAGTGGAAACGTGGGCTGTCCTCTACTATGTCACTCATTTACTGAAAGGCGCCCTACTATTCATAACCATTGTACTGATCGGCACCGGCTGGTCATTTGTTAAGCATATACTCAGTGATAAAGACAAGAAAATATTTATGATTGTGATTCCACTTCAAGTAATAATTTTTTGTTTATTATTATTTATGAAATGTTTATTAAATTGAGTTTTAAATCAACAACAAAAATATCTTAGGTTTTGGCAAATATTGCTGACATAATAACCGAAGAGAGCGAAGAAGGAGAATTGAAGCATAATATGTGGCGCGAAGTCTTCATTCTAGTGGATCTGTTGTGTTGCGGTGCTATACTGTTTCCAGTAGTTTGGTCCATACGCCACCTGCAGGAGGCGTCACAAACGGACGGCAAGGCTGCCATTAATTTGCGAAAACTCAAATTATTCCGCCATTTCTACGTAATGATTGTCTGCTATATCTACTTCACCCGAATCATTGTCTATCTGTTGAAGATAACGGTTCCGTTTCAGTACGAATGGCTCGACGTTTTCTTTGAGCATTCGGCTACACTACTATTTTTCATATTAACCGGCTATTACTTTCAGCCGACATCAACCAATCCATACTTTCAATTGGGTCAAAGCGATGATGACTTAGAACTCGAAGAAGTGTTAGTATAGTCTATCTAAATGACTAATGTTTTTTATCAATGTTTATCTATTTTTCATATATTTATGTTTATTTTATCAGCTTATTTGTTCAACCGAGCAGTGGGTTCGACACTAAAAAACGCGGCCATATCAAGGACCGGGAAGTGATCGATTCCAACACATCCGATACGGAACGGCTGATTACCAAAAGGGAAAGTAGTCATGACTTTGATTAGTGAATTATTTTGTATTGTATTTTATTTATTATAATAATACATTAGTTTCTCTGTTTGTTTTACAAATGAAATAATTATATGTCATTTATTTATTATTATTTTAAATTATTATATGTCTTTAAAAATTTTTATTTGATTTAATAATAATTTATTAATTCGTTTTGGAAGAACACTAAAATTTTGATTTGATTACTAGTTAGGCAATCAAACCAAACAAAATAATAAAATTGTATTTTTCTCGTAAAATTGTAATCATAATTGAGATAAAAGTTTAATATACAGTATATATTTATATATATTATTTACAATCTATAATATATGGTATAATAAGTTAATTATTATTGTGAATGTTGTATAGAGAAAGTGCGGCAACTATTTTCGGATCCTGTTGTGAGCCAACCATAAACTCATCCATCGATAGCTTATTGTCTTTATTCTAGGATTTTTTTAAACAAAAATTTATTATAAAATCTTAAATAATAATTTTTTTAAATTTAAATTTTAATGGCTATGATATGTATATATATATATGACATACAGTATCCAAATGAGTGAATATCATGTCTACTCTTTTTACTGGATCGTCATCATTGGTGTCCACTATATTTGGTCCCAACATTTGATAGATAGCATCGATAATACTATTCATTTCATCGCGAGTTATATACCTTTTTGTTTGTTTGTTTGTTTTCAAATTTTATAAATCATTTTTATAAATATATATATGTTTTAGACACTACTTTTTTTATAGAGATAACTTACCCGTCATTATCTAAATCGTAGAGTTTAAAAGTCCCTAAATTTTTTGTTGTTATTGAATACAATAGAAATAAAATGATAAATTTTATAAATATAAATAAAAACTATTGTTTATAAATATATGAATATAAATTGAGATATTATTTGAGAGACACTGACACAAAAGTTTTTCCTCTAACGTCCCTCTGGTTGTTGTCGACAGTGCTTTAATAAACTCTTCAAACGTTATCATTCCGTCCTATGTTTCAAAGATTTTATCAAAAAAAATAAAATAAAAAAAAGATTTTTTGATAACAAAATGATTATCAACAACAACAACAAAAAATAATAAAATAAAATAACTGTTATATAAATTTTATGTTTATATAAATATACACTAAATATATACAAATGTACATTAAAAATACTAGAGGGGTAAAACGGGGGGTAAATATAAATACTATACTTTATCTTCATCAAACACCCTGAAGACAAACGATGCAAATTTTTTTGGGTTTCCTTTTGGAAAAAATTGTTGATATATTTTGTAAAACGCCTAAAATTATATGAAAATAAAAAATTTATATATATATTATATTTATTTGAATAAATAACTAAATCACACTTCAAAATCATTTTATTATATATGCAATAAGATTTTATATTAATTTATTTTAAAAAGTTATATAAAATTAAGTATTCAATTAATATATACTGTATATGGTATACATATAGTATATAATGATTATATCTTATATATATGACTTACTTGTTCAGTAAGCCGACCATTAGGACAATCCTATTGTTAATTTGTTTTGTGTTTTTCATTTATTTTCAAACAAAATACACACAAAAAAAACATTTTGTTATCGATTAAGTTGTCGTCAATTGTAATACCTGTTTAATTTTGGCACACCTTTGAAAATCCCGTATACCTTAATATATGGATATATATAAATAGAGGGGAAAACAAAATATTAAAATCTAATAAACAGATCAATAATTGTTACATTTTTAAAAAATATTAAATTTATAAATAAAATTCATACCATTTTTTAACTTCATCCTCCGTAACTTTTTGTTTTTTAATATATAAAATAATAAAAAAAAACAATAAAATAATTAATTTTAAAATATTATTTATTGCTTAATATAAATTAAATAATGTTTAAATAAATAATAATTGTTATTATTAGTATTATTAGAAAATATTTATCATTTTATAATGATTTGTTGTTTACTATTATTATTTTTTAGATATAATTTATCGATTTCTAAATTATAAACAATTTAGGGCAATATATTCAATAAAATTTTAATAATATACAGTAGATAAACATTTCACTACTATATAATTGTTTTCAATTTTATATATAAATTATATTATCATAAAAAGTTATATACAAAATGTTTTTTTTATTCCTAGAAATATAAATTATTATCGTTTGTCATCAATTATTGAAATAAATAAATAATAATTATAATAATGAAAAACATCAATAACAATATTAAATATTTTTTATTTTATTTTAATATACCGATAATTAATATGTTTATATCATATTTATGTATCTATTAATTTAAATACTGATAATATGATTCAATATTTATGTATATAGTAATAGTATAATTATTAATTGTATAAAATTTAGTAACAAATATTTAAATTTTAAAAAGTTAAATTTATCAATTAATATGATAATATTTTTTAGTTACAATCATTAAAATTATTTTATCATTATTTATCATTTAGTACAGTATTATTATCAACTTTAAAATAATACTCAGAAAACTTAGTGTTTACAATATAACAATTTTATATAATAACTAATTATAAATTTAAAAATATTTATACTATTTATACCGTATATTAAGTAATAAATATTTATATATTAGATTTTTTTCTGGATAGAAGTTATATTGAATTCGTTATCAAAAAAAACTAAATAAATAATTTAAAACTAATTGCTTTAATTAGACATAAGTTTTTGCAACACAATAATAATGACATTTGAAAAAATTATTGAGAAATACATACAAAAAAATGTATTCATTATAAAAATGATCACAACATCCGAAAAATTATATATAAATAAAGCATTGGATTTCCCTTTTTTGTTAATATCTATATATATATATAATAACTACATATATAATACCAGTCCTATCAAAGGCTACAAGTGTTTCATAAGAAAAGATACACTCATCCAGACATCTCACTCGTTGTCTATAAGTCTCTTCACTTATAAATCTAATACTAAAAACTTTTTCTCTCTTTTTGTTGGATAAGTGTCTGTAAAGACCAAATTAATTGCAATTTTTAATAACTTACAGAAATTTTTTTTTCTTTTCATATATATATATAAAAGTATATTACAGTTTCATATATTAATTAATGAGACATTTTCTGTCTAAAGAATAATAATAAAATCGATATTTTGATTCAATCTATTTATACAAATGTAAGTAATATTTTTTTTATTATTATTATTGTCAAAAATAATTTTTTAAAAATTGTTCATAAAAATAAAGTATCAATTTATTTATATTGTTTGGTAATTATTAATATTACAAGTTATAGCATATAACTTCTAAAGATAAATATAATTTTTAAAATTTAATAAATCATTATAATTATCACACATATGATGATCTAATTTTGATGATCCTGTTATATAATCAATTGAAAACTTGAATTTGTGGTTAAAAATACTTTTTTTTATTTAGGTTTTAATATATAATTATTTCAAAAATAAAAATATTCATAAAAATATTCACACAATTTTAAAAATAATTAATTATATTTTTTTATCACTAAAAATTTTTGTTGTTGATTTAATTAAAAATATTATGTAACTATAGTATTATGAATAAGTTAATTAGAAATCTTTAATTAGTTTTTTTTGAAAATTAAATTTAGAAATATTTTTTGTTGATATCCTTTAGAATCTTAGAATTTTAGATTTTTTTGTGGAGATTATATCATAATTTTGTGAAATTGTAAAATAAATTTTTTGTTTCTGTATAAACTGATTCATAGAACTGGTAGCACAAAGAGATACCAGTGCTAAACAACCCCTTACACTGTTTGAGACAATTTATTTTGTGTCTGGATTTTTCAGTAGTTGTCTTTGCAATAATTAAAAAAAACAAAAATATATCAGTATTTAAGTAAAATTTATTTTCTTTTTTTTATATTACTATTAATGAAACAAAAAACTTAACGAACAAATACTGTACTTATTTAGTAAAAACAAAATAAAAAATAATTAAAAAATAAAATCATATCAAATATGATATACAAAAATCTACGGTATGTTTATATCAGGAATTTATTTAAGAAATTCCTTATAAAAGACATAACAAACAGAAACAATGGCCGCAATGGTAGTGATGGCAAAGATAATGCTAACGACACGAATGGCATTCAGAAATCTTTGTCTTTTATTTCTAACAATTCTTTGCCATTTGATTAGTCTATTCCGATAAAAGCCCTCTCTTTTGGTTACATTGTTTGAACAATGATTTTCATCGTTGTCTGAATTTATTTTAGCGACAAAAATAAAATACAAATAGATTTTTTGTTGATTACACAATATAATTGTAAAAAAATAAAACAATCAATTAATTGGTTATTTTGGTAATAATATTAATAATAATAATTATTATTATTATATCTCAAGTGTTTTTTGTTGGATTTTACCATTTATTTCATGAGTGTTGTGAATATAAATGCATTCATCTGTTTGTTTGCTATTTTGGTGTTTGAATACACTTAACAATGGCTTAGATATGTTACTTGTATTCACTTTATCTAAAACGGCTGTAATTATTATTATATATTTATTATATTAATTATTATATTACTTATTAATGTCTATTTTTTTGTCATTTCAATTGTTTTTATTCTGTATTGATTTTGACTCATAAAGTTATTTTTATTATTTAATAATGAATATAATAGGAGTAATAATAATAATAAGATTGAGTTAATATATTACTTATTATTATTTTAAGTACACCTGAAAGTGCACTTCAATACAGAATAACAGAGAGCCAACTGACAAAATATTAATTATTATTAATAATAATATATAACTTATAAAAACTTATAAATATCTATTAAATTAAAAGTTTTACGTTTACATACACGTGTGTATTAGTAGACATTGAATGATACAAACAGTAATTATCAATAATAATACTGACAATCGATGATAATAATAGACTCTTGAAATGTACATAAAATATGATGAAATTATGATATTTACTAAATTTAAACCAATCAGTAATACATCCATAAATAGTACTATATATATATATTGTATATTTTAATTTAATTTTCTATGTGTTTAACATAAAAAAAATAAAATAACAATTATTTATTTGAATGATTATTTGATTGCACGAGAAATTCAATAGATTTTCGCAATTTTTCGCATTCAAGTAATTTTTTAAACTATTGTTATCTCAATATAGTATTAAATTATAAATTACTACATTGTATCAGTTTTTATATTACTATATTATTATTATTAGTTGTAGTAATTATTAGCAATAGTAGTATAAAATATTGTCAATAAAAGTTATCATTAAAATGTTTTGAAAATCTATAATTATTACAACAATAATAAATCAATTATATCTGCAAAAAAATTATATATTTTATTTTTAATATTTTATTTGAAATCTATTTATATACATAATTTTTTTATATGTCAACTATTAATTAAAATATTCAATATATACTGAAATTTCAATGCTTTTTGACGATAGTCTATATTAGTATATACAGTACATATAAATACATATTATTTTCTAGTATATATTATTATATTTGTAATTTGCAAATGTTTAAACTTGAACTTAAATTTTAATAAAAAAGATTTTTTTATTTTAAAATAATAATCACTTGTGTTTTCAATTTATAGTATATAATTTAATATAATTATAATATATTTTTATTTTCGTTATTTATCTAAATCTAACCAAATATACTGTAATTAGTTAATTAATTTGTCATAATTATAGTGTTGAAGTAAATGCCATACTCTAAGTACATATTATTATAATATATAATTTATATTTATATCGATTTGTTATAAGAGTGCAAAATCTAATTTAAATATACATCAAATATATTGTTAATTATCAAACATATAAGATATTTCAAAATTAAAAATATACGATATATTCAATAGAAATTTTTTTGGTCTATACTAACAATAATCAAAATAAAATGTAGTTTAAACATAAATGCAATTTTCTATAATTTTCTATGAATTAAGCATAAAATTTATATATATATATATATATATTTGTACAATAAATATAGATAAAATAAAAATTTTATATCAAATACATTGCGTGACAATGATTTGTATAGCAAATAGGTTTGTGTGGCGAATCACATCTCAAAATAAAATACAAAAATAAAAATATGACAACAATTTAGTTATTATTTGTAACTAAAATTAGTTATATTTTATTTTTGTTTTTAATGTATCAAAATATTATATATAATAACAATAATAATAATAATAAGACGGGAACTCAATTAGTTACACATTTCTCTGTCATTTATTTCACTTTCAATTTTTTGCGCTTTTCGTTATTTTAGACAAATTTTTATTTTTAGTTAAGTATTTTTGTGTCATATTATTAACTTATATATAATTTATTTATATGCCATAAACAAAATGAAAATTGATTTTTATTAATCTATATGCCTATAGTATAGATTTTATATTGTATAATATATATATATACAGTATACTATATATATATATATATATATATTATAAATTGTGTCCTCAATTAGATCTACTCTGCTATTAGTTTATCGTAATATACTAAAACAAAAATATAAAATATAGTAATAATAAAGTAAATTAAACTATAAAAATAGCAAAATCAATATAAATCTATTTATATAATAAATAATTAATTTTTAAATATATTTATTAAACACATTTATATCTAATTATAAAATATTTACTATTATTACTATTATTATTATCAACTAACTTATTATTTTTTTTAATAAATCAAAAATAATATTATAATTTACATGACAGATGATTTACAACAACAAAAATTTTAAATAAAGTCTGTATAATATATTTTGTATTATCATAAAATATGTTTATTAATTATTATTATAAAAATAAGTAATTTTTCAAAAATAACATAATTATACTCTAATTTAAGTATAATTTTTTTTTAATCATCAATTATATGCTAATTATTGGGGTACTAATAATTTTATTAAAAAAAACTTTTTCATTATAAAGTTGCACTAAAAAATAAAGGGTAATCTTTTTTTGTGTTGATATTGACCCTGAAATTATACACATTTTAATACATCTACTGTACTATACAAACAAACAAAATGTATAAAAATTATCTTATTTTGTTAGTTCAAGGTCAATATAATTAGTATAATTATGTAATAATATCTCAATAGACAAAATTAAAGTTTATAAAATAATTTACAAATTAGATTAATTTTTTTACAAACAAATATTTATATACTGTTTGATATTTTTGATTACAGTTAATAATTTTTTTTAATGTTTGTTTGTCCAAAATTATAATAATACGGTTAAAATTATTTTTTTATATATAATTCAATGATATATCGTATTGAAAAAGAAAAATATGTAACACGTGTTTGATATTTATGAAACAAACTTTTTTTTTTAAATTAATTCAATATTTAGCCAATTATCAGAGTATATAATCATTTTTTTTTCTTAATTAAAACTATGATAACAACTATACATTTGATATCATTTGTTAACATCCAAAATCTCAAGAGATCTTTAAGCAGATCTTTGTGTCGAAACTAATAAGTTAGAGCTTCTGGTGTTTCAATTGGATATCAATTGTAAGTAATTTTTTAATTATTTATAAATTTTTTAAAAATATATAAACTTCTAAAACATTAACTAAATTCAATAATAATAATAATAATTGTACTGTATACAATATCTAAATTATATATTAAATACCTAAATTTAACCAATGTAATTATTACAATATAATTTTTAATATTACTAAATATTCTAGACAAACAATCATTACAGACAAAATAATATATTATATATATAGTATATATTAATAACTAAATTAAGTATAATATTATTATTATTGTATATATTTTTATTATCTATACGTCTATCATAGAAATAATAATAATTATTATTATTATTTTATTGTGGTATTCATTTATCAAAAATAATAATAATAACCAATTATACCAATGAATTGGAAACTATTAGCGATGATGTTATTTAAAATATTTTAACGAGAGTTGCTTTTGTTAAAACAAAATATTAGTTATTATTTTTTTTTATAAAAAACGTATCATCATTATCATATACATAGTTTAAGCATTTTAGTTTAAGGATAATATTAATTATTTACTTTGTATTACTATTAATTGGTATCTAATTTTGTTATACAGTAATATTATTTAGTAATGACTATTATTTAATAAAAAAAATGCAGTATAGTATATAACTTTATAATAATATTTTTATAGCTAATGTATTTTAAATGATTTTCTCAGTATGTATTATAAGTTGTTTTATTAGTTGTTTAGTTGGTTGTATTATTACATTATAAGATATTTATTTATAATTTATTGTATTAAAGGTGGAGTAAATTTTTGTGGTTAAACAGAAATTTAGTCACTATTTTCAATAGTTTTGTTTAGTTTTGTTGTTTTTCAATGTAATTCTGTACTTAAACTACATTATAATAACTAAAATTATCAATCAGTTATGCAATAACACTAAAAGCTTACATTATTTTATTATTTTTGATGACAATTTTTTTTAAATATAAATTTGATAAATTAATTTTTTAGATTTATCAAAAAAATATTATAAATACAGTTAATTTAATATAATTAAGCAATAGATAAAGATGACATATTTTATTAATTTAATTGATGTATAATCTATAATTTTATGTTTTATTAGATAACTAATACCAAAATGTAAAAAGTTAAATAAATGGCTAATAATTTTATTTTTTAATTAATTAAAATCATTGATAAATTTAATATTTGCAAATATTTGATACAAACAAACAGGACTTACTTTTTTATAAACTAATTTATTTTGTATTTATTTATGTAAATAGTTTAATAAAATTCAAAATTTTTCAAAATTAAGTCATTATGTTTTTATATATAGTGTGCATTATTTCAATAATTTTTAAAGAAATTATTATAATAAGAATTAATTATTATTAATTATAACTATGACTTTAATTCAAATTATAATCAAACAAAAAAAAGTGAGAGTATATATAGTTATGTATATTTAATATTGTAATTTAATATTTTTTAATATATTGAGAATAATATTATTAATAGTATGTTTAGTGTATATAACAATACATAGTGTGGGTTATAAATATATCGTGCATTGAAAACATTTGGCTAAATTCAACAAACAATTAGTCAGTCAATCAATTGTTTAGAAAATTTTCATTTGAAGGCTAATAATCTTTTTTACTCAATAAGTAATTTTTTGTAAATATTTAATGAAATGTTTTTTTTGTTTGAAATAATTAAATATACGGTATATAAACAATAATAAAAATAAATTGTGAATTAATAAACATAAATGAAATAAAAAAATATTTCATATTTACTTACAATAAGTTTCTTCCGCTAACTTAACGATCAGTTGTCTCTTAGCTTTGCTACTCTTGTTTCCCATTAATCTCAACATTGATTAATTAAATCAATTGATTTTGACAATTATTTTTATATTTATTATTGTTATTATTATTACTATTATTACTATTATTACAATTATAACTAATAATAATAACAAACGACAACAACATTATTAACACATTGTTTTTTAATCCACAAACAAAAGACATCTAAATAATTAATATTTAATAATAATTTTTAAACAAAAATAAATAGTTGTTTAGTAAATGAATTTAAATTAATAGATAATTATTTAATTTTGAATTTATTTTTATTTATTAATTAGATTTTAATAAAGTTATTAAATAAAAAAAATTAGACATTTATTGTTATTTTTATTCGCACTTTATTATTATTGTCGATAAAAAGATAGATAGATAGTGAGTGAGTGAGTGAGTGAGTGAGTGAGTGAGTGAGTGAGTGAGTGAGTGAGTGAGTGAGATAGAGATAGATAGAGAGAGAGAGAGAGAGAGAGAGAGAGAGAGAGAGAGAGAGAGAGAGAGAGAGAGAAAGAGAGAGAGATAGTAACTTAATAATGATAATAGGATTGTGCTATTTATCATAAAAAATGATAAAATAAAAATCAATGAATAATTTCTCTTTAATTTATTATTATTATTATTATGACATCGATTGTTGTAAACTTTTTTATAATTATATTATTATTATTATTAGATTATATTGTCTTCAGGTGTGTCCACAATACTATACTACTAGTGACTGAATGATTACTATCTCTTCTACTAAATAATAATATAAACATAATTTTTTTAAGTCTCTCTTAAAGGTATTGAATTGAATTTATTTATTAAATATTTTTCTGATGTTTTTGTTGGTGTTTTAAGATTATTATTATTATTATTGTGTGTCAGTGGTGTGTATACCACCAGTAAATGCATAGTTACTGCCAGTTGTGTCAGATTTTATTGATTTCATGAACACTACAGTATACTAAAGTTTTTTTCAAACTATATATTAATTTTTTACTGTATGATAGACTATACAGTATTTAATACTGTATTATATTTATATTATCCAATCTATTATATTAGCTTTAGTTATGCGTATAAATCTAATATATTTCAACCAATTATTTAGTTTATTATTTTTTTTTAACAATTATTATTATTATTATTATTACTATCAAATATAAAACGTTATTATGTAGGTGTATTGTTGTTTAATATATACATTATATATTGTATATATTTAATTTTCAATTGTAGTATATAATACATATACACTTAAATATAATTAATTAATAAACAATTAAATTTTTGCAATTGATTTTTTTTTGGTAACTGTATTTGTACTAAATAATTTATAACTTTATAAAATATATACGGTATATAACAGTGTATAAACTTAATATACATGTTATATTATTATATATAGGTATATATATTTTGAGTCTAAAAATACAATCAATCACATTTAAATGTTTTAAAACAAAAAATTATAAATACATTTACATTTCTACATATTTTTTGTTATATAATAAAATAATATTAGGTATTAAAATGTTGAAAAATAATATTTACATTATTAATCAAAATTTCCTTTTATATATGTATATATTTGTTGTTACATTTTAAATAAAATCAATATTTATAATAATGTTTATGCATAAATATTTGCAAATATATACAGTATAATAGATTTTTATAGATGTTTTTATAAATAAATGCACACAAATTTAATTATACTAATAAAAGCCCATTTATATAATTATATAATTTTATTGAATATTTTTGTAATTTTCAATATTGAAAGTAAATTAGTTAAATAGATTTTAAAAATAATTATTATAATAAGATTTTGAATGCAATTTATATTTTTAACATATTATATGTATATTTAACATAAATAAATTAAAATAAATTAAAGTTAGTATTTGTTTTTTTAAATATATAATAGACTTTAATATTTTAATTTACATGATTTTTAATTTAGATAAAATGCTTTTATTTTTATTAGTAGTCTAGAATATTTATAAGTTTAAATTATAAAAATAGATTATAACTATAAAATATTGTGTTAAATCAAATTATAATATCTTTTTTTAAATTTTTATTTATTAAGCAACTAATTAATATGAATTAAATTTTTATTTTATCATATATTAATAATTGTACAGTAAATTCAATTTATAATGTCTAAATGTCTAAATACTTTTAAGTAATTTTAGTAATTTAATTATCTAAATAGCAATATAAACTTGCACTAAGTAATTGATTAATATAAGTTTTTGTTTTAATTTTAAAGATACATGTTACATTATATTTGAAACATTAAAAAATTACTTAAAAATATTATCCACTAGAAATGATTTTTTTTTATAAATTAGTTTTAGTTTCCGTATATTCACTAATTAATTAAGTGATTGGTATTGAAGGCAATATCTGTTTGTTAGTTATTTAATAGTATTTTATTTAAAACAATATACTGTGTATAACGTATATACACATTAATATAGATAAAACAATTTAAGACTAAAGATATCCTGCATTTATAACTTACTTTATATTTATATATATTTATCATTAGATAAATACAATAGTATTTTAGCTATATTTTCAATTTATTTTATACTACTACTAATAAAACTTTCAAACAAACTTTCAATTGTCTATATCTATTAATATACAATATATACCGTATATAAGTAATATATAAATATAGTAATCGTCAATTAGTCTAACATTAAATCAAGGACAATTTATAAATTAAATTTTGAACGATTGGATGATAATTGGTATAAACTTTTTAGTGTATTTATATAACTTTTTTTTGTTGTTGAAAAATTTACCCATGTTTAATGATGTTTTTAATTTTAAATCTTATAATATTTTATAATGATGATAATAATATACTATCTAATAATATTGTTGTCACTTAATTATTACAGTAAAGTGCATTTACAGTTTGACTGATTATTTAATTGTTATATACTTTACATTAAAATAATAAGCATTTACGCAAATAAATAAAATAAAATAAAATGATATTATCTTTCTTCACTAGTATGTAATAAATATTTATATTTTTTAATAGCTTTAAATTACTCATTTTTAAGTTATCTAACATTGATATCGTAGATTTTTTAAAGTAATTATTAAATATTAAATAATTGCAGTCCAAGTTCAAGATTTTATTATTATTTGTTGTTTGTTGTTGATCATATGTAATTATGCCAATGATTATTATAATTGTAATTAAAATAAATATTATATTTGTTTTTTAGATAAATTATTATATTGATATCTTAATAGGAAATTAAATTACTATTTTTGAAATTAAATAAAAATTTTACTATTGATATAATTTAAATTTCAATGTTATATAATGAAAATTTAATCTTTTATAATAAATAAATAATTTTTTGTTTATTTTTTAGAAAATTATATTATAGGTGCTTTTAATTATAAATACTGAATATAAAAATGTATTATGATTGATAATTTTTTTTTGTTTAAATCATTAAAATATTTTTTAAAGTATGATATGACTAAATTGAATAAATTTTATAGCGTTATTCAATATAATAAATTAAGTAATATATAAATAGTTATGATTATTATCTTTAATTTTTAAAATAGTAACTACTGGTTAAAAAAATAAAAAATATTTAAAATAATATATACGACTTTTTTTTATTAGTTTAATTACAAATTAAAAATAACATTTTTAAAAACTTAAATTTTAGTTCATATATTAAAAGTAATAATTAATATTTATTGATTTATTTTATAATAAAAAGTTTTTTAATATTATATAATAGTTGAGACATCACAAGATTGTTTAAAAGTCTGCAAAAAAACTATTTGCTATTAATAGATAAATAAATAAAATATTTTAAGTTAATTTTTTAAATAAAGTTAAAATAATTGGCTATTTTCCAACTTAATTGTTTTTTTTAATTTACACTTACACATTTGTCATTATAATTAATTATTAATTAATACATTTATAATTAATAAATTTTATCTTAATTGTCAAATTAGGTGTCCTGGGCAATTTATTTTTATAAAAATATAAACTATATTTGCATATTTTTACTATTTTTGTTGCTTAGTTTTCAAATATCAAAATTTATTGCTATATTTAAGATTTACAATAGCGATACAAACAAACAAATAATAAATATTAATAGACATTGCAATAAAATGACAAAAAGTGCATTAATTTAATTATATATCAATAGTGTTATTATTATTATAAAAGTAGTAAAAAAATTAATTCACATTTAATATTGAGGTTAGTATTGATATTCTTTAAGTGTATATTTAAATGTGATTTTTTCTCTCTCTTTGCATAATATAACTACTGCTATATATTTTACTAATATATATATATATTATATATATAATATTTAAAAAACATATGCTATAAATAGTAAAAATTGATCAAAATATTAAATTTGAACCTAAAATGACCCAATTTTAATGCATCGCCAATCAATTGTGACAAATTTTTATCACCTAATGTGTTATTATTATTATTATTAGTAATATTAGTATTTTTTCAATTATTACCTTTTTTTATTTACTTACACTTTTCAAAGTCATTGTTGAATAGTTTAAAATAATGTATTTTTTGTTTGTTTTGTTAAATACAAACAAACATACAATAATTGAATGTTTGCATCGATTAGGAGACATAATTAACACCGACAACAAAAAATCCCCAAAAAAATACATACATATACTGTATGTCTGTATATTGAATGCAAAAGTTTCTTAGAAATTAGTATTTTCAAGCAAATAAAAAAACCTGTAGTTTTTTTTGACTATCAATTTGTTGAACCCCACACTAGTTAAGCCCAATGTAGTTATCATAGTTAGTTAGATTTTTTTTTAATTAATTAATTCTTTAAAAAAATAAATAAATTTTATGTCAATTAATTTATTGAATTTTAATTATTTAATAATAATTAATAACTAATAATATGATGCTGATTTATTTTAATTTTTTTAATTTTATGCAAAATCCAAGTGATAAGTTTTATACTAAGAAAAAGCAAAGTTTATATATAAATATAATATTATATATAGTATTATCCCCAGTATTAGCTAAACTGAAAGCAACACTACCTAATTAAAAACAACTACCTGTGCTGACCGGTTAGGCATCTTTTTGCTGCAACTTTTCTAACTTATACACGATTTTCTAAATGTTTTAAATCATATCCTTTATTATTTAAGTTAAAAATATATTCAACTATTATAATGATAAAGTTTGCAATAATTATTGCTACTATTAATAATAATAATACTAATAATAAAGTTAATTTTTTGAGTCAACATGAAAACTCCTCAATGGGTTAACACACTATTCAATGGGTTTTTTAGTTTTTCGTGAAATATTTCATATACTATAATAAAATTATCACCAAAAAAATGATGATCCGGTATTAATAACAACAATAATAATAAGTGTCTGATTGTCTTCAAAATAGTGTCCCAATTGTGTGTTAATTATAATAATTGCAATATTGTTTATAATTAGTTACTATTAGTTATAAAGTTACTAAATATTTTTTGTTTATACCGTTATATATATATATTTATTTTTTAGCAAACAATTACATTAACTAATAATAATATTAATAATAAATTATGTCGACTCCTGTTTGGAAAAAGCGATTAATATTATTGTTGGGTCTAATCGAGAACCTGGTGTTTAGTGGGACTATATTTGGCTGGTCTGCCATGAATTATATGCTTAAATCCGAGCGGATCTATCTGGATGTCTGTGATCAACAATTGCCTCAATTTCAATACAAAAATGTCAAATATTTCAATAATAATAATAATAATGAAACAGAAAAAGCAGTGATAATGAAGCGGAATAGCGATGAAAGAAGCAATCGTTTTATGCAAACATTAAATAATTTGAATAAAGAGTTTGTAAATCTATTGCTTATCGATGAAGACAATGATTATAATAATAATAATAAAACTGATAATAATAATAGTAATAATAGTAATAATAGTAATAATAATGGGTCTCTATTGCAACAATTTGAGGCCTATCAGGTCGAGACTACATTTTCACTTATATATGTAAGTATTTGTTTGTTTGTTTGTTATTTTTTTATTAATATAATAATATTTATCTTTTAATTTAACATTGTAGACCTTTTAATTTAAAAGGACATGCACAAATTTTGTTTTTTTACTTTAATTTATTAAAATTTACAATAAATAATTTTTTAGGACATTGCATTATTTATTATAATTAAATTATTTAATTAGAAAATATTATATTTGCAATTTATATATTTATATACTGTATATATATATATATATATATATCAATTGCTGAATTGCATATAATTTTTGAAAAACAAAATTAAATATCTAAAAACTACTTTATTTGCTCAAAACATGCAAAAGTGTCACATAACTGTCAAAATTATTTCTTTAAAAAATTTAAATAGTTTTTAAGTCAAAAATATTTGCTAATATATTGTAATAAATTTTGTTGAAATTGCAATAATCGATATAAATATTAACTTTACATTTCTATAGTTTATAATTTTTAATACTAGTTATTTTAAAAATAAATTATTGTTACTATAAAAATGTATGTTCACATAAATATCTAATCAATCAATCAATCAGTCAGACAACTAATCAATATAAGTTTATGTATTGATTAATAATATGTAATAATATATTGTAGTAATTGCAACCATTTTTTTGTTATATTAATAATCAATTTTCTAACGTTTACTAAAATTTATATTTGATCAATATTTCAATATTCAGTATAAATAAATTTATATATATATATATATATATATCAGTATATATGTAAAATTAGTTTTATTATATAGATGCTTTTTTTGTATAATAAAATAGTTTTTTTTCAAATAATAATAAACTAAAATCAATTATTTTATAAACATAAATAAATTAATTGTTTTATTAATTTAGAAACAAACGGGATGTATAGCTCAAGACAAAGTGCTAAACCTGGTGTTCACTATAGGAATATTTTGTATGGGATTGTCTGCATTTATTTGGGGCTTTTTACTCGACAAATGGGGGCTCCGGGTGGTCAGGATTATTATCAGGTAATCATTTTATTTTATATAACACTTAGTATAATATATTTAATAATAATGTTAAATAATAATTGTCTTAATTTTCTATCTAATTATAATTAATATATTATTTTTATTATTTCTAGTTGTTTACTAGCATTTGGATCATTGTTTCTATGTTTGACAAATCGAGGTATTTATAAATATATTTATATTTATTTTTTTGTTTTATTAAATATTAGGTATTATAATAGTACAGTACATGTATATGCAATGTATATTAATATATAATTTGACTTTGAAATTACAATAATTAGTTTGATTTGTATAAATGATTTTACTGTACAATGGTTTAAACATAGTAATTGTTTTACTTTATGCACTGTATATACTGTAGTATTTAAAAAAAAACAAACATATAATCATGATATTACAAAAAAAAATATTTGTATATTTAAAAAAAACTAACAAAAATCAAAAATAATCTAATATAATATTTATTTACTATTAGATTATTAATAATATTAGTCAGATTTTAATATTTATCATGCGATAGCCATTAAAAAAAATAAATAATCGATATGTTTATTATCTAATAGATAGACCGCATCTAATATTTCCGGCAATAGTATTGTTATGTTTGGGTGGAGTACCCCTACGCATAGCAAACATGCAATTTGCTAACCTATACCCCAATCGTCGGTCAACTATTATCAGTCTATATTCGGGTGCTTTCTGTGCGTCGGCCATCATATTTGTCGGACTCAAATACCTGTACGACATAGGCTTCTCCTATTTTTCTGCCGTCTCATTGCTATTCCTATACAGTCTATCGATGTTTGTCTTTACATTTCTGGTATTACCCGCCGATAAAATACACGAAGAGACCGCCGATGCTTCAGATGACGATAACAATATCAAATCTGATGGAAAAACTAAACAAAAATTATCACTATTTGCCAGAAATCATATGCGATCCAGTCTTTCATTTATAGCACCGGTAACTCTTGAAAAGTTTACATTTATATCGTCGTCACCGATGGCTACTAGAAAATTGACAAATTTTTCGGCTATTAATGAATTAAATGTTAATAATATAAAAAATTCTGATCTCAATTATTTCAACAATAATACCAATAGTAATAATAATATTAATAGTAAAAATCATATTTATAATATAAATCATTACAATAATAATGACATTAAAGAGACCCCAAATAAGATGTCTTCAGTACCGGAAAAAGTTGTTACCGTCGCTGACACCAGTGTTCCGCTTAAGATATCATTGTATTCGTTGGCATTCAATCTACACAACTGGTGGTTCTCGTGGTTCATAACTTATATGGTCTTATATGTCGGTTCACTGAATCTCTGGCTACAGCGGGTGACCACCGATTTGACTATTGCCGGTAATTTTGTCAAAGTCTACGGAGTCGCACAAATCCTGGCACTGGTATTGTCACCGATTGCCGGACTGCTGTTGGACTGGAGTGTCGACAAAGCCAACAAAGAGACGGATCTGTTTGTTAGGAAACTAAAGCGCGTGAGAGCCGGCTTTTGGCCACTGTTTGCCACCTCTTTGTTTGTCAGCGTTTGTCTGTTGTGTCGATTCTTTGACACCGAGTCTGCCATTTATACATCGATTGTATTTATGACAATATTTCGGGCATTTATGGTAGCCGTCGCCACATCTTATATCAGGATTAGGTTTGAATTTTGTTTTGTTTTTTTTGTATCAAAAATATATTTTTAAAATTTTAATTTAATTGAAACAGATTTAATGGACAACATTTTAATCGACTGTTGGGTATTATGAGCACCAGTGCCTCCATAGTGTCAATACTCCAGTTCCCTCTATTTGTTTGGGAATCTCAATATCCCAGCAGTGCATTATGGGTAACAATAATATTACTATTAATTAACTTATAATATTATATTATATAATAGGATAATAAAAATAATATATAAAACATTTTGACCTTAATTATGGTAATCATATGTTTAATCAAATGTTTTTTTTCTGTTATTTTGTGATTTTGTTTTTAGGTGAATATATTTAACTGTTTTTGTACTGCAATTGCATTTATAAATCCATTATATTTATTAATAACTCCTTTGCAAACATATTTGTTGCGAAAAGAGGAGGAACTGGAAGCTGAAGCCAAATATAATTAATTAATTAATTGATTTTTTTATTTTTAAAAATTATTTATTATATTTAAATAAAATAAATTGTTTTTTTATAATATTTAATATACTATTTAATATATTAATCATTTATGTTTTATATTTAATAGTACATGTATACTTATTTTTTAAATGTTAATATTGTTTTATTAACTTTCTATGTCATAAAAACTATGTTTAATATTATTTTAATATATTAAATAATAAATTTTAATAATTATAAAATAATAATATTAAAAAATTAATATAAATTTATATTATACTGCATAATGAATCCTTGAACTTGGATTATATTATTGATAATTGTTTTGTTTTTTTTTGTTTTTTGATGAGATTAGTTAAGAGCTGAACAACTTTTATTATTTTGTTTTTTATTTGCAAATATTTGTAGTTTTTTAAAACAAAAAATCTATTTTATTAATTATTTGTTAATAATTCAACAACAAAAATTTATCAATATTATTATTAGTAGACATAATTATTAATATTTATAGACATTTATCTTAATTTTTAAATATACAATATATATATATTATATATTTATTATCAATAAAAAATTAGTTTCAAAACAATAATCATTGTAATTACTAACAACTGAATTTTGTTGTTTGACTTAATATTTAATAATAATTGAATAATTTAGGTGTGGAAACAAACAAAAAACTGGGTTTTATTTTATTACAAAAATCATATGATTTTATTTAATAATTTTTTGTTATTAAAAAAATGTTACATATTTCTGGTTACACTAGAATTGCTTTAAATGTTATCTAATTTTGTGACAAAAAAAAATTTGTTTAGAAATTAACAGGAGATGAGAAAATAATTGCCTTTAAATTATTTTATTGCATTTTATTGCATCTTTATACCTAAATATTAAAATTTTGTAATTTTTTTTGTGTGTATCCTTAAAATGGGTTAATTGAATATTTTATTTTTTGTTATTGTTGATTTTGTATTTAACATTATTATATATATTTACTTTTATATCATTAAAATATTTATTTAAAAAAAACATTGATACTGATCTGTACATTACTACATATTTGTTAGACATAATGTTATGAATTAATTAAATATTTATATTAATAGTTAAAATAACTTATTAAAAAAAAATTAGTCAAATTTTTATGGACAAAAAATTAATGTTAAATTTATTTTTGAAAGTGTAACACATAATTGTCACCAAAAAAAAAAAGTTTTTGTTGTATATTTAATAACTAATTTTATGAAAATTTTAGTTTGAAATATTTATAAACAACAAAAAATGATCAGAAAATTACTAATAATTTATTATTTATGTATTGTTTGCGAAATTAATTTAATTTGTGGTAAAATTTTTCGACGATGTGATCTCTTAAGAGAGTTGAGTACCAAACATGAGATACCAGATGAAGATTTGGGTGATTGTATGTCTCCGATTGAATGTCTATTAATTTATTTTTAATTATCTTATAATTATTTTTTTGAGAGGAAAAACAATTTTATATATTATTTGAAAATTAATATAAATTATTATTATTATATAATTTATTAATCGGTTTTAAGGGTTGTGTATAATGTTTTGGGAAAGCGGTTTGGATACTAAAGCCCATCGTATCGGTAACTTTGATGGCAGCAGTAATTATGGTATACTTCAGATCAGTGATCTAATGTTTTGTCAGTCAAACGGACGCAAAAATAATACCAATTTCTGCGATTCTTCGTGCGATAGTATGGATCAGATTTTTTATTTGATTTTTTATTTTGAAAAAATAATAATAATTTTACTTTTTTTAGTCATATAGTAGTATACAGAATATTTTAATAATTAAAAAAAAATTAATAATTTTTTTTAAACATTTAATTATAAGAATTTCGCGATTCAGACATTTCGGATGACATGAAGTGTGCACTTCTTATATATAAATTGCAAGGATTTGATGCCTGGTTTGTCATTTAATTTTTTTTTGTGTTTTTATATAATATTATAATACAACAAATATCTAATTTAATTTAATCAATAATAATATTATTATTATTTATTGATTACCCTATATATAGGGCCAGTTATAATAGCCGGTGTCGTTCAGACAATACTCATTATACTGAAGGCTGTTCTTCACCACCAAAAATCACTTCAACTAAAGACGACGACAACAACGACAACAACTCTCAAGACAAAGAAAAGACTGGTTCGTCGTCCAAAGTGGTCGTACAGAAGAAGAAGAATAATAAGGATTCATCCAAAGTGAAGCCATCGTCATCATCACTGATGAAACAATTGTTACAAATGTCGCAGACGTCGATGAATCTACCAATAGATCGCATTTTTCGTCAGATCCGATCGTCGCCGCCAACAACAACAACAACTGATCCAAACAAGACAATTGTCAAGAAAAAACCGTCTGATCAGAAACGGACGAACAGATCGTCAACAATAGTCAAAGCTATTAAACGTCAGGTAAATACAACAACTAATAATAATAATAAGATAAACGGTATGAAAGCTATTGCTAATAATATTCTGGGAGGTGGAGGATCAGTCATGAAAAGACGTCCAAAACGTGGACTATTAGGTCAGGATAGTATAAATCCATTTGAAGATGCTAGAATATTTGTATTCAACCCATTATGTTGTTTTAATTGGAAAGCCGCTGATGTCGAGTGGTCTAATGCCAAGAATTGGTAACCAATTTTTCAGATTAAACCATAGAAACAAATAATTTAACAAAAAATATTCATATATTTATCTTATTTTTTTGTTAAATATATCATTTTATTTATCATTTTGTTTTTTTTGTTTGCTTTATTTTTTTTACACTTATATATATATATCATCACACATTAGGCTCAGAGATATTAGGACTTCAGTTGGATAACAGTGTTTTGATTTGATTGAAACGCATGCTCTAAACCCCAAACCATTGCATCCCTAAAAACCATAACAAAACGCATCCAGTTTTACATCCATTTGATGGACTGACTACTCGTTTATTATCATAATATTTATGTGATTTAAATTAATTCAATTTATTTAGTGATATAAATAGTTATATATTTAATTTATCGTTATTGTTATTGTCTTTTATAAATATTTATACCTATAGTACAGTACAATAAACTTATATATAATTTAGTGATTTATAATGTGATTGCGATGTTTAGTAAAAAAAATGTTTAATATTATTATTATTATTATCTATCTATTTATGTATAACACAAATCACTCAAAATTATTTATTTAATATTTTTTTATTAATAATTAAATTGACAATAATAAAAATACAGTGATAATAATAATAATAAAATTTGTTTAGTAAAGTCATTAATTTATTTTATTATATCAATAATCCTTTTTATATATACAGTATATGATAATAATATTAATTATTTAAATTTAGTATATTATTTCTAACAGATATTGTATTAATGATCTCAAATTTACATTGTTTAGCATAAGTATTACTCATCTATAATTTATTTATTTTACTATAATATATAATAAGTATTATATTTGGCCAAAATTTTTCACCCACAAAAAAATAACAAACTAATAAATTGATATAATATAATAAAATTAATAATAAATAAATTATCTGAAAAAAGGTGATGCAGTCATCCAATAGATAATAGATAACACTAAACCAGAGGTCAATGTTTTTATCAAATTGTATAAAAAATATTAGCTTATATACCGTACAGTACTGTATATAATGTAATTGACATTTAAAATGACTAAACAGTAATGCAAACATTAAAATCATCTAAAAAAAAATTTGAGACTCAAATATATTTCATTTCATTACAATAATATCTTTTTTAATATTTAAAACTAAAGAATTATATTTCAAATGTTATAATATTATCTAATAATAATAGATATATCGACAACAAAATAATTTTATTAATTAAAAAAAATGGTTTACAAAAGTGGTGTCAAATTATTAACTAATAATAACAACAATAATAATAATAAAATTAAAAATCGACGAAAACGATTGATAACAGTGATTGTCATTTGCGGTATTTTATTAATATTGTTTGCATTGAATTGTTTTTTATATAATTTTCTTAATTATCGCAAATGGAGTCCATTTACTACAGAATATTCTTTATATTCTTCGCCAACCAAAGCCATACTTTCCAATGATATTAGTCATCAGCAAACTGTTAGCCATAACTTATTCACAAACAATTTAGTCGATAATAATAATAATAATAATAATACAAAAAATAAGCAAAAGATAATCCTATTGTGGACGACATTCTTCGGTCAAACCAATTATGTTCAGTCATTATACGAATCGTCTAACTGTTTGACTAAAAAAAATTGTTTATTTACATCAAACCGAAGTTATCTCGTAGACAGCGATGCCGTTATTTTTCATTTGCGTGATCTGGATCTCAAAGATTGGCCACCAATTCGGACACCAAATCAACGGTACATTTTGTTGAATCAGGAATCGCCGGCAAATACGCCGAAAATATTGCACAAAATTGAAGGACTCATCAATTGGACGGCCACTTATCGATACGGTTCGGACATATTTTTGAATCCCATATTTAGACACCGATCAGAACCAAATCCAAGTTATAGAGGCGATGCTAATTATGCACAAAACAAGAGTCGAATGATCGTATGGATGGCCAGTAATTGTAGGACTGATAGCAATCGCGAGATGTATGTCGAAGAACTAAAGAAAACAGTTCCCGTAGATGTTTACGGCAAATGTGGTGACAAAGTTTGTTTGCCGAAAATGTCGCCAAAATGTTTGGACCAAATATCACGAAAATATCGATTTATTTTGGCCTTCGAGAACTCCATTTGTCGCGATTATATTACCGAAAAATATTTCGATACACTTCACTACGATATAATTCCCATAGTTTTCGGTGGATCTGATTATCGAAGTATTGCTCCACAGAAGACGTCCATCGATGCACTGTCCTATAGTTCGCCCCGACATTTGGCCAGATATTTGTTGTATTTAAGTAAAAATCCCAAACAGTATAACGAATATTTCAAATGGAAACGCGACTATGAGCTGACTGGACAACACTATAGTTGCCAAATATGCCAGAAGCTCAACGATCCGACCGAACCGGTCAAAGTGTGGGACAATCTGGAGCACTGGTGGTTCACCGAAGCCGAGTGTAGAAAATGGAGTCCAACGAAGAATTTTCGGTAAATTTAATTAGTAAAAGACTTTATAAAATCTTAATCACTTTCTTATTCATGTCCTTCAAATCATTTTATCCATCGATGGTTTCTCGATGGTTATCCCACTGCTGTCCAAAATCCTCATCCACTCTCCTCTAAACAAACATATCTTAAGATTTATATACACATAGAAACAAATGTATAATAGTTTGTAAAATATTTTTTTATATATAACAGTACCGGTAATATATATATATATATACGGCTAATGATATGATAATATAATTATTTTTACTGTAATTCAATTCAATATTCATATAAATGTTTCATAAATCAGTTTTACAGCAAAGTGTGATAAAAAATCCCATGTATTTCACTGTCAATCGTTTTATTTTTATTGTAAAATCAATACTACGGTAAATAAAAAAATTTATAACCAAAAAATATATTATAAATAAATTATTGTATTAAACAATTTTTTTTGATGTAAAGTTGTCTAATGAGATAATGATTATTATTATTATTATTATTATTATATCACTTAATAATGGTATGAAAATGCAGTTAAAATCATTTAGCAATAGGATTGGCGTGTATTGTGACGCCAGTAATGCGGGTGTCGTTCAGCGGCCGAAAGTTTTTCGTATTCACAGCCAGTTTCTCCAATTCGTCCAATGTTTCCATACCGTCGATGACTCTTTAAAAACATCAAAAATATAAGAAAATCAAAATCAATTTGAAGAAACATTCAGTTTATTGGACACAAAAACTAATTGTTTTGTCTGTTTGTGAAGACATACTTTCCGAAGATTGTATACTTCAGGTCGAGATGTGTCTGTTTGGCGTAAGTAATGAAAAACTGCGATCCATTAGTATTCGGGCCGTTGTTGGCCATCGAAACAGTGCCGCGGCTGTTGTGTCGGAGATCGTTGTGTATTTCGTCCTCAAACTTGTCGTCCCAAATACTTTGGCCGCCTTTGCCGGTACCGGTCGGGTCACCCGTTTGGACCATAAAGCCTTTGATGTTTCGGTGAAACAGACTATCATTATAGTAATCCGAAGCACATAAGGCCAAGAAGTTCTGCAAAAAAAAACAGTTTTTAAAGACACCGACAACAAGACAAATGATGGATCAAATATATAAACAACTGGTCATCAGCTCTGAAGATACAAACCTCACAAGTTTTTGGACACTTTTCGCAAAACAACTCTATCTTAATGTCGCCTAAATCGGTGTGAAGTGTGACAGACATGAAGACTGAAAGTAATAGTCAAGTAATGTCTGTTCAAGAAGTGGTCATTCAATCAATCAATCAATTGATACGGCATTTCATAATAACCACATAAAACACTTTACAAACAAATCAATCAAATACTACAGTACTCTATAATAATAATAACCCGTTTTTATTCATTACAAATATATTAATACAAATCTATTATCAAATTTAAGTCATCCCTCCGTCACGTTATATGTGAACAGTTAGTGTGATTCACATGTGTTGTCAAATATATGATAATAACAACTGTTTGTTATTATTATTATTATATGTTTTTTAAATAACAAATAAAATAATAAATATTTTGTGATTAATATTACAAACAATAATAATAAATAATTAAAAAAAACAATTGAAAACATTTTATTAATTAATTTTATGACAGTGACAGACAAAAACACAACAAAATGGACAAAACGGCGGCCGATAAGCGGCTGACAAAACGTTTTGCAGAGGAAAAGAGTCGACAACTGATTGGAAAACAAGACCTGAGTCTTAAGGGATCCATTGATGAGCCAATTGTTCCGTTGATTACAACACTGAACGACTGTCGGGTCTACTATACGACCAGTTCGTGTTCGGGACGGATAACCGTTTTGGCCGACAGTACCGTACAAAATGTTAAATCTAGTGCCAAATGGCTGTTCATATCACACGATTTGGTCCAATCGCAAGACATATTGGCGGCCATCCAAAGCCCTGCCGATTGTCCGCCATTTGGTTCATTCAAAGTCGAACCGTTTGTTTTGCACGTCTGTGCCGACGGTTTGCTGGCCGCCCGACAGCTGCTTGAAGTGGCCATCGCTTGCGGTTTTCGTAACTCTGGTCTAACAGTTAGCAAAAAACAGCGCTTTATTGTTGCCGTCCGTAACTGTCCGTCACTGGAAGTGCCCATCATTTGCGACAATCGTTTGATTGTCTCCGAAGACTATATCAAACACATTACAGACATCGCTAATGAAAAGTTGAGACAAAACTTTGCGAAAATCAATAAATTTTATTCATCTGTTAAGTCATTGTGTGATCAATTAAATAGTGATTATTAATTGTGGTATCGATTAATATATTTTATTTTGTTTTATATAACATTACGGTAATTATATATATATATAAGTTATAACATTATTATTATTATATCATATATTTTATTATTTTTATTGAATTAGTAGTGTTTTTTGAAAATATATAATTTATAAAATAATAATAAATAAATTTTGTTTTCAGTGTTTTATAAACAAAATATGAAATAAATTGTTTTTTAAATAAGAAATTATTTTTACAATTATTTTGTTATTATTATATATAATAATAATAATAATAAATAATAATAATAATAGCTATTAATTTACAGTTGAGTTTATTTTTTTTTAATTTATTATTTCGGTTGCAATGAATTGTTTGTCGTTTGGTTATTGTTTGGCCTATTATTTAGGTCTCCACCGCCGGCGGCGGCACCGGTATTATTGCACTGTTCGGCCACTAAAGCACTTAGTATTGTTGGATCCGTTTTGAAGCCTTTGATGAACTCTTCTTTACTAAGAACTCCGTCTTTATTCTGTAGATCCGAAAAAAACAAATGACAATAAAAAAACTTATTTTACTATTAATTATATAAATAATATTTTTAATTTTGATTTTTAAGATATATATATATATTTTAATTTAATTATATTGTCTTTGATTGTTGTCTATTACTTACGATATCCATTCTGTTGAAAATCTCTTGGACTTTAGAGTCTATATCAAGTCGTAGTCCTCGTCGTCGGAAAATAGCTTTAATCACATTTGCCATCTCATCGGTGGTAATATAACCATCTTCATCGATGTCGTAAATTGAGAAACACCCTAAACAAACAAAATAATAATAATACAATAATTACTATATTTTATAAATTATATTTTTGTTTATCTCTAAAATTATTATCTGTTTTATTATTATTATGCTTATCTCTAAATCCAATAATGTGTTTGAATATTAAATGAAATCCTAAAATCAATATATTAGGAAAGTTTGTCGAAATGTTATGAAATGACTTTTTTTTTGTTTTTGTTTGTTTGTTTGATGGTCTTCCCAAATGATATGATGATTCCCTGATTATTATTATTAGTATATTATATCAAATATCACTGTATATATAGTATTTTGATAACCTTTAGTTTTTACGATTTAATTGACCTTTCACTATACTGGCATTTAATTATATACTGTATATAAATATATATATATATATATATATATATATATATAAATAAGGTAATTTAGTTTTTGGATCACCATTATTTTTTAGATAAATATCAATTGTTAACATTTTAGTAATAAGGGCTGAAACCGAAAACCCTTACCCAGATTTATTTTTACCTTGATTAAATTGATTAAAAAAATTGATTATTGATTTTATTAACCGTGAACTTGTTTTTTAAAGTTATTTTAGTATAATATTAATTATTTTAAACATTACGAACTTCTAAATGTTTAAAAATAAATTTAAGTTACAAACAAAACAAAAATCAAAAAAGATATGTCTAATTAATTTAATTAAAAATTTTTCATTAATTAGATAAACATTTTTAATAAGTTAATGTCATTAGTGAATATTTTATAATATTATTTTAATAATATAATATATATAAAAGGGGTTTTCATTAATCTCCGGCACGCGGTTTTTGCTATAATTCTTAAACGGAGTGAGATATATTAATTTTGTAAAAAGTGTTTTAAAAAGTGATTTACGCGTGATAATATAAAATTAAAAATTTTTAATTTTGATCATGTGATCATATTTATTCTTGGATGTTTGCAAACCACTATGTCAGAATCTAACCTATAAATGTTAGAATAAATTTTCAATAGCATATTTGTAAAGCTTAAATTGAAAATTTATGGGAAGAAAAAATTTTTGAAATTGGTCGGAAAATAAATTTTTTATGGCTTTTCAAACATGTGGAAAAACACATTATAAGAAAAAGTAAAAAATAATATGACGTTATTTATGGACAGTAGACACTTATTAGATAAAGATTTTAATACTATTACTTATTCTAATAAAAAAATTTTTTTATGTCAAATATTTTTTTAGATAATCAAATTAAAATAAAAAACACAACATTGTAATTCGATAATATAATTTTTAATTAAATTTGATTATCTAAAAAAATATTCGACATAAAAAAATTTTGTTTTTAGAATAAGTTATAGTATTAAAATCTTTATCTAATAAGAGTCTACTGTCCATAAATAACGTCATATTATTTTTTACTTTTTCTTATAATGTGTTTTTCCACATGTTTGAAAAGCCATAAAAAATTTATTTTCCGACCAATTTCAAAAATTTTTTCTTCCCATAAATTTTCAATTTAAGCTTTACAAATATGCTATTGAAAATTTATTCTAACATTTATAGGTTAGATTCTGACATAGTGGTTTGCAAACATCCAAGAATAAATATGATCACATGATCAAAATTAAAAATTTTTAATTTTATATTATCACGCGTAAATCACTTTTTAAAACACTTTTTACAAAATTAATATATCTCACTCCGTTTAAGAATTATAGCAAAAACCGCGTGCCGGAGATTAATGAAAACCCCTTTTATATAAATGTGATAATTATATTTTATTTTCAATATTCACTCAACATGTTAATTATTAATTAATCAATATCAATTAGCACACATACAGTGCTTTATATTAATTTTATATATTAAAATTTTAAGCGTCACACACTAAGCTTTTAATAATAATGATATTTATTTTTTTTAAAAATTTAGTATCTAATTATATACTGAAAATAAAAATAATTTTTCAATTAACAAAATTATTTAAAATCGATTTGTTTTGTTATCTTATATTATAGAGGCTAATGTGTAGGTCAACTAATATAACAATATAAAGTGTATATACTATAGTTTAAAAATTGCTATTCAAACGATATAAAATATAATTTAGAAAATGTTTTTAATACTATACCATATGTTTAATATAACAAAATACCGTATATAATAAGCTTTAAAAAATGTAAAATTTTATATACAGTACACTAATAGAGTGTGTTATTCTGGCTAAAGTGTTAAATGCAATCAATAATTATTTTTGACATTTTGTTTAATATAATTGAATGCCATTTAATGTAGAATTTGGTTTATAAAATAAATTTATTTGTATACACTATATAAGTCATGTTATTTTTAGGATCAAAACATTTTGTTGATTACGCACTAATACAGTGTATATTAATATATTATTTAAAAAATAATATTTATATAATTACTATATTATATATAATTATTATATTCTACATAATTACTATAATATACATAAATACATTTTTATGTAAAAACATATCCATTTATATAATAGTGAATGAAATTAATTAAAAGGCTATTCAAAAACAGTAACATTTGATTGCATAAAATTTTTCATCACAAATGAACAAAAATTATATATATATATACATATATTTTTTAAAAACTAATTTTAATTAATAGTGACAAAAATTAAATATCAAATACTTTTGATATAAATGTATATAATTATTGAGTAAAAGTTTAACTAACAAAGAAACAAATAACACTAATTGAAAAATTTGACAAATAATTTGTTGATATAGATTTTGAACCATTCATTCATTTAGTGAGAGAGAGAGAGAGAGAGAGAGAGAGAGAGAGAGAGAGAGAGAGAGAGAGAGAGAGATGCAAACTATCAATTGAATGAATGAATGTTTCGTTCATTATTATCGTGTTTATACAGTATGTTAGTGTTGTTTTATATACATTATAACTGTTTGTATTTGACATTAAATACAATTAATTAGTAGTCCAGAAAAATTGCAAATCTTAGATAACACGCAAACACACACACACACACATACACACACAGACACACACACACACACACACACACACACACACACACACACACACACACACACACACACACACACACACACACACATACATACATACAGTAGACATATAGACATACTTACAAAACATTTCATTTTCTTGACTCATCATTAGTTTACTGTTAAACATTAAGACTGTTTTTCAATTGGGTTTCTGTATTTAATTTATATAAGTTTATTTCAAATTTTTTTTTATTGTACAGTATTTGTAAGCAATTATTATGCAATATAGTGTGTGTGTGTTGTGGCGCTAACATCTAAAACTCAAGTTTCAAAGATAAATAGATTTCTGTTAATTATATCATTAGACACTAGAAACTAAAAGAAAAAAAACTTAATTATTTTAAAATGTATTTTATTATGTTTGTAGAAGCAATGTGTCTAAAAAGATTGACTAGAAAATCATTATTACCACTGTATTTAAAACTTATAACAATTATTTACTTATCAATATATAGAATATATATTAAATTATACTTAGCCTTAACAGTACTAAACTATTAGTGTATTAACTTTATTATTATTAAATTAAAAATAAATAATAATAATTTATATAAAAAAGTTTTTAAAAAATACATAATTACTTACAATCAAGTTTTTCGTCTATATTTCCACGAGAAGGGATTGAAACTGCATTTATAAATTCAGCAAAACTAATGGATCCATCCTTTTTGTACATAAAATTTGTTGAAAAATAAACAAAAAAAAAACATTTTATATAAAAAACATAAAAGTTATTATAAAATTATATTAAATTTTAAAAAATATTATAAATCTAATTTATTTATTTTTTTTTTTGATAAAAAACAAGAAAAAAACAAAATTGAATTATTTTATTAATTTATCATTCATTCAAACATTTACTTGATTTGTATCAAATCGTTTGAACACATATTCAGCCAATTTGACAGTATTTCCGTCGGCCGGGAAAAAGTGTTCACCAAAGTTGTCCATAAATGTCTTTTTATCCATCTCTCCATTGGGACACTCGTGGATAAACTCGGAGTACCATTCCTTGAGCTGTTTGCTTGAAACTGTATGTATTTTGTTTTTTTTGTTGATAATTTAATTTTAAAAATAATTTTTAAAAATTTAATAACATTTAAAAATTAAATTTTGTTTTAAAAATATATATATTTGAATATAAATATGACTATAAATTTAAAACACATTACATACACGGTGTAGTGGACGCCAACTCTTTGAAGTTGACGCCATCGGAGTTGCCTTTTAGCTGAAAGTTACCCATAATTACCAAAAGCATACTCCGATTATTGCCACAAATATTAAGTCTACAATAAAAATATATATAAGATATTATACAAATATATACAATAAGATTAGCATTAGCTCTTAAATAGCATTATTTATTAGATTATTAATTTAAAATATATAGAATATATATTTAGTATATTTTTTAAAAAAATAGTTAACCCATAGTTTTCATATACGAAAATAAAGAGTTGTGTATATATTCTGTATATATGTTTGTTAGATATATCGATGTGTTTTTTGGATTCAATACAAAATAAATATATTGAAACAAAAAAGTTTTTTTTCTCTCTCTCTCTCTCTCGTTATTGCGGTGTTGAATGAAGTTTTGGTGAGTGAGTTACATATGAAAGTAACCATAACTACATTTACGGCCAAAATAACGTAAACCTTGAGTTTGGTGTGGTATTTGGTGTGTGTGTGTGTGTGTGTGTGTGTGTGTGTGTGTGTGTGTGTGTGTGGTATGTTTGGTATGATTTTTGGGCTACCATTCCCTTATACATTACGTGTACAGCATTTTTCATTACCATTTTCCAACTACTGTATAATACAGTATATAATGATAACAAGATATACAGTATGTATTTACAGTATGTGTACATCAATTTGCTAAAACATATATAACTTATGCAAAAATCTATTGTGAATAACATTTTGTTTTATTTTGTTGGTTATATACAGTGTATATTAAATGCATTCATGATTACAATAGGTTAATAAAAATGTGTGATTACTTTTTAAATTGTTTAATATAGCGTTTGCTGTGTTTGATATTTTAATGTTTTAATAATTATAATTACTGTGAAAACCGTAGACATACTGTAAATGTTGATATATATCTACAGTATATATATAATATTCATTGACATTCAAATTAATTCAAATTTATTTTATTTTTTATATTTCTCTGATATTAAAGCCCAGAATATTCTGTGGACGTCGCCGTTAAAATTTTTTTGTAGCAATTTATTTGTAATGTTTGCGCATATTTTTTATGTATAATATAAAATATACTATATTATTATTATTATTATTATTATTATTATTATTATTATTATTATTATTATTATTAAATTTATAATTTTATATGGTTTTTGTAAACACTTGATTTAAAATTCTTTTAGTTATAACATCAAAAAATATTGAAAAATTTTATAAAATATAAACCATTATATATAATTTAATATAATTAGCATTTTCAAACCATAAAAGTGTTTTAAACAAAAAAAAAATAACTGAATATTTTTTAAAATTTATAATGATTAGCAGTTAACAGAATATTCTAATGATTTTAGTTTTTTTTAATAATATGCTAATTAATAGAAATTTGTAATTTGTTATTATAATCAAATAGTTTTTCAAAAAAAGATATACAATTGTAATACTATAATACAATACAATACAAGTTGTTCACAGCTGGAGTTATATCCGACACTAATATCAATGTCGATGTCAAATGTAGTGTAATTGTTGTCGCAAAATGTAAATTTGAATTAATTGATGCAATATATATATATATAGTATATACTGTATTATAATAATATATAAATTTATATTAAACTTGGTTTGCTTTAGCACACCATTACATTTTGCAATTGAAATTTGTTTTATATATTTATTTTTTTAATCAATACACACTTTTAGTTTGCTAACTCAAGTGTATCATTAGTTTATTTGTAAAAAATCCAAAAACTATTTATTTTATTAAATAAATCAATTTTGGTGTTAGAGAAAATAAAATTGTTAAATTCAATTATTATTTATAATACTAGTAATAATAAAAATAATAATAATAATAATATACAATTGTTTATAATTTATATACAATTATATAATTAAATATGCTATATTATATATACTGTTTATAATACATATTTATTGACATTTCTATTAGCTTTAAATTAATTATTATTTTATTTTAACTATTTATTTTATACATTTATATTACATATATTTTCTATAAACTATTTCAATATAATATTCAATACTATACGATATTTTCTATACACTTTCTAATCAATTTGATTATTGATGTGAAGTAAAACAAAAAGAGTTTTATTTAATATATTTGCAAAAACAAAAAAATTATTTATTATCACGTAATAAATGCAACAAAAAATACTATCTATTATTATTATTATATATATATTCATATTTTTATCTACCATTAATATTTGGATTACCAACAAAACAAGTAAAATAAAATAAGTAAATATTGATTATGCACCGGTAGATAACATGTAATATAACAACAACAACAAACATACACACACTTAGTATTTTATTTGTCGAGTCAGGCACTTGTACTTTATTTTGGATAATATAACAGAATATACAGTACAGTATATATATATATATATATATATATATCTGTAAAAATGCAATTACTAATAATACTAGTGTTAAATAAATAAACAATAGTAGCATTTTAATATTATATCCATTAAAAAATGCCATCACCATCACTACAATACTGACTATTGCATATGTAATGATAAGATTGCCTATTATTGATAATCTTCATCTATAGATGCTCTAAGCTACCAATGTCTGTATGTTTGAGTGCAAATGACTACTTATCTAACTAACTGTCCAATACATACAAGAATAATAACTGTCAGATGTTGATAACACTTATATAGATATTATATAATACTGTTTATATATTTACCGGTATATAATTAATAAAATTTGTCTATTAATTACTAAAACTAGAACTAATGGTATTTACATTATATATGATAATATAAATGTGTAAATGAATAAATATTTGGTCACTAAACAAGTTTGTTTTATTTTGTTAAATAATGTTATTTTATTTTTTATTATTTTGAACTCATATTGATTTTTTTTGTATGCAAAACAGCTAATATATTATTAAAATTGCAATTAACTAACTTTAGGTACAACTGGATATTTGTATTAATATTTTTATATAGGATTTCTCTCTCTCTCTCTCTCTCTCTCTCTCTCGCACTCACTGTATTGTATGATACAAATATAAAAATAATTTCAAAAAAGAGATTATTATCATATAATACAATTTAATGGTATGGGCGACGATATAATATACATTGAAACAAATAATAATAATATTGTTATTTGAGTTGTAGAGTAGTTTCATTGAGTTGAGTTCACAAACACATAGAGTTTATATGGATTAACAATATAATGTAGTGAAGTACATAAGATTTTATGTTTTTTATATATATAAATATAATCTACTGTATAGTAGTTTTGTTATAATATTTATTTTACAAAAATTTTTTTTTAGATATATATATATATATTATAAATACTGTATATAAATATATTGTTGAGTACACTCTTTCACTCTATCAATAAGTTTTTTAAAGGAAAATAGAAATTACAAGTAATATATTGTATTAGTTTTCAACTACAAAAAAACAGTGTCAAACAAAAATGTCAAACCTATTGATGGCAAACCTATTGATGATCATAGAGAGAAAAACAATATTTTTTATTTTATTTTTGTATAATTTAATAAAATATATGGTTTTTTATTTTATTATTTTTTAAAGTAATATATTATATTTTTTATAAAAACAACAACAACAATAAAATATATATCAAAAAAGTGTTATATAAAGTATTAACTTATAAATCTATAATACAATGTGTTTTAGTATTTTTTTTTGTATATGAATTATATATATAATTTTATATATAAATTTATATACATTTATTCAGTGATGAACTCTAACATTCATTCAATTGTTGGGATAATCGATTGGACTGTATTATTATTATTATTATTAGTAGTAGTAGTAGTAGTAGTAGTAGTAGTAGTAATAGTAGTAGTATTATTGCTATTACTATAATCATATATATGCAACAAAAATATTTTGAAGCACTTTATTTGACATATCCCTGTATTAACTGCAACAATAACAACAACAAAAATTGGGTATAAAAATCTCGGATAATAATGTTATCTGGATATTATATGAAATTTATCATCATAATACAAAAATACATATATACAGTATATATATAATATATATAATAAAATAATTGTTTTGTTATTGATGATGACATTTATAATAAAGCTATTATTATTATTATTATTATTATTATTTGATGCCACAGTATTTTGTTGTTGATGTTGATGTAATGTCTTTATTAATATATATGATATACTTATTATAAGCATTTTTTAATTAAATTTTATTAATAATACTGTATTTTTATTATATAATTTATGAAAATCATAATATTTATTTTTTATTTATTTTTAAAATTTTTTATGTTGCATAGAAAAGTCTCGTTGAAAAATATAATTAAAAATATATTATTTTTGAGCATTAAGTATCACCAGAAAAAAACAAGTCGACTGTAAAATTTTTAATTAACATTTTTGTTCATAAAATTCAAAATTTATTGAAATTAAAAAATTATATGTTTTCTCCAGTAATTTTCTAAACATTTATTATTAATAACTAAATTTGAAAATAATACTATTAAACTATTTTTAACCTATAATTTGTTTATATAATACTATTACAATATTTTAATTTTATGTACAGTAGTATAATTAAATTAATTTTTTCATAAAAAAACTATTGAATGTTTGAAAAATGTTTTTTTTCTGTCTCTTAAAAGTTTATATAATAATAAAATGTTGTACAATATTAGTGAACCAATTTATTTTTCAAAAATAAAAAAACAACATTTTTAAAAACTTTTATTGCATAAACACTTTGAACAATAATAATAATAATAATAATAATAATAATAATAATAATATTAAAGTAGTTAATCATTTGAAATGTAAGTCACACAACACAAAAATTTCTAATAGTAATAGTCTTAAGATTTAGTGATTTATTATTGTGTTTTTTGTTGTTAATGTCACAAAGCTTTTCACAAAAATTGATTTTTTTCATAGACTTTACTCTTTTTTTTTGATTTTATTTATTACATGATTATGTTTATTTCACAACATATATAAATACAGTCTCTCTCTCTCTCTCTCTCTCTCTCTCACTCACTCACTCACTCACTCACTCACTCACTCACTCACTCTCTACTCATAATAAACAAGATATATTATAATTACACCCATTTAATGGTAGTTAATATAGTTGTTATTTGGAGGACTGGTATGATATTATAATACTAACTGATTAACCCATATATTTACATTATACAACATTAGTGTGTGTGTGTGTGTGTGTGTGTAACAAAATTAATAACATGTGAACTTAAATTAAGTAGTTTACTTAATTATTATATTATGAGGTTAATTCATTTAGTTGTTATAGAATATATATAAAGTATAAATTATAATATTGTATATATAAATTGTAATAAATTTTTATGGCTATTATTAGTAGTCAACAAAATTTGTATAATATTCTATACATATATCAGTTTATATATGACAAACATGTTTACTTATGATTATTTTATAAAATTTTTGGTTTTATACAGTAATACTGTATATATTTACTGTATTAAATTTAAATACACGTTTAAAACAATCAAAGAAATAATCTAAAATTCAATTATTTATTTACATAATAAAATCTTTGAAACTTTTATTTATATTTCATAAATTGAAACAATATGCTTATTAATATTATCATTTATAATATGTTGCAGTTTATTGTGCAACATAATAATATTAATATTATTATTATTATTAAGTACTATATTTGGTGCATACAGTAATATTCAATATATACAATTTATCATTGTTTAGTTTTATTATGTAACATAATGTCAGAATTATGTTAAATTATGGAAATATTTTTTGCAGACAAATAAAATAACACAAATGTATATAACTATTAAATATAAAATTCTATATACATTACTGTATATATTGAATATATTTTGTTTTGCAATACTAATATATGATATATACAGTATATGTATATATATTGGCAATTCATTTATCAAAATATAAAATAAATTCAATTAATTAACTTAAAGCTATTTGTCTGTCTATGAACTCCAGAAAAAACAATTATTTTTCATTGAGTATAAAATATTTATCAAATCATATAAATCTTTTTATAAAATCTTTTAGTATTTAAAAAATTAATTGAAAATGTCATTCAATAATGTTTTTTTCTTATTCTCTATTTTACATATAAATAAAAATAAAAATGATTGTGTGTTAAGAGAGAAATTCAATTGTAAAAAAAATCAGTTCAAATTATTTTCTAACTATACAATAGACAGATTTATTTGTCACTACAAATTATAACAAAATAAAAAAAAGTTTTTTATTTTGCAAAAAAATTTTTTAATATTAATAATCTCCTAAAAATTTTTATCTTAAATTCATCAACACTTAATTTATTTTAACTAATAATAATATTGTATTAACAAAAAAATATATACATTATATATATATATAATTAAAATTAAAAATTTTAACAATATATAAATTGTTATAAAAATATATACATACCTTTATAATTGTGTGATGTTTTTTTGTTGGTGTGTTTTTTTCTTTAACAATGATGACTACCAATAATAAAAAATATTAATCTTATAATACATTGTTTTTCGTATAAAACGAAAAAACAATGTTTTTTTAAAAAAAAAGTTTAGTATAATAGTAATAAAGTTTAAATTATATAACAGAGAATATACAGTATATATATATATATAACCAGAGAATATAATTCTTGAAAATATTATTTTATTTGAACAGAATATTCTTGAAGTCTTGAACCAGTCCTTTGAATACACCATTGAATTAATATATAGTCAGTGAGCTCTCCAGACAACAAATAACAATACTTTTGAAGAGATCAGTAATGATGAAGAAGAAGAGCTGGTCTCACAAATCAATAGACATGTGTAGACACTGCGGATCAAAGCATTGGATGCTCTCTCTCTCTCTCTCTCTCTCTCTCTCTCTCTCTCTCTCTCTTCAAGAATATTGATAAATCACTGGTTGATCGCCGGCTGACACCACCAGAGCAAAGGATAAGCCATCTGATGGACTACTTTTTGACAGAGAGTCTACACAAACCTCTTATGAAGACATTTGACAAGAGATGTCGTATTTGTCGAAATCTCTTGCAAAAGGAGTCCATTTGTTTGACAAACTTCAAGTGTGAAAATCTAAATGACTTTTTTGTGGGTATATCTGATCCCAGATTTTTTCCATCTGATTCCTGAAGACTAACAGTAACTACAAAAAAAATATGTCACTTCAATACCACGGAAGTCAATACACGTGTAGAGGAAATCAAATATTCAAAGACAAACACGTCTTCATATCGCGTATTATATATCAGTGTTCAAAATGTAATCATTTTAGTCAAACCATTGCTGAATCCGATGAACACTACAGTCGTGTCCATCATTCAGACAATGTCTGCGAGTCGTCGACCATTGCTATGGCTGTCCAATCAATTGCTACCACAAGTGGTGTGTCAGCGACGAAACCGAAACAGGCTTTGGACGAGATTATTGTCGAGAAGATCAAAATGGCCATCAATTTACAGAAAAATGTGGTCAAAGAAAACAAACACAAGACAAATACAAAGATTTCGAAACGACTGAACACTGAAGACACTAATAATAGATCCATTATTAGAGAGGAAATTGTCGACGAAATCAGTGTTCCAGACCTTTATGATGACAATCAACTTAAAGACTTTAATCAATTACCAAATCAAAAGTGTTTGAAGACATACAGCAAACAAAAACCAATTGAAGAAGATATCGGAAGCGATAAGAAACAAAAGGACGAAACTATCGATGAAGTGATTGTCTCGAATCTCGTTGAATGCAAATTCTGTGGCCAACACTTCAATTCAGTCGGTCTATCCATTCATCTGAATCTTCATCTGAATCCACACATCTGTAGCGTTCCGTTTTGTGAACAGATGTTTGCCACCGAAAAGCAGCTAAAGAATCATATATTCGATGTCCACGAAAGAGACAGATTGCGATCACCTCAAGGCTATCAATGCCCGTATTGTGACCGCAAATATGTCAACGAAAGAGATCTTAATATACATAGGTTTTTGTGACCATTTTTTGCTGTTGACATTCAATTCAATTGTTATTATTATTAATTTTTTGTGTCTTTTATTAATTGACAGCGAAGTACATACAAACCCGAAGACGTGTGACGTTTGCGGTAAAAGTAATTTCTCGTCGAAAGGACTTCTCAAACACAAGAAGACTCACAACAAGGAGTATAAGTATCGGTGTATTCCCTGTAATAAATCGTTTCCTTATTATTCAAAGTAAGTATTAATCCGGTAATTGTAAGAAAATTTTTTGAATTTTAATTACCGATAATAATAATAATAATTGAATTATTTGGTTATACCATCCAACCCGACGACACAACAAGTCTGATGACACACAAGCGGCTGCACACAAATCCATGGGTTTGCGACCACAACGGTTGCGGCAAAAAGTTTGCCTCAAAGGCTATACTGACTGCCCATTCAATAAAACACTCGACCGATAGGCCCTATCAGTGCGACTATCAGGGGTGTCATAAACGATTTAAACGCAAATCATATGTAATTATTATTATTATTTAATTAATTGATTGATTTAATTTTGATTGTTTTTTATTTGTTTGTTTAAATTGATCCCTAATTTATTGAGTAGATTGAGGGCCACAAAAATATAGCCCATTTGAATGTACGACCATTTGGCTGTCCAGACTGTGATAAGACATTCGGGTCAAAAGTTGACCTCCGAAATCATGTCCAGTCCAGACACACTGACAAACAATTGAAATTCATATGCGATTGGCCCGAATGTGACAAAAAATTTGCCTATAAAACTGAACTCAAACGTCATCATGATTTGCATACCGGTGTCCGACCATACGTTTGCGATGTCGGCGATTGTGATAAAAATTTTGCATCAATTCATCTGATGAATGCCCATAAAAAATCAACTCATCAATTGTCATCGTAATACTGTATTAACAACTATGACATACATAAGCATACAATTTATACAATATATAATATATATATACAATTATTCGTGGCTAATATTAGATAATTATTAATTTATATATATATTAATATACTTTTGAATATAATTAAACTGTTAAATAAATATATTTTTAGTAATTTTTAATAAAATAAATACTTTAATTCAAATGTACTCTTATAATCAAAGGAATAAAAAAAATAGTTATTTATAAATAAATAAATATCAAATCATAATATACCAGAGTAATAGTTATTAGTTTATTATTATTATTTTAGTTGTGATTTATATATTATAATAATTATTATTATTATTATAAAAGTAAAGTGATATTATTATTGTATTTATCATAAATTATTTGATGACATTTACATTACAATTTATTTTTGAACATTTTTATTAAGAATTATTATTATTATTACTGTATTACTGAATCTTAGTTTTGTTTGAGTTTTCAATTAAATGCCACATTTGGTTTGATTTATAAAAATGTATTATTATTTGTCACAATCGGTGCCCACCAGTCTATGACATTTATATTATACTTTCACTACAAATTTCTATACATTTTTTTGTATAACATATTTATTATACAGTATTATATAAATGTTATGACTTTCACATATAAACATGTATTTTCTACTGTACATTCAAATTATAGGATAGATTTGTGTGTTTTTTAAGTATTTTTTTGGGTGTCTAACACCACATAATGTAAAAAATGTTGGAAAATTACATAACATTATACATACTATTACTACAGTACTATGTGTTGGAAAATATATTGTTTGTTTTGAATTTATTTTCCTAAGTTTTGTTATATCATATATTTATTTAATTTTCAGTAGTAGTAGTAATAGTAGTCATAATTTTGTTGTAGTAGTAGTAATACTAGTAGTCATTTATTAAATGTAAATATTGATTTTTTTTATAAATGGTGAAATAAAATAAATAATGCTAATGTTTATAAATATATATAAATTTGTTTGATAACAACAAACAAAACGATTTTTGAATAAAGCTAATTTTCTTATTTCACAATTATTTATCAAAAAAAAAAAATATGATAATTTAATAATATTTTATTTGTTTGTTTGTTTGTTTAAAAAAAATATTATAAATTAAACAGTAATTGAAATTTATTAATGTGATTCTACTATAATATATTATACTAATAATATTTGTTTTAACAACAAAAAACATGTTTAAAGCTATTAAAACACTAACCTTAAGGATATTTTTACGGAAGTTTTTCAATGAAATAATTCAATGAAATAAAGTACAGTATATTAGTAGAAATTATTTCAAACATTAGACGCACAGTTATTTTATAAAACTACCGGTGCTTTTCTCTTAATTATAATAATATAATATTATTTTGGCAGAGGATGTCATTTTATGAGGGAGTGATTTGTTTTTAATATTATTATTATTCATAATATTTTTTTGGCAGTAAATGTTTTAATGTTAAATATTTGGTTTAAAAGAGACATTAGTGGTGGTGGTTGTTGTGATCTGTATGTATGTGTCTAATCAATTGACAGCAATTTATATATATTGTATATAAACAACAATTATTTGACATGAAATTGACAGCACGTTATCGATAATACTAATAATTATTTATATATATATTTAACGACATTTTCCTTAAATTAATAATTACTTTTTATAACCTAAAAAATAAAATAAAATGTTTGTCAATTTGAATATAATTCCTAAGCTATTGATAATAAAAATACTAATAATTATGGGAACAATTGGTATGCAATATATTCTGTGTTGCGATCGCAGGAACACAGGTATGCACTCCTGTTTACACGTCTATCTCGAACGTGACTTCTCGACCATTCAGGATCTGATCCACAAATCACCGACAGGTCATGTAGTGATAGATCAACGAGAATTCATTGAGTTTTGCCATCAATTGGATCAATTGAAACAGTGTTACGAAGAATATCTTCAGAAATGTGTGTCTTATGTTAACTTTGCTCATCTCAAACGTGTCGTCCATACTGTGGATTCAGTGTCCAACCAGTTGTGTTCAAATCAATCAAACGGTATGAAACATTTGATTGAAAACGGTTACTGTATTGAGGAAACTCGTAAAACAATTGATTGCCGCGAAAATCATTTGATTAGTAGTAGTAATAGTAAACCATATCTAAAGTGGCCGTTAGTTTTGGCCAAAATGTTACGCTTTGAAGTCGGAGCCGAAGCCTGTCAGCCGTTGATCATCTATAAGGACTGTTTGGCCGCACAGTTAGGTCGACGCTGTGAACCTCAAGCTCAAGGCTTCTGGAATAATACGGTTTCACTAATCATCAACCAGTGGTGCAATTCATCGCCAAATGATTTTAATTTTTTAAATATCTTATTAATTATAATTTGTTTTTTATTTGTCTATTTAGTCAAAGTAGATGTTCAATAGTTGTGCTAATAATTGTATATATAATTAAGATTAATATATTTTTTAAAAAAAAATAATGAATAAGGATTTAATATGTATCATATAAAATATTTTTATGTAAATATATATAAGTAATTAATAACTAATACAATAATGATAATATCATATTTCATAGTGTGATAATAAATTGTCTCAAATATCATCAACTAAGACACAAATACACTACAAAAATGACAGATTTTGTGATATTTTATTATTTATTGATTATTTTTATAATAATTAAAATTAGTTGCATCAATTTTGATAAATCAATTGTCACTATCGATATTATTAATTCATTAAATAAATCAAATAAATTGATTCAATTGACAAGTGTTGTCGACGACAATAATTTTCAGATAACTATATTGATGTCAAATTATACGCTAAATTTTAGCAAAAATGTCGAAATACTTGACAATGATTGTCTGGTTGGCGGCAATATCGTCATCAATGGCCAATACAGAGGAAATGCAATTTTGGTTATATGTGATGATTATAGTGATGATAATTATCATCAATTGGTAATATAAAAAATAAGATAATAAAATAGTAATTTATATAACTATTAATTTAGTATAAATTTTAATTTTTAAATATCATTTGAACCATTCAGAGTGGTATCTTTGAAATTGATTATGAATTATATTCAATTGACAAAACAAGTGTTTCAAATGTCAGTTTGTGGTCAACAAAAGCCAGACGACGCTCGAAGAGATCCAAAAAATGGTATGTCATCGACAAAGTAACTCAAGTAACGGATGAACCGAAATGTGGAAATCAAATTTCTGGTAAAAATTACATTTATTTATTTATTTTTGTTTAAAAAGTTATGCAAATTTTAGGCTAATTATTAAAAAAATAACATTTTGTTTGTTTGAAACATTTGAAGAGTTAGATTTGATGCTAAATCCTGTCTTCAGAAGTGAAATACCCGACGAACCGGACATTGATTTTGGCGAAGCATTTATCAAAGTAGCGGTTTATTTGGATCAATCATTGTTCAAATACCGGTTCCGATCCAATCTAAATCAGGCCAAACAGTTTGTTGTACTTCATATGGCATATCTTGAGAAACAGTTAAGACAACCGAATCTCATGCGACACATCCGTATTAATCTAGTTATCCGACACTTTGAAATTGCACCCTTCAATCAATTGAATACTAATATTAGACCTTATTTATGGGATTTATGTAAATGGGCTGAAATTAATGAGGAATCCAATGTCAATGTATTTTTTGCCGGGTGCTTAATATTATTAATTATTGTATTTTAATTAATTTATGTAATTAATTAATGTATTTATATATAGTTCAAATCAGTGGTGGGTAGAAAACAGCAGGTTTTCCAGCAGTGTATTAGGACTGGCCTACACCAAGAGGCTGTGCGATATATACAGTTGTATGATTGTTGAATCGGCTCACGGATACCAATCGATGCGTACACTGGTTCATGAATTTGGGCACAAGTATCTAAAAAAAAATATTTTTTAATCATTTTATTTATTTACCGGTAAGTTATTTCCAATTATTTTTGTTTGTTTGGATTTAAAAAAGTATGGGTGCCTATCATGACGGCGCTACAAATTATTCATCGGAAATGTGCGATAGAAATAGTTATATAATGTCGCCGACGGTCAGCGCCGGTAAAACCCGATGGTCTCCGTGTAGTATAAAAGCCATTAGATTGCATTTGATATCATTGGCACGCTATAAGTACTTTATCATTATTAATATTAATTAATATAAAAACAAACTTTGCAATTATTTTGATATATTTTTTTCATAAATTTGATGTCTAATTTATGTTTTAAACAAATCTGTTTAGCGATAATAGCATAGCATGTTTAGCTCTACAAGTGGCCGCAATCAGTCCAGATTTGGACATAACTAACAAATCGTTGAAATATCCCGGCCAGAAATGGACAGCTGACCAACAGTGCAAACTTATTTTCGGACCAAATTTTTCGGAAAACATGGACTCCGATAATGAGGTTTGTATTTTGTAATCTATTTATCACACAATTACCGGTAATTGCTTATAAGATCTTTAAAAAAATAATAATTTTTTTTATTTAAATAAATAATTTGCTAACTTTTTATTGATAATTAAATTGATTATTGTCTTAGAATGTATGTTTGAAACTCAAGTGTTCAAACAATTTCTTTACATTTTCAACAATCGGTGCTTTTGAGGGAACGACATGCGGTCCCAATAGGATATGCAATCAGGATATCTGTAAACGTTTTCTAATTGATCCAAATTAAATATATCAATTATATGGTTATCTCTTTGTTTTATTGATTTTATTATTATTATTATTATTATTATTATATAATTTTATTGCTAAAACTGGTGTTGTATAATTTTATATACCGGTATATAGCTTAGGTTCGGTAATTTAAATAATTTAGTTAATAATATAAATTAATGTATATATTTAAAATCATATTGTTTATTTTTTTATAAAAAAAAATGATATAAATTATTTTTATTATCTTGGATTTTCACATATCTCCATTAAAAATTTTTATTATTTTCGAGAAATAAATTATTTATATATATATATAAAATCTAAAAATTATATTTTAATATTTTAAATAATTACTGAAAATATAATAATAATAATCAGGATTGTATGGGATCATCACTATAAGAAAATTACAATTCATGGTAATTAATAAAATTAATTAATTAATTATTATGTTTTCTGTGATTTTTTTTCGTCTTTGACTTTCTTAATTTGAACGGCTTTTTGTTTAGCCTTTTCAACCAATTCTGTAAGTCTTCCCTCTTGAGCCAATGTCTTCAATATCTCCATAATTAGTGGCAAATAATTATGTTTGCGGCGAATGTTTTCTATCTATTAATATTTTATAAAAAAAATAATTAATTATACAATTATTACGACAACAACTACAACAAAAACTAAGTAATTAATTGACATTTACTTTATATCTTTTTAGTTTAGTCTCTTCTTCGGCAATCAACGACTTTAGTTGAGTGATCTCGATCTCAGCCGAATCGGTGTCCATTGAGTTTCCGTTTTCAATTTGCGACTGAAGTGTCTGTAATTGTTTTTCGTAAAGCATTTTCTTGTCGCTAATGATTGCCATCAAATTGAAATGTATCTCTCCTTCGGCGTACTTTTGCATACGTTTTTCGATGTGCGGTCGGGCCGTATCAATCCAATCGGTACCGTTGGGAATGTCACCCAACAGTATCGGTCCCGATTTGAGACCATCTAACTCGTACAGATGGCCATCGATGGGCAAATAGGATATAAAATGAAACACATCGTCATCTTTCTGTGCCTTTTGTACTTCAAATTCAAACATCTGTTGTCTGGCGAACGAATTGTGGACCTGTTTAATGATATCCGAGTTACTCAGTGCCAGGCCTTTCATTGTCGGATCAAAATTCTGGATAAACTCTTTCAGATCAGTCAGTGTTTGACCCAATTGGATGTCGTCGTGTTTGCAGTTCAACAATATATTGATGATGGCCTGAGTAGCGCAGGCATTGTTGATCACTTGTTTGGCAAAGAATATATTATCACTATCGACAACAGTTCCCTCCGGTTCGGTCGATGGCATCCATTTGAAGAGGAATATCAATCCGTGAATTGGTCTGTTAATTATATTAAACAAACAATTAGTTTATTGATTTGTCAATTAAATGGATCAATCAATTACTTTAAGTTAACAAAACAATCGGGACTTAATGAATACAATTCTTCCACTTGAACACCATTGACACCTTTGAAGAAGAATAATATGAAGAAGAAGTGGACAATAAAATTAAACAATTAATTTCTGTCTGAGTCATCAGTTTTATCATCAAATTATTATAATTACCAAAACCGCGGATCAATTCGGTAAAGACTCCCGGATCCGATTCAATGAGACACCAGTCGCCGGCGCTGTGATGATGTGGTTCAGCCATCAGTGTTGTCACTAAAATTGTCCGACAATTGAATCCAAATCTTTTTTGATGGAAATGTATGTATAAACTGATGTGTAATGTCTTCGCCAAACAATAGATGATTTGAAAATTAAATATAAACTGTTTTTCTGTAACGTTATATATGAATGACTCGTATTATTGATATTAATATTACTTTTATTTTGCATTAAATGTCAATAAATTTTTTAAATCACATGTGATTTCAATATTTTGAATGTGTTTTTTGAATAATAATTGAATTTAAAAAATCAATTGTTTGTTAATTATTTGATGTTTTATTACAATTGTTTGATTTAATTGTGATTAAAAAAAACTTTTTTTTTATTAATAGTTTATTAGTGATTAATAATAAATACAATCAAATACCAGCAATGAGTTGGAAATTAAAGGTATGTTTCAAACAAACAAAAATATTTTTATTTTTCATATATTTTTTTTAATTCAAAAAAAAATTATCACATTTTTAATTATTCATATTTTTTTGTTGGAAATTAATTATTTGTCTAAACAAATATCAAAAAAAAAAATAATAATTTCAAATTCAATTTAATTGTTTCGTAAATTATTGATATATTATTTATTTGATTGAATTGATGATAAAATTGAAACTGACAATTGAATATTGACATCAATTAATATCATAAATCATATTTATTTTTTTAAAATAAAAAAAACTTAATATCAATATAACAATACATTTGTTTTAACGCATCGATTAATTTAAATAATAATAATAACTTTATTGAATGAAAAACTTTTAAATAATAATAATAATATTAAATAGTTATTGTTTTTTATGACTTAAATCTAAATAATTTTTTGTTGTTTGTAAAAACTTGCGATTGATTTGATAGTTACGATAAATTAAAGATAAGTTTAATAACTATAATATAATTTGTTGGTATAAAATAATGAAATTATTATTTTATTTTAGTTTCTATTAATATACATGTAAAACATTAGTTGAGTTTTACGGCAATTGTTTATTAGGCGCACCAATACATTAAAAAACTCATTGTATTTTAAAATTATTATTTTATTTAATTATGAATTTGTTATACATTTGTAGTTAATATGTTGCAGTCGTAAGCACTGGCATATCAAAGCATAAAAGGTATGGTCAGTGCTATCCCTTATATAGGGATTTAAGTCAATAGATTGACCCTTAAAATAGTCGGCAGTTATTTGAAAAGTAATAAAGTTATAGAAAGTAAAATATTTTCTATTATTGGCAAAAATGTTAAATTTATGTCTATTTGTTAATTAAATTATTACTTATTTTCTGTGAAATATTTCTATATATAAGTTATCATTAAATATAAAGTAGATATACTTTACATACATTTAATTATATAATTTATAACAAATAAATTTATAATTATTAACTTTAAAAAAAATTGTTAATAATTTTATATGTAAAATAATTAAAATATTTTATTATAAATAATATAATCTAAAATATTTGTATAATTTAAAAACAAATATTAATTTAAATATTAAGTGAAACTTATTTATGATAAATGGGAAAATATATAAACAAAAAAATTGTTTATTAAATAACTGTTATTTAAATAAATAGTTTTTTAGCAATTTTTTTGTGTATCACTCAATAGATCCGGTTTTTATCTGTCCATTAGTTGTTCCTATGGTTTAGAGAGGGTATGAATTGATTGAATAATTGGTGCAAAACTATTGACAGAAAGCACTGAAGACTTACCTCTTGGGGAGGGATTTGTTGTTCAGGAGTTGACACTTGGGTTCAGTTGTTGTTGTTATTGTTGACGATGTGGTGTATCTTTTGAAAGAAATAAAAAACTAAAAATTATCACTCAATTGAATCCATTAATTTTATACCAGATTTTTTTCTCAAGTTATATGAAACTGTTTTTATGTTTTATTTATTTAATTTTTTTTAGTTAAATAGTTTTCTGAAATTTTGTTGTTATTTTTATTAATTGATGTTATAAATAGTTAATATATTTTTTGGGACACAAAATAATTTTTGTGAAATGATTTGCAAATATATTGAGTGATTGATTTGAGTTTTTTTTGTGTGACGAGGAAGTGATTGATATCGACAACAATTATTAAATGTATTTTTAATTAAATTATTAAAATATATGATATTATTAAAAATAATTATCATATGTATGTATGAATTGAAAATAAATGTCTAAATCAATGGCAAAAGGCAGGCGAGTATTTGTGGTGGGGGTGGGAATGACCCGATTTGTTAGGCCCGGTGCCAACAAATTGTTAGACTATCCGCAAATGGTCAACGAAGCGGTCAACAGTGCACTCGACGATTGCCGACTAAAATACTCGGACATTGAATTTGCTGCCGTCGGCTATGTGTTCGGTGACTCAACCAGTGGCCAGAAGGCACTGTACGAAATCGGTATGACTGGCATTCCCATTGTTAACGTCAATAATAACTGTTCGACTGGTTCGTCGGCACTGTATTTGGCCAAAAATATGATCGCCGGTGGTCTACATGACTGCACTATAGCCGTCGGCTTTGAAAAGATGGAAAGAGGAGCTCTGTCTTCAAAATATAAGGATCGTATGAATCCAATGCAAAGTCATGTTAACCTACATTACGAGTTGTACGGCATAGAGGCGGCGCCCATCACTGCCCAGATGTTTGGTGAGGCCGGTAAAGAGCATATGAATCGGTACGGCACACGACCCGAACATTTTGCTAAGATTGCCGTCAAAAATCATAAACATTCAGTAAATAATCCCAACTCACAGTTTCGTGAAGAACATACACTACAGGAGGTATTGGATTCGCCAAAAGTCTATGACTTTCTTACTCGATATCAGTGTTGTCCGACTTCGGACGGTTCGGCCGCTGCTATACTGGCTTCTGAGGATTTTGTCAGACGAAACAATCTGATGGATCAGGCGGTCGAGATATTGTCGATGCAAATGTTGACCGATACGCCGTCCACTTTCGATGACAAATCGGCCATTAAACTGATCGGTTTCGATATGACCAGACTGGCTGCCGAAAAAGCGTTTGCCGAATCTGGTGTCACACCCGACGACATCAATGTTGTTGAACTACACGATTGTTTTTCGGCTAACGAACTGATTACTTATGAAGCACTCGGTTTGTGTCCGATAGGAAAGGGCAAGGATTTGGTGGACAACAATCAGAATACTTATGGAGGAAAATATGTGATTAACCCGAGCGGTCAGTTATCTCATACAGAGTTAATTCAGGTGTTCAACTGATCTAATGGTTATAATGTTTATAATATTAAAAAACAGGTGGTTTACTAAGCAAAGGTCATCCATTGGGTGCTACAGGTTTAGCACAGTGTACGGAACTAAGCTGGCAATTAAGGAATATGGCCGGTGCCCGGCAAGTGCCCGGAGCCAAGTTAGCACTACAGCACAATATAGGTCTCGGCGGAGCCGTAGTTGTGGCCATTTATAGGCTGGGATTTGCGCCAAATAATAATAAAGCAATTGTTTCTAAACTTTAAACTTATTGGCAAAATATAGTTTACAAAAAAATAACAACATTTAAATTGTTTAATATTTGATATCAATTGTTTTTTTTAGACATATTTCGATATGAATTATCGAAATTATTTATTTAAAAACTCTATATTAGAATTTTAGTAGATTAGTTGTTAAATTTTTATCAATTTTTTATTAAATCTAATTTAAAATTGTTTTTTAATATAATGTTATATTTTTTACATATGGATAATCTGATTATATTTTATTTAAAAACTATTTAAACTATAATTAATTTTAGCGTATTTAAATAAATTTTAATAAAATCTTTTAATATAATTAGTAATGTATAATATATTATATTTTTGGGGAATTTTATGTTATTATTATTTTGTTGAAAATTTATTCAATTTAATTGACTAAAAATGAATATAATATTTATCAATATTTTTTTTGACAAATTGATAATTATTATTATTGGGAATTGTGTGTACTTTATACTGCTTTTTTTAAAGTAAAAAAGTGTGTCAACAATTTTTTTGTGTATAGATATAATAGTTATAAATGAGTTGATTAACAAAAATAAAATACTGTATATCACTATTAAACTATTAATAGTGGTTTTAATGGATTTATTGTATATTTTAGGTGCAAAAACTTATTGTTTTGTTTGGTGTGAAATTTATTTGTTTTTTTAAAAAAAAGATTATTGTTTTCACTTAAATTATATTAAGATTTTATTTCCTCTACTATTGTATTATTATTATATTGAAACAAAAATAAGATTTTAGACAATATTTGATATATACAGTAGGCTTAGTGTCTATTGTATAGTATTTTATATAATACCTTTATATACACTACTGTACAGGTATTTTACTTAAACAAAAAAGTTATAAAAATAATTTATTATAGAAATAAAGTCATTATTTGACACGATTTTTGACATATCATTTAAATCATTACAAATTTATTACTAAATTATTGTAAAAATTAAAAACAAAAATAATAATAAATTTAAATATATATGTATTTATCTGTATATTTAGAAAACATATCGCGAAACGATTGACAAATTAGAAACAAACAAATCAAATGAGTTTGACTTTGAAAAGGCCAGACATGAGGTCTTCAAGTTTGGTATTTCCGGTTTAAGTCATACCGATAAACGAGAGGCCAAAATAGCTCACGCCATAAGTCTCGGTGCCGTTGTATGTATGGTCACAATTGATCACAATTACCGTTAAATTAAATATTTTATTGTTTTTTTTATATAAATCAAATATTAAGGCACGAAAAGGCAAAAACAAGAACTATAAGCAATTGACAGAAGAAAGAAAAGCAGAGAAACGTAAACAAAATGAAGACAAAGAGCAGCAAAGCACACAAATGTCACACAAGACAAGCATTTATAAGTGAGAGACCATCCATAGAGATCCATATCATTTGATCCAATAATCTTTGATAATATTAAATTTGTTGTTTTTTTTTATCTAAATGTCTTAATTTCCAGGAAAAAGAAATTGAAATCAACTAAAAATCCAAATGATGTAAAAGGTTTTGACTATCAGATCGGAAAATACAGAAATGGCGTCCAATTTGTGGATAAAAAGCAAATCAAGTCATCGCGTCGTAAAAAATGATAATTTTTTGTTTTGTTTTATTATTATAAGTATTTTTTGTTTATTTAAAAATAAAATAAATTGATTTCTAAAAATTAGTCTTCGACTTAAACCTGTCCAACACATTGAGAGACTTTTGATTACCAGTGTCTTCATTATCTTGTTTGTTGTCATCACTTGTTTTTTGTCTAACAATATCTCTAACTTTTTGTTGTCTCTCGGATTCATTTAATCCTTTCTTAATTTTTTCTTTCTTCGCAGTCTTTTGTCTTCGTTTTCTTGGTTTCGATTCGAATTCAATATCTTTCGGTTTAACATATTTAACATCTTTCTTGTCTTCCATCTGTTTCTTCAGCGATTCCTTGTCCACTTGACCCAAGATGTTAGGCTCTAATGATATCAATTCAGACGGTATCTTCTCCAGCAATGCCTTTACTTCCATTTCCTTGCGTTGCGATGAAGTCATGTAAGGATTGGCTTCGAGTGCATCGAAATTTGGTTCACCCGAACCAGGAATTATCAGAGAAGTAAACCCATCTTTATGTCCGACACCGAGAATGTCTTCAAAATTACAGAACTCCAGATCGGATACGTGAGCAGCAAATCGGTGTCTCATATAGGGAGCAGTTGGAAGTGTTTGTCTGAAACAGTTGTTATAAACTTCGACAACATCGCCAACAGAAACGCCAACAAATCCTCGTTGACTTACATCGAGATTTGATGGCATTGATCGCAAGCGAAACGAATTCAAACATTTAAAGTTTCTGATGTCCCAGACTTTCATTGTCCGATCGACACCAGCACTGACCATATATTGTCCCTCGCAGTCGAAAGCAATGTCCCGAATAGCTGATCCGTGGCATAACATTGATACGACTTTTTCCTTTTGATTCGGTGACCACATATCAACGGTTCCGTTTGGATGTGCAGTGGCAACGATAGCGTTATACGGATTGTGTTTTACGGCTGTTACGCGCGGTATCTTCATCTTTGTCGATGCGACCATTTGGCCGGTTGAAACGTCCAGCCATGAGATAAAACCGTTGTCCGAAACGGACACAAGTAGAAAGTGATAGTGAAGATAGTCTAGTTTGTAGACTCGATACATCTTTTTGATGCAATGTATTTGTGTGCCGCGATTGTCGTAGATGTGGACCCAATCTTTTTGGGCGACAGCAAACAGCGTCGGCATATGCAGCCAATGGACGTCGTGAACGGACTCCTGGACATTGAATTCACACATCAATTCTTTGGTAATCCAATCAATGGCCGCAACGTGACCTCTTTGACCACCAAGTAGCAATTGGCGACCATTTCGGTAATAATTTATAAAATAATGTCCCAATTGGTCCAAATTCAAGTCAAAGTGTTTGGTGGCACTCGTTATGTCTATAGAGTCGACAATTTCTCGTTGTGTAATCTGATACGTCTCTTCATTATCATCGGCCTCTAAATAGCCGCTCGTTTCGGGTAACAAAAGTTCAGATCTCGCGGCAAAACCGATACTATTTTGACGTTTTTCTTCTTCATTTCGAATTCTTTTTCGATGTTTTTGGTATTTTGTGGCCAAACGCTGAACAAAGAAAGAGATAATCATTAATGAAAAAACAAAATATAAGATCTAATTAATAGATAATATTAATTACTGAATTGACGCGACTTTTTCGCTCGTATTTCATCAGTTTATCTTTGCCGACAAACCTATTGTTGGCGAACACACTCTGGACTCGCTTCTGAGGGTCTTTCCATTCGTTGACAACCTTATTATTATTCTTCTTCTTCATTGACCTCTTGAGATCATCATTACCACCGTCGCCGCCACCGCTGATCTCATCCGCCAAAGTCGTCATCGATTCATTCATCATCAATGCATTGACATCAATACCATCGGCGCCTACTTTGTCGACAAAGTAACGCATAGTCTTCTTCTGTTTCGTTGAATCCATTAGTCGTCTTCAATATCTCTCCGATGGATGTCTTTGTCAATCAATTTGTCAAACAAAATGTTTTTTGTATTTAATTTAATAATAATTTTCTATTTATTTTAAACACATGTTTATTGCATTTTATATTAGTGGAAGTCATTACACACACAAATAATGTTACACAATATGTACAGCCATTATGGCCCCCAATAAAGTGTAACCACTGTCTGTATGTAATAAACTACAGTATTGACTGATTGTTTGTCTATGAATAACATAACAGCATATATGAATGACTCATAATCCACATGTATTTAAACAGTATTTATGTTTACAAAACACTTAATGTTTGAGTGATTTGGCACTCATTTGTTGATATTATTATCAATTAATTTGTTGGATCAGTTCATATCCATCAATCAATTAACAGGTGATAACAACATAACAACAATCATGACATCGATGTTAGAGTCAGTGTATGGCATACCCTATGCTCTGCTATCGGTTCCCAATCTGAAACTAAAGAAGCCGTCGTGGATCAAACAGCCGTCACCGATGGTTGTCTATTCGTTTGTTTTGGTTTCATATTTTCTGGTCTGCGGCGGTAAGTGCTTCGGCTGCGGCTATCAATTATATCTTCAAAAATTTGATGAACCAATTGGTTGCCAATCATAACTTATTTTTTAAAAAACTTTTTGTATCCTATTTTACAATTATTAGGCATTATCTATGATGTTATTGTCGAACCGCCGTCCATCGGATCAACAGTCGATGAATCGGGTCATTCACGGCCCGTGGCATTCATGCCATACCGGGTAAACGGTCAGTACATTATGGAAGGACTGGCCTCAAGTCTGTTGTTCACAATGGGTGGTCTCGGGTTTGTCATATTAGACAATACACACAATCCGATTACACCGAAACTGAACCGTATTTTATTGATATCGATTGGATTCATATTAATCATTGTCTCGTTTCTGACCACTTGGGTCTTCATGAGGATGAAGTTGCCGTAAGTGTGCCATAACTTTAACACCGAAATTGATTAATGATTTATTAATTTTTTCTTATTTGTTTTTTTCAGTGGATATTTGCTTTAAAATTATCGATATTTTTTTAATTAAAATTTTTTTTTGTTGGTCGGCGATAGCTTTAAATGTTTTGTTTTATTTTTTTTTTTTTTTTGTAATAACTAGTTATTTATGTAAATTTTTCTAAATAAAACATTTTTAAAATACTAATAATTTTTGTATAACTTATTTGAATTGATTTTTAAAAAAAAATAAATAAAATTATTTATCTAATAAATGTAAAGTGTATAGATATTTATAATTAAAAAAACATGATAGATTTAGATATCCAATAAAAACTGACTACAAATATACCCGGATATGTTTATTCAAAAAATATACAGGTATACTTTAAATTATTTATTAAAATTGTTTTTTTTGTTAATATTTAATAATTTTTAAAACTTAATTAATCCTAACTTATATATTATTTTTAGTTTACGGTAAAACTTTTTTGAACACATATAGTGTTATAATGTCTATATAACCGATAATATTCCTAAACTTTAAAACATTGGTTAGTTGTTTAACTACAAGTGCTACTTAAGTGTTAACTTATAGTGGATTTAGTAGATTAGTCAAAACACCTAATAAATTGCCATAAAAATGTTGTGTATTTAAAAACAAACAAAAAAAAAGTTTATCCATTATTTATTTTTTGAAAGTACCGGTAGTATAAAAATTACTCCCAAAAAAAAGTTTTCTATAATCATTTAACTAAAAAAAATTGGTTATTATTAACTATTGAACAGAAAAAATTACAACTAATTATAAACCAGTTATCAAACAATGCAATAATCGGTTAAATCAATCAATTAATTATATATAATTGATTGTAACAATTGATTGTCAAAAATATAAAATACAATTTTTTTTGAAAAAAATACAAATTAAATGACTGATCACATGATCGACTGTAATGTCCAACCAATAGTATTGTGTCGACTATTGGTATCGATATGTATGGTATGAATTGGCTGTTTAGTCGACTGTTTATACGCCCTGACTGTTCAGTCAGACTAGTTGTCTGGGGGTAGGAAAGCAGTGCTCACTAGTGAGCACTGGGTTTTAGATAACTGGCCCGATATTAGCCGTAATTTGGTCGGGGATATCATGTCTTAAGTACTATATTGGACATTACTGGCCTAACTGTATGCCTAAACCGACCGATAGTGACCAAACTAAGTGACCAAAAAAACCATTGGAAATGTCGACATAATGGCTAAACCACGTGACTATGTATTTAACCCAATGAGCGCCGGTATGTTTGTATGAGCTGTTATGTTCACCGGTAGTGTTGTTGTTCACTGTGTGTATGTGTGAGTCAGTGCACTGTTTTTGTGACTCCATATTGTTTATAATGTCTGTCTAACTGAGCCATCAATACAACTATATATACTGTATATTATAAATGAGAGCCCAATAGCCCTCTACTAAAACCCATAGCATAGGCATAGCATAGCATTGGTTATGTATAGAGAGTATATGTATTGTTGGTTGTGTTGAATGTGATGACAATTTTGTGCTGAATTTACTAATAATAATAATATGTGTTTTAGCTGTCAGTCAATCATTGCCAGCCATTTAACGGCTCGACTACTTCATCATTAAGAGGTCTAACCATTTGATTTGATTAGTTATATGATATATATATAAACCCCGATCCGATCTAAACCAGTGGTGTAGTGTAGTCGGTGACCATATATACTACAACCACCAGTCCTCATACAAACACACAGTGACTCACTTCAAGGCCAGCCATTATTGTTGTTGTCCTCACAGTACATACACACTCACTAACAGACACCCGACGGCAAGTGGACGGGCCTAATGATCGCCGACAAAATGATTAGTAATACCTAAAAAATCGATTGATTGATATGATTAACACATATATCTCTATAATGATATGATATGAATACCTAATTGATATCACACTATATTCTTATATATGATATAATCACATGTTATTTGAGTGCACACACAACACAACTATCTGCCGGCTCTGTCCTCTTAATTATAATCTCATAACTGGCCATTTGATTGACCATCTATTTAGTAGATGAATATAGTTTGACAATTGGCTAACAATTAGGGGTTTATTAACCGATAGTTTGCTCGGCATTGCATCAGATTTGAGGCCAATTTACAGACAGATAGATAAATCAATTTACTTTTGTAAACTAATAGCTAATAATATATATTTATTGATATTTTTTATTATATGTAAATTGTATGCAAAAAGTTATTTTAATGATTAAAAAAATTGAATTATTGATTTTGAATTTTTTTTTGATTTAATTATTATCCATTGAAAAAAACGTTGCTATACGTTATATACACTTTAAAATGCACTAATAGAGGGCAGTCCATGTTTATGGGCGCCAATACATGAATGGCACACTCCTATCTGTGTGTATGTATGTGTGTGTGTGTGTGTGCCATACATACATGTGCTCAATATATCGACTAATAACCTCTAATATTGCCTATTGTTTTTCACATTGTTTTACACACCATTTTTTCTATATATATATCATAAACTAATTTATTTATTTTTGAAACAAAAAACACATTTAAATCACAAAAATTTACATATATTATTAGTTTTTAATAGTTTATTAGTAATATACATAATTATCATATATATATTTATACACCCTTTTATCAAAGACATTGTGTTTAATACTGTTTGGGATCAGTTAAAGACATTAAATGACTTCTTTTAAAAAAAGTGAGACAACAATAGTGATGGTGTTTGGCATTGATTTGAAATAATTACTTAAATATGTATTTTATTTTTAAAATATGATTTTTTTTTGCTTACAGACACCTATTGAATGTGTGATAAACTCTGATCGCTTGTCTGTCTGTATGTATGTATGCCATCAGTGATTGTCGGTTTAAGTCAATAGAGACACTATTGAATCGTTTCAATGGAGGCCGGGTATGAATTTGACAAAAAAAAGTGATCACTCAAATGTGTTTGCTTTACTAACTGTCATATAAATATGACCAAAAGGATGGGCGGACCACAAGAGTCGTCGGCGCAAAACATTGTCAAAGGCTTTGTATCGGCGCCTAATCTAGCGATGAATGCACCGACCGTACCGATGATTGGCACTCAACAGCAATCCCAACAACAACAACCAAACAGTTTTAATTCTCAACAAAAAGATATGATGTCTGTGTCAGTGAAATCGGAACCCGATGTCGATTCGCCGGTTTTAGAGCCGGTCAATGGTATGGTTCAGCCGCCATTCATTCCCGGACCAAACAAAAAGCGCCGAAATACTAATAAACTACAGTTCCTGTTGAAAGTGGTAATGAAATCAGTCTGGAAGCACCACTACGCCTGGCCATTCCATACACCAGTCGACTCTATCAAACTAAGACTACCAGACTATTATAAGATTATTACCAAACCGATGGATTTGGGAACAGTTAAGAAACGATTGGAAAACTATTGGTACTATTCAGCTGATGAATGTATCGATGATATTAATCAGATGTTTGCCAATTGTTATCATTATAACAAACCCGGCGAAGATGTTGTCCTAATGGCTCAGTCCGTCGAAAGGGATTTCAAACAAAGATTACAGAATATACCCGTCGAAGAAACAGAAATACCTATGCCTTCAGTTAAGAATGCAAAGGGAAAGAAAGGCAAAGGAAAGGGTGGTCCCCGAGGCAGAGGTATGACTACTACTACTACTACTATCATATGTTTTTCACTAACAGTTATACAATATATATATATTTATTTATAAATATATTAATACTTGGTTTCAACAAATCATATGTTTTTTATTATGATTTGTTGATAAAATATCTTATTATTATTGATTTAGTTATATATATATATATAACATATGATAGATAAGAGGTGTGAATATGTGACACAATAATAGTGTTTCGGATATTATTGTACAATATATTTGGGGGAAAACCCACTATTAGTTAGTCAATAGATTACATAATCATAGGTCAAACCCCTCCCCCTCTCTATGTTATGAATACTCTAATACTAAGTGTATTAGTGAACTGTTGACTAACAAATAGTTTTAGACTAATAGCGCCATAATATTGGATAATAGAGTGAAATATAAACAAAAAAATTTGATTAAAATTTATATATAAATGAATTACACAATTGTTTTCCATATATATATATATTAAGAAAAACTAATTGGTTTTTGCAAATCCCCTGTTTTTTTTGCGACCCGTTTTTGACCTGACTATAGGCGCCGCTTCATTTCAAGCGACCCGAAGTAATATAAATGCATCACAAGCGGGTGCTTCCGCTGCCCCGCCATTAGCTGTACAGCAGCCTCAGCCACCACTACCACCACCAACAGTGTCATCAGTTTTGCAGAACTCTGTGGGTGCGCCCAAACAGCCGGTGATAAATACGCCGGCCATCGGCCACCAGACTAGTGTCACAAATTCAGGTTCAGTGTCCGTCCCAATGCATACGAGTTCACCCATTATTAATACGACTTCAATCAACAAACTTATGCCCATATCTACCATCTCTAATACGACTTCAACCCATACAGCCGGTGGTGGTCCTCATCAGCGCGGATTTGTCGACGGAATGACACCCATAACATCACTTCCGACGGCAACCGTTCCACCCATTCCTCAGCAGACAACAAGTTCACCTAACATTCAAAACACATCATTCAGAAACAGTGGACCCTCTGTTATGCCGGCCATTCATTCGTCCGGTCCGTCGAAACCTAAAAAAGGAGTCAAACGAAAAGCAGACACAACAACACCATTAGACTCAAGTATATCATCCGCTTATAATATACAGGTTAGCGAACCAAAGCCATCAAAGATGTCAACTCGTCGAGAGAGTGGTCGACCAATAAAGAAACCCTCAAAAGACTTACCCGACACCGCACAACACGTATCGAAACCGAAAAAAGGAAAAATGACCGAAAAGATGAAATATTGTAGCGCTATATTGAAGGAGTTGTTTGCCAAAAAACATGCCGGCTATGCCTGGCCTTTCTATAAGCCCGTCGACACTGAATTACTTCAACTCCATGATTATCACGAGATTATTAAGAATCCAATGGATTTGGGAACAGCAAAGGTATTATTGAATTATATTAATAGTTATGATTTATTTAACTTTTTTTAATTTTATTTATTTAGTTAAAAATGGATAATAGAGAATACCGACGACCAGAAGAGTTTGCAGCTGATGTTCGGTTAATATTTACCAATTGCTATAAGTATAACCCTCCGGACCATGAAGTGGTAGCCATGGCTAGAAAATTACAGGTGCGTCCAAATGTTTTGGTAGTTTTTTTTAAGATGTGGTGGTGATGGTGATGATGGACCCTCTGCTGGGCAGGAATGCATTGTTTCAATCAAAAATGCAATTCTAATAATCAGTTGAGGGAATAATAAACGGCTTAATTAATCGCAGAATCTCGTTGTTAATGGAGTGTCTGTTTCATGCTTTTGCAACAAATTTTGTTTTTTAAAAAATGAAAATTAATTCAATTTAATTATAATATTATTATTAATTATAATTATTGATGTTATTTAGGATGTATTCGAAATGCGATTGGCAAAGATGCCCGACGAACTTGGCCTCGGATCCGGTGGATCGGACAGCAGTGATAGCAGTTCCAGTGGAAGCTCTACTCCAAGCTCATCGAGTAGTGAAAGTGATAGTGAACACGAAAGAACCGAAAAAATAAAGTTATTAGAGGAACAGCTGAAGAAGATGACGGAACAGATTGCGTTCTTAGCTCAAGAGGGTATAAATAAAAAGTCGTCGAAAAAGAAACGAAAGGAAAAGAAACCGAAAACCAAGTCTAAGAAAGATAAAGACGACAATAAAGTTGAGGTCAAAAAAGAGAAGGAAGACTTTGTCGATGGCTCTTCACTGATTGCCGGAAGCAATATACCACTTATCGGTAATTCGGGTCCAAATGCCGGCTCCACTACTAATATCGGCCCAAACAATGAAATTAACACAAATATACCAATAGGTAAGCCCTCGCGTGGGGCCAATAAAGTCTTGCCCGGCGCTGCATCTAAAGGCCAGAATTCCCAAAACAAATCAGCAACGACTGCTCCGGGAAAAAGACAGAGATCTAATAGTAGTAAAGTGAATAAAAAGAATGCCAACAAAATGATGGCAGTATATGAAAGTGAAGACGAAGACAATGCCAAACCTATGTCTTATGATGAGAAAAGACAACTCAGTCTTGACATCAATAAATTGCCGGGTATTCACAATTGAGTTGTTGATTGTTTCACAAATTGATGTCTAATGATTTTGTTGTTGTTATCAATGAACAGGTGATAAATTAGGAAAAGTTGTTCACATTATTCAATCGCGAGAGCCATCGCTTAGGGATTCAAATCCAGATGAAATAGAAATAGATTTCGAGACATTAAAACCGTCGACACTAAGAGAATTGGAGAGCTATGTGGCGACCTGTTTAAGGAAAAAGCCGAGAAAACCTTACAGTAAGTGTTATGTGATATATAATGTATATATATATTAGGTGTAGGAGTGATGATGACCCCAACCCTCTGCTGGGCAGGAATGCATTGTTTCAATCAAAAATGCAATTCTAATAATCAGTTGAGGGAATAATAAACGGCTTAATTAATCGCAGAATCTCTCTGTTTTTAATAGAGTGTCTGTTTCATGCTTTAGCAACAAATTTTTTTTTAAATAAAAATGAGCTCATTTTAATGATAATATTATTGTTAATAATAATTATAAATATTTTTAAACAGATACTAAAAACAAACAAGCGGCTGCCGCTGCTATTGCATTAGCCAGTGTCAAAACACAAGAGGATACGGAGAAAAAGAAACAGGAGCTCGAAAAACGTCTGAAAGATGTTAGCGGACAGTTGGGTACCACCAACAAGAAGACGCCCAAAAAAGGTTAGATCCATATTTAATTAAAGCTTATGGATTTTCCAACATTTATTTTGAGGGTTTGGAAGTACTTATTGAAATACAGATCCCTATGCTTTCACAGATTCTGAGAACAGTCACGCAGCCGCCGATGTCGGTCCCACATCAAGACTAAGTGCCAGCAGTTCGAGCTCGAGTGACAGCGACAGTAGCAGTAGTTCGAGTTCCAGTAGTTCCAGTGATAGCAGCGATTCTGAATCAGGTTAGGAATCTATGTGATGAACAAAAAACATCAATTCAGTCACTCATTTGATAAAAAACAAACAAACAAAATAAAACCAAAAGCGTCACAACATTTTATTAATCATTATTATTATAAAAAACAAAATAATAACTCCTCAATGATTGCTTCATATTAATGGTTAAAAAAAAATTTCAATACATAACATGTCATTCATTTAACATTATTTTTCAAAAAAAATTGATAACAAATAACACATAGACATGAAAATAACATTGAATTTGTTGTTCATTCATCTCTCTTTCTCTCTCTTTTTGTTTTAACTATTTATTTAGACTTTAAGTTTTAATTTCTACCTCACAAAACAATTTCATTTTATTTCATTCGTTTTTAAAAATTTATTTTTTATTTGACTGTTTAACAGTCACGCAAAAACATCTCAATACAAAAGCCTTTAACAAAATACAAATAAAACACAAAAAGTCTGATTAAATGTTAGGGTAAAACCAATTTTGTTTTCATGAATATTTAAATTGTATATAAATTTTCAAAAAAGCCATTGAATCAGTCATTGATAAAAATCACACAAAACTCGCCTTTTTTGTAATCAATCTCCGATTGAGAGCAAAATAAATAATTATGATTAACACACAAACAAATTAATTCTCAAATTAAATGTTAATATAATTATTTAAATATAATTAAAAACACACAATAAATGTTGAGTTCGAGAGTGCAGTGTTCTGATGGGTCCGTAAATAGTGTCTACTTTTAAAACTGACTGTCCATATAATATATATTTAACATCATATATATATATATATTTGATTCATCTGTATATTAATTGTCTGAATTAATTGCAATTTTTATTAGTAAATACATTTCATTTGTAAATATAATAATAAATATTTTAAATACTTTTAAAAAACTACTGCCCATATTATTAACTCATTTTTTTATTAACATAACATCATCATCATCTCTATTGATTTACTGTATATTATATATATATGTTATTGATTTCGTTAAAAAGTTTAATTAAATTTGCATTTATTGTATTACTCTAATAATAATTATTATTATTCATATAAATAGCATGTTTTCTACAATATTTATATGGCATAATATATTATTGAATGGATAGCGCGTCTAATAAATAATTTAGTTGATTACCGGTATATATAATAATTGAGTTTAGAAATTATTTAAGCAAACGGTTAGACTTAGTGGACGACCTTTTAGGACATGAGCACTCTTGGGCTGCATTTATAAAAAAATTATTATTATAATTTTAGTCAAAGCCTTGTCTATATTATAGATATAAATGGTAAGCTTTATGTTCACTTTTAAATTATATAAAAAATTAATAATAATTAAAAAAAACATTTATATAAATATTTATTTTATAAATTACATAACAAATAAATGCAAAAATAAAATCATGTTATGGGGCAGTTATCATGTGGCTCTGTATAGAGCTCTCTATAAATTATATATAAATATATTGATTGTCATTACATTTTATCACAAGTATATCAATCATTTGTAAATAATAGTTCATTGAATGCAAATTTTTCTTATATATATATCAAAATATATATATATATATACATACATTTTTTATTTAACTTATTAAAAAAATCTTGTATTTAATAATTGTGCTTTATTTATAAGAGCCATACTATCGTTGAGTAATAATATTATTATGTCATTTATTTGTCATTATTATTATATATTATAAATATTGTTTCACACATTGATTTTTTAAAATGCCCAAAAATTTGTATTTTAAACCAAATTTTACGATAAAACAAATACTTAATTTTTTCAAAAAAAAAGTATTTAAGTGTTGACCCAATAAATTTGAAAGTTTTACCGAAAAAATCTGTTTGTTTTGTTATTACATTAAAACTGTTTTAATAATAAACTATAATCTCTCAGAATTACTGCACTCTTGGATAACCAACAAATGAGATGTCATTATTTAGTTATTTACTAATTGAATAAATTAATTATAAATTAAACCAATTGTTAATACTAATAGCCACTTAAAGTATATCATAAGAGTGTCACAAATAATTATGATTATTATTGATGAAAAAACACTACTACTATATACTATACCGACACAGAGTCACCTAAAAAGAAGGCCAACACAAATAAAACGATGGGTCAGTTCACTGCACCCCATACACAGCACACGCCTACATTTCCCGGCACTCTTCCCATAAATCAATCCTATAATCAACAACAATCAATGACCGCCAATCTTGAGCCGCCACAAGTGCCGCCAAATAAAGCGTTCGGGAGTCAGCCGTTCAACCAGCCATTGCCTAACTCTGTCGCTCCCAATAGCTCAGGCGTATCGTCGTCTATAGGTATTGTTTAGACTCTTTAGATCTCTTAAGACTAGCTATTTGCTAATACTACTACCCATTTTGCCGACCCGACCCACTCCGTCCACAATTGTCAACCACAACAGTAAAACCAGCAATAGTGGCCTCGCATTCAAGCCTTCCTCAACAACCGCAACGGACGACAGCTATGGCAACAGCAGCGCCCACCCGAAAGCATGTTACTCCTGCTCCAGGTGCTCAACAAACACAACCATCACCGACAACAGTTAAACGTAAACATAGTAGTACTGTAGGATAAGGTTGTTATGTTTTTATTAAATATGGTTTTCTCCAATTATTAGCTCTAATATCATTGAATGCCAATCAAGAAACCAATAACATTAGGGACTCACCAAAAGTCAACGCATCTCATTTTGCTTCTCCATCTATTCCTACAGGTATTCTAAATATGATTGTTTAGTTCACTTGAAAACTAATATTTTTCAATTGCTAATGTAGGGTCGACACAGTTGTCAAACCAACAAAAAATAATTAAAGATGATTTTAACGCCAATAATTTACAGTCAAATGCACGACATATTTCAGATTATAATTCAGGTATCTTTTTGTTGTTGACTTACAATGAACTACAAATGCATAGTATTATGTGTACTTATAGCTCATATCAATCTAAACTAATCAATTAGTAATATATCGGATGTAAAACTAACTATTATTTTTATAACAAAACAGCAAATTCGGTGAATTACGATATGTTAGCAATGAATTCACCGACAAATGGTGAGAAAAAGGAGTCGTCCTCAAAGTCATTATCTGTTTCTATGTCTCAGTCAACTACATCTGTGATGCCGTCGACCAACAAGAAACCCAATGTAAGTGTTGTTAAAACGTAATGTGATTGTTGTCTCTCGAAATAAAATATACTAATCTCGTAAATATCTTCATCACAGGCATCATCTGAGTTGGCATCGAAAAGCGCCAGCGGTTTGGGTGGTTGGAAGGCTTTGGGCCAAACAACTAGCGGCGGCAGTGATCGTATCAATAAGGTTGCGGCCGAAAACAGTTTCGAACAATTCAAAAAACAGGCCAAAGAAAAACAGGACCGACAAAAACAATTAATTGTTCAGCAAGAGTTCAAACGGACACAAAAAGAACGAGAAGAAAGAGAACGAATCCGATTAGAAAAAGAAAGACAACGAGAAAAAGCTGAAGAAGAGCTACTGGAAAGGCATCGGAAGGCACAACAGCAGCAAATAGACAGTTCACGTAATCAATCATCTAATTCATCGCCTGCTTCCGGGTCGGGATCTCCATCACAGGTGGCATTGACTGCATCAGATCGGGACAGACTTAGACAGCAGGAAAAAGAAAGACGAATGAGAGAAGCGGTCAGTATTTGTTTGATTTGTTTGTTTAAATAAAAAAACTGAAATGTGTTACCAATTTGTGAATTTTTTGTTTCTTCATTATAACAGAGAGCCCAACAAATCGATTTGAACCGACAGAGCGATGTGATGGCTAGTTTTGAAGAAATGTTGTGATTTAGTTGTTTTTATATTATTATATTATTTAAAATCATTGAATTTGGGTAACACTAGCATTGCTCTGTTACTTTCATTATTTTCTTTATACTATTATTTTTGTGTCTCATTCATTGTAAATTATCATTATTTAAAAATATATATATATATATATTATTAATTAATTAAAAAAAATTGTTATAAAATATATATGATGAAAAAAAGAAAAATATAAAATAATTGCATAAAATCATTATAAAATTTAGGAACTCATTATTACTATTATTATCATTATTATTACATGACAAATTATATGCTACAAAAAAAACAATAATGTGTGAAAAAATTTAATTGTTCACTAATCAAAAAAATTGATGATGTATGTTTGCTCATTTTTTTAAAAAATACTTGAAAAATTTCATATTGAAAAAAATATATTTATAAAAAACAATTTTATTTAAAAAAATGCAAGTAATTTTCATTGAACTATTTAAATGTTATATATATACTGTAAGATATATATGTATACATTATATTGAAGTAATGGGGTTTTGATTTTTAAAAAATATATATATAAATGAATTATAAAATAATATTCTCTTAACATATGATTCATATCTATTTTCTAAGTTATTTCAAAAAATTAAAATATGGTTTAAATGATTGATAGATAAATATATATAGAGATTTGTTGAATAGTAAAATGTACTAGATAAGATTCATTGTAAAGTTTATTAAAACAAAAATCATCTTAAATAACTACAACAACAAAACTTGTTATTAATTTATATATTACTAATTGCAATCACAATTAGGACATAACAGATTATTATTAGTTTAATTAATATGATTTTATCATTTTTGTTATCATTTAATTGAATAGGAAAATCATTTTTATTTAATTTATTACTTTTTTTTCTATATTGTCTCCTATTTCTCCTCTAATTGATTATATGATTATTAAAAAATATAAATATATAGTAACTTATTTATCGATAGATTATTATTATTATTACTCTCAACATTTCAATTTTTAAATTAAATATATTGTTATTTAAATGAATTAACCAAATATTATTAAAAAAAGTTGGCATTTAATATAGATATTTGAAATTATTATTATTTGTTTGAAACATTTGTTTTTACGACATGTAACAAGTTTTAAATAATAATTAATTAATAAGTATATTATTGTATATCTAAATATAATATATAAATTACTTATTGATTGTATCATTGTATATAATATGAATATATATATATATATTTATATATTATTATTATTATTATATTGTAATACTTTTAATTACAAACATAATTTGCTAATTTAAATACCATAAAAAACAAAGAATTGATTTAATAATTTTTTTTAATTTTAACTCTTATTAATTGTTATTTAAATTGTAGTTTACTCTACAAATAAATGATTATAAAATAAATAAATAAAAAATATTTTATTGTTTTGGACAACAAACAAAAATTAATTATTGAAATTACGTTTTTTATTAAATTTTACTAATCTCTGACAATGGATTTGGAGTACATAATAATTACTAATATCTTCAAAACAAATTAAATTACTTTTTTTATATTACTTATTATGTTTTAGACTTTAAATCTCAGAGTTTCCAGAGTATCCAAACTAATATACCGTATAACCTCTGACCCTATCATCTCAACTACTTATACCTTATTTTATATTTTTATGTTATGGAAAATTTTCATACATTAAAAAGTATATTTAATATTGTTGTTTAATAAAGTTGTCTTATTTTGTTGTTGTTGTTGGTTATATGCAATAAAATTAAACAAAAAAAACTAATATTACTACTGTATTAAAAAAATATAATAAATAATAAATTTACTATTAATAATGCATAAACTAATATTTAGTTTTATTTTTTCTCTATATTTTATCATTTTCAACATTATCTACAATATTTAGTTATTAGTAGTGTTTATTAAATTTATATTATCATTATTATTAGGGGTTTCCATAATAATTAATTTTTTACTATTCAGTATTAACTCATAAATAATTTAATGTAATTTAATAAATTATATTTTATATTATAATAATTATCTATACAAAAAAATTTATGATACTAAATTGAGATTTTTTTACAACTTCAACAATAAAGTCCAAAATATATAAATATAATTATATAGTTTGAATAGTATTATTCATAATAATTTTAATTGGGAATCTACTCTATTGTATTGAATATATATTTTTTGTTGTTGCAAATATAATTCAATGTCTAATACACTAACATAAACATCAACAACAATAAGATTTTTTATTGGAAAAATCATTGATATAATACACAATAGACTTAACAACTATAAAAAGTTTTACACACACACTAACACATTGTCATAAACAAAATTAATTCATTATATTTATTTAAATTTAATTAATTGGACACGTTTTACGGCACACAACAATTCAAATAACAATTTATATGTTAACAATAGTATCTAATTTAAATCAAAGTCACTATATGGCACTTAAATTTATTATAATTTTTTGTAGATATAATCATTATTATAGTAATTAATTATTTAAATTATATATATATACTACAGTATATACTGTATATAAACACACCTCCTTTACCGGTTAATTAAAAATGCGGTCTATTAAGTAATCTTATAATAAATTAAAGTTGTTATAATTAATTATAAGTAATAAATTTTGTGAAATATTAAAAATATATCATTAATATATCTAAATATGAAATTTTATTTTATTTTGTCGCCCACAAAAATTTTTGCTTTAATTAATAATATCAAAACTTTTTATTTTAAAGTGAAATAAAGACATTTGATTTCAATTTGATACTAATTTTTTAGTATCATTATAACTAACTAAAGTAATTGAATTTAATTTTTAAGTTTGTCTAACAATTTGATAGTTGAAAACACTTTCCACAAAAAATTCAACAAATTATATGAAATCGTTTATATTATAAATCATAAAAACGTGATTTAAAATTAACTATAAAAACAAATTGATGTGCAAATTATGAAAGCATTATATGCTAATAAAATACTAATAAATTTAATTATAGGGTATAATATTGTTTACTTTCACTTTCAATGATTTTCTTATTGTATAATAATATGAATAATAATAATTTTATTATAACTTTTAGTTATTTTTGCTAATTAGTAATTAAATTATAGTATATACTGTAAATAAATAGTGTGTAAAATACAGTATGCAATAATCAAATATTTAAAATAGTATTGTTTTTAATTATGTAAATATTTAAAAAAAATATTAACTGGCACATTTTCTTGCATAAAATGACCTAATTATAATATTTAATTTTAAAAGTTAAATATTAAATTGTTTTTAAAAAATAAAATAATAATTATCTCTTTAACAAAATTAATATTATACCAATAAATTAAACATAAAATATAAAACTAAAAAAATATAAATTATGAAATATTATTTAATTTTAAGTTAATATTAATAATATCACATAAAAAATTAATTGCACAATTTTCATAATAATAAAAATATCATAAACTATTTTTAAACAAAATAATAACAATATAGTAATAATAATAATAATTTATACAAAGTTTTTATTTAAAACTTTTTAAAACTTTTTTTATAGCTTTATTTATTAGCTTTACGTAATATATTATAAATTATTGACTTTTTATTTATATTTGTGGATATCTGGATACTATATTATTATTGAACATATAAATAGCTAAGTGGCAAATATAAAGTTACATCAATTACTATCATATATCAATATATTCAGTTAAATTTATAAAAAGCTAATTATTATTCAGATGAGTGTCTCAACAACAATAACAACAAAAAAGTAGACAAATTATTATTATTAAATAAATAAATAATTATTTTATGGTTTTGATATCATAGTTACTAACATTTAGTAAATGAAACAAAAAAACTATTGATTGATTCAATGTTATGATACATGTATTTTTAAAAATAAATTATTAGATTTAAAATTTTGCTTTTTATTATTAATAACTTTTATATTCAGTTTCTAATTTAAGATTAAGATTTTCGATAAAATTTACAATTAATTTTTGATTTAATTTATTTTTCATAATAATTTCTCAATAATTAATAACCAAATTATTTGAATAATCATAAATTAATTACAGTAATTAATAATTGTTATTTAATTTTAAAAAAATATTTCTAACTCTTTCTACATTTTAGTATTTTTGATTAATTGTGTTTATGACCGACCGGTTTGCTGAGTGTTAGCCGATATTTGGGCCATTGTTTGTCAGAAAAAACTGATAGTTCAACTGCAACCCAACCCCTCCTTGTAATTACTATTAGTCTCTCTTCTCTCTCTCTCTCTCTCTCTCTCTCTCTCTCTCTCTCTTTGTCTAAAAATATTATATAATAATTATACACAATATTGGATTTTTATTGAAATATTATTCGGGGATCCGTATATAACAACAAATACAGTTTACTATAAATTATATATTATGTAACATTTGATTTAATAATTAGAGTGAGTGAGTGAGTGAGAGAGAGAGAGAGAGAGAGAGAGAGAGAGAGAGAGAGAGAGAGAGAGAGAGTAATGTCTGGTTAGCAAAACTTCAAGGATGGGTATATAAAATTCAAGGATAGTTATGTCAAAAAAAGATAACAATCATTCAATAGTTACTCTCTCTTTTCAGGTGCGATCTTCTTCTTCTTAAATAATAATAATAATAAAAAGTTTCACTTAATTTACACTAAACTTATTTTTCCCAAGAAGTGGGAGACGTGTTATTAAGTCATGACTTGTGCTTAAAATAAAGTCCGAGTTCTCAATGGCATTGAATATATATTATATATATATATATATCTTAACATTTGTATTCAATAAATTTGAAATACCATTAAATACAGAGTAGAGATGAGAGCATCAATTGGTGCTAAACAATGATAAAACTAGTATAACATATCAAAAAAGAGGCATTACTTTTGTCTATCAGAGAAAAAGCGATAGTGTTTTTGGGAAAAGAGGACACAAACTGATTGTTCAAATATTACTTCAAATTGTCTGTCAAAATACACACTTGTTTTCAATTAGTTTAAACACCAAAAAATTTTGTGTGTGTTTTAAAAATCATATTAAAACTTTTTGCACTTATATTTATTATAACGGTTTCTTTTGGGAATTAATAATAATAATTATAAGTTTAAAATCATGCAAATTGTGAGTTCAATTCAGTAAATTATAAAATAAATAATTATTAATAACTATTTTCAAAAAAATGTATCCAGGCCAAATTATTATTACCGATAATTTGTTTGATCGGTACTACATTTGCGGCCGAAACTCGTGTCAAAGTGGGTGCCAAACGGTGGGCCTTTCATATTGAGACCAATGAAGGCCAAAATGTACGCAAAGAGTATACCGATGAAAATGGTGTCACTTTTGGTACTTTTACTTTCGTATCGACCGATGATAACACACCCAAACAGGTATAAAACAGAAAAATTATTTCATTAAAAAATAATTATAAAATTTATAATTTATTTCTATCTATTCTTAAGCTTCACTATAAGTTTGATTTGAATGCCGACGAACCCGACATATCGTTCAAAGTGGTCAACGAAAGTGTCGCCACTAATCCTAATGTCGAAACTCCGGCTGAATCTACTGGAGCCGACTCTACGGCTGCTGAATCTACCGGTGATCCAGAAAGTGCATCCAATATTACGTCAACGACACCAAAATCAACTGAAGTTTGTATTGTTTTTTGTTGTTTGTGTGAATTGTTTGTTAATTTTTAGATAAAAAATTTAAGATTTATTATAATATACTATCAGTGATATACTGTACTAATAGGTATTGTTTTTTCGGGTTTTTTCCTTCTTTTTTAGCCTAATTACGAGTCCATCGACGGTGAAGAAGAGTTTTCGGGACACGTCTCGCTAAAAGTGGGCAAATCTTCGTATTTGATTAACTTCTTGAGTGGCGACAAAACTGCTGCCCGTGAAGAAGCTCTCGACGATAGTGGACTTATTTATGGCAAATATACTTATTTTCATCAACAAAAACAATCCAAAGTTGTCGTAAGTTTTTAATTTAATTTAATTATCGATATTATAATATATATATACAGTATATTTCAATATTATACTGTAATTGATTGTAATTGTCATATATTTAATTAATAACAGTAAATACAATAGTAATCTCTATAATTATTAAGGATTATGAATCACATAAATGTGTGATGAAACTGATTAAAACATTTGTATCTTATTTACAATAATTATATTTTCACTATTATTGGTAAATATGGGTAAACATAATTGAGGAAAAATTTCATATCATTTTTAATAATAATCTTATATCTTAATTGCAAAACCCCCCAAACAATCAATCAATTGACACATATTTTACAACTCTATTGACATAATGTGCTCTCAAATAATTAATTAGAGACCACCACTTGACACACACATGAAGTTTAAAATTTCATTATAGATATAAATTATTATTTAAAATGATTAAAATGATGATTCATTGAATTTCATTACTTGCATTCAACAAACAAACAAAATCTTTTAAATAAATAATTTCTAATCAATTGGTGGAAAACATATTTGAAATTATATGTGTATACCGTACATGTATAAAATGATTGAATGTTTTAATTATTAATTTAAAAAAAAATATATATATTTATCATTTGTACCGGAAATTACTATTAATTGTTAATTCATTCAAATAGTTGAAAAATTTGCACAAAAAAATGTTTTTATAGTCTTTTTAATAGTTTGTCAATACTTATTAAATAAGCTAGGTTAGTTTAGTTTGTTCATTATAAATTGTATAGTTGCTATTTTATATGAAAAAATCATAACTAGCATTTTTTAAAAGTTTAAAATTTACACCAATAAAAACTGATGATCTATAACTTATAAGTGATAAATAAATTTATTTTAACTAAATAGACACTTTTTTTTAAAGCAAAATAATATTTTATAATGATTAAAGTAGTCATCAAGTTTTCTAGTCATATATTTTTATTATTCAATAAATTAAAGCAAATAATTTTTAAAAACTAGAAAATTTCTAACAAATAAATTATTAATCTCATAGTTAATTAACATAATTATCTTAATAGTAATTTCCCTAATTTGCATAATAATAATAATAATTAATTTTCCCCTATTTTATAATAACTATTTATTTAAAATTTCATTATTTTTGTTTTGTTTATTTCTAATTGAAGGTTAACTATAAATTCAATTCATCGGGAAGTGATCCCACATTTGAGGTATCAATGTATAAGAAGAGTGAACCCAACCGTCTGTCACCACAAGACAGTGAATTGAATGTAAGATTTATATAATAAAACAAAACAAAAAAAATTATTAATTTTTAGTCAAAAATATATTTTTGTATTATAAATTATTTTTTAAATAAACACTGTTTAATATGTATTATAATAATAATAATTTTATTATTATTATTAATTTATAAATCTTGAATTTAAAACGTCAATAATTTTAAATAATTTCAACATCAAAAAAATATATTATTAATAAAAATGTTAAATTTGAATCGCTTGAATACAAAATTATAGTCAAATTAGATAAAGTAATAAACAAACAATAAAATTGAATACAAAAAAAGAGATCTTCAAATTGAAGGATAAATTTTTAGATGTATTTATCTATATATATATATAAATAATATATTTTAAAATAGGAATAAACAACAAACAGATGTTTTTTTTGAAAAAAATCTTTTCCAACAATAAAAATAAAGTTAATTGCAATTTTGCTATTAATTATATACCTGTAGTGATTACATTCAAAAATATTAAAAATTGTTAATAAAAAAAACTATTCAACATATTTATTTATTTATTAATAATCAATGAAACATAATTTATATTTTCAAGTTTATACGGGATTCAAATATAATTGCCGTAAATATATACACTTATAGTTACGGTGTATATTAGTTAACAAATATAGCTATTATTTAAAAAATATTATTAAAAAATATTTTAAATAAAATAATCCTTAAAATATGAATATTAGTAAATTATTAGTATTCCCTAATATATTATTATCTAAATAATAAAATATTAAAATAAAAATTTTTGCTAAATACCAGCCAAACACTTACTATGGACCCAATCGTGTTGATCGACGCATTCTGTACGACCAGCCCTACCGTCAGAGACAACCATCGATGCCATCGGTAACAGTTCACAGTACTAATCCACCGCATAATATCATAACTCCAATGCAGGGAAACTGGTATTATCGGGTCCAGAAGTGATCCATCCATTCATCCATCAATGGTGACACCATCGGAGTTCATCGATGATGCAATGCTGCCATTCAATTGATTTTGATGTTCAAAACTATTGATGTTTTTTCATTAAATATTTTTTTGTGTTATACAATATAATATTTTTCCGGCACTTTTATTTGATTTGATTTCAATTATTATTATTTTTTTGTATTACAAAAAATTATAACTTAATTTACAAAATACCAAATACTGTGTTTTTTTTGTTGCATTCATATTATTATTATTTCACATTTTTTAAGTTCAAAAAGTTATTGTATTATACTATTATAATATTATATGTAATAAAATTTGTTAACTTTTTTTTAAGTATCATTTTTTTGTAACTATACTATTAATTTTCACTAATAAATTTTTTATATAATAAAACATACACACACATATATTTCACAATTATTAATTCAATAATATTTAATTAGCGAAAATTTTTAGAAAAAAAATGTTACACTAATAAATATTAAATTAAATATAAAAGTGTTTTATGAAATACTAATTTGATGACTGATTGAAGTATTGAAATTAAATGAAAAAAAAACTATATATATATATATAATATACAGTAAATATTTAAAATAACTAAAATGCTATACAAAAAATTGCTAACACACACACACACACACACACACACACACACACACACACAATCACAGTGATATTAATTTGCAAATTAAACTTTATTCAAAAATTTATTTTTAAATAAATAAATTACAAGTCAGAGTTATAATATTAATATTTATTTAGCAATCATTTTTAAATTAAAGCGGTCAATTCAAAATGAAAAAATAATTAAGCTAGCACAAGTTATTGGGATTAATTAAGTAATTAATTAATAATAATAAGAGTCATCGCTAAATATGACTAAATAATGACTAAATTTTTGTATTCAATTTTCTAAACTAAAGTAATAACAAATATTACTAAAAATTATTTCTATGTAATTTATAAATAATTATGATAATATAAATTTATAGTATCACATATAACACTAATATACTGAATATATATATAAGTAATAATTACAAATTACAAGTGGTATTACATGATTTTTATTTTTTAAAAAAATGTTTCAAATTATTATTTTAGTAATATAATAATCTAATGTACAGAATATATATATATACATTAAAGTTATGTAACATTATTATTATTATTATTATCGTTATTGTCATCATTTAGACTAAAATAACAATTTTCCAAATAAGAGACGGCTTTTTCCAATTTAATTAATTTTTGATTAATTGATGATAATTTGCTTTTACATGACTTATCTATTTTTTGTGATAAAATGTATAAAATTAAACTATAAATTTTCAGATTTGACAACAACAACAAAAATACAAACCAAATTTGTTTAAAAAATTAACCATTTTTTGAATGCTAGCCGTAACCGATTCAATAAACTGTCTATTAGTCCAATCATCCGATATGGATGTCCTCATTAAGCCTCCATCACCACCACTACCACCAACGCATACATGTGCTGCCGGTGATGATATGTCACTAACTAAAGAATCAGCGCTACTACTAGTTACTGATAATTGACTACTTTTAATGTTCATCATATCAGTAGTAGTAGTAGTAGTAGTAGTAGTGATTATGAGTACATTTTTTGCAATATATATTTTATATATATATATATATGTAATCTTAAAACAAAAAATTATACAGTATATCAATTTTTTAATAAGAAAAAAAAATTTTTTTGATAACCAGACATAAAAAATTAATTGATAAAATAACTCTATATATATTTATAACTATATTTAATATACTGTATAACTAAACTCTATTAGCGTACTGTGTATTGTGTGCTCTAAAAGGATATCCTTTTAAATATACTGTATATTAATATAAAAAAAAACTAAAATCATTTTCCAATAAAAGTTGCAATAATTGTTATATAATATAATCAGTATATACTGTGCATAAGTTTGCGCTAACCAGTAAGTCTAGATTATTAGATAACAAAAAAATACATAAAAAATAATTATAATGTACTACAAGTACTAAATAAATTATTAAAGTTTTCTTTTATATCGTACAAAAAAACAAATAAAATTATTGTTTTATTATTAATTAATTAAATTATTATAATAAACACAAAAAACATACACAATAACTTAAAAATACTTTATATATATACACACATATAAATTATTTATATATATAAAAAAATGTTACATCAAAGTTAAAAATAATACAATACTTTTTTCAAAATATGTTGTTTTAGTTTTTTTAAATATCAATTTTGTGCGTTTGTTTTTATACAACAATAAAATAAATTAAATAAAAACTAATCGCCTCTCTATTGATAACTGAAGTTCGTTGTGTTGTTATTATTATTATTGGAAATACATTTTTTGACACAACATTCCACCGCTTCTTTGATATCATTGAACACTGGAAGACCTACCCGAGTGGTCATATCCGAGAGATAAGCTCGTCCTCTGTTATAATCTTTTATGGCTGCAGTAGTCAACTATTAGGAGAAAAAATAATTTAAGTACAGTTAGCATTTATTTTGTTTAAAAAAAAACTATCAATTAATTTACTTTTTCGCCGTCAATAATACATCCGTCTTTTAAATCTTCTATACAGAGAACGACATTACATCCCAGTGCCACATAATGACCGGCCTAATCATTTAAAAATAAAATTATTATTAATAATCAAATACTATACGGCAATACTATATTAATTAAAATACAAACCAATATCATAGATGATAATCCTCTGGAAGTGTTATTTATGTAAAACAATAGGACACGACTTCGTTCAATAGTTGCCGCTTCTATAGGTATAATACGCTGTCCGCTCCATGAGTTAAATTGAGATGAAAAATAAGTTAAACCATTTTTTCTATAATACAAACAAACAAAATCGTTAAAATTAGAAATTAGTTTAATTAATCTACGGTTATGTTGTAAATAAATTAAATAACCAATTATTATATATTTTTTAAAAAACATACTTAAGTAAAGGTATGGCGATGTCTTCCCTCCAGGTGCTGGTATGGCAAGAGCCGCCTAAGTAGATGTCGCGATACTGATTATCGTATGGTATTTGTTGACTACTAGATGATGGCTTAATAGAGCCGCGAAATGATTTGGACACCCAATCAAATAATCTCTGTATGGGTTCGACTAAATAAACCAATTTTCTGGCCAATTGTTGACTAAATTTATAGTTTTCGTTGATCTGAGCCTTGAATTCGGTGACAATACAACAAAACTCTTCGAAATTGATGCACAAGTCATCCAAGTTTACTGTTTTAAATTCGTTGTTGTCGTCGTCGACGCAATCCATCGGTTCGTCGTCAAGTTTGCCGACAGCAATTTGCCGCAGATTATTGTTGGACAGCTCGCGCCCCGTTATTATACGAAACGCTAGTCTCAGATCACTGAGACTAATCTCACCGGTATTGTCGTTGTCGAGCGAGTCAAACACTTCGCGCAGACGAATCAATTTGTCGCCCAATGGTAAGTGTCCGTTGCGTACAGGCATTGCATTGTCTTCGCGAGACAGGTCTTGTGGGCGAATACCTTCGCGAAGTATACGATGAACACAGGCCAAGGCTACCGGTAACTGATCAAAAATGGGAATACCGTGTCGTTCAACAATATCTTGAAGATACGACTGACCCTGTTTTATGTCTTTATATTCACTTTTCAATCATAAAAACAAACAAATATTAGTTTTTTTTTTTATATATATAGCTTCTACTATATATAAAATTTCTATAAATACCTTTCAGTAATAGGCTCTCCTTCGATAAAAGTGCCGGCACCGGGAGTCTCGTTAAATACTAGGATTAAGTTGCGCTGAGAGCCGCATATGAATGCCGACTCAATCATGGCTACAATGCCGCGGGTCTGGTTGTCGATGACAAACAGTAATACATCGGCGTTCTGGTTATTAGACAACAAATAAATAAAAACATTTTTCATCAGTCAGTTAGTTAGTTATCTTATGTCTGGGATATCTGTATGTCCTGAGACTCAGACCTACCTGTTTTGCATTCCACTCCAACTCAATGAGTTCGGGTCTCCAACTGGACACTTGCTGTCAAAAATAATTAATAAAATTTATATGTATTATATAATTACCATTACCGGTAATATACCGATACTGTATTTAAAAAAAAACAATTGAAAATTACTATTTACCGGATTATAATAAGTAATGCCCAAACTTTTCAGTATAGGTATGGCAGTGTCGACCCTCCAAGTGGTCGGATTGCAAGAGCCGCCTAAAAATACTGATATTTGTATAATAATATTTGAAGAAAAAAATAAAACATAAAAAATTAGTTACAAATTAAAATATTTTATAAAATAAAAATAAAACCATACCTTCAAACTTCGTCTCTAAACACTTTGACGACTCTTTTTGTTGGCTAAGCGTGACTTTTCTGTGCTCCGGTATATCACATTTGGACAGTGGCTGCAAATGACTTATATTATTGTCGTCGTAATCGGCGGAGGACTTAAGCTCAGAGGCGTAGACACAGAACTCGCCAAAGGTTAAGTAGTCGGCATTCAGCCGATGTGAACAATGGTTGGCGCAGTGTATCATCTCATGGATCTGCGATCGCGACGGATAGACATCCATGTCATGAAATACATAGGGCAGTGACCGCACCAGCTGTTTGTTAGGCAGTTCCGCCCTTTCATTCCATACTTTAAACAGTTTCCTATATATTGTCGATGAAGAGGTAGAGAGAGAGAGAGAGAGAGAGAGAGAGAGAGAGAGAGAGAGAGAGAGAGAGAGAGAGAGAGATAGATAGGAGAAAGACATCATATTATTAGAGATGGTATATCCAAATGTTAGGCCAAATCAAACCAATCAAATAAAACAAAATCAAATACCTGGTCAGCGATCCATAAATGGATGGCGAAAATGACATTATGAATAGTGACCAAAACCACTGACTTATATATAGGTAAGCCTTATAAGTAAAATTGAAAAAAATCAAGATATCAATTGATTGCACAATTTAGTTGACAATAATGTCTTGTAATAATAATAATCAATTAAATTAGACGTATTGTCGACAATACACCTAATGAACAGCTAATGATAAAAAAAATTTTGTGACAAACAATTGATATTTAAAGAAAATGACATTTTTATCGACAGTTATATTAATTATTTTTTATGATATTATCATATTTTGTTTTTCTCCCCCTCCCCCACCCCCCAAATCACACATGTGTTATCAAAACAATTTATCACATAATTAATAAAAAAAGTCATGTATTATATTTGTAATATCAATATAAAAAAAACTTATATCACATATTATTATTATACTGTAATTATTATTATTATTATTGCAAACAAAATAAACAAAACAAAAATAAATTAACAAAATATTTCTCGCATTTAAAGTAATCACACATTTTTTCTGTCATTTGATTTATTTTTTAAATTTTCACTAAAACAGTGCAAACACTAAATCAGGTGTTATTTAAGTGCAAATAAGTTATTAATAATAATAATAATATGTATGTATTGTATAAAAACATTGCAAACTAGTTGTGACAAAAAAATACCGGTAAAAAACTAATTATTGGTAACTAAACTGGAAATATTACAACAAAATAATATTATATAAGATATAAATATATATATATATAAACTGTTGGACAAACACACACCTGAAATACATTTTTTTTTTTAAATAATTATTTTGGATTTCTATCTAATCATTAAAAAAAATATATTTTTATATATCCTATGATATGGTGTGATAACAACATGTGATAATTGCAAACACCATTCAAACAGTACATCGATTGCAGCAATCATTTTGGGTATTGTTTTTCATATGTGTTTGTATTTTCAAACAACCAATGATTGCCAAACAAACAGACAGTATATTACAGACTCTATTACTCTATATAGACATACATTCTCTCAAACAACACAATCATTGATAGCAATAATAATAGTAATAATAATAATAATAATATGATATAAACTTTGACCCAAACATATATATATATTACACTTACTTTATGACAAACATTGTAACTAATATTTATAAATGGATAGTGAAATAAAATACTGGTAATAATATTTAATATTTAATAATAACAATAACTTTATTGCAAAATGGGTTTATAGCCAATAATACTGTAGTTTTTTTTTTAAATAATAATAATAACAACAAAACTATCGACACATTGAATACGCATTACAACTACACAGCGATGACATTGTATTATTGAAATGCAACCAAAAATTTATATATATTTATATATAAAAACCACAAAAATAACAAAAAACAGTAGAGTTTGTGTGTATGTGTGATGTTTGGCTGTCAGTGTTTCCCATACCATATACCCCCCAAACCCATAGGCTTAGGGCACACATACATGTTATGTATTAATACATGGCTTTAGTTATGACAGTAGTATAGGGACTGACGTCACGTACAACACGAATCCCAGAGAGAGAGAGAGAGAGAGAGAGAGAGAGAGAGAGAGAGAGAGAGAGAGAGAGAGAGAGAGAGAGAGAGAGAGAGAGAGAGAGAGAGAGAGAGAGAGAGAACTTACTTTATAAGTGCCTTTCAATGCAATTCTCAATGCAGTCAATGTATGTCTCATATTATAATAGGTGACGACAGTTGTGTCTGTTATATACTTTTAATAATAGTATTAATAATACTGGACTGTCAAACATATTAATCGCTTTTTATATAATTTTATTTCAATTGATTTAAACAAATAGACACTGAATATAACATAACACAGATTTTTATGATTTGTTTTAATTGTTATTCAATTCAAAAATGATATGTTTTTTATATATATATAAGTATTTTATTTTTTTTCTCTCCTCTCTCTCTATTGATTAGGTGTTGTAGTAATTATCAGTATTATTATTATTATTATTATTAGTACAGTAGTAGTAATAAAATAGTAATACTGTTTTGAATGAAGTAATTTAATGGCATATTCTGTAGGTTTTTCGCGCAAACCATACGTCACTAATAATAACAACAATATTCGTGACCCAACTCTCATAGCTTTTTACTATGAATTTCAAAATAACAAACAAAAATCAAATCAAACTTTTTTGTTTTTCACAGTAATAAACTATATATACGACTATCTATTTGTTTGACATATATATATATTGATAATCATTTAGTTTTGTTGTTATGTTTATCAATTAAAAAAAAATAATATCAGAAAATATTTAATCATTGAATGGCATTACTATAATTTCATGGCTATAACCTCCACATAATATACAGTATTATATTACATACAAATTCTTGTTGTTTACGATATAAAAAATTTATTAATATTAGTGATAATAATAAAAAAAATTCAAGTTATATTCAAAGATATACAGTTAAGCTATTAATATTATAACTAACCCATACCTTATATATATTAACACACACACAATAATCATCTAAACTACCTGTACTAATACCAGCACTTCAATGATATACAATTATACATATTAATAATGATAATTATTATTAATATGTATAATTGTATGTCATTGAAGTGCTGGTATTAGTACAGATAGTTCAGGTGAAGTCGTTGTTGTTATTGTCGTCAAATGTTAGCTAAAAAAAATTATATCTGTATTATTATAATGAATATTTAAAGTCAGTTTATTTAGAAATTGAAATTTTCCTTAAATAAAATTTGTTTACATTTCCCAGAATATTATTGCATAATATTTTGTATATTGTTTTTTTTTTTGAATGAAAAATATTTTCTTTATTTTTTGAAGGACTTAGAAAAATACCAAAAATTTATCTATTTATTTGTTAGTAATTTAAAAAAATATATATTATATATATATATTCCGACTTATTAATCGACAATATAAATTTTTAAAATCTAATTGACATTTTTTGTATTTTATTTTATTTGTGACTAATTTTAAAATAAAAATTGTATTTTAATATTTTTTTGTAATAAATTATTTAATTAAATAATTTATACCTAAATATAATATATAATTTTCTAAACTTCGCAATAATAATAATAATAATAAAATTCAATTCAATTTATAATGTTTTTTTTATTTTATAAAAAAATCATTGTTTTATTGTTTGCAAATTTAATCGCAAACGTAATTATAAGTTGTAATATATACAGTTATTATATATTTAATTAGTATTTTGCTATATATCAAGAATCATAATTTTATCAACTATTTTGAAATGCAATTTATATATATATATATACTGTATATATATATATATATATATATATATATATATATATATATATATATGTATATTAATTAAATAGTTTTTATCACTGCTTGTGGCGATTTGTCAATTATATTGACTAAAGCGATAACAAATCAACAAACTTTTTTTTATATCAATAATCAAAAAGCATATGTACAACAAATCTCAAGTGTTTTATTAAATAAATAAATCACATAATAATAATATAAAAACAATATACTGTAGTAATAAAACATATATTTGTGTCAAGATTTCATAATGATTAATACTTACATAAAAAATACAATAAATGTTTAACTTTAAACAAAATAATAAAATTATTATTTTTCATTGATTAGATTATTATTAAATTGTTTTTCTTAATATATATTATTATATTATTAAATAAATTTAATTACAAAAATAACTTTTTTACGATATATAAAATTATATGTCAGAAATTATAACTACTGTTTCACAATATTTTTTATATTAAATATTTTATTATTTTAATAATAATTATATCATAAGACAATATTAACTATAATAAAATTTTATTTAATACTTTTTTGTTTTAGTGTGTTATTGAATTTTGGTTTTAATGTGTTTAGATTAAGTGTGCTTTTTTGGTTTTAATAGACAAAAATGTTAAATTATTTAATTATTTAAATTTTGAATTATTTAATGTTATGTAAATACATAGTAAATATAGTAAATAGCATTAAAATTTAATTGTATTGAAAATGATTATCTTATTATATTTGAACTAATGATATAAATATTTATACAATATTTATTTGTAATTAAAATTGAATATTATCAATAACAAAAATCAACCATATAACAATTTGCTAATTTATTATTTAATAGTTAATAGTTACATAATACAGTCAATTTTTTAAAAACTAAATTAATTTCTCTATATATCTTAAAAATTCATAATTTTCTAAACAAAATCATTTAACTTTAAAAATTGTATTTATTTATTCAATTACAAAGTGTTTTATTACTTTTAAAATAAAATTATTCTCTAATTCTCAGATATTTAGGTACACATAAATTTTAGTACAAATTTTTGTTTAAATTAAATCTAATCAAATCTAAAATGATATAATCGTCAAATCATATGAAAAAATGAGTTTTCGAGCTTAACATGAAATCCTTATTCAAGGATCTAATGATAAGTAACAAAAAAATAAATAATAATATATAAATTTGATGTGAAATTGTCAAACTATTTGCTAATTTTGATATCTTAATAAATTAAGTTATTTAGAAGTTACAAAACAATTAAGTAAAACAACACAAATATTTAAACAATGTTGAATAATAACAAAAAAATGTCATATAATGTATATAATGTATTATTATGTATATAAAATTGTATAAAATAAAAATATTTTTTTTATTATTTATTGACACATCCATTATATTTGGAAATTGTTTTGTCATTTGATTATGAAATCAAAAAATTAAATGCGATTAAAAAATGGATTTCATACTAATTAGTTAACCATATATTTTTTGTTGATTGCATTTCTAGATATACACCAAAGTGTTTGACACCAAAATTATAAAACATTATATACAGTGATAAAGGGTTGCAAAATTTTTTTATCGATGTTTTATTGCAATATATAATATTATAGAGGGATATCCACAATAAATGGGTAAAATAATAAAGTTAATATAAAAAAAAGTTTGATCTTGACTTGATATTAATATTTGATAATTAAATATTTATTTATTTTTTTTTAAATAAAATTTTGTGCAAAATTTGTGAAAAAAAATATTTTATTTAACTGATAGTTAAAGATAATAATTAATTTATAAAAATTTTATCTCAAGTTTTTTATTAGACAATAAATATCCATAACATTAGTGCCGGATATTCCTGTCTTAATAAACCAATTGCTGAAAAATTTATTAAAAAATTCATATGAATTATGATTTTTCAAATCGATGTCCAACTGTTTGGCTAATTGTCCGCTCGGATCCATAGATTTCAAACCGCTTTCGGCTATAACTCCGGCCACATCAGTAGGTCCGTCCTGGCCATCGGTTCCAGCGCACAGAAAATACATTTTACCGCCGGAATCGCATTTATATGATCTGTTTGCAAACGCTAATCCCATTTCCTGACAACGACCTCCCAATCCTTTTAAACAAAACAAACAAACAAAATATTTATAACTGTTTACACATTAACTAATTAAATAATAATAATTAATTAATTAAACAAATAATATAATAAATATGAGACCACAGACCAGAGTTTGATTCAGTCATATTAACGGTAGTCTCGCCGCCGGCCAACCAACAGATACCTTTGTAATCTCGTCGATCGTCATCCGATATCTGATAATTGTTGGCCATTTCAAACCATTTATCGCTAATCACTTTGGCTTCGCCGTTGATTTCATTACCCAAATCAATGACTTTATATCCCAATTGTTTGGCTGTTTGTTTGGCAACATTTACAGCTATAGTATTGTTGCCAACTATTAGGTTATGCAATAGATTCCAGTCATAAGACATTTGCAAATAATTATCTTCCGATAGTATGGCATCTCTTAGATTATCATTAATTTTTAGATGAAATTCATTCAATATTTTCAAGGCTTTGGTCGATGTCTTTTCTGAATCACCGGTCAGAACAACTGTTGATCCGCTGGCTATCAGTTCAATGGGATCTCCAATTATATCGCTAATAATAAAGCAAACCATTTCCATACTATTCGGCTCCGATGTGACCAAATGAGCCAACTTTCCGCACTTGACTTGACTCAGACATCGGCGAACTGTATTCAATTGCTGTATATTAGCCCCGCATTTGACCAGTTTTTTAATTAAATCGTATTTATCGTTAAGACTAACCCCTTGTTTAGGCAATGACAGTAAAGCTGATCCGCCACCAGAAATAAACGATAATATTAATGATTTCGTGTTATTATTAGTACCAGTGTTTCTCATATCACTTTTAGCTGATCTAATCAAATCAATTATCTGTTGAGTTGTCCTCTCGGAGCTCCGGTCGGGCATATTATTAAGTGCTCCCGTTTGATATCTGACATTGTATTTGTCAAACAATGGACTATCCGATTGACTACCAATGGGAACACTTAGAAGACCTCTTTTGATGACTACTTTCTTACCATTAGTTGTCTTATTATTATTATTATACGAATCCACTTGACTTAACAATTCTTCGCACATCTTAAGTACGGCTTTGCCTTAAAAAATAAATACAATTATTGTTTTTAAATTAGATGTCATAATAGCTGATATTTACAGAAATTTGAAAACTTTTAGTTCAATTAATAAGTTAATAAAAATTATTTGTTTTTGTCTACTAATTAAAAATATCGATATATTTAGAGACTAATTAATAATTTATTTATTTTTTAGTCATTTCTATAATGTGTGCTAATTATCAGTTAATAATAATGATAATAATAGTAAATTTTTAATTATTTATTAATTTAGTCGATATACTGTATATATAAAATAAATGTTAACAAAAGTATAGATATATACATTTAAAAAATATGTTTAGCAATAGTTAGCTAATTTTAGTAATTGGAAAAAACTTGTAAACTAGATGTATATATAATTCAATGACAATTTTATAATAATAATAAAAATTTTTGTCTACAAAGTGTCTACAATATTGTTTTGTAATGATTTCCGGACACATTTTTATTTATTGTGTAGACATTTCAAGTTCATTATAAAATTAAGGGTTAGAGAGAAAGTTATTAATATCTTAACTAAGTCTCTCTCTCTCTCTCTCTCTCTCTCTCTCTAATATCTTAATCAATGATATACCGGTGCTAATGGGGTTACGGGTGGGTGACACTGAAATACCAGTCAACAAAAATTAATTTATTGGGCTATTTTTAAAAAAAATTTAACCTTCCTAAATTATCAATGATTATACAGTATCAATAAAGTCAAAATGTTTAACAACTAATAATAGCTGACAACATATTTTAATTTTCTGACATTTAAAAAAAATAAAATAACTAATAAAATTGTAGTTGTTAATTTAATTAAAAAATGATTATCTGGTTTTACCAGATTGGGTACAGTAGTAGTAGTACTGAGATCGGGTAGTTAAGTGTCAAATACTGTCGGATAAATTCATACCGGCGCCCAATATATAGATATCTCTATTGTTAAGATCAAATTGTTTGTCCAAATTTGTCGATAAATTTTTAACAAAAAGTTTCATTTCGTCGATTTGGATAAAACTTTTGATGAGTACATCGGGTTTGACAGCATTTACGGCCCTATCGTATATTAATCGTAGGTCTGTTCTCACTGTTGAACACATAGTTTATTAAACAATATGTATAATAATATTATTAAATATTCAAAAAAAGAAGACAATTATTGATAATAAAATTATATAATATTATTAATCAATAATATTACTAAATAGTTAATTTAATGTTAATTAATTTATATATAAAAATACACTAGGTAAAATCATATTTTTTGTTACAGTTTGTCATAACTATTTATGTAATTTTCGATAAACAACATAAATGATTGGTCGATGATATTAAGCGCCACTTTATAAACTAGCATATCATATGATTGTAATTTTAAACCCAAAAAAATTGATTTAGCTAGCTTGAATTTTATTATAATAATTTTTTTAATAAATATTTTGTGTCATCTATAAATTATTATAATTTAAAATAGGTTTTATTATTTGTATTATGATTATTATTATTTTTTTGTTAATACAGAATAAATATATTATGAATATATTTTTATCATCAAAGATGCAAAAAAAATATTAAAAGTAGTTTTTAATATTGATATTTAAGTAATTCATACATACATTTGTGTTTAATTAAACACAAAACAAAAAAAATAATCATATTTTATTTAATTGTATTTTAAGTGTGAAAGCAATGCAATTGCAATTATTTCAATGTTATTGACCTTTCAATTCTACTACAAGTGCTATCATCACAGGTATTGTAGGAAACAACCGGTAATTATAATTATAGGTATTTATTTAATATAAAGTGGGAGAAACTTTTTTTTCGGTGTTTAAAAATCTATAATTTTATGCATAATTACCCATAAAAATATGGTTATGGCTAAATATTGACGCAACAGTTTTTTCAAACAAAATGATGAGAGAGAGAGAGAGAGAGAGAGAGAGAGGAGAGAGAGAGAGAGAAAGAGAGAGAGAAAGAGAGAGAGAGAGAGGGAGAGAGAGAGAGAGAAACGAGAGAGAAACGAGAGATAAACGTTTTACAAGCAAAGCACAGGTGCCTTACATAGACAGCACTGGTATGCAAGAGAGTGAGAGTGTGTGTACCTGTACTTGAGGGCATCGGACATCCGATTCTAATTTAGGATATTAAGGATCCGGGTTTCTATGCTAGGCTACCAGTCCTCTCCTCACATTCAATTGGTGGGTCAGCATATTTTATTTTATTATTTGAAAATTCACGCAATACTTTTTCAAATAGAGATGAGTGTGTATGTGTATGTGTATGTGTATGTGTATGTGTATGTGTATGTGTATGTGTATGTGTATGTGTATGTGTATGTGTATGTGTATGTGTATGTGTATGTGTATGTGTATGTGTATGTGTATGTGTATGTGTATGTGTATGTGTATGTGTATGTGTATGTGTATGTGTATGTGTATGTGTATGTGTATGTGTATGTGTATGTGTATGTGTATGTGTATGTGTATGTGTATGTGTATGTGTATGTGTATGTGTATGTGTATGTGTATGTGTATGTGTATGTGTATGTGTATGTATTTATGTATGTATGTATGTGTGTGTGTGAGTGTATGTGTGTGTGAGTGTATGTGTGTGTGTGTGTGTGTGTGTGTGTGTGAGTGTATGTGTGTGTGAGTGTATGTGTGTGTGTGTGTGTGTGTGTGTGTGTGTGTGTGTGTGTGTAAGTGTAAGTGTAAGTCAGTGAGTGGAGACAACATATCTATAATTTATACAATTTAATCAGCAATTAATTATATTTCTCTCTCTCTCTCTCTCTCTTTTTTCTCAATTGCATCTAAACTGTTAACGCATTCAGTGACCTATAGTAACCTATTCACAATATATGATAATGATAGGAAAATTTTAAAGTTAAAAAAAATATTGTTCAACAATTATTATTATTAGTCACAAAGCAATTATTCCTATTAATTTTATTCTCTCTTTCTCTCTTTCTCTCTTTCTCTCTTTCTCTCTTTCTCTCTTTCTCTCTTTCTCTCTTTCTCTCTTTCTCTCTTTCTCTCTTTCTCTCTTTCTCTCTTTCTCTCTCTCTCTTTCTCTCTCTCTCTCTCTCTTTGATAATAATAAATAATTTAATTAAAGTTAACCAACAATTAAAAATTGAACGCTCAGCTGACTTCAAGGGTAGATATATTTATAAACAAACAAATAAATAAAATAAAATAAAAAGTCAAGTGTTTTATTATTATAAAAAAAGATATATTTATGGCAATTAGTTTTCTAGAAAAAATACTGTAGTAGTGTTTGTAACCTTCAAATTAAATATTTGTAATAATAATAATAATAAATATTTAATTAGTAAACTTGAAGAGTTCACACATCTCTCAGCAAAATAAAAAAATACACAAAAAACAAAACATAACTTCAATGTCACACAAAATATAGCAAAATTTTAACTCATCGGAAGTCATGAGATATCATATATACAGTATATATATATATAAGCAGTTTTCATAGGAATTTTCATTGAATAACAAAACAACTTTCAATTTTTATTACCACTATTTCAACAAATTTTTATATACAGTAGATATTTATTGCATAAAAATGTTAATCAGTTGTTGACAAATATAAAATTCAGATGAAATATCTATTATATATTATATTTATAATTAAATACTTGTATAAATAAGTAAATATGTTTATCACATAAACATCCTATTAATCAATGAACTTTTATTTTTAATTAATGGGCTAATAATTTTTACTTAATATATATATTTGTTGTAACTATTATTGGCTAGTATTTTATATTTTGGAAATTATTTTTTTTCTGTAAAAAATATTTATAAATATAATTGCATATCAACCGCATGAGTAATGTATTTAATCAAATTTAGTTATCAAAAATTAAATGATGATAAATAAATACATAAAAATTTTACACATATTTTTCAAGTACATGTTCCCAATACGTCTCTCTCTCTCTCTCTCTCTCTCTCTCTCTCTCTCTCTCTCTCTCTCTCTCTGGCAAAAATAAATGGCAAAATTAGTTCATCAATCAGTGACTAAAACATATTATTTTTGTTGTTAAAATAGTATTAAAATTAATTATATTTATAAACATATTTCAAAAAATATGTTTTTATTTTATTTTTTGTTGTCGAAAAAAACTAACATTAATTTCAATGGCATTGAAATAATATATAAATATATGTCTTTTTTTTAGTGAAACATTTTTCGCCTGAAGATTTTTTTTGATTTAAAAATGATTTAAATATTACACTTTTTAAAATCACACATATAGTACTGTGAATATAATATATTGGTTTTAAGCAAATATTATGAAAATAATGGTGTGATTTAGGATCAAAGCCAAGAAAAAAGTCATCAATAGTTTAATATGCATTTTAGTACCAAAAAAAGTTACTTAATTTTTTTGGGGAATATCTTTTTTAGAGAAAAAAATTATATATTAAATACTAAAACAGAAGGTCATTATTGCAATATAATTGTAATTTTTTTTATTAATATAAATTTCTTTTGGTTGTTAAACTGATTGACTAATATATATATATAAATTAATTATAATTAGTATTTCATAAGTTTATTAATATAAGAGATAATACTTTTTTTTATAAAAAAAAATAATAAAATTTAAATGTAAAAAAGATAAGACATTTTTAATAAAATAATTTTTATAAAAATCTACTATTGGATTAACTATTATATATCTGTATGTCTTTTTTTGGAGTTCAATAGTCTATTAATTAGATAAAAAATCGTATGTTTGGTACATAGAGCTTAGGTAGTCGTCCTTGTGCTACTTTGCGCCACTTATGCCATACCTATGCCATACCTCTCTGTGTGTGCCGTTCCTCTATACCTGTAGTACCCATACCTATGTGTGCCCAAACGCCTTATTCAATTTTGCGTTCACTTTCATTTATGATTTTTGATACAAACACCTAACTAAACTTTGTATGTATGAACTGTATGTATGTATATGTGTTTGTGTGTAAGTATGTGTGTGTGTGTATGTGTGTGTGGTTTGCAAAACCATTAGAGCACTGGTAGTTTATTTTTAATGACCATTCATATAGTGATTGCCTCTTGAGAAGTGAAAGTGAGAGATAAAGAGCATTGTATTTGGAAAAAAATAAAATAAACTTTTATATATTTTTTGGACTACATTTTATTTTTATATATATATACTAAAATAATATTTATCTATATATATATCTATCTAAAAATGTTTTCCATTGTATATAATGTTCCAACTGTTATAATAAATTTAATTATATTATCAGTGTTTTATGCTAACAATAATAGTTATGTTATTGGTTTGCCAATAAATTTTGATAATCAACTCAAACATTTATGGTTTAGTTATATAAACCAAACATTACAACTATTGAACAATGCTATTATTATCAATAATAATACTTTAGTTGATGACACCGGCGATCGTCTATCAATTAAATGCATTGACGACATCAACCAAGTTATCATCGGTGCACGTAATGGCCAATATTGGGCTAATCATAGTAAGAAATAATTGTTTTATATATATAGATAAATATAATATTTAAATTTTAAAATTATTATGTAATCATTATTAAATTATATCTCATTTTTTTATTTAAAATAATTCTATAAATATAAAACCTTTTAATCTATTTTTTTATGTGTAATGTAATTAATATATAATATGATTATTAAAAATTTATAATAGTTTCCAATCTATTAGTAATCTTAACACCTGACTGTCATTAACACAAAGTTTTACAACACTTAGTCCTCCCAAATGGGAATATATTCATATACTGTGCAATAAAATTATTAATTGAATATATAATTTTCAAAGTGTGTGTGTGTGTGTGTGTGTGTGTGTGTGTGTGTGAGAGAGAGAGAGAGAGAGAGAGAGAGAGAGAGTAATCCAATAAAATAGGGTAATATGTATTACTAATATCACAACATATAAGTATATATCATATAATACACATACATATCTAACATAATGACACATTGAACCAGTGATGGTATTTTGCTCTCTCCATGTGCTAACAGAGTTGGCGGGTGTCAACCAAAAGGTTATTTCTCTCTCTCATTCACTTTCATTCAATTGTGTTGTTATTGATAGTCAAAGAAGTCAATTGTTAGTAGCAATGATGTGTTTGTTGCCCTTTTATGACTCTATATTTCTTAGTATGTCTACTATACTTTTAAAAGCGTTTATAGCCTCCAGTGATGGCCACAACAAAAATTATAACTACTGTATGTGTGTGTCTCCATGTATTGTCAATAATATTATTTTTGCCAAACACACCACCAGTAATGTCCTTAACTATTGTCAAAATATAAAACGGCTAAAAATTGAAGAGAGAGAGAGAGAAATACCCATTAAGTGAAAGTGAAATCCTAAACAACAGGTAAACAATTGACCAAAAACTCAGACAACGTCTCAATTGTTTGAGAAAAATATTTTGGTTGACCTCCAATCAAGTCATTGACTATCAATTTAACAAATCTATTATAGATTCAATTTTTTTTCTAAAAAAGATATATCTATAGATTAATACTTTTTTTAAAAAAACTATTAATTAAATTAAACGTATTTTTCTGAATTATACAGTATATACTGTATATGTAAATAAATTTTCTATTACTAGTTAAGTCAGTAATCATTTTATACAAATAGATATATCAATACGTAAATTATATTCAGTATATAAATATAAAATTAATTAATATATTATGTCAGTCAGTGTGTCAATTGCACATATTATGCAATGTAATGCTATAATACTAGTATTTATAAAATACTTATATATCAAAAGTGATTTCCCAATAAAATAATATAAAAAATTTCAAAGCCATTATTATTTCACATATCATAAATATATATATAAAATATAAATTACATAATTATAATTTTTTACAAATGATATTACAAATAATAAATTAGTCATTTTTAATAATATCTAGTATTCAATAATAATTATAAATATATTAAAAATTTGTTTCAGTAATTGATTCAATGGGTCGGCCTAATTCTGGTATCTTAAGGATGAGTTTGTCGTTTTTGGGCGAATACTCCCAGTGCTTGGATACAGAGGCGCCTAATTTTCAAACACAATACTGTTTGGCGACAATACAATTGCCGAAAAGCGACTCTCATTTTTTATATGTAATTTATTTTGTTTGTTTGTATAATAATAAACTAATTCAAAAAAACAATTAATATATGTTTTTGTATACTAAATGTTTTTCTCCTATCCCTGCCCTCCCTGTCTCCCTCCCACCCACCCCAGCAATTGACCAGTTATGATTGGCATACCCTATCGAAAGTTCCGGTCAAGTTAGGTATCTGTATGCCGTCCTCGTGTACAACATCGATGGTCACAAAGCTTACTAATTCAAGTAAGTTATCAATTTTATATATATATATATATATTGGTTTTATATGGTCATCAAAAGTTTGTGCTAACAAATTGCTAACACAATAATACTTTTATAATATAATAATAACAAATAACAATATGTGCCACTAATTCATACACAAATATACAGTATATTCAATATATATCCCTTAAATGACTCTTTCGTGCAAATCATACGATTGTTATATATTTGCCAAAAAAAAAAGTTTTGTAATTAATGTATCGTATATTTAGCACAAATAGATTATGTATTTAGCAAAAACACTAATAATTTATCTATAATAACATTTTTTTAAAATGATCATTAAAAATTTATTTAATAATAATAATTCTATGTATTTAATAATGCTTTTTATTTAAAAATATTTTCAGTTACTTCTAACCTAATAAGCAATTCAAGTGTTTTGATTAATAAATGCTACAAACGAAGCGATAATAACATTGAAACTGACATATCATCCATAGCTATGATGTAATTGAATTAATAATATTTTTTTGATTATTAAAATTTATGCACAAAAAAAAGTTATATAAATTTTAAATTATATTATTATTAGATGTGTTGCCTCTATAATAATGGTTCTGATAATATGCGGTACACTCTGTGATCATTATAAACTTGAAAGTCAGTCACAGCTGGAACTGTTGTACAGTGCAACTACTGGTTCCCAGAAGATTGCCAAACCCTACGAGACCTATGAGGACAATACTAAACCGCTTTACTATAATATTTTACTATCGTTTTCGTTGAAAACTAATGCCAAGAAAATCTTTGACACAAACAGTACCGACAGTACAATACAGGTGTTTCACGGCATTAAAGTATTGTCTATGCTTTGGATACTAATTGGACACTCATTTGCTTTTGCCGTCCAATGGATGACATTTAGTTAGTTATTATTTTTTTATCTCTCATTACTTTTTAAATTACAATAATTAAACAAAAAATTAACTCATAATTTAATTTTTATAAAAACACATTATAGGAAATCCAGTGACAGTTTTAAAAGTGCCTCAAAATATATTGAGTCAATTGTTAGCCAACGGCACCTTTTCAGTTGACTGCTTCCTATTTATCAGGTATTTATGGACCCCATCCCTCCCTCCTTAACGCCCGCCCCCACAAAAAATGTCTAATTATTTAATAATTCAATATCTATTTAAATTTTTCCTATCAATTTTCAATCAGCGGATTTCTAGTATCTTATTTAGTTATGCGAAATATGAGCCGATATAGTGGTACACCAAACATACTGATGCTCTACTTGAACCGTTATCTCAGGATGACACCGGCAATGATGGCCGTAATAGCATTCAGTGCTACTCTATTGAAATATCTGGGTTCAGGTCCTCAATGGTCCGAATCGATAACAATGTTCAACCAGTGGTGTCAAACAAATTGGTGGATTAATAGCCTATATTTGCATAATTTTATCAACACTAATAATATGGTATTAAAACATACACGACTTTCCTTTTAATTTTTGTTAAGCATTTTCATTAAACTAATTTCAATTTTTATATCATTAATCCTATATAGTGTTTAAGTCATTCGTGGTATTCAGCAGTCGATATGCAACTCTATATAATGTCTCCTATAATACTAATACCATTATATCTTAAACCAAAGCTCGGGCTAACACTGGCACTGTTGGTCCTCATGAGTTCAATGATATTTACTGGTTATCTATCGTTTGCTAATGGATTTCCAGCCGTTCCCTATTTCAGTGATGTTATGTAAGTGTGTGTTGTTGTGGTGTTTGTTTGTGCCAATGCCTTGAATTTTTTGTTAGTCTAATAATTTAAACCATACTAGCGATCAACAAGTGGTCAATCAATACTATGGTCTGCTTTATATAAAACCCTACTGTCGTTTGGGTCCATATTTGGTGGGAATAGTTTTAGCATATTTTATCTATACATCCCAAAGGGATATTAAACTTAAAAAAGTAATTAAAAATATATATGAATTTAAAACAATTATATTGTTATTAACACTATATGTTGCTTATCTACACACTATAGGTTTGGGTTAGCACTGGTTGGGTATTATCAGTAGTGACTAGTTTGTCGGTATTGTTTGCCATGTTTCAGGCCAACAATGGTAATGTTCCCGAAGTACACTTTGCAGCCCTTTACAGTGCCACATCCAGAACCATATGGTCACTGAGTTTGGCCTGGACTACATTTGCCTGCATCAATGGCTACGGTGGTCTGGTCGGTGCCTTTCTATCCAGTAAACTATGGGTACCATTTAGTCGACTAACTCATTGCGCTTATCTCATACATCCCATTGTAATGGCTGTACTGTACGGAACACGACAGCACTCATTTGATTTTTCTAATTATCTTTTTGTAAGTTATTTTTTATAATATATATAAACTAATTTATATAATCAATTACAATGTTGTTTATATATATATATATCGGTAGATATACTTAACAATTGGTCACATTTTGATAACCTATGTCATGGCCTTAATCGTCTCGTTGGCCATCGAGTCGCCATTCATTGCCATTTCCAAGTTATTGTTAGCTAAACGGTTGCACAGTTGATCGCATAGAGTCAATAGCTTAACAATGATCCTGTACTTACTTTTTATCAATAATATATATATATATATATATATATCATACAAACATTAGAAAACAACAATTCATTGCATGTCATTCATCGTTATCGTCCATATCATAATTGCCATCAGATTTTTTTATGTAATATATCTAAAAATATCATACATTATATATATATATATATTATATATATTTACAAAAAAAACTATTGATAAGACGGTTGTCTATAAAAAAAAAGTTTACAATAAATGAGACAAAGTAACCAATTTGTCATATCTTTGTCACAATAAATATATCAAAACATATCAAATTTATTCAAAAAAAAAATTTAAATAATAATTAATACCAATGTTTAAACACACAGACACACAAAAAATCCAAATTTGAATTCATACTTCAAGAAAAAGATTTTTTAAGGTTATAATTTAATAATTTAAATATACAAATGCATAGATTATATATATAGGGGAATAGTATATTAAATTAAGTCATAAAACATTTATCAATTGGTAATATATATATATGTATGTAATTAAAGGAATAGTTAGATATCATATATTTATTTATATATATCTTACCGAACCATTTGTATTTGAGGTCTCTCTAGACATGCTCTTAGTGTGAAAAAATGTGTTTTTTAAACTGTATTTCCTAAATAAAATTATCATTTTTTCAAATATATATATTATATCTATAGTACACAACATTGAATTCATGAATAATTAGATTTAAAAAAATTAATTTAGGATAAAAATAAAACTAAAGCAATAATTATAAAGTTATTCAAATATTATAAATATATATATAAATAAAAATTTATGTTAAAACAATTTCAATGACACAAATTCTTCCAAAAAATTGTTATGACAAATAAATACCACCTTTTTGTTTGTTTAAAATGGTTGGTACATATCCATCAGCTTACGGAACCAATCAATGCAACCCCAATGATGATGATGACAGTGATGGAGGAAGTGGTGGGCGAGACATTCAGGAGGCGCTGTTAAAATGTATGTGTGTTTCTACTGTTTGTATGGTGTGAAAGTGTTATCATTGAATAAATGATAAAATGTAGAAGTAATATGAATTTCAAATATATCAATGGCATCACATAATCACTGTAAGAGATAAATAAATCGCAATTTTGCATATAATTTATACCTTCAGTCGAAGTTTTTTTCAATAAAAATTAATTTTAAAATACAAATAAAATTTTGCATAATTTCATCAATCAATCAATATATAAATACATATAATCTTAATAATGTCAATATCAATGTCAATAGTTAATAATAAATTCAAATCAAATATAAATCTCAAATCAATATATTTTATCAATCATTTAAATTAAATTAAATAACTCACACCTATAAGCATAATACTTACCGGTCGTTAATAATAGAGAGATAGAGAGTATAATCTGAAAGAGGCTAACTATTTATGCAAATATTGGTAACATTTATCATAATAAAATTAAAATCATAACAATAATAATTCATATTTCATATCAATAATATAATATCATATCTCAAAAAATATCAATTGAATGATTACCCTTTTTTTGTTTGGTTTAACTCATAGTAAAATAACAATTATAACAATAACTTACCGAAAAAACAATATCTTAAGAGTTATGCTGTTGCTGTGGATTTGGTGGATAATTCCCATAATTATATCCGGGATAAGCCACTGGATTGGCATTACCCGAACTTTTGTCACCCCCGTCGGCTCCTTGATGATCATCGGATGGCTATATAAAAAAACAAATTAGAAAACAAAATTTTTAATAATGCAACTAAAAATATTACCGGTTTAGGTCCCTGAGCCTTATACTGAGCCAACATTTGCTCCATTTGTTCAGCTTCTTTGACCATACCATAAGCTCTATAGTATTCAGCCCATTGGCGATAGATTGCCTCCTGATTTCCCGATTGTGACGGATCACCAGGTTGTTGGCCAGCGGCGGCGGCAGCAGCCTGATCGGCGGCTGAACCATTGGTGGGCATTGAATAGTTAGAAGTCGCTGTAGCGGCGGGAGCCTGGGGTGTTGTCTGCTGTGACTGAGCGTAGCACTGGGCGTAGTAGGCTGCCCAAGCAGCATAGTTAGCCTCTTGACCTTTATCTAAAAATAATTATATAATTATATGTTAATAGATTAAACTAAATTCAAATAACATCAAAAATTAAATTTGAATAAAATTAATTAGTAATCTATTTTAATAGATAATTTTGCGACAGTTTGACACTCAATTAGCCACAAATAGCTAATTAAGCTCTAATCTGCGCTAATAAAAACTAATATTAATGATAATAATAAACTAAATGATAACAACTAACCTTCATTTTGCGTTTGTTGTTGTTGTTGTTGTTCTGATTGTTGCCAATACTGTGGCCATTGATTTGATGGACTATCACTGTTGTGTGAAAAAAAACATTAGTCATAATTTTCAAAACAATAATTTCAGGTTTTTGTTAACCTGTATGAACTGGGAGTGGCATTGGAGGTGCCGTTAACCTTATCCATAATCAATGCCTGGGCGTACTCTATCTTGTCTGGTGGACCACGAATGATAAACACCTTTTCTTCGGGACTAACATTTCGGGAAACTTTTTCCAATTCGATATCACAACCTGACTGTTGTTTCAATTGTTTAATAGTATCGCCACCTCTGCCGATGACAGCACCGGTTCGGTGGGCAGGTATAGTAAAACGTACTTCGTCGCCATCCCTGTGCTTCGACGGTCCTCTGCCTTGCATTGCGTTTTCGACAATTTCGTTGACCATATCGACAGCTTTCTTGACTGGATCGGGATTGCCATTGATCTGACATATCTTATTGCCGTTCGGATCAACTTTGGTGGTATCGAACTGTACTTTACAGCCGCACTCTTGCTGTATTCGACGTATAGTTTCGCCTCCTTTACCGATAACCAAACCTATATACTGTGGCGGAACCGGAACTTCGACATTACTATATCGTTGACTTCCGTAATCGTTGGTTGGATTCTTGCTAAACGGATTGCTGGTCTTTAGCCGAACCGTTTCGATCTCTTTTTCGGTCAACAAATCGTTGACCAAATGCTGCGCGTAATCAACTTTGTCAGGCAGACCAACAATACGCAACTGTTTGTCAACTTCGGTCGGTTCATTGGTTTCCTGAAACACTGTCATCCGAACGTTGGCTCTTTCCTGTAGATTCCTAATCATTTCGCCTCCTTTTCCGATAACATAACCAACTTTATTGCCCGGAATCATCATATCCAGTGTCTTCTCGCCGTTCATAACAATGCCGTCAAAATATTTTTGATTTTTATTCGGTTTATTTGTCGAGTTCTTGATGGCCGCTAATTGGGCGCCGATTGCTAAATAAATTTTTAAAATATTAATTAAGTCTTTAATTAAATAGTTTTTTAAAATAAACTATCGATACATACGATCATTAAACGATGCCGGCCTCTTCGGTTCATTACAATAATCTTTAAAAACAAAACAAAAATTGAGACCAATTAGTGACCAAACATTACCGGTAATAATCATACAGTAATTATTATCGATATCAACTGTGATAAGATCTACTATCAAACGCTACTCATGAGTTAAATTGGGAGTTAGTGTTAGCGAATTCTTATCTAATTGTTTTTATATAGCATTTACTTCAATCATATCACAAGAATTAGAGACGAGTGATACTTCAGTACACAGTAATGCCGGGTCTTTAAACAAACCCATTAAACATAATAATACATTAGTATAGTAAGCATAGTATCCATACCGTCATCGAGAGATCGTTTTCCGGAAAAGGATGTGTTGTTATTATCGGATGACGACGAAGATGTCGACGAAGACGTTGGATTTGGATTAGACTCTCGACTTATTTTTGCGGCCAACTGTTTTTGCGGTGAAGCAAATCATTAGGACATATTGTTAATATAAATCATTGATGGACTAATAGATACAATAGTTATGAATGTATGTTTGATCCCATACCTGTCTGGCCCGTTGTAGGGCCTCTTGAAAGGCCTGGTTTGAAATGGCCGACCCATTGGAGTCCATGTTTTATCGTTTTGTTCAGACAATGCTTTTTGTGTGTGATTTTACACACAAACGTATATGACTTTTACAAACCAACTGTTTGTTCACAGTTTGGTCACAGATTAGGTGGTCTGAAGACTATTTTATTTTTAGTCAATCAATTGATTCAATCAAATAAAATACAATTTAATTGATTTTATTTTTAATTAAATCATATCGTCGTCGATGTCATCGATGGTCACATCAAATGTGGTTTTTTTTTGGTTGCATTCAATGCTTACAATATATGTGTGATTGACTATAGAGTCTATAGTATTCAATACTATATACTATAGACTGCTATTACAGTAATATTAATACCAGTATTAATAGTGATTCTAAAATATTACGTTCACAACTACTATGACATGTGTTTTACACACACACACACACACAGAACCCCTCCCCCTCTGTCTATCGATGCATTGTTTATGTATTGAATTGCAATGTATTTGTAACAAAAAAACATTTGACATCCGCTTAAAGTGCAACGTTGTATTTGTGTGGCCCATACACTTACACACATAAACTATAATATATGGAAATGCCGTCAAAAAAAACGTGGACTCAATATCTCTAAATTACAGTATTAAACGTAACGTTATGTGTGAACAACAATTTTTTTGGGTTAACTACAGTACTATAGTATTAGTAATACTATTACTAATAAAAAGTAATATACAGTAAAAATGATTGCATTTTGAAATAAAAATAGTCTTTAATTTATTTAATACTTTTAATACATATAGTAATACATATATATTATTGAATATATAGTAAATTGAATTACAAAACAAAACAAAAATCTAAATCAAGTTTTCAAATACAACTTAACAACAATACAACTGTAATCTAATATTAATAATAATAATAATAATAATAATAGTATTTCAAACACACATTGAAACATAATGTTTACATTTTTATTAGTAATTTAGTTTTTTTTAAATAAAATTTTTAAAAATACAGTAGTGATGTAAATAAATATCATATATTTAATATCCTGTATAATGTTTTTTTTATTAATAATATTAATTAATAAATAATTTAATAATAATATTGATTTCAAAATAAAAGTTCAGTTAATTATTAAGTCAACGATAATATTATTATAATTATATATTATTTATTTTTTGCTGGCATTCAATACCTATTCATATGTAAGACATTATTATTTAAATTAATTATTTATGATTATTATTGTATTAATTATTAGTTTTGTTTATATATCATATATATATATATATATATATATATATATATTAAACAAATCAATTGTGTGTTTATTTATTGTAATTTTTTAAATTAAAAAATAATAAGTTATTTAATAATCAGATCCCATGTCTTATATTAAATATCAGATGTTTTGTGTGTTTGTTTGGATGTGATGTCTAAATACAGTATAAAATACATGACGTGTTTTCACACATAATTTTTAGGGTATTTTTTAGGATATATTTATTATTATAATACCAATAGTTTTATTGATTTTTTTTCACGCTATGTATTAATACATAAATCTATTGATTGGTTTGCCATAAAAAATATATTTATTTTTATAAAAAAAACAACAATTAATTACAAACAATTTTTATTTCATAATAATAATTAATATTAATATTTTTTTCAAGTCTATTGTAGTTATTATTAATATATCATAATTTATTTTAATTGTTTTTTAGCTGATCTATTGTTTTTTTTGTTGGTGATTATATCACATATAAGTTTTAACCAATTAATTTGCCGATTATTTATGTGTAATAAAAATCGTGATTTTGAAAGACATTTATTATTTTTAAATTAAAATTTTTTTTCGCTGCTATCTATGATAACGATGACATGATTTACTTATGTACTTTCAATGTACTTATTAGTAGATATCGTATTATTTAATATAATCAGACAAAAATTCATTGTTTATATGTTTATACTGTGTGTATATTATATTATTTGATTATATTTTTTTAGACACATTGGAGTTTGTATCGGTTGTATATATATGTGATGGTTGTTATCGCTATATTAATATGTTTTTAAAAATGATAATTACATTTGAATACAGTATAGCGATAGCCTTATAATAATAATTTTATTAATAGGTTTGTATGGGATTTTCAATAATATATATGCCGTATATAAACAGTATATTGTATATATAATTACAGTTAAATTTGTTAATTATATTACTGATATTTGAAGTATTTAAAAAAATAATAATAATGTTTTGAAACATAATATTTATAGTTAATTTTCATATCAATAATTTGTTATTTAACTTATTAATATTTTAAAAAAGCGATCTTGAATTTTGATGTACTGTACTTAATAAGCATTCAAATCAATTATAAAATCAAGTTTTTATTTTATTTTTTATCTAACTTTCCCTCTTTATCTCTCACTCTCTTACACACAGATAGATAGACAGATCCGTCCCATTCATTGATTTGACGAAAACTGGATTTAGATTTTAAGAGTTATATCCAATAGATTTAGTTGTTTTCAGTCGTCGTTTAGTTTTACATCACATATTGTATACATATATTATATATTAATTTATAAATATATATTTGAAGAGTTAATGTCTTTAAAAACAGTTATTTAGTTTCGTTTTGTGTTATTATTGTTATTAATTGTCTGTGTATATGAAAAGCAATTGATTTTTATTTTAAAAAAAAAACTATTTATCAAGAATTTGCAACAAAAAAAGACATGAGATTAACAATGACACCAATGAATGGGAGGAATCGGTTGGTGATGAAGACATTGCTATTTGTGGCCATCTATATCGGTCTCATCACTGGATCCGATATGGCCTTCTGGAAGGCATTGATGTTTGTCTTCATATTATACCTCATCACTGGTGGCCATCGATTTGCATATATTTTCTATATGACTGTTGGACGTGATTTAAAGTATGTATTATTTATTATTTATAAAAAAAATATTATTAAATTAAATTATTATTATATTTCTATTAATACTCTTATAATAAATTAATAAACAGTATTAATATTTCTATTAATGGATATCTCATTGATTTTATTATAATCATTAAACATGATTTTTTTATTTAATAAATTTTAATATTATATTTATATAAACAAAACATATAAGTATTTTTAAGTACATTTTTAAATTATATTTATTTCTAAATTTTTTTATTAATCAATTTTCATATTTATTATTAATGGCGCATTTAATTAAAATTATATATTTTATGCTAAATTTAAGGTTAGGTTTGTTTTTTAATTAAATTTAAACCCAATGTAAATATTCTATGAATTCTTTAAATAAATATCTAATTTATTGCTAATTTATATATAAGTTAATAAAAGTTAAGTTTACTCTACATTATAATATTTACGGGTAAATAGTAATAAAAATTTATTAGCAAATAATCATGTGATAAGTTTTATAAATGAATATTTAATGTAATAAAAAAAGAAAAGATTTTTGTTTATTAAATGATAAATTGAATTTAATGTAATTTGAATATAATTTGATTTAAGGAGATTTAATTTAGTAGTATTTATTGTCATATTATTTACTTAATTTAATTAATTAAATGATGACAATGAGATGCATTTAGCAAAATATATTCACAAAAAAAGTTAATATAAAAAAGTTTAGATTAAATAAAAAGTGAAATGTGTTAATGGCCTACAAATATATAAGACATTTAGTCAAATTGGCTCATATAATGTCATTATTATTATTATTATTGTTTAATAGGGAGATTGAGGTCGTGTTAAACCATATTATTATTACTTGTTTTTTATAATTTATTTAATAAAATAGTAGCCACAATATGTTGTTTTTTAAAAAAAATTTTTGATAGTAACGGTACTAATTTTATTACTATTATATATAAACTCTCAATCTGTATAACATATATTGTTTTGTTTTTTAATAAATAATTTAATGCTAATTGTATGTCAGATGGGATAACAAATTTTTTTTAATGATTGTATTAAACTTGATTATTAACTCAGCGGTAATGATAGATAGATAGATAGATAGATAGAGAGAGAGAAAAAAAATATCGTTACAAATATCAATATCAATGACTCTTATGTTAATAATTTGAGCTAACTTTCCTCCAAATAATCTCTCTCTTTCTCTCTCTCTCTCTCTCTTTCTCTTAAAACAACTTGTATTTTGTGGCATAAATAAAATTATTAAAAAAATATAGATATTAATCTCAAGAAATTATATTAGAAATGATATAAACTTGACACCAATAAGTGGTTGGGTATCGCTATCTCTCTCTCTCTCTCTCTCTCTCTCTCTCTTAAAAAACAATGTATAGTTTAAAAAAATTATGATTCACTACTACTATACTAATAAATGTAATAATTAGTTGCAAATCTGTATAATGATATATACAGTATATATATATTTCACTTTAAAAGGAAAGTTAAGTTAAATATCATTTTTTTATTTAAAAAATAATGTTTTATCCGATGGATTGGGTCGAGAGGTCACAAAACATGCTATCGATTGCATGAATGCAAAAAAATTGTACTTAATTTTCAATTATTTTATTTTATATACTTTTAAATAACCGATTAAAATATTGATAGAAATATTTTTGTTTATAAAAATTTTATCGCTGACTAATTATTAATTTGTTAAATAAATGAAAGATATTTTTATAAAAATATTGTCACATATTTTAAATTGGATGTATAGTATTGCATACCATTAATTAATGCATAGATTATTTATCCTAAAAATATTTTTCCATTAAATGAATTTTTGATTATTTAGCAATAATATTGAATATATATACTATATGTAGTAAATAAATACAATAGCAATTCGTTTATAGATATATTTCTTAAATTATTTTGTAGTCAAAAAAAAGTTTTACTTTAACTTTTTGTTTTTGTTTTTTTCAAAAAATAAATTAAAATCTCATATATTTTAAACAAACACTTAGGAAAATCTAGTTTATTTGAGTCATCTCTCTCTCTCTCTCTCTCTCTCTCTCTCTCTCTCTCTCTCTCTCTCTCTCTCTCTCTCTATGTTTGTGTCGGAAAAAGTTAAAACAATATTGAAATTTAAAGTAACACTTATTCTCATTTTTTTTGTTAAAACAATTTTTTCTAATAGTTTTCTCATTTTTCACTGTTTGTTTAGTGTGTAAATATAACTAAAAATTAATAGCTATTTTATATTAATATGTTTTAAAGCAATTATTTTTATGTGTATTTACTAAGATTTTATGTTTTCAAAAAAAAGTAAACAACAATTATAAGATTTCCTCATCCGTTAACTCTTGAGATAAATTTTTATTGTAATAGTTTTTATTATTTTTTTTTTTTGTTAATGTTTGATGAGATTCTGCAATTTAATGAAATAATAGTTGTAAACATAAAATACACCCACAAACACACATAAAATATTATTTTTATTTTTAATTAATACATATTCAAATAATTATATATATTTTTTAAATAAATTTATTACATGTAATTTACAGGAGTTTATTAAGATTCAAGAAAACACAATTATATTTATATATATTGAAGAGACAAAATGCAACGGTTCCCAAATTGTTTGCCAAATTATGCCAAACCCATGCTAGTCGAGTACTCTTCTATTTCGAAGATCAAAAATGGACATTCGGTCAAATCGACGAACTATCCAATCGGGTGGCCAATCTGTTTCTCGAATACGGCTACCATCCAGGCCAAGAAGTGGCCCTATTTATGGACAATCGGCCCGAGTATGTGGCCATTTGGTTAGGATTGGCCAAAGCTGGTATTGTTACCGCATTGATCAATACAAATCAACGACTGCACCAATTAGTACATTCAATTACTGTTGTCAATTGCAAGGCTATTATATTTGGCTCTGAATTAACTGATGGTATAAATTATGTTTATATATACTGTATATCTTTATTGACAAGTCTATTGTGTTATATTTAATATATTCAATTGATATAAATTTAAAATTAAATAATTATTATTATCTATTGTTAAATAGCGGTGCGGGAAGTGATGCCATCACTTAATTCTAACTGTTCGATGCAATACTTTTGTTACGGAGATATCGATACAACTAATAACATAACAAATGCAAAATCTCTTAAACAACTTATATCAGAAAGCAGTTGTGAAACTCCCCGCACACTAAATATGGGAAAATTTTGCGGTATTTATCATAAATTAACTTTTTATTTAATTAATTTTTTTTATATACATTATACAAGTATACTGTATACATAATAAACAGTATATAAAATTGAAATTAGGATATTTGTTATTTGTTTTTCTAATCACATTTTTTTGCAATGTATTACCTAATCATTAATATTTTTTTATTTTTATTTATTATCAATCCATTAGTAAAATCAATTAATTAATATTTATGTTCAATAGAAATAAATAGAAATAATAAAAATTTATTGATTGAACTAATTTTTAATATATTTTTGTTGTCGTTTTATTTCATTAAACAGATCGACTTTTTTATATATACACTTCGGGCACAACAGGCTTACCGAAAGCCGCCATCATTAAGCACAGCCGATACCTATGGATGGGATCGGCGATGAAAAATATGATAAAACTACGCAACGATGAAGTTATCTATACTAGTCTTCCGCTGTACCACTTGGCCGGTGGTACGTGCGGTACGTGTCAGTGCCTTATCTTTGGCAATTCAATGGCCATCAGAAGCAAATTTTCGGCCTCAAACTTCTGGAAGGATTGTATTAAATATAATTGCACCGTATGTTTGTGTTTTATTAACAATATAATGGATCAATTAGTTGTTTAAAAAAATAATTTTCAAATTATAATAATAATTGTTTTGTTTTTTGTTTGTTTGTTTGTTTATAGGCCGCACAATATATCGGAGAAATATGTAGATATCTATTGGCACAGAAACCACAGCCATATGATAATCAGCATAACTTGAGAATAATGTTTGGAAATGGGCTCAGACCTAAAATTTGGAGGGAATTCACTCAACGATTCAATATTAAAGAGGTCGGAGAAATGTATGGTTCAACAGAAGGCAATGCAAATATGAGTCAGTTTTCACACATCTATTTTATGGGGGTTTTCATCGGATATATCTAATTGTAATGTTTGTCTCTCTTTAAACTCCACTGTTTAGTCAATGTGGACAATAAGGAGGGTTCGTGTGGTTTCATCTCACAAATCGCTGCATTCCTATATCCGGCATCACTGGTCAGAATCAAAGAATCTACGGGTGAATACATACGCGACGAAAATGGTGTCTGCGTTCACACAAAAGCCTACGAAACCGGCGAATTTGTCGGTAAAATAATCGATTCCGATCCGAGCCGATCGTTCGATGGCTACGCTAACAAAGAGGCGACCAAAAAGAAGATCATCACAGATGTGTTCAGTAAAGGCGACCGAGCATTTGCTTCGGGAGATCTGTTAACAATGGATGAGTTTGGTTATCTGTATTTCAAAGATCGAACCGGCGATACGTTCAGATGGAAAGGCGAGAATGTGTCGACAATGGAAATCGAGACTATTATCAGCAAATTTATCCAATTAGTCGACTGTGTTGTCTACGGTGTAGAGGTTCCCGGCTGTGAAGGCAAGGCTGGAATGGCTGCCATTCTCGACCAAAACAATGGCTTAGATCTAAATCGATTGCTTCAGAATCTGAAGAAAGTTTTGCCCTCTTTTTCCATACCTGTATTCATACGTATTTGCAAATGCCTTGAAATGACGGGAACTCATAAACTGCCCAAAAATAGTCTACAAAACGAAGGCTACGATCCAAACCTAATTCAAGAGCCGATATATTTTTTTGACGCAAAAAAAGACAAATACTTGCGATTAGACGACAAACTCTATAGAGATATACAAAATAGTTTAGTTAGGTTTTAGTGAAATAAATTTCTTGTCAACAAATATATAGATATATAAGTTATATATAAATATATTATTATTATTATTATGTTTTTTTTATTATTATTTAAATACAAATACAATAGACTCGCTGTGATAGTAATGACATTTGAGATTTATTTTTAAACATTTGAAAAACAAACAAACATAATAATAATAATAGAGAGAAACATTGAATTTTTAAATATAGAAATATTTAAGACAAAAATAACATTTCAAATGTATGTATATTTTTTATAAATTCAAATCAATATTTGTCATAAAATTTTTTTTAATAGTTTTTAAAAAATTCTTTTCACTTTATCGTTTTACACAAACACACACACAATATATATATATATTAATTTTAGACCCAATTTTATTGTTTAAATTTGATTATTAGCTCAACATATAAAAAAAACTCAGATATTTATTATTACAAAACTTATATTTTTAAGACCTAAGTGTTTGGGCGTTATTTTATTTACATAATATTAATATTTTATTTTATTATTGATATATTTCTCGCGAAAAACCCCAAATCAAAAACCCGGACACGACTTGATCTCTAATATCGGTGTCAATCACACGCATATGTTATCATACAAAACCTTATATATAATTATTGGTTATATAAAATATATTGTTTTTCATTATCAAGAAATTATACCTTAAATTATATGAAACCAAATCATTATTACATTTGCTTATTATATATGTTATTATTATTATTATTATTAATAATTCCGATAACACAAAAATTGTCGACACATTACATATAATATTATATTATATATAGTTATAAATGATTTGTATAAAGATTTTCTAAATAATAATTGTTTAAAAAAAAGAGTTGAATTGAAAAATAAAAAAAAGATATCAAATCAAGAAAATCAATTGAATAATAAAAAATGATGACTTTCTACTTAATTGTTTGTATTTATTATTTACCACTGTTTGGATTAATTGGATTATCAGCGATCAGTTGTCAACAACAACAACCACCACCAGTGGATCCATCATCATCTCTGCGTGATATCGATGACATCATTGATGACTATCAAGAAGATAGAGACCTAAGAGACCATTCTCATCAACGATCTAATGGTTCCAGAAGTAAGTTATTGTTATCTATTATTTTTTTAGGTGTCATTTAAAAACTGTCTTTTTTCATTTGACTGACGGGAACTACTACTCTCTGATATTTAATTATAAACTATTTTTTTGGTGATATGACTGTCCCATTACTTATCTAAATAGTGTTACCATTTTTTCAACGACCAAGTCTTCTAAATATTGTTCGCTTCCCGAATGAAGAGTGTTTCGATGCCAGCAACCAAACCGGTACCTGTTATACACCACTTGAATGCAAAAAACTCGGTGGCGTTCCCAGTAGTCCCTGTGCTCGCGGTCTGGGTTCCTGTTGTATAGGTAAGCACTGCCACCGCAGCTGCGGATACGAGAAATAGTTGATCATAAAAAAATAATTGTCTTATTGTGTAAAAATACAGTATCGCGATCGTGTCATAACACGACCTACAATAAAGTGGTTTACTTCCGAAATCCCAGTTACCCGATGCCCGACAATCAGCAAAACTTTTGCGACCTAAACGTTATAGTCTACGACACCGATGTTTGCCAATTGAGACTGGATTTCATTGACTTCCAATTGGATCAGCCAACGTATGGCAACTGTCTGGGCGACAGGTTCTACATATCGGCCTCGGGTTTTGCTCCGATGAGTGTACCGGTGCTCTGTGGACTTAACCGTAACCAACACAGTGAGTTACTAATCTAATATATGTTTAACCCATTTAATAAAGAAAATCAATTGTTAATGTCTTTTTAGTGTACGTAAGTCTGCCACGAGATGGGACCGACCGGACGGCAACCATAGTGTTTGACACTAATTCTGTTGGCGACTATCGATGGCATATCCGGATCACACAAATCGATTGCAACTTTCGCAACAAAAAGAATATGTTGTCCGATAGAAATTCAAGACAATGGGGTGGTTTTGGAACCGGTTTCGGTGGTCTAGGGTTGGGATCTAATCTTCAGGCGCCGTACATTCCGTTTGTTCCGAGAGCACATCCGCCTTATTCATTGCCAGCGCCTATGGGTTGTACTCAAGTAAGTGCTTATAATTCTCATATACAAGAAATTGATTACTACTACTCTATTGATATGTTTTAGTATTTCACTCAACCGATGGCCACTCTCGAGAGCTTTAATTTTGGCGAATACCTGAATAACATGGATTACGCCATTTGTATTGAACGATTGCCCAATACGTGTCGGGTCATATTTACGGCTTCGGATTTTCAATGGTCAATAGACTCGACCAGTCAGCAGGCCGAGAATTCGGGTGTCGGCGATTTGGTCTGCGATCAGGACTACGTCACCATTCCTGGTGGTTCACAGACCGGCGATGGAGACACTAAAGATCGTTACTGTGGAGGACGACTTAGCTATATGTTGAGCGATACCAACGACCGGCCAGTAATTAGCAAAGCTAACGGTCCGATTATTATACGATTTCATACCGATGGCTATCAACGACGCGATACTACCAATAAAGAAGGCTTTCGGTTGCGTTACGAGCAAAGCAGTACCGACTGTATGATGCAGTTTCCCGAAGTTCCCCCAACACAAGTGGTTGTCCAACAGGTAGTCGCACAGTATTTGAAAGAAGACTTTCAGCGAATCGATTTGGAAAAACAGGAACCGATAGTCCATTTGGCCAGACCTGAGACACAGACACACGTCAGGAGTAATGCCAAACATATGAAGTTTTAGACATTAATTTTGTTATAATTATTGTTTAGTTTTTTTTTTAAATAATTTAAATACCGATTTATATAATTATGAAAAAATATTATTAATAATAATATATAAATATACAAATAAATGTAAATATCATATCGTTTTCTTAATCTTAATATTTCCTAAGACACTGATTGTCTTAGACCGGGAAACCAATACCAGGTTTGACCACTCGGTGTCTGTTTGTCAATCCAGAGCAGTCCTTCCATAATCATATCGTCGATAGCTTTGCGAGCTCTTTCATCAGTCCACTGAAGTTCTTTGACAATCATCGATATATCTATACAGCCATTAGTCGATTGAGCCGTTTGTATGATTAAATTCTGGTCTAAACTCAGTTCCGAAGCGACCGACTGAACCAAATAGGTTTTGCCGCACGACATCAGTTTGAGACCCGATCCTAATTTGGCCAACTTTTCGATTGCACGAATCAGATCATCGACAGTAATCTCGTCTTCATGTCGATGATGGCCACCACTGCCGATAGCTTTGGCAGAGTTTCGCGATTGAATCACTCGTCGATGGAGTTCATGAATACCTATAAGACCGCCGTTTCGATGGCTAGTACTCATGCAAACCTCAATGGCCTGAACAGCCAATTCGTAGTAAAAGTCGCCGACACCTAACAGTTTAGTCCAGAAATTGGCCGACGACTGAAGCGGATCCACACCAACCGTAGCGCACATCGCCTGAAAGTGTCGCCTAAACTCGGGATCTCTTTTGATATCTTTTTTATGTTTCTGTGCAAACTCTTGTAGTTTTTGCTGAAACTCTGACATCTGTTTGGTCAGCGTCTGGATCTCATCTTTGGCCAACTCTTCTCTCTTTTCCCTGTATTTGGCTTCTGTTTGTAGTTTCCTTTGATAGGCACCCAATCCGGCTCTTCTGTTCATATCTTCGTGTGTCTGTCTCTACAGATGATGGATGTCTTATTGGTAATCAATGGCACATCACTTCACTTGGAGAGAGACAATGGATCAGATTTGTTGTCGAGTTTGACAACAATTTCATGTGTTGTTTACAACTGTATTGTTATTATTATTATTGATATTTAAAAGACATTTATATTATTATTGTTATTATTATTGTATAAAACATGCGCTCAATGTGTTTGACTGAAACAACTAATTCAATACATAAAACATATATTTAATATGTGTTTACTGTATATACCGGTAAATGATTTAAAACTTTTATAAATAAAATACAGTAATAATAATAATAATACAAAAAAGCTATTTAAAAGATAGTTGTATTGAAACTAATTAATTAATTCAAATATATTATATACAGTAAATAAATATATAATTAAATTATTTAAATAAATAAATAATTTACAGACAAATATATTAATTTTATAAATTATTTTTTAAATGTTTAAATGCTTTTTAGTTTATAACTAGAATTTGTTTTTTTAAAAGATTAAATTAATGATGTATTTTACTATAGTTAACGATACAGTATATTACAAGAAAAATATTTGCTTTATCCAGTTATATAGATATATATAAACTATTAACTAATTAGTAATTACTATCATTTAAAGTTAATCACCAGAAAAAACACATAACTTATGATTTCAAATACAGTATTTGATTTTATTGTTTTTTAAGTTAATTTTTCAAAAAAAAAATAAAATAATAACTCAAACTATAAATTTAAAGACAAAATATTCAATATTATAAAATAAAAATATTTTTTTATTAATAACATTGCAATGAAATTTATTGAAAAAATATGAAATTAATTTTTTTGTAGAAAAGTTTTTAAAAAAAATCATATTTATTTTATTCAAAACTCACAAAGTTTATATATACTTATATATACTTATATATATACTTTATATAAAATATTATTATTATATTTTTATGATTATTATATAAATTTTTACAAAAAAAGATTGTTGTTTTTATTCATTTTTATGGCCAACATCAAAAAATTGTAAGCAAATTGTGTTTTTAAAAATCACAAAATAAAAAGTGTTTGTGTTTTTAGTAGCTAAAAGATGCAGAGAGAGAGAGAGAGAGAGAGAGAGAGAGAGAGAGAGAGAGAGAGAGAAAGAAGAGAGAGAGAGAGAGAGAGAGAGAGAGAGAGAGAGAGAGAGAGAGAGAGAGAGAGAGAGAGAGAGAGAAAGAGAGAGAGAGAAAGAGAGAGAGAGAGAGAAGAGAGAGAGAGAGAGAGAGAGATTAGTCTAGAAATAAGAGAGACTAAAGAGAAGTGGGATTTAATCTATAGAAAAATATATAATATATTGTGTATATATATATATATACTATTAGTGTATATATATATGTTTGTGTTTTGTCTGGTATTATCCTCCTTAACGTCGGCGCACTGGTAGTGATCGATGACACATAAGGTTTGCTCCGCATCTCCTCTGAAACCACCTCTCAAACCAACTTCTCTCGCATCTCATCACCAAAAAGCTAACAATCTTAGTCAACACACCATACAGACAGACACACACATACACACATACAGCACAGACACACATACTTACATACATACAATACAATACAGTACAGTACACAACATACAGACACATCCATATAACACACAAACACATTATACAAAGCGCCGCCAAAATGGTAGATCTCGGGGGTTATGTTATTGTGTTAGTCGAGCAAAACAGCAAAATCAAAATCTATGGTAAGTAATGGCCATTTAAAGGTCTTTTAATTTTTTTGTTAAAAATAAATATATGATATCATATCTATCCTTAAAAAACAGTTCAGTTATTATTTCTTTAAAGTAGTCGTTTTTATTGTTGTTATTTATTTATTAATTTTATATATCGTATATACTTTAGGATTCTGTTATATATACAATATATAATACACACAGAATATTATTTTTTGAGATATGTTGTGTAATATTTTTGTTGGTAAATGAAAAATGTGATGCAAAAGCCTTTACTCTAACAGCTATTACTAGTTATAATAGTAGTAGTAGTAGTGATAGTACTTCATATCATAGTATCAGTATTTTACAGATACTAACACTACTACTACTACTAAAGGCAATGATTTTGAATGAAAATCATTGAATGCATGCTTTGCTTTTTTATTTAACGAGTCTCTCTCTCTCTCTCTCTCTCTCTCTCTCTCTCTCTCTCTCTCTCTCTTTCAGTTTAATAGTTTTTTTCTTTTTCTCTTAACTAAAGTGTCGATCGTTTAGTTTAATGCTCTCCAATAACCGTCAGTCACATACCCTAACACCCGTACCCACACTAAAAATCCAATTAATTTTTATAAAGTATTTATATTAATAAGTTATTGTTTGTTTGTTTGCAAAAAAATGAAAGTTTTTATTTGTCTATATCAGTCATTATTAGTGTTATTATTAATACTCTGTGATTGCGATTATACTGTATATACTGAATATATTTAATATTTTTCTAACCCTTTATTAATTCACTTTTATTCTATAGTAATGTTATGTATATACTGTGTATATATAAAAGATATTTGCCTTATGTTTACTTATTTATTTCAACGACGAAAAAACCAATGAATATACACTTTGGTGTGAATAGTGATCATTAAGTTTATATATCACTTATATTATAGTAGATAAGTGTTTGGCATTTGTGTGTCATTTTTGTCGCCTTTTGTCTCATCATTATTATTATTATTATTAAATACCTAAATATATTATATAATAGTACTCTCTCTCTCTCTCTCTCTCTCTCTCTCTCTCTCTCTCTCTCTCTCTCTTATCGCTTATCAAAACTCTTAATCTTATTTTTATTGACTTAACTTTTAACGTCTCTCTAAAAAAACTTATATATAATTAAACATTTATCTCAAAAGATATATATCATTTGTTATGTTAGCATTTTATATACAATATATATATATACTGTATATCAAGTTTATTAAAAATTAATATATATATATATATCTTATTTTTTATTATATATATACGTGAGATTTTCTAATATAAATAAAAAAAATATCATAATTTATAATTGACTGATAATTTGTGTCGCATGTCTGTAACTGTCAAAAACAATTTTGATAAATTAAATTTTTATAGATAACGATTATATTACAAACCATAATAATTATTGTAGTGTAAATATGCATATTAAACATATACAATATATTAAGTGTACATTAAAAAAATATTAAACAAAATACAATTATTAATAATTTATTTACATTAAATTATTGATTAGGAAAAAACTAATGCTTGCTTTTAATAGCATATTTTATCCGATAATTTATATTCTGGTTTAAATAATTCAATTAAAATAGCATTTGTAGAAAATTATATCAAAAAATCCTTAAAAACTGTTTATATAATTAAAACAATTATCACGTTTTCTATACTATGCCGTTATTATTATTATTATTATGTTGTATTGTGTTAATTGAAGTTATAATTATTTATTTATTTTTTTAAAGAGATGAATATATTTTTAAAGCTTAATTGTTACTAAAAAATTATCATCAAAAATGTTTTAGTAATAAGTAAATTACAACAATTATACAGTAAAACTATATAATATATTTCTAATACTTTATTTTAATTATAAATATATTATTTTTTATAAATTAATTATTTCAGCATTTTTATTATTAATACACTTTTATATTCACTATACGATAGTTTAATATTATTTTTATTATTAATTTTTTCTGCTGAATATTATTATTATACTTTACCGGAAAAATTAAACTCATTTAATCCTATATTTTCCTACTAACCTATCCATTATCCGCAATCAATTTTGCTGTATATTTATATATATAATTAATACAGTAGTGTATATTGTATTAACATATTTTTCAAACTTATATATACAGTATATATATATATTTATAATCCGTTTTATACTTGTATATACTGTATTAATATATATATATATATATTCAACTATATGTAATACATGTATTATTGTTTGTATCCTAGTATTAAAATTGATAGATACACAGTATAGCTACTGTAGTGTATACTATCAATTATTCTAGTGTATAAAGTTTAGTGTATATAAATTATATATATATATATATGTATATTTCTATTATAATAATTTTATCATACATAAAAATAACTCATCTTTTATACAGTAGTTTACCTTTTAAAATAAAATAATTTATATATTATAAGTTATAATGCAATTTATATTAAAATTGATGTTTCATAACAGTACACTTTATAAAAATTTATGATATGCAACTAATGTGATTAAATTAATATATATTTTATGCAGTTTAAAAAAAATGTTGACTTAACTTATATATATATATATATATAATATATAATGTAGTAAAGAATTGAGTTATTATTATATAATAATCAGTGTAAATATGAAAATTTTTATTTTTGAAATAATTTATTTTTTTTCATAAACAATATTTCATTCAATTATCTCATGTTATCAAAGTTTTTATGTTCTCTCTAAAAAAATTTCTTATTATTTATTGTGTTAAACACAATCACGAAATTGTTTGTTTGAATTTATTTTTAATGGACAATCCATATGAGAATAACAACAAAAAATTTTATTTTGAACAACACTTATTGAGACAACACTTTTATTTATTTATTTATTTATCTCTCTCTCTCTCTCTCTCTCTCTCTCTCTCTCTCTCACTCACTCACTCACTCAATCACTCACTCATTTTTTGATCACCTAATAGGTTCAGCGGCAGACAGGAGTGATTGCGATGAAATACTTGAGATCAATGGCAAATCATTAGATGATTCAACGCATCAGCAAATTATACAACACATACATCAGGTATATGTGTCTATTTGTATGTATATACGTGTGTGTGTGTATGTATGTCCTCTTCAGTCAAACAAAAAAATATATATATTATACGTATATTTCACTTATCTCTCACACATTATTTAGCTGTGCCTATGGCTTATTAAATGATATATTTATTGTGTGCAATATATCAACTCATTTATATACAGAGACTGAACACAAAGTCATATATATATATTGTATATGAGATTCCTTTAACCACTTTTTCTCTATAGTATAATACAGAATATTCTGTGTATTCGTTATATAAGGTACATATTTGCTAACACACACACACACACACACACACATACACACACACACACACACATGAAAACATCTAAGTTATGCTTAATTAATTTATATATTAATATAACTTATATATTTAAGTGCAAATGCGTCAATACTAATATTATAGAGGCTATTTGTGTGTTAATGCTAATGATATAAAAATATGTTTTAATGGATATTTAAGAATATATATATATATATTTATATATGGGATATATGTTAGCAAATATGTTAGTCCCCATTGTGGCTTATAAAAAATAATAATTATTATTTATTATTTACTACTATGATTATTGGCCTAATAAGCATTCAAAATTACTTTATATTATATTATTTATATTATAGTTCAGATTTTATAAATTTTTATAAATATTTAAGATTATCTATAATATTAGTCTAGTATAAAATCTAGTATCTAAAATAATTTATAAAGTTTATTAAATTTTAAACATTAATTTTTTGTACTATACTATATATTAATATATGCTTTATTTATTTATTTTTTAAAAACTACTATATAAAATATATATATTTAAAAATAAATAAATAATTATTTGATCACGATAAAAGTGATTTAATATAACACCATTTTAGTAATTTATATACAATATATATATTTAAAAATAAACTATTGTACAGTATATCAACTATTGTAAATTTTATCATTACAACCTACATAATTATATATAAATAAATTGATAACATTAGAAAATTGAAAGTTTATTTATTGCAATATTGTGTTATATATACTGTATATATATATATATATATATATATATATATATATTGACACATAAATTACATTATACATTACATTAGTAATTTATTATCTATATTATAAACAATTATTTATATAGGTAACAGGTTGGAAATAAATAAATATTGTACAGTATAATACTTTTAAATATTATTTTTACAATATTATTATTATTTTAAAAATCTCATTATAATTGCTTAAAATTAGCTTTTAATAGCGATAATTATTATTTCAAAAATTTTTATTGTTATTATAATTTAATCTCTAAATTGCATTATTCAGTATTATTATTATTATGATATCAACAATACCGGTATACTATTTAATACTATTGAAATATCATTATTTATGTATCAGTAATCTACAACATTTAGCTAGCGTGTTAATATGTTAAATCAAATAATTTATTATACATGAAAAATATGATACTATAGTACATATACAATATATAATAAAAATAATAAGTTTTTAATATCATATTTAAGATTATTCAATAATTTAATCTAAATTACTATATAAACTCTAGTAATTATAAAATATTATGGGTTGCAATTAAAAAAAATAAATATTATTATGCTAAATAAACAATGTAAATAAATTACAACTTATATAATGTATATAAATTAAAATGTAATTACATAGTTAATTACATTTTAACTAACTAGAAAAAAAATAATTACTTATCCTAGTTAATTTTTATACAGATAATTTAAAAATTTAGCTATTTTTCATTAGTACATATAAGTCTATATCGACGATGATGATTAAAATTAGTAATTAATCATTAATTAGACAAATATATTTCAATGTATTAAAACAAACCCTACTATTATATATACATCAAATGTATATATCTCTCAAACTATATACCGGTATAATAAATAAATGACTGAAAATAATCTATAAGTACAGTACAGTAGATCTATTGCCACACAATTTTTGTTTGTTTCATTTTCATTGAAACCCTATTAAAATGCAATTAATGGCATAAAACATATACTGTAATAATAACGTATATACTATAACCGTGTAAAATACAGTGCCCCCTCTGTATATATATATATATATATATAATAGTGTGTAATGTATAGTGAATAACACACGTGAATATGGCCGACACTGTATGTGTGTGTCTGAAAATATTTTCTGTATATAATATTGATGGGGGGAACGGGTAGGTAAACGTTGTATATTATGGTACTGTTTTAGAAGGGCAGGTGTTTATATGAATAGACGACACAACCAGCACTACTACCCAACCACTCACACACACATACTTTAAGCACAAGTGAACAGTGCTATTGTGTGTTGTTTTCATACAGTATTTATTTACACACATAGTATTATTCATAGTATTTAATAATAAATAGACACAAAAAAAATTAATATATTATTTTTGTTTTCATTCATTCATTCAATAATTTTTTTTTAAAAAAATAATTGTTGTGCTATTTGTTGTCACATAACATATACAGTATATATAATATAAATACTTATTGAAGTGAGTTATGCAGTGTTTTTTTGATGTAATGGTTTATTAATAGCTAAATAATAATTAGTTACCTATTTTTTTGTTAGTTGTTGTTTGGATAATGTTTTAACCGTTTATATTGTTTGCCAAATAATATTTATTTTTTGGTGATTAATATTTTCTTAATTTTTTTGTTGTTGTTTGTTATGAAATGAAAATTAAGTTTTTTTTTAAAAATAAATAATACTTTTTAATGATATCATCATCGCTTAAGTTATTAACTTTTAAAAAAGTGATTTTTATATTTTCAATGTTTTTGTTTGTTTGTTTGATGACAACAATTATAGCATTGGATTTATTGTAGTGATTGGCCAATAATATAATATTTATTATTATTATATATTCAACATTGTTTTGTTTGTTTGCTGATAATTTAGTTATTAATGTTATTATTTACTCATATATTATAATATTATAAGATCATATAATAATTATAATAATAATAAAATAATAATAATTATGATTGTAATGAATAAATAAAAATTCAATGAAACGCCTAATGAGAGTTTGGAAACACACATAAAAATTATTATTATTATATATATTGTATTGTATTTATTATATATATTTATATCCGTCTAATATAATTGTATACAGTATTCATATCATAAATATATTATTATAATTTGATAGTAAAATATATCATATATATAATGTATTGTATGTTAAATAATATTTTAACTACAAATGAGATCACAGCTAAATAAAAGAGTAAAATGTGGGGGAAATGGTGTTCAAAATATACATACATAAGCTTATGAATTGACTGACTGACTGACTGAAAATAAGGGCTAACCATTTGATTTGGATATACTGTTTGCAACCAAACAAACCCAAAATATAAAACTGTGCTAACAATTGTTTGTCTTTTTTTCCGTTATTATTGTTATTATTATTTCATACCAAATATCATACCATACCATACCATACCTGCCATTTAACTGCAATGACACCCAACGACAACACCAACAGTGTATTAGGTCGCGCACTATCTGCTTGAGAGTCAAGCGGCGAACATCAGGCAAATTAGGTGAGTCCTACCAAATCTATACATACCATACATTCAATTAACTATATATTGTCTAATATTTATTATATATATATAACTTACTTTTAAAAAATATCTTAAATATACGGCACTATTATGTTATATTCACCCCTTTCTCTCTATCTTTCACTATCTCTATGTCTACCATTGATTATTATTATTATTATGATAATCAGTCACTCCTAACCACACAAAAAAAGTCGACCCATTTTTTTATTCACTTATTCTAACCTACAATACCTGTCATTAAAGTCTTGTTGTAGTTGTACTGTAGTTTCCCTTTCAATAGCCAGTGTTTCACATATATATACAGTATATATACTTGTATTAAAAATATAATATGATATTAAAATTCATTTATATTTATTTATATGTATGTGAAGCGCGACCTATTGTCTAACTACCGGTGCCGTCACGTCTCACAACTTTCTCAAATAAATTGTTTTTACATTTAATATAAAATATATTTTTTGACAGACAATCCTATTGTTGTGGTTTTCTGACCAGAAGTTGTGATATAATTAAAACTTAATATGAAATGCGATAAATAAATATATATAAAAAACTTTGACTTTTTTTATTTGATTCAATACAACAATGTTTGCCAATTCATTGCACTTTTATCATAACATTTATACTGTATATATAAAATAGAAATAATAAATAAGTTTTGATCTAATATTTGATTTTATTAGTTGTCATTAAATATACAGTCAATCCAAGAGAATAGACATTTTTTTTTGCAATAAATATATAATAATAGTAATAATAATTGAGTTGTTGTCATGTTTTATGAGACAGTTGTATGATTTTGTTGTTGTGTTTGTGAGGGCAAAGACATTGTTATGTGAGAACGCATATAATGTCAATTAAAAGCCATTTATGCGGTTCAAGTGTCCGGTGAATATAGCAATAATGGTTGCATAATATATATTAATATATTTAAAAAAAACTATAGTATAATATAGATTGTATGTGTGTGTGAAATAAATTGCAAAAAATACATCCCATAGTTATATTATATACAGATCTCAGTATTACAGGCACATACATCTCTTATAGCATGTGCTTGAACTTCATGGTGTGTGTGTGTGTGTGTGACCCGTCAAACCTGTTAGGTTAGGATGGGCTCAGTTGATAGAGAGAGAGAGAGAGAGAGAGAGAGAGAGGTATGGCTTGTGTGCAATGGCATCCACTTCTTGTATTGTATATCAATGGTGTTACAGTCGATCAAGTAATCGATGGCCGCTTTTTTAACCCCCCTCAAGCACTGGTAGTTTTTTTAAAAAGAAAAATAAGTTGAATATTTCTATGGAGTTGTTAGCAATAGGAATAGTTAGATAGAGAGGGGATCTCTCTCTCTCTCTCTCTCTCTCTCTCTCTCTCTCTCTCTCATGTTTTGCAATACTACTGATAGATGATGAACACACACACACAATGATTTCAAAATAAAAATTACTTCAAATGTCTGAAAACAATGAAACCGAAAAATGTTTTGCATGTGTTTTCTAATATTGTTTTATTTGTTATTTAGTTTTATTTATTTTTGAACTAAAAAAAATTTTTCAATCGATTTTAATATTGTTTTTAATCCATCAATTTGTCTCCTCTCAATGTTATACTACTACTATTACTACTACTACTACTGTACAACAATTGATAATAATTATTGACTGTTATATCAAACCATTTATAAGTATGTTGTCGACGACTATTTGTTATTAAATTACTCCTATCTCTCTCTCTCTCTCTCATAGTATTTATTGATACGACTAGTAATAGACATTCCTATTAAATGAGTATTTGTTTGAATTGACAGCAAAAATATTTATCAACAAAAAAGCTAGAAATAAAAGTTTTATCGCATTTACTGCCATTAGCGTGAATTTTTCTGTGTGTGTATATATCATAATAAATATAATAATACAATATATCATTAAGGATTTGTGTGTTATCTCATTAATAATAATTTAACTAAAAAAACTATTATTTTTATTTAAACACATTAATTGTATTATATAAATAAAAAAAGTAATAAAATAATAATAATATTCATATAGTAATGCAATATTTCACGCAACAGTGTGTTATTAGTGTATATGTGTCTACTTTACAAAATAAAAAAATATATATATATGAAGTAATTAAAAACTAGCAGTTAATTGTGAAATTATAGTGAATGTTTGATTTATATGTTATTTATTTTTTTGCTGTAAAAATATAAAAAATTGTTTTAATATATAAATATATTAATGTAAAGCCATCGACACGTCTCTGATCGACGCGTTTGTCATCGGATCCCGAGCTCGTGAACACCTCCAACACATTGCCAAAGATAATACTATAACGCCTCGAGATATCGCTCAGCTCTCAAAGATTTTATGTAAGGATATCCATATCCAGTGATTTAATATTTTTTTATTGATATTACACTTTCGCCTAAACACTTACCACTTCTTATACGTCTGTGTTTTATTGATTTTCTTTAACTTATGTATTATATATATATATTTATTTATATATTTAGGTGAGTCGTCGACTACGACAACGTCTGAAGAGACTAATAACAAAGTGATAGTAAACACAACAACCATCACTGCCACGACACATCTCGCCGACGAAGACGACGAGTCCATTACCACTGATAGACCACAAGCAGCTGATCTGCAAACGATAGATCAAAACAATACAAAGACAATAATTGATTCGCAAGTCGTCGACAACGACGACGACGTCGAAGAAATACTAGACTATCAACTAAACGACGATAATATGGAATTAGTTGAGTTAAGTGGTTCCCATAATTTGTCGCCAACCAGACAGTCGACTACAACAACCACACACAGGGAACTGCCTGTTGATGTCCCGGAATCCTTTGTCGGTGAGTTTGTCTTTTAAAATATTATTGTTTTTTATATATAATTATTTTTAAATATTTGATTTTGTTTTTATTTATTGAAACCATTATTTTTTATATATATATATTTTATTTATATATATTCTATATATATGTCACACACATACACAAAATTTAAGGTGTTGTTAAACAAACTCCTCGATACCCTCCACCCCCACATCCACCTCCAGCCCCACCGCAACGCACATCATCGCAAGCGCCACAAAATGATAAATTAAAAAAATATTCAGAAGAATTAAGCCATAAAAAAGCCGAAGAAGAATTTCTACGATCGAGTCTGAGAGGTAGCAAAAAGTTGCAACAATTGGAACAGTTTAAGACATTAACAGCAACAACAACAACAATGACCAACAAAGACAACAACAAAGAATTAGAAGCGATGGTCAACGATGCCTTTGAAGACGATGAAGATATCGACGATGACTACGACAACGATCAACATATGGGCAGCACTGAGGCCAACAACAAAGGTGTGGATCGATATATCATATATAATATTATATTAAATGTGTTGAAACTATTTTTGTTGATATTTATTAGATTGTATAGGAAACAGACAGAAATATTTTATTTATTTATTTTTCATACATACCATACCGCCTATAATATCGTATATGCGATACTTATATATATTAATAAATAAATTTTATTATATTAGTTAATATATATATATAAATAAATATTTTACGATTTTAGTCAATGACATTATTATGACAATATTATTATTATATATCATTATATACACTGTATGTTTATACGATATATATACTGTATATACAGTATATATATAAACTTATATAATGATTGGCAATGTCTGTAATTTATATTTAATTAAATACTATTAACTTTTATTATTAATAATAATATTTTGTTTTCATATCCAATTCAATCAGTTCCGTCTCCAGACCTGAACGTAGTATTGGAACGCCTTATAAATAATCTGAACGGAGAAGTCAAGGATCTAATAAATCAATCAAATTTAGCCAAACTTATAGCAATCTATACAACTATTATGCAAACACAACAAAAGCAAAAGCACCGATCATTACTACCCCAACCACCCATCATCACTACTACTACTACTTCTACTACAAGTAGTACAACAACCGCTTCCAATAATAATAACAACAACAATACAGCCGATCTCGTCCAAGAGGTGATCCAATTGTTACAGGAAGAGGTTAGTCTAGTCTTCAAATTTGTTGTTTTTTTATTATATGCTAAGTTTTAGTTGACATTAATTATATAATCTATAAGATAAGGACAGTTAGTCTCATATATATACTTTAGTATAAATATATAGTTATGCAAAAATATTATATATTTGAATAATAATACATAAGTATCTGTCATAAAAAGTGTTATATAATTTGCTTAATTGGTGTTATAATTATAATATTTATACTTATTATATACTCAATAATAGTATCTAATATAGTGTTTTAAGTGAATCTGGGAAACATGTTTTTGACGACTAGTTTTCTAAAAATTTTATTTATCAAAATTAATGAATAGCTTATTTAATTGTGAATTTTTATATTCAATTAAACTAAAAATTAATTTTATTCTTTGCAAACAAAATTAACAATTAGATAAAATTCACATCAAAATTAATAGAAACTTTCTGGTCATTACATTTCAAGACATTTGTTATAATTAGTAAAATATAAATTAGTATTAGTTTTATATACAATAACCAAAATATAAATTACTTTCAAAAGCACTCTTTTTAATACAAACAAGAAATAAATAAAATGTTAAAATAATAATTAAATTGATAAAAATGATATAAATTTTATTTTTATTTTGTTACAATCGGATTAAAAACCGAAATTATATAACTCTTAAGTGATTTTTGGCTATTAAAAACATGAATGAATCGATGGACACAATATTATATGCATTTTATTTTTGTTTTTCGGTATTCAAAACATTAGACTAAATCTAAGTTTTATAAATTATTATAAGTTAACATATTTAATGTAATCCTATGGGACAACAAATAAATGTTTACTCAAGTTATATAAATCGTGTGAAAATAACATCAACAATTATATTTTTATAAATCCCTAAAAGCATCATGTTCATTTAATAGTGTATTTTTTTATTATAAATATTATTATATATAACTAAAAAAATATCTGTTTGAAATAGTTGTTTTTGCGTACATGCTTATCGTAATTAATAATAAAAAAATAATGTATGTGGTTGTCAAAATAATCATTTATTTTTTTTTGCATAACTAAATATTTATTTATAATTTTTATATACAATATATTGATATATTATGGGTGGCGTTATCCAAAATATTTAGGACTTATAAATATTAAATAATATTATTTTGTAAATTGAGTTAATAACGGGTTTATAATATAAACAATTATATTTACAGAATTATTTATTATTTAAGATTAGAGTACAGTATATATATATATATACGGTATATAAATATAATTAATGGTCAAAGTGTGGTTTTAAAAAAATGATTTTTACTAAATGAAAAAAGTGTAATGTTTTTTTTTGTTGATGAAATCCACACAAAAAATTGTAAATGTATGTAAAAATTGTATGTCATATATAGAAATTAATCTCACAATTGTCAGCATAAATGTTATAAATTATATATTTGTGCAAATAATATATTATTAATACAGTAATAATAATAATATGATTTGTATTTTGTCGTTGTTGTTGCTAATTGATAATTGTCGGTATGTTTAATAATAATAATAGAAAATAGACACAAATTATTTATATAACAGTATATGTATTGCATGTTAGATACAAATTATTTATATATACTATATATTGCTAATTGATTGACAACTAATAATTGGTTTTTGCAAAAAATTAATTAATTTTAATGCAAATAATAATCAATTATTATTATTATTATGCGAACAGGCATTAAATACCGAAGCGGCCGAACTGTTAGAAATATTAACCCGTTTCGAGTTGGAGGGCCTTTGTTATGCATACGATCACATCGCACAGTCATCCAAAACCCAACTGAGCTCCTCATCAACATACCTGAGCCCCAATCAAGACATCACTGGTTAGTAAACTTTTTATTATATATATCACATCTACATTATAAATACAATGGCAAACTCGTTAGGATTTGTTTTATTTTATTATTTTTATTTTTGATTATAATAATCGTTAGCATAAATTGTTGTTATTATGTTTGTTACTACAATGTTATATAATGCCATAATTTATTTAATTATATTTTTGCTTAATTAATTTTGCTAATAAATTTGCATTTGTGTTGCACTTAAATGCTTTTGCATTTTATTAGTTTTGAGTAGATTTTAATATAATTTTCTTTCGAGATTTTGTATTTATAATAATAATAATAAAGTTTTATAAAGAAATATGTTATCATTTATTATATTATAATAATATATATTATTTTTAAGCCATTATTACAAATAAGAGATTCTCTCTCTCTCTCTCTCTCTCTCTCTCTCTCTCTTTGTTATTGTTTGCGTCTATTTTTATTATTATCAAAAAATTTTGAATGCATTTGACTGTTAATCAATAATAATATACAGCGAAAGTTATATAACTTTTATGATTTTAAGACAATCAAAAACTATTGTTATATTTCTGAAAACAATAGAGCTGTGTGTCTACTGATTAGGCTATTTGAAACAAAACACATTGAAATGCTATATATTGTATATGTATATAGGGTTTGGTTTTTAACTATTTTTATTTTATTTTTTTTCAAGTGTAATATATATATATATATATATTTAAAAGACAATATATCATTTGTCATTAGTTGTATGAAAACGAGTGGACCAGTAATTAATTTGCACTTCAATTAACAATTGCTTATTTTTTGAATACACATTTTGGATCAATGAGTTTCGTTATATACATTTAGTTTAATATATTGATTAACACATACTGTGTCTCTTTATATACAAGTATACACATAAATATATATATATAATATAATATTAAATAAATTCTTTATATTATATACTATAGACGACAATCATATATATATATATTTTTATATTTTTGCTTGAAATCATCTTTCGCTTTATATAATATATATATATATTATTCCCAACCCATTCACTACAAACAACATTGAGATTATATTTAAATATATTTTTTATTCAAATAATATGATTTCTCTCTCTCTCTCTCTCTCTCTCTATATATATATATATATATATATATTCAATTCTATAGCAATTTATCAAAATGTTATGAATTTATAGTTGAAATAATAAAATATTTAAGTTTTTTTTCTTTCATTTTTTTTGCACATATTTTCTGATAAAATATTTGTTTTTTGACACTTTATATTTTTTGTTTGGCACCGTATCTATCAAATTAGTTAACATATATACAGTATGAATATATTATTTAGCTCTATTTTTGTTTTCCAGTGATATATATCATATAATTTATATATATATATATATAAAATATATTTCAATCTTTACAATATTTTACATTTCCTTTATGATTATGAATTATTTATGCGGGAATTCATTTATTTTTATTATATATATATATATATTTATGTTATATAAGTTGTATTACTTTTTTATAGATAAGTTAAAAGCACACGTAATGTCTATTTAATTTAGTTTTTTTCGCATGAATTTTTTGGTTTGAATCTTATACAGTATTTGTTTTGTTTTTATTTTTTATTAAATAAATATTTTATTTTTAAACAGTCGACAAAAGTGAAGTCGAGATTCTGGACGAAGTAATGGATGACTCGTCTGTCAAAGTGGTCCGCATCGAGAAGTCTTCGTGCGAGCCATTGGGCGCTACCGTACGCAATGAACAGGACGGCAGTGTCATCATTGGCCGTATTGTCAAAGGAGGTGCCGCCGAAAAGTCCGGTAAGTTATCTACAATTAATTACAAAATTAACTACAATTGACGGACGACTTATTTGACGACTACCTAATAATGTCGTCAAAAAAAACAGTCGTCAGTTTGATTGATGTCTACTATATATATATATATATATTGATATATCTGTCAACAAAAAAATAGGTTTACTTCACGAAAACGATGAGATATTGGAAGTGAATGGCATTGAAATGAAAGGCAGAAATGTTAACCAAGTATGCGATCTGTTGGCCGAAATGACTGGTCAGTACTACTACTACTTTCTAAATACTACATATATATTACACACACACACACACACACACACACACACACACACACACACACCAAAAAAGTATATTAATCAAAACACATACACATAACATACACACACATACACTCACTCACCCGATCAACACATTTGAGCTATTAATCCCAAACAAAAATAATTACATTTTCTTATTTTTATTTTCTCTCTTTTTCCGACTGTTGACTGACTATATATGTGTGTGTTTTTTATCAACAAATATTTGGTTGATTTACTCTTTTTTTATGTGTTTTTTTTGAACACATACTCTAACACACAGGAACTCTAACATTTGTGATTGCAATCCGCGATAACATTAAGGATAGTGAGTCCATACCTCATCAGATGATTCATTTGAAAGCACTGTTCGATTACGATCCCGATGAGGACCTATACATTCCGTGCCGTGAACTGGGAATTTGCTTCAATAAAGGTATGACTAATAATATATATATATATATATATATATATATATATATATATATATATATATATAGGTATATATATATAGTAATATAAGACCTCTCTTTCTGTTTATTTATTTTCTCGTTTATACTAATCAATAATTGGCGGCTTATTATTAATATAAAATGATTTATTAATGACAACCCTCTCTCTCTCTCTCTTTCTCTCTCCGCACTCGTAGGTGATATTTTGCATGTCATCGATCAGAGTGACATGAACTGGTGGCAGGCATACCGAGAGGGCGAACACGACCAGTCATTAGCTGGACTCGTACCATCCATCCATTTCCAAATTCAGTATGTATTGAATACCCTACCTCTTCCTCCCCTACCATACCTATTATATTACCAGATCATTACAAACCAATACACTCATACACACAAATATAATGTTATTTATTTTAATATTGAATCCAATTTAATGATTTCTTATTTATTTATCATTAATAATTATAATAATAATAATTTAATACCTATCCTATCAATTACCAAAAAATAAGGAGAGAAACTATGAAACAGTCCGTATTAAATGACAGCACAAACATATCGACCATTAATAGTAAGAATAGACAAAATAATAATAAGAAGACGAGTGCCTCATCTCTTCTGCTAAATTGTGGCAAAAAGTCAGTCCACAGGAAGAAAAAGCATCGGAAATCTCAAAGTATTTATCAGTTTATCATAAATAATAATAAATTGTATTTCGTTTTTATTTATTTTTTAAAAGAAACTAATCATAAATTTTCTAATGAAAAAAAAATAAATCTAGACTTTATGTCACCCAATGATGAGATACTCAGCTATGAAGAGGTCTCTCTATACTATCCCAGGGCTAACATTAAGGTAAGAGATAGATAGAGAAGCTGTTAATATATATATAACCAATCAATTTCCTGTTATATTATATTATATAATATCTTATATAATATAAGATTATATAAGAAAGAAAAACTTACATTTTTGCTAAATATTTTGTTGTTGTTGTTAATGTTGCTATCGATATATAAAAACGTGTTTTTAACACAAATTTTATTGCTTGTCTATTCAATGATTATCTCCTCTTTTTTATATAATAAAAAAACATATACACATTAAAAAAATATTGAATTTTGTGTTTTTTATATTATTATCTTACACTCAGCCAAACATACAAATCAATGTCTCGGTTGATAAACAGGAAAGACATGCGTTTAGACTACTATTTCTCTCTATACTATATATCTCTGTAATAAACGTCACCTTAAATATTGAATTTCTCAGTCAATATCTAAATACTTTTTCTTTTGAAATCCTTTATATATAAATAAATAAAAAAAAAATCTTATATTTTTTTCAATTCAATTGATTTATTTGTTTATTTTATTTGAAACACTATATACTAGTTGTGTTGTTATAGTAAAGTGCAGGTCAACTCTACACAGATGGATGAAAATGCATATAAATTTTTTAATATACTGTATATTTGATATATATATTTAATTGAAATATATAAAAATTTAGTATTTACTATAGAGTTAGTTAGTAAAATTAATAATATAATGATTTGCATTTTTTAAATAAAAATATTATATATAAATTGACTTTCTATTATTTTATGTAAATATAATTATTTTTATGTATTTATTTTATTATAATTATTTTAAATATATATATATATATATTGACAATTGGTTTGCTATCACTGTTATACTTAATTTATTAAATTAAGTTTTAGTATAATTATTACGTAATGTTGTGTTGTTTAGTTAAAAATATTTTCTAGAAATAATTAGCTAATTGAAGCCAATAATAAATAATAATAAGTAAACTACTATATCTAGAGTTGAATGCATTTATATTTTTTGAATAATATATAAATTGATTTAATTAATTTATTAAAATGTAAACCCATTTAGACTAATAATATTTTCATTTTGAAGAGACATAATGTAAAGAGAGAAAAGAGACTATATTTCTAACTAAATTCATAATAAATATTGTATTTATTATATATGACTAACTAAATAATGTTTACAGTAATATTTTTAATAAATATATATTATATATAAGTTATAAATATATATATAATTTAAAATTAAATTTGTTCACCAAATAAAATTGATCTTCAAGTTTAATGCAACACTGAATTTCAAGCTATAATGAGTTTTATATTATGTTTCGGGCAAATATATATATATATATATATATATACTGTATATATTATTATATATATATAAATTTTTGTTATTTACTCGATATTTAATAATAATGGTTTTAAAATAAAAATACAAACTTTTTTTTTGAGTTTGCATGGCATACCATAAGTTTATTTATTTAGTTTTTTGTTGGAAACGAAAATCGATAGTCAGCAACAAAAAAACAACACATGATTTTTGCAAAATTGAGATATATTAGTAAAATTTAAAAAATTATTTTTATTTGTTTTTGATTTAGTTTTTTTGTTATTGGTTTTTTAAAAAAAATTGTTAGTTAGTGTTGCAAACATAACATTAAGTTTCATTAAAATAAAAAATTTCTAATTAATTACCTCCGGGGCAATTGTTTTTTAATATTATTAGTATTATTAGTTTTTGCAAATAGTTTACAATATTGACGGTGTGTTTAAATTAGATTTTTTTTTATATTATTAGCATAATATACTATATATATATATATATATATAAAGATGAAAACTATGTGTTACTATATATTAAATTTTGTGTTTAATAATAATATACTAATGAAATCATAAATTTTAAAAACATGTCTTATTATTTAAAAAAAGAAAATAATGAATCCATACTTTATATACTTTATATATATAATAAACAAATATACTGTACTATAATAATAATAATACAGTTTAACTACAGTATATGTAAATGATGTTAAATTAATAGTATAATAAAAATAGTAAATATATATAATATAATAAATAATACCGCTTCCGTAATAATATTTTTATTTAACAAACTTATATATTTTTTATTATTATTCACAAACAAATAGTAATAATAATTATTTTATTTATTTTTGGGTAAATAGCGGCCAATCGTATTGATCGGACCGACAAATATAGGCCGCCATGAGCTAAGACAGCGTCTGATGCACGACACGGATCGGTTCGCAGCTGCCGTTCCCCATACATCCAGATCGAGAAGAGATGGGGAAATCGATGCCATAGATTATCATTTTATTTCAAGACAACAGTTTGAACAGGACATCAAAGATGGTAACAAAAAAAATTATTTTTTATTTTGATACCAAAAAAATATAAAATAATAAATCCCTGAATCATATTATGTTTGTGTGTGAATATCATTTGAATATTTTAGTAATTTATTTATTTATTTAAATATTTTTTTAGGTCGATTTGTAGAGCACGGGGAGTATGAACGCAACTACTACGGCACCTCACTGTCAGCCATCGAAACAGTGGTTCAATCGGGAAAAATATGTGTCCTTAATCTTCACGTCCATTCCATACCATTGCTTAGACAGGGACAGGCGGGTCAGTTATATATATATATATTAATATATAGACACACATTGATTAATGATTATATTATTAGTTGTGTGGTGTGGTGTGGTGTGGTGTGGTGTGGTGTGTGTGTGTGTGTGTGTGTTAGTACATAATCAACTAAAAGTCAATTATGATTTTAGGTGCAAAACTCAAGCCTTACTTCGTGTTCGTAACGCCTCCGCCACAGATTGAAAAATTGAATCGTTTGATGTCAATGACGACAAGCAATCCACAGCATCATCATCAACAACAACAACACCATCACCACCACTACGACACAAATAATAGCAGTTCAACAGATCTGCAGTCCATTATCGACGAGGCCAGGGATATTGAGGCCCGTTATGGCCATTACTTTGACATGATTTTGTCCATCACTGACATTGAAAGAGCTTACCAGGAGTTGCTCAGAGAGATTAATGCATTAGAGAGAGAACCTCAATGGATACCAAACCAATGGTTGAGGTAGTAGTAGTAGTAGTAGATTGTAGTTGTAGTAGAAGTAGTAGTAGTAATAAAATAATAGTGTTGGGCGTTATGTGACCACCAAATTGTCAACCAAACCTAACAAAAAAAATTAATAATAAAAATATAATTTTACATTTTTGTATAAATTATTGACCATTTATTTACATTTATATATATAAATATATAACTTATATATATATATATTTAAATAACTAAAAAAATGAATTGTTAAATAATATTTTCTTTAATAATAATAATTATAATAATAACCATTTTTATGTTTACAACAACAACAAAATTAATTGTATAATTTAATACAAACAAAACAAAATGTATTTAATTAATAAAAAATAATTAATTTTAATATTAATTTAAACAACTAATTATTTATTTAAAAAAAACAAATATATTATTTATATATATGTATATATATATATCATATATATTGCATATAAAAAACTAATGTCCTATTTATTAGTCCCTCTCTCTCTCTGTTAGTAATGTTTATTAATGTGATGATCTGTTTGCCCATTCATTATTCCCCAAACGAAAGTTAGTTTTGTTTAGTAGTGTACTGTATATACGGTATAAGTAATTGTCGGGTCAATAGATAGTAAAAAATATTATTATTATTATTATTTGTAATACAAGTAAATGATTTAGTTGTCGACCACATTATCGATTGATTTCTTTAGGCAAACATATTGTCTCTTATTTTTGTTGATTGTTTTGTTAGTTTTTTTTTATATGTTTAGTTCAATTGTCGCGTTTATCCCAATAAACTATTCGACTGCACCGTCATATTAATGACAAACCAATACTGACTTTTTTTAAATAAAAAATTTGTATAAAATACAATATACTCTATATATATATATATATAAAATTTATAGCTAACTATTAATATTTGATTAGGCAATTGACTTCCCGACTAAAAAAGTTTGTTTTTCTTATTGATTGTTTGAAAATAAAATACTAATTAAAAAATTATTTTGTTTGTATTTGTTTTATGCTTGATAAATAAATATATTACTATTATAGTTGTTGTTTTTTATAATTTTATTTTTTACAATAATGTATAGATTCTATACTATAGTACCCCCTGTAATAGTATAATAATTTTTTTTGAAAACTAAAATTGAAATTTTTATACAATGCATGATAAAAGTACTGTATTTATTGACTTATATAATACTACTATATATTTTTATATTACTGGTACATTAAATTAGATAATATTTTTGCTTCAATTAACAATTAATATTTAGTAGTATATATATTATTTATATATACGTTGAAATATATATATATATATATATAGTAAATTTGATCACAATTATGATTAATGCGCTTATTTTTGCAAAGGTTTACAATTTTTGCTAAATTCAATTATAAGGGTCTAAATCAATATGTTTTGACTCTACACTGTAATACTGTATTATTGTCTCAATTATGACTATTATTATTATTTTAAAAAAAAACAATCGATAAAATTATTATCATTGTTACTGTATTAGTAATATTACAGTAATTTTTTAATTTTTTTTGTTTTGTTTAATTAAATTTTTTCTAATCTTATTTGCGATTTCTAACGAGTCTATACAAACTAACGGCAACCCAACCCCCTATCCATCAAAACCCAACCAGAAAACAGTCAATAGACTAATGATTGAAAATTATGATTTTTTATTTAAAAATAAAAAATATTGAAAAAGTTTTGATAATTTTTTGTTAACTATAGGATAAAGTAATAATTTCTTTTTTTTTAAAACATTTGATTTCATCTGTAAATTATTTAATGTCTATATATTTTTACAATCATTGAATCAACAATATATATATATATATATATGACATCTATTGTAAATCATTATTATAATTTTATCTATTTTTTATCATTAATTTAGTATACCGATACTAAATTTAATTAATATATTATTTATATATATATACAAAAAAAATTACTTACCAAGTTAATTTTCAATGCAAATTTAATTTAGGTTTTTAAAAATTTTATATATATTTTTTTATTTAACTAAATTATTATTATTATTATATATAATTAACTACTATAACTAACTAACTAATTAATTTTTTAAATTTATATAAATAAAATAAATTATTTTAGTTTAAATTATATTAAAAATTTATATTGATTTAGAAATTTAAAAAAATAACAATAATTTTATTATAATATAAATGATTTAATATTTAAGGGGACAGTCATTGCATTAGTCGATAGTTTTGTAACGATATATATGTTGTGTTTGTTTTGCCCAAACATTTTTGGCGCCAATATTGGTGTCAATAATATTGTAATAATAAAAACATTAGTTTTTATTAGTTATTATAAATCAATCAATTGGTGACCAAAAAACAAAAAACAAAACAAAATCAGATGAAAATGAATGACAACTTAGACAACACCGACGATGAACTGAACGGCTTGAAGGCCATCGAAAGACAATTGTTGGTCGATTTGACACAAGAATTGGCCAAAGAGTTGGGCAAAAAAAAGATATGCAAACGAGTGGCCAAACTTGAAAAGTTGGCCAACAAAATCAATGAGACAACCATCAGAACCATTGAGGTAATTGATCCATACATACGTCAGAGTAGTATTAGATAAAATTATCTTAAAAATTGACTGATTTTTTTTGCCGCTGATAGCAATTAAGCGAAGACCGAATCCAACAAATCCAGACTGAAGTCATGCAAAGTGTGGCCATCAATGATAATGTCTTAACCAATACCCAAGTGATTAGTGAAGCTTTCGATGATATCATACAAGTAAGTAATCGCTTGTTTTTCAGTAATCAACTGTCGGATAATAAATCTGATCCTTTTGTCTGTTTGTTTGTTTTGTTTTTCTAGAAACAGATGAAGATTGAAGATATCAACGATGAGATTGTCGAAAAACAAATCAATTTGAATGCCATCAGAGCGGAGACGTCGCGTTTAAGACGTTTGGATCAAGTGATGACTACTAACTTACCGAAAGGTGTGATCAAAGATACGATTAAGTCTTACCTGAGTTAATGAAAATCAATTACCAGTTTTAAGTTAACTTTGAAATGTAATTTTTGTTATAAAAATACTAAATTATTTTTTAGAAATAATTATATTTAGTAATAATTAATTGGATTTTATATATATATATATTAATATCATAATTAAAATTAAAAAAAACAAACATTTGTTTTCATATAAACTGTTTTTTTATTGATGTCTTTTATAATATATTGTCTAAAAATTTTACCATTAATTTGATTTCACAAGACTTTATTATTATTATTATTATTATTTCTCTTTTATTTATTAGTAGTATTTTCATTAACCAATTGTTTTTTTAAATTTAATTATATACCCAAAAAAACTGATTGATAAAATTAATTTAATAAAAAATAACAACATTATTATAAATTATAAATTTTTATACAAAAAGCGCGACTTTTGTGTGTGTTTTGTATTGTGTTTTATATATATATATATATAAATGTGTGACCAGTTATTTGTGATGAATTTGTTTTTTGTTTGTTTTTTTAAAATTTATATTTATTTATTTTTTGTTGAAGATTTTTCCCACTGATGGTATGCATAGTATTCAAGAGAGATATATCATATAATTTCATTCAAAGATGAAATAAAATAAAAAAGTAATAAAACGGAAGAAATTGAAAGCAATTAAAAGCACTTTTTTTTGTTGAATTTGTTGTTTTCAAAGATTGTTTTATAATATAATTTTTATACTATATTTAGTTTCATATGAAATACATAAAAAACAGATATTTTTAATTGTTTTTTTCGGTGTAATTTAGATTTTGTTTGGAAGTTTGCTTTGAGAGATAATCAACAATTTTTTTTAAATGTGTCACTAATTATAAACAATTTTGTTTTAAGCATATATTTTATACATACTGTATATAATAATTTTTGAAAATATCTGATAAAATGTTAGGTATAGTTTAGCTATGAGAGTGTATGTGTTGGTGTTGGTGTGTGTGTCTGTATGTGTGTAATGTTAGTGATGATAATGGATTGATGGATGGGCTGACCACCTGGAGAGTCGCCGCCGCGGACACAATGTATTACTTATGTAATGATTGAGAAATGATTTACTTATTGTTGTTGTGGTTTGTTTTGTATTGAAAATGTGATGATGTGTTCAAAACAAAAAAAAATTTTTGATGAGAATTGTCACACAATTTGTTTGTTTTGTTTTGTTGGCACTGATTATGTGTGCGAAGAAGTCTTGTGCGAGAAGAAGAAGTAGAAGAAGAAGAAGTAGTAGTCGGCACTCATGAGTGTGATGTGTGGATGTCTTTTGTATATAATAATAATAATAATAATAATTAGTAGTTGTTTTTTGTGTTGAATTTTTGTTTTACTGAATAATGATTTGTTGAGCAGGAAATGCCCGGAATCTCCCGGAATATTATTATTATTATTATACAATTGATTCCCGGGATTCAGACATTTGTTTTTTTTGTTGAAAAACATTTTTTTTAAAATATATAATATTGAATATTCAATATTATATATATATATTTATATGAAAAAAACGAAACATTTATTAAAACAACAAAGTTTTTGATTATATAACAGCCATTCATTCAATTATAATATTTATTATTAGTTTCTCTATTTAATTAAAAAAAACACTATTAATATGCAGTCTTTTTCTTCTTCATTTTTAAATCCAATAATTATTTACAAATTATTTTTGATAACTAATTGTTTTGGAAAACTTTTTTTCTATTTATAAATTTGTTTGTTTTGTTTGTTTGTTTCACTTTTTATATATTTATTTTTTTTCGACGAATCTTTGATCGAAGAAAACCACAAAACATAAAAAAACAATTGACTAAAAAAACTGTTTAATTGTTTGTTTGTTTGTTTATCTCATATCATCACTCACTACTTGATGTGTCCAAAACTAAATATGTATACAAAGTATTTTAATCACTTAAGAGTGATATAAAAACAACTTCAGTGTCCATCAAATTCACTGATGAGAGAGAAGAAGACGAAGAGATTATTAGCAGAGAAAAAGCTCAGTCATTGTCAAAGTTGGTCTTCAATGATGACATGATTTGGTGTAAACTCGTGGTCATTAAGTGCGGCGACCGTCACTTTTTTCCTACTGGTGTGCGCTATGGGAGGCGGAGGTGTGGTGTGCGGTATTATAGCGTCGGAAGAGTCGCCATAATGGCAGTGATGGTGATGATGGAGATAACCTATTAGTTTTAATTAATTGTAGTGATAATAAAGTGAGAGTTGCGGTGCAATTGGATAATTGTAATCATAATTTTGTTTTTCAGTGAAAATAATTCATTACAAATAATTAAAATTATATATTATATAATAAATATTTTATGTGTGATACAAGTGGTGCACAAAAAAAATTAATGTAAAACAAACAATCAAATCGAAAATCATAAATCAAAAGTTTAATAACTTATATAAAAAAATAAATCTTTATTAACATAAATAACAAATAATAAATGAAAAACTTAAACGGGATTTTAAATTATATAAAAGCAATTTACAAACAAACAAAAAATAATCACTAAATTACTAATACTAATATAAAATTCAAGGCTTATTAATTGATTGATAGGATTTAACATTGGTTTGTTGTTGACTACTACTACTACTACTACTACTACTTTTACTACTGGTCTGTGGCTTACATGACTCTAATGTCTTATCATCGAAGATCATATCACCACTGCTCGACTTATGCGAAAACATATCACCAGAACTTGATTTATGCGAATACTGTACGTCATCGATGGTAATAAAGTCATCTTTGCGGAACAGTGCCGATATTTCTTCGAACGTCCGATTCTTTGTTTCGGGAACCTTCCAGTACGTAAAGATCCAGAAGATGGCCAAAAATATGGTAAACGGTAGAAATGAATACTTTTCGATGGCATTCTTTGAGGATCATAATGATAATGATAATAATAATTTAAATAATAGTTAGTATTTTTGACTATTAATAATATTTTTTTGTTGTTGACATTAATGGTTATTAAAAGAGCAGTTTTGTTAATATATATTATTATAAATTTAATATTATATTTATTTACCTCATTATATGCTGTCATTAGAGGAAAGGCTAATCCAACCATAAAATTAGTGAACCAATTGACTAATACGGCTATACTCATGGCTGCCGGTCGGGGCCCCTGAGAGAACAGTTCTGCTGTTATCATCCACGGTATCGATCCTATTAAAGCAATCAATCAATCAACAAAAAACAAGAAAAGTTTATGACATTTTATAAATTAAAAACATATTAATCAAACAAATTGTTAAATAATTGTTGTTGTTGTTGATAATAATAATAATAATCATTACAACAACAAAATTTAATCATAACAGTGCACATACACATACACATACACATACACATACACATACACATACACATACACATACACATACACATACACATACACATACACATACACATACACATACACATACACATACACATACACATACACATACACATACACATACACATACATACCTGGACCGATGGCAAAAAATACCACATAGACTAACGTACTGAAGACACTCATATATGACATCCATTTGTATAAAAACTATAATAAAAATTATTATTATTAATAATATTAACTAAATTATTATCAAAAAAACTTACCCCAAATAGAAGAAATATAGTCAAAAACATTGAAGTTATAAACATTCCGCCTATTTATTAGCAAACAAACAAACAATATATATTACAATTAATTATTAAATTCCGGATTTACCCGATAAATGTCTGACCAATACAACTGATAATATTTATGATTATATTGTATAACATTTTCGTGGGACACATACCTAATCCGTACAGATGTAGTGTTCGGCGACCGGTTCGGTCCATTAACATAATAGATACCAATGTCATGGCCACCATAACGACGCCGACACCGATGGTCGAGTATTTGGCCTGTTCTTCACTTAGTCCGGCCGATGTGAATATGTTAGTCGAGTAGTAAAAAATAGCATTAATTCCTGAGAGTTGTTGAGATAACTGCATTATTATCCCTATGATTAATGGTGTCTGAAGGGATCGGTTGGTGATCAGTTGCAGCATTGTTATCTGGTTGTCGCACACACGGGAATGGATGGATGAATGGGAGAGAGAGAGAGAGAGAGAGGAAAGGGATTAAAATCCATTAGTTTGAAATTTAATGGTTATTATTAAACGTTTGTTTGTTTTTTGTTACTAACTCTGGCCTCTTGTTGTTGAGCTCTGTCTTCAATTCGCATCTCTTCGATGTCGTCCTCGACGTCTGAAGAACAGCGCAATCTTTGTAATGCTTTTTATTTATAGACAATAATAATGAAAGAAAAGGTTTTTCAAACCAATCAATCAATAAAAAAATTAATTAATTATTATTATTATTATTATTTATTTAACTAACCATAACGTGCTTCGGTTATTCTGCCTTTCGATATAAGCAAATATCGGGGACTTTCGGGACATAAGGGAAGCAATAATAATTGGAGAATTGCCGGTATAAAAGCAACCCCTAATAGAAAAGGCCAGCCGTCGCGGGTGCCTAATATGATTGGAAGGCCTAATATTTGCGACAATAACAGTCCGATTGTAACTCCCAATTGACTAACAGTACCTTTAAAAAAAGCCAAACCCCAAAAAAGCCATGCAATTAATATTAATCAATCAATCAATCAATTAGTTAGTGTTTTGTTTGAATGCTAAATATTATATATTAGTTATATATCAATTAGTTTTTTTTAAATACCGAGTGCTCCTCTAAGAGTCATCGGTGCTATTTCCGACAAATACCTAAAAATAAATTGTTTGAAAAAAATTTAATTAATTAAATAATACATAATAATAATTATTAGTAACACAAACATAGGCACGAGTGCGGTATTGAGTCCACAACTGAGACCGATGAAGAACCGGCCCATTACTAGGCATTCAATACTCCGAAACAGTTGACTTGAGCTCATAAGGGTTGCCCCGAGTATTGCTATGGCATTATTGAGAAGTAGTCCACATTTCCTTTATTTAGGTGGGTTTTAAAAATAAAATAAAATAAATACAAAACAACACAAATAATAAGTCAAAATGCAATTATTTGAAACTAAATGAGCCGATAGTTAACAAATGGTTTTTGATTTTTAGTTTACAACAACAACTACTACTACTACTACAAACCTTCCGCAATAGTTAGCTATGGCACCACCGGATATGCCGCCAATCATCCCTCCCACAGCAAACACCGATACAGTGACCGACCAGAGCAGGGCTAACATCTCTTCCGTCATGTATTTACTCGTCCGAGTCTTATATACATTGGCTATAAAGTCCTCTAAAATCTATATATAGTTTATAAAGTTAAGTAAAAAAATAAATCAATGGATATGTTATGTTCATTAAGATATTATATACATTATATTCTACTGTATATTGATAGCCCATTAAACTTAAACTCCAAGTTCATTGCAATACTAATTAAATGTCAAATGTTTTATGTAATGTTATTAATTTTAATTTATTTTTTCTGAGTGCTATAATTTCCCAGGTCCTCACAAATTGTTTCACATTTTAAATATAGTATCACAGTTTTAATTTATTTTATTATTATTTTACTTTTTTTAATAACTAATATTTATCATTTTAATGTGATACTGTATCACATTTTTATGCAACACTTTTATAAGCACTAGAAATATACGGTATATAAATTATATTTATATATATTTTATAATGATAATAATAACTTATTTTTATACATGTTATATACTATTTATATATAGTTAGCAATTTGTTAAAAAAAGGTATGACAATTATTTTTATTAATGAGCTCAAAATTAACATAGCATTTAAATTTTATATAATTGTGTCCAACACTGTACACTGTATATAGTCTATGTGTTGTGAATTTTAAATATATTCATCAAATTCAATGAATTCATAAATATAAAAATTTATTTTAAAAAACCATTTTAATATATAAAAGACTAAAAATAATTTTTGAATAGTCAGTCAAGTAAAAACTAAAACTAAAAATTTATTATATATTATTCGTGAAATATTCCGCTACAAAATTTTCTCTCTGTATATGTAATTAGTGTTAAAACAAATTTAATATTTAACTCCTAATTTAGATCCTTATTATTATTATTAACAATTTGTGAACAAAAACGTGAATATAATATATTAATAATCAATAAATTAATTAACAATTATTTTTTTATTGTAAATTTTACTATTTCTCTCTAATCTTTAAGTGCTATGACTCTAATCCAAACAACAACAATAATAAACTTTGGAGCATTGAATTTGATAATTTCAAACAAAAGTTTGAATTCAAATAAAATTATATATATATAATTTATTTAACATTTATTACGTCCATTAAAAAGTGGGTAATAAATGCTTTAAAATGATATATCACATGTTATATTAAATGTAAACAAACAGTTGATATACACGTGTTTGTAATAATGGTAAGTCCTCAAACTACCGCTCGGCAAACCATCCTTTGGCATTGGATCAACACCATCGATAGTGTCAAAGATATCATCAAGAAGACCAACATAGCTCCAGCAACGGTATATAGAGTCATCAAGAAGATCAAGTCAGGTAGAGGGATCCAGAGGAAGCCAGGATCGGGTGGACAATCAAAACTCAACTCAGCTGATCGCAGACGGATTACGCATTTGGCCATAAATCATGACCTTTGGAGTTCCGCAAATATTGCAGGCGAAGCAGCAAAGAGAGGGAGTCCTGTTGTGTCCAGATGGACAATATCCCGGTCATTAAAAAAGTCCGGGATTAAAAAATGGCTCCCGAAGCTGACCCCTAACTTAACCCCACAACATAAGGCTAATCGGGTTCAGTGGTGTCATGAAAACAGGAATAGGGATTGGTCAGTGGTCGCTTTCACTGATGAGAGTAGTTTTCAGGTCTGGCCATCGTGGCCAGCCAACTCACCCGACCTCAATCCTATTGAAAACCTCTGGAAATTAATTAAGGATGAGTTGGAGAAAAGGACCGACCGCTCCATTGACAATTGGAAAGCAATAATCCAAGACATTTGGGATAATGAAGTCCCAAAATACCTGGATTCACTTATCAATAGTATGCCGAACCGCATTGAAGCGTGTATTGCGGCCAATGGCGAAAAAATTAATTATTGATTTCTTTTAATTTCAATTATATATATCTCAATTAATATTATTATTTAAATAAAATTAATTATTATTAATTGTATGTATATTTAATTAAATTTGATTTGATTATCATTTTCTGTGCTCCAGAGTTTAATAATAGTAAAACTTTTTGATAAAATTGTAATTTTCTATACTATAATAATACATATAAATATTTTTGCTCAGATTTTTATGTAATGTCAGGCCCTGTATGTATGGCTTAAAGTGTTTGGACAATAAATTATTGATATATTATTTACTGTCATTTTGAAAATAATTGACCGATAAATACAAGTTAAACGCTAAAAATATGTAATGATTTATGAATTACGATGAATACGACAACAATTTTTTTATTGTCACTGTGTTTGGGTCACAAAAAAAGTGTGACAAAAATATCTATTATTTATTTAAGTATTTATTTTTTTAAAAATGATTATAAATAATGATTATATATTATTACTATAGTATAATATATATATATTTCTATTTATATAAACGTTTATAATCAGCAAAATTCTATATAAATTCTGTATATATTTCTGTATTAATAAAGGTTTTAAACAAATTATAAAAACAACAACAATAGCATCAAAATTAACATAATAGTTTAAAATCTATGATCAACAAAAATAAATAAAATTTAATACATAATACATATGATATATATATATTCAAAATTATCTTTTAAAAAATTATTCAAATAAAATTTGGTATAAAAAAGCTATTTTAAGCTAAAATTTTCAAATGAAATCTATCACCAAAAATAGTGTAAAATTTTTGTTTGTTTGTATAAATATTAATATCTAAAGTAGTGAATATGTTTGATTTTTTTAAAAGTCTATTTTTGATATACTATTACTATAACATTATTTATAATAATAATAATTTATTAATGAATTTTATAAGATTTTATTTTCGTAATAAAAAACAACAACAAAACCCTTTAACTAATAAAAAATATATGCAAAACCTTTTTTTTTGCTGACCATCTCCTGTATATTTATATAAATAAAATAATAATAATATGTTTTTAATATCTACTAAAATGTTGTTTATATTTGTTGATTATATGGTACGTGAAAACATGAAAATACTGTATTTATTATTGAATATTATATACTAATAGTACGGGTATTATATATATATATATGAAATTTCAATGCAATTCTGTTGTATATAATATGCAATTCAATATACAGTACATAAAAAATAGATATATATATATATATAAGTCATAATTTATAGAGAATATTATGTTTATTGAATATTAAATGTGACACAAAACAAGAAACAAATTGAAAGCAATAATAATAATAATAATAATCATAAAAATAAAACTTATAAAGTAGTAGTATATAGCTTTTATGTACATATTTGTATTGGACCCTGTATCAATAAGACATGGGTTGAAAATCAATTGATTGCTACCCCCACCCACTCACCCCTCATTGTAAATTGTTGAAAGGTATCAATCAATTGATTCTCCACTACTACTGCTAAACACACACACACTTTATACCAACATATATACAGTATATATAAATTGATAGTAAATCTAAACTATAATATATATATAATAAAAAAACTTTTTTTTAAGTATTATATTTACCTTTTGCGGTGCATTTATGACTCCCGTGTTGTACCCGAACTGAAACATTCCCAACACTGCCGAAAATATAGCGAACACCAGCATACATGTCAAGCCCTATATTATTATTATAAATAAATAAATACAAACATACCATACAATTAATACAAATATCATGAAAATAAAATAATAAATGCAATTATTTGGTCAATACATCCGATAGAAAAATACCAATCAATATATATATATATATTACGGTATATATTATATATAACACAACACTATTACTAATAGCCAACCCATCAAATTATATATACGTTTCTCTCTTTCTCTCTGAAAGGTTAGGGACTTATTTTTGTTATTACTATTATATATATATTATATATTACACTACTGATAGCTTGTTATCCCCCCTTAATCATGTGGACATTAACATATGATTAATATAGTTATAACATTGTATTTAATCAATAATTTATTACATTATAATAGCTTTCATATAATACTGTACAGTAGTAGTAGTAATAATAATAATACAAAACAAAACAAAAATCTGTCCTATTTTTCATATAACTAACCTTTTTTTTCATTCATATAATTTTTTTAAATATATATATATTATATTATATACATTTAAATGTGTGTGACGTGTTGGCTATTTATTTTGTAATTATCGATAAATGTGACATTATTTATATATATATATATAAAATGATATATTAATTATGTTTATTATTACGTTTAAACATTTGCACAATGTTTGCACTACTATATCAAGATAATAAAATTAATAAAAATTAGGCAATATCAATTTTATTATCAAACAACAATAACAATTTAATATATTACTAGACAATGACAGAGTATTTACAACAAAAATATATAATAAACAAAAATAGCCACAAAAAAGACAGTAATCCTCTCTCTCTCTCTCTCTGTTTGTCAGTCTGTCTAACAATAAGTTAATAAAATAGTTAAACCTTTTAAACAAAACAACAACAAAATTGTAAAATCATTTTATATGGTATGAAAAAAAAAAATCTTACCCGAGCATTAGTAGTATCATCAGCCATAAAAACACACAATTAAATGCTAAAATTAATTGTTTTACAAGATTTTATATATATAAAATAAACCAACAAAAAACTACCCCTTTTAATGTATTATAGCAAAAAAATTATTTACAGTATATCTTATACAGCATTATACTGTATATATATATATATATATATATATATATTTGATAACTATGATATCAGTTGCCAAACTATCAAACTTATCAAACAATATAATAAACAAATTATAAAATACACTAATAATAATAATAATAATAATAATATGGCTTTTGAACCAATGAAATGGCAAAAATAATTTTATATATAATTTTTGTTTGTTTGTTGTAAACGTGTTTATTATTTGCCACAAATTGCCATTAAATGTGTTGAGACTGCTTTATAACAACTTTATATATATAGATATATACAGTATTTTTATATTAAGACAAAGTAGTAAATTAAGTATTAATTCAAAAGAAATGTTAATATGATTACTACTGTTTATAGTTTTTTTGGGCAAATAATTTATTTCCTAAAATACTTAAATTTTTTTTCGTTTGCCATATTTTTACCACACATTTAATAATTTATATTATTGACATAAATACCAGTAGTAGAGTCTAGTATAATATAACATATAAATTATATGCAATGATTATATATATAATTTTTATGTAATTTATTATTTTTTTTTAAAAAAAATAATAATACAGTAATAATTCAATATAAAGTTAATGGCAATGATTCAGATATTTTTTAATAATATTAATAATAATAAAAAAATGATAATAAAAAAATTGATAATAAAAAATTGATAATAAAAAATTGATAATAAAAAAATTAATAATATAAAAAATTTATTAAGTTATTATTATTATAATTACAATATATTATCAATGCATATTATTATATCCCCGCCCTTACACCCCTCGCTCTCGACATGGCCTAAAGTCAAAATGTTAAGAGGGCTTACCCATCTAATTTTTAAAAAAATAAATAACTATATAAAATTTTTAATTTAATTTAACAAACAAAAATAAATAAATGCTAAATCAGTTTTAATTAAATATATTATATTTTTTTCATACCTATGAATCGTTTAGACTCCTAAACTTTAGAGACAGGAATATATATTTATTATTATTATTATTACATTATACATAATACCCACAAAAAATTATTTTGCAAATAAAATTTTATTGAAATATTAATTTTAGATAAAAATAAATAAATAAATTTGATTTCAATAAAATATTTAGTAAATACTATTTAAACTAAACAATACCACTTAGCAAATAAAATACAATTAAATAAATTAACATTGGTTGTTTTTCAAAAATTATAAAAAATTGTTTAGGGTTCACAATAAGTGGTGGTTTTGCTCAAGGAAATAGATTCCCTGGGAATTCCCAGAGACAGACAGAGAGAAGAGAGAGAGAGAGAGAGAGAGAGAGAGAGAGAGAGATAGAGCAGGGAACTTTTTCGAAAATAAAACGAGAGAGAGGGGGGAAATTTGCCCGAACCCTATGTATATACATATGATTTATTTGAGACAATTAATTAATTCATAATAATAATAATATCCTTACTTCAGGGCAATGGTGACCACTGGGACACCAGACCGGGCGACACATCACTAAACACACCACAGAATCATCACTGATGTTGTAGATGTAGATGATGTTGATGATGACGGTGATGGTGGTGGTGGTGATGATGATGATGATGATAGTGTGGTCTCAATTGTAGCCATGCATTTGCATTGCATTTGCGGCCAGAATTGCAAACCCACTTCGGCTGCACTTAAGCGGCCGAATGAACCAATTTTTTTCTGGTTACGCGGCGGCAGTCATATCGGCTGAATGACTATATCGGTGGAAACAGATTAGACAACACCAGTCAGATATAGACACACAAATTGGCTGTCAATTGCTATAAAATATTGTCAAATGAATGGATCCATAGGTTTATGTCTTTCTTGAGAGAGAATATATATATATATAGATATATATTAGGGTTAAGCAATGGTAGGGACTGGAGGGGTAGAGTGTAATGACCCCCCCTTAAAATCATAATTTTATCCCCAGCAGACTTTTTTTCACTAAAATTTTCTCAATCAAAAGCATCTATTTTTTTTAAAATTTTTTTTAATTAACTTAATAATAATCTAATTAAATCATAATCTAAAAATAATTTATGTAATCTTATTAATAAAAAAAGTTAAAAATTAATTATTTTTTTTATTGAAAAAATCCTGTCCTTGATTTTTTAATATAAAAATTTCCCATTAAAACTGCACCCACACCCTATACAGTTTATAGTATACACCCTGATGATTATTTTCATTTTACCCCACCCTATACCCCCTTAAAATAAAAGACATTGTTTAATCATCATATATACTGTATATATATATACTCTACGAGAGCATCGATGGGATGCAAGACATGCGCCAAACGCATCCCAGAGTAAGAGAGAGAGAGAGAGAGAGAGAGAGAGAGAGAGAGAGAGAGAGAGAGAGAGAGAGAGAGAGAGAGAGAGAGAGATGAGAGAGTGCTATACCATTGAGTGCACAATCAATGCTATTATATAACACACACATAGAGTTTAAGGGCTTTTTATATTGTAGTAGTAGTAGTGGTTGTTGTATAGCAATTGTATAGCAAATTGCAATGCAATGTACTGTTAGTTATAGTGTGTGTTGTGTTGTGCACTCAAAACACATACAAACATACTGTAAGTACTCTAAAATATATACAACGAATCGATTCACATTGAAAATATCAATTCAACACTACTATTATTACTGTATTCATACAACACTAGTGTCTATCACTAAACTGTATTTACGTTTATTTAGTATAACTAAAAATTACAGTAAAAATAATAATAATAAGTGAATGAATGCATTACACAATACAATGTCAATACAATGTGCGCTAATATTATAACACGAGTCGACAAACTAAGACTATTCAAGAGACTGATCCAGTATTCAAATCAATTGGTTTATACCGACAAACAATTCTTTAAGAATAGAGTTCGCCAAGAGTTTGACCGAAACAAACAGCTGACCGCCGATAAAGACATTGTCTTTTATTTTAAGGTCAAAAGAGTCGCCAAAAAAAAATTTTGAGATATTTTTCATATCATATCTAATATCTAATAATTTCTTTCTCTTCTTCTTCTTCTTCTCTCATTTACAGAAAGGCCAGACATTCCTCGAGAATAAGCGATTAATTTGAATGCCATAACCATTGTCTGTACAAAACAAAACAACAAACAGTAAATGTCAACAATTATCACAAGAGTTGTAAACAAACAGTTATTGTTGTTTAACTCGACTTCTTATCCATCAATAAATCAATTGGTGTCCAACTATTTGTCTACTACTTCGGCAGTTCTGCTATCAATAAAAATAGACAAATCTCGTGTTCCCGTAATCGACGAAAACGATCTGAAAGAAGTCTTCATTCACGGCGGCGGACCCGGCGGTCAAAAGGTCAACAAAGCTCATAATTGTGTCCAATTGACACATTTGCCAACCGGTGCGTAAATAAAATGATTGTCTATTTTTTGACAGATTAACTAATTTGATCCGAACAATGTGTTTGTTGTGTTTTAGGTATTGTTGTCAAAGTTCATCATCATCGGGAACAGCAACGAAATCGGATTGTCGCCCGTGAACTGCTTCGGACCAAATTAGATAATCTAATCAATGGAGACCAAAGTGTGTCCGCACAGCGACATCAACTTATTACCGATAGATATGCCCGAAGAGATCAAAAACGCGAAAAAGTCAGACAATTAAAGGCCGAGTTTAAGCAAAGAGGCGAAGAAAAACAACAACGAGAAGAATAAGAAGTAGAAGAAGTTAATAATAGTTTAAAATTGTAATTAAAAAAAACTTAAATAATTAATGAAAAAATGATATTAACTTTCGATGAGATAATCAAATGGTTCGGTGTAACGGCATTTGAAATACTAATGATATTAGTATCGCTAGCTATTTATACCGTACTAATGACACTAAAAGTGGACAACATTTTCGGCAGCGGCGACTGGATGTCCTGGTGGACAGTCCATTCACCGCTGTTCGTATGCGACGCCCTATTATGCTATTTCTGTATAATCGTATTCATACGCCAGTACTTGGAGGCCAAGTACAAGATTGCAGTGTTTCGTGCGGTTTGGAGTTTCAATCAAATACTTTTGATGTTTTTGGCCCAACTATTGTTGTGCTTTAAACTCGAGGGCCAGAAAAATCTGACCAACTCTGAGGTCTTGTCGCCGATATTTATATTATTGATACTATTGCTCATCAGAGCCTGTCGTCTACATTGATATTCAATAGTTATTTTTATATAATAAAATGTGTTATTTAGCTAATTAATTATATTATCATTTTTATTATTTAATACAGTATTTAATTATTTTTGTGTGTGTATAATAATTAGCATATAGTGTTAATCATTTGATGATTTAAAATAATATGTTTTGTTTTATTGTATTTTATTTTGAATTCAATAATTAATAATTTTTTAGTTTTATATTGAGATCGCGAGCTTTTTTTCCCAATAAAATGATTTTTTTATTATTTTCCACAAAAAACAGATTCTTATTTGATTGTAAAATATATATCAATATATTGTGTATATTATTATTATTTTATATTTATGTGTATATTTTGATATAAATTTTGTGTAAATTGTATTTTTTAAAGTGATTATAAATGAGTTTAATTTGTAGTTTAGCTAAATTAAAGACTACTAGTTTTTTATTGACAAATATGAAACATTGTTTATATAGAAAATCACTCAATTATTATTCAACAAACAATTTATGGAAATCAGAGGTTTGTTTTGATAAAAAAAATTGATTGAATTCAATGATAGAATAAATTATTTTAAGTTTAATTAGAAACATTGAAAAAATATTGTATATATTTATATAAATTTATATTGTTTTTCAATTTATTATTTTTAAATTTTAGTTTATAGTTTTAAAAAGTTTAAAAATATAGTTTGTTTATTATTAATAATAATGACCAAAATTTTCTATAAATATTTGATAGTATGATTTGAGATAACAATAAATATTTATCATAAAAATAATATATTTAAAAAAAATCAATTTGTTGTCTATTAGTCTGGAAATATGAAACTCATAGTTAAATTTTCTAATCATGTTTTCAAAAAAAATAAAATAAAAATAAAATTGTCTGTAAATATTGTTTGGATAAATTAATTATATGTCTACAAAAACAAAAAAGTTTTCAATTGACTAATAATAATAATGATAAACTATTTTTATTAGATTAGAATTAACATTGGTAATTTTGCATTTAATTTTTTCTGATTTAAATTCAAACTATATATATATTATCTAATTTAAATACAGTATATTTGTTTATTGAAGCAAATCTTTGTAATTTTTGTGGTTTACCATTAAGTTTATTTGATATTTTTAGTTATCATCCAATAGTATAACTGTTACACAAACACACACACACACACACACACACACACACACACACACACACATACACACACATACATACACACACACACACACACACACACAATACCAGTATATTAAACTTCACTGATTATGTAATCAAAAAATTATTTTAAAAATTAATCTAAAATAAACAAAGTTTATATTTTTTAATTAAAAAAGGAAATTTAATATACATTTAATATCTATATACTGTATATACTGTATATGTTTTTCAAAACTAATTTTGTTTTCACACTAATATTTATATTTACTAAACTTTTTTTTATTATTTCTTTGAAATCCTAGACTAAAAAATACTATATAAAAATTTTATACTAAACTTTAATATATTATTTTTTGGCATTTTTTTGTTGGTACAGTGTTTGCTTTAGCTAGAGTACTGTATAGTATTATATTTTGAGATCAATTTTATCGGCAAAAAGCGTATTACAATATCATTTAAATCGCAGAAAAAATTGAATTTTTAATGCAATAGTTTTATAGACATTTGGGATATTTTTCCCCCATATATATTGATATATATATTTACTTTAAATATTGCAATTCATGCACATAAATAAATAAATATTTTTCTATTATATATGCCGGTATATTGAAATTTATATATTACATTATAGTAGATAATTTTTTTCCATACATTAGACAATTTATGCCATCATATGTTACCTAATAATAATAATTTTAGTTTAAATTTTTTTTCACATACAATACCTATACTTTTGCAATGAAATATTGACGAATGACTCATTATTTTACAATTTGATATAAATTTATATTTTATATAAATACCTAAGTTTTTCTTATAAAAAAAAACAATCGATTGTAATATTTTTGTTGCTTATAATACTATATTTCAAATATCATTATATAAATTTTATATGTAAGTAATAAATTATACTGTAGTAAACAAAATTATACTGTAATTAAAACTTGTAGTATAGTCTAGAGTATAGTATTGTAGTGCATACAGTAATTGATATATAATTTTTATATTTTTTTAAAAATGATAATTTTATTATTGTTATCTCAGTTTAAATACATAATATACAGAATATATATATATATTAGTTTATTATTGAATACTACTTTATGAAGTGTTTGGCAAATAAATTAATATTTAGCTAAAAATTTTTTACATAACTAAAAAATTTTTTTGCAAATATAACACCTAAAATATTATCATTATATAAATAGCCTGATCCTAGTATTATATATGTGCCTCCCTTTCCACTAACCAAGTGTTGTACACATTAAGTAATGACGGCGCAATTATTCTGTTGTTTATTATTACAATAATAATAATAATACTGTAGTAATACTACTGTAATATCATAAGTAGTAGCAAACATAACATTGGCTCTCATATTCTGTGCGTAGAATCTAACCTAACCTCTCATATAATACATACATTATATACGCCGATATAAGGGACAGTTGTGTGTGTTTTGATCGACACATTACATATTACTGTACTGTACTCTCTGTCTCTCTCTCTCTCTAAGAATTGGTGATCTGCGTCAACAGTGTTTGAACGGACATCAGACCTATCATTTTACTTAAGATAACAAACAATTCAATTATTTTTTTAAAAAATATAATTGAAATTAATTTTTTAAAAATCATTGAAAAATAATTTTCTTCTAAATCAATCAATTGATTTAAACAACAAGAATCTCTTAAAACAACTAAAATATTTGGATATTTTTCTGATTTTATTTTCTGTTGACTTATCATTTTAATTGTTATCGACGACTACGACTACGACAACGACAACGACAAAGATGTCTCAACTAAGTCAGGTTAGACAGAACTATGACCAGGAATCAGAGGCAGCCGTCAATAAGCAAATCAATCTGGAATTGTATGCCTCCTATGTCTACCAGCAAATGGTAAGTACCCATTGATATTAGGTATATCCAATAGATTATAGTTTGCATTAATGTCTTTTTATTCTACTACTCTCTCTCTCTCTCTCTCTCTCTCTCTCTCTCTCTCTCTCTCTCTCTCTCTCTCTCTCATTGCGGCGTATTTTCTCTCGCTTAAAGGCCTATCACTTTAACAGAGACGACGTCGCGCTCCAGGGTTTCCAGAATTTCTTCCAGAAGTCATCGGACGACGAGCGACAACACGCCCAACGATTGATGGATTTTCAAAACAAACGCGGAGGTCGTATAGTACTACAGGACATCAGCAAACCAGCCAAACAGGACTGGGCGTCGGGACTCGAGGCCATGGAGGCGTCGCTCGAATTGGAAAAGACTGTCAATCAGGCTCTGTTGGATTTGCATCAAATCGCTCAGAAACACAACGATCCCCAGGTATGGTATACCCCCGTGTATTGACTGGATTATCGGATATTATCATATTATCTATTAATTATTTAAAGAATTTAAATTGAATTAAATGTTAATTATTTAATTTTAAATTACAAAATCAGTTTCAAGACTTCTTGGAGACCCACTATCTGACAGAACAGGTAGACTCTATCAAACTGATTGCCGATTACATTACTAATCTGAAACGTGTTGGCACTGGACTCGGAGAGTACATGTTTGATAAGGAGACGCTCGGCTCATCCAATTAAAAAAAAAAGATGCCGGTGCCGTACAATCACACAATGTTTGGGTTTTTTTTTGGTTTTAGATTTGTCACCAAAATAAAAATTTAACCAAAAATTTTTTTATTACACTTATTATATATACTTACACTACATTGTTATGGATAATAGTTTTTTTCTCAATACCAGTCATTGAATTGATTCAGTGATCAATTGATTGTTTATTAATTAAATATTTTAATTGATATTTATATTTTATTATAGCACATATGTATTCTGATAATACAATTATTGTAGAAATAGTTAATAATCTATTTGTTATCTAATAATTATTATAATATAATTTTATTTATCCAAACAAACAAATACGAAACAAAGTTGTTATTTCAAACCATAAATTAAATCAAATTTAATTGTATGTTATTTTATTTAAAAAAAAATGAAAAACAAATGCATATTTAATTTATATACTGTATATGTTTCTATAAGTTATGATAAAAAATCTAATCTAATAATAAAAATCAAATCGATATTTTGTTAAATCACACTTTTTTTGTGTGAGAAAATTAAAATTAATTAAAAATTTAGTACAAAAACTTAGATGCAATCAAAAACAAAATGTGTTAACAAAACGATACAGTCATCCATCCATCCATCTATTCATACATCCAAATGGATTTGATTGTCCCTACAGTTTGATTGGTTTGAAATGATAGCCAACTAAGTAGCCAACAGTGGCACCGATGCCCAGTCCGAGCAACAGGAATGTAAATCCGCCGACTTTGATCTTCACGTGACTCAGATTGATGTTATAGCCGGGAGAGTCCGGTCGAGAATCATCGGATGAAGTGTCCATTGTTTTCGGTGATGAAGAATACTAATGAAAAAAATGTGGTTAACTGTAGACTTAATTTTGGTTCAGACGTGATTAAAACCATACGTTAGATTTCATTTGATTTTTTTTGCTTAAATTACTGACTGATTTGTGTCTCCAATAAAAATAGTGACTAAATTACTGCTATAATCACAATTTGGATCAGAGATGATGATGGGGTTAGGGATGTGCAGTTCAACCAATGCTTTTTAGAGAGAAAGATAGTACAGTATAATACAGTATTAATAGAGAGAAACCGTTACAGTCTATTAGAGATTCAAATGTTTTTTTAAACAGCATTTTAATTACTGAATTACAGTATTATAACAATAAGTTTTTTTAATTGTCACTATTATTGCTATTAAATTTTTTTATTGTCAATTAACAACAATCAAATGGTAAACATTATTTCATATATATTTTTTATATAAATTTATATATAAAAAATTAACAAAGATTTTATTCCCCATTATATCTCTTTTTTTTGTATAAATAATAATAATACTCTAAAAAATAATTTTATAAATGTAAAATGTTATGTAAATTATTATTATTTTTAAAAATATCTCTATAAATAAAATACAGTATATACCGTAAATATTAAAAACCGATTACCAATATTATAAATAATTTAAAGGCACACAAATAATAATCATTATAATAATAATAAATGCAAATAAAATGCTAATAAAAAACTTGTCTAAAAAATACATATTCAATATCACGTCAACAAAAAAAACAATTAACAAATTTAATAAATTAATAATAATAATAAAAACTTCAGATTCTAAGATCAAATATATAAATATATATATATATATCTATCATATATTTCCTTATTATTTTTTGTTCACATAAATAGTTCAGTTATATTGCATTGAGTTAATGGCTTGAATTTGAGGTGTTCCTCAATAAACTGACACAAACATCTCGATGATGAACAGTGTCTCGGCGCTGATGGCAATGCCGTTACGGGAACACCAGCCGCGTCCGCGTGTAACGGCATATTCAGATCGATTTTGCGTCGGACAAAGTCTTTGACCCAGCGCTGACTATAGCGTAGCAGTAATTTTTCAGCGTATGTCTGGAAGGATTGGAAAACAAAAAATTTAATAAAGATATGTTTTACCGGATAATATGTGTCAATACAACAATAATAATAATAATAATAACAATAAATATATACCTCTTTTTGCGATAAAGTTTTCGGTTGAGTTCCGGTAATTATAACATCCTCTGTGTTGATATCCATTCGCGATAAGATTGACGATGTATTGGACATCGGGACAGAATGCTGTTGTTGGTCCCCATTTGCCGATCGATTTTCATTGTCGAGCATATCTTTCAAGAATTTCTTTAATTATCATCGAATAATAATAAATATCAGTAATTAAAACTTTTAAATGCAAATTTTCAACAACAAAAAAAAATAAATTATAGCTTACAATACAATAAGTAACATCAAAATAGATGAAAATGAGATTAATTTTATGGCAAGAAAGACTTCCTCTGTCGTCGACACCCAACAGTATATTATTCTTGTATAACATTCTGTTTACTTGAGATATACATCTCTCCAACAAATGATATAACTATTTACATATAAAACACATTCATTAAAATATAAAATAAGTTATTAATAATTATTGGCACTATTTATATAACAAATATAAGAATCATTTACTACTAATACCTTGACTTTGAAAAACATTGTAACAAATATGCCGAAGACATTGACAACGAGCCAAATGACTCCTCCGACAAATAGTGGCAATCCTTTCATACCTGAGAACAGTATCGACAATAATATGGCAAAACCTAATGCAATCCATACGGCAAGCATTCGCTTATATAAAGTAATGTATAAATTGAATCGCAAATCGTTGACCAATACTTGTATGGCCGACACATAGTCTTCAACTGTCAACTGAGATAACAAATCAACAATTAAATTCAAACTCTTGTTTTTAATAATATCGACAGCAAATAAAAACTTATAACTAACAGAAAGTGATTGCGCCATAAGCTCTTCGGGAACCAATTCTGGCTTGAATTTGGCCGGTGATAACCACGAACAGTGATCATTGACTGGCAATAGAGTCACTATTATGTCACCATTTGCTATGAAAAAGACAAAATCAAATCATTGAACATCAAAACAATATTATCATTAAAAATCAATTGTAATTACAATAGCCATCAATTTGAGCATTTGATTGATGATTGCATTGATTGACGACTGCATTGTCGTCGTTGTTGTTGCCATTATTGCTGACGACGTCCTTAAGCGAGACCTGTTGTAGACTACTTTTGTTGCCAACATTTGTACCATCGCTGGTCTCGGCTCTAATTTCTTGCATATCATTCACATAATTATTATTATTATTAGTGATTGCTTTAAAACTTTTATCAATAACTTTATTGCTGACAGTATTAATATTAGACATAATATTTGCATCAGTTATTTGATTGCTTTGATTCAATGGTAGGCCAATAGTCAATGAGGTGGTCATTATCGGTGAAGTACTTTGTTTGCTGATGTCGTGAGCATTGGCGGCGCTTACGTGTATCGAATCGGTCGGCTCTATAGTGGCCACAAATGATGAGCCGCCACTGTTGTTGGCGGCCATCGTCGCTGCCGATGACACCAAATTGGACGGCATATCAAGTCTAACATCTCGGTGATGGTTATCAGTGTCCACCACCACTGCTTGCTCTTCAAACGTGATCCACGACTTTGGACGATCGGATCCCTGATCTTCATCGCCAGTGTTGTCTTCACTTAGCTTATTGTTGTTCATAATGTGATTGTAAAACACAAATACTTCTTATAAATAATTAGTTGAAATACTTTTTAAAAGTGATTATTAATTAATAATATAAAATACAACTATTTTTTCAATACATTAGAAATTTGAAACTTTTTCTAAAAAAAAACATTTAATACTTATATTTGCAAAAATACTTTACGTATAAAATGACACAAAAAAATAAAATTAGAAAAAAATCTTTTTTTCTGTCAAAAAAATATAAAAAAAAATTTTATATGATATATAAAAAATCATAGATGAATGAAGAAAAAAAATCAGATCTATTCAGTGATTATGACACCAATTATCTCATAGACAGACACAGACTATCATCATCTGTAGTGATCACTGGACACACCATCATCTGTGGTAGTGATGATGACCTCATTCAAAGATTTTGTTGTTGTTGTCAGAAATTGATTGGCGATATATATATATAGATATTATATATGACTATAAATTATATGATATGATATGATTATGACATTATCTTATTCATGATTATTATATACTAAAAATACAAGTACTGTATAAACAAAATAATAAAACATATAAATAATAATTGATTGGAAAACTCAAAACTATAACAAAAAACAATTAAATTAATTGATTTTTTTATTAATGTTATTAATACTAATATAATAATAATAATGTATTGCAAAAACTAAACATACAGTTAATGCAAATAAATAAATAAATATAAATATTGTAATAATTTTATGAAAACAAATACATCATTAATACTACACTACAGTATAGTTGTCTCTATGTATTACTTTTAAAGAGAGAGAGAGAGACTGTCATATAAAATGTAAATACAATATAAATGGGATTTTAAATCATTGTTTTTTTTAAATATATATATAATTGATTGTTTAAAAAAGTAACAAATACTTATACAACTACATGTACTAAATTTTGGTCCTATTTATAATTACATATTGACCAAAAAATTTAATTTAATAATTTATATACTGTTAGTGATGGTAAAGGTATATAATATTTGGGTATTTTTTTTAGGAATCATTCACATAAAGCGTTACTTAATCTAATATAACTATTTCCCTTTCATTATAAATATTAATGTTTATAATTTATATATATATATAATTTATATATCTCTATATTATACTTTAACTACCCGTAACAGTGTATATGAATGATAACAAAAATGTATTATACCTTTAAATTAATGTGTGTTTTGTGTTAAATCATTTAATAAAACATTAACACTATTTTTAGTTTAATTATTATTAATCCAATAGTAATCCAATTATTATTATTATTATTAATATAAAATACATGTATTAATAATATGTATTATTATTAAACACATTATATATTATATATATACAGACTATATATACAAAACTTAAGGTAAATTATAATTTATTATTACATTTACCGGTAATTATTATTTTAGTATAAAATATCATATCTTTGATAATAATAATAATAAAAACTAATCATAAAAACTATTTTTATCTCTAAATAATTACTTTAACTTTTTTTTTTATTTAAACAACACTACAGTTATATACTAATCGGTTATTAAAACCGCTGTTTAAGAAAAATAAAAGGTTTTGTGGACACAACCAAAAACATGTGGACCGACGGCGTCTTAATAGTGTTTATCTCAATATTTACGGCACTTCTCGGCGAAGGTATGGATCAGTTCATTGATTAACCAAAAGAAAAAAATCTTTTACCGGATTTACTTAATCCCTTGTCGTTGGATATCCAGGTCTTACATGGCTTATGGTCTACAGGACTGATAAATATAAGCGTCTGAAAGCCGAAGTTGAAAGACAATGCAAAAGATGTATGTATGATGTAGAAGAAGTTTTTTGTGTCATCTGATCTGATCTATACCCTGACCATCAAAATGTTTTGTTTTTCCCCTTTAATTAATTAGTGGAGAAGAAAAAAGAAACGATTGGCGAAACTAATGACAAACAAATGAAGAAGAAGTTGGAACGAGAAGAAGAAAAACTGAAGAACCATAACAGAGATCTATCGTTAGTCAAAATGAAGTCCATGTTTGCCATTGGCTTTGCCTTTACTGCTTTGCTATCAATGTTTAACTCGATGTAAGACATGAGAGGAGATCACTTTAGCTGATCTATTATTATTAACCCATCACCTGTTTCTCTATCTAATTAATCCATTGATTTGAAACATCACCACTAGATTTGATGGTCGAATTGTAGCCAAACTGCCATTTGTTCCCATTTCGCTCATTCAGGGACTATCGCACCGTAACTTAAGCGGCGATGACTATACAGATTGTTCATTCATTTTCTTATACATATTGTGCACAATGTCTATACGACAGGTATGTCGGCCATCAATTAAAAAAAATGTCTTAAAATTATCTTAAATTAATGATTGTCTTCTCTCTCTCAGAATATTCAGAAACTATTGGGTTTCAGTCCGTCGCGTGCGGCCAGCAAACAGTCGGGTAATATATTTGCACCGATGGGCGCCCCGAGATGAGAGATATAATGATGAGGAGTAGGACATGTCATGACATTAGTAGACAATTTTTTTTAATTAAATAGTTTAAATAATCTATTTTTTAATTAATTATATCAAATCTATAATATACTCGGAATAACCATCTAATAAATTATTGATTATAAAATATATTATTTTGTTACATAATTTGTGCCTCTTTTATGGGCTCATTCCTCAAAATTCTTTGCCACGAAAATCGCGACAAATCAATAGTTTGATATCCGTTATCAAAGAACAGTTCGTTCATAGCCCGGCCAACTGCCGGTGCCATTTGTATACCCTGTCCGCTGAAACCTGTGGCCCAAAATAGGTTGCCATAGTAGGGATCGCGTCCGATAATTGGATTTTGATCGACAGTGTTATACTCGATGAGTCCACTCCAGGCGCCCTTGATTTTGGCCGATGAAAATGCGGGCACTCTGTTAACGAGTTGCGGGTATATATGTGTGTCAAAGTAAGAGTAGTCGACATCCAAATTGCTTACATCAGGTTCTTCATCCTAAACCATTGATTTTAATATTTATTATCATTACTTATATATTGGATATTTTAATTCAATACTTCACTCGGGTTTCGACCACAAATAAAATTTCCTCCTAAACCTTCACGACGACAATACACAGATGATGGGTCCATAATCAGCGGAAAGTCAATACCTGGTCCATCGGGTGCATTGAATACATAGACATAACGTTTTCTGATATCAGATAGAGAGAGAGAGAGAGAGAGAGAGATCGGTAGATAAATATTAGAAAACTATATTTAGCACAAGTATTGTAATTAATTATTATGCATACCTGGGCTCAACTGGCAATGGATGGGATAGAATTCCCGGTTTGTTACCGTAGTCTAGCTTATCAGCCAACACTGCCGAACTGGCACCACCGCAGACAATACCGGCGGCAAACGTCATCTGTTTGACAAATCCGTCAGGATTTCTATAGATAACATGATTGACCTGTTGTCGCGATTGTCCCGAATGGTCATAATTGGCGGCATTACTCGTCATTAGGTTAAAGTCAAGAACATCTCCCTGAATATATTCGACACCCAATGTCTGGGCTTTGGTTTTGAATGCCAGCAACAAAGCCCACGGATCAAACCAGCCCTCATTCTGGACACCGTATGAACCGATGGCAATACCGTCGGTGTTAAGCCACGGAAACTTTTCTTTTAGTTTGTCGGGTGTATAGAGTTCGACAAAAGCGCCCAAATCGGTCTGCAATTTATGATTTTCGACCAATTGTTGTGCACCGGCATAGGTGGCCAAAACCAGATGGCCGTGCGGATGAAAACGCAAATCCGGCGGTTCATTGTCTAAGACACTCAAATGTTTTTTGACATCTCTCAAGAAGTCGATGCCATACATAGACATCAGTATGTTTTCATTTAGCGAAAACTGTTGACGAATACCGCCAATGGATTGGGTGGTCGATGCTCTGGTGTACTGTTTAAAAGAGTGGTCAATACATCAAGAGTTAGTCATCAAACATCGATAATAATAATAATATCAACAAAACAGTTGTCTTATAAAACAAACAAACAACTCAACTAACAGTGGGATCTCTTTCAAAGACACAACAGGTAAAGCTTTGCGGCGCTCGTTGTTTGAGAAAGTAGGCGATCGCTGACCCGATAATACCGCCACCAAAAATAGCAACATCTACTTCATTGGGTGGCGGCAATTCCCAAGGCGGACGTTTGATACGACCCGTCTTCAGTACACTCAAGTCGTCTTTTATGATCCGTACGGCTCGTTTCAGACCCATCTGACGGATTTGTCGGGTAAAAAATTGCGGGTATTTGTATGGCGTGTGTTCAACGGTCAGTGCGGGATCTTTTTGCGGATCATAGGGAACACCTTCGTTGGGGCCCCACTTGTATTCGTCAACTTCGCTGTCGTCCGCTTTGACTGACACATCACTTCCAGTTGTTTGTCGGCTATCGGCGGTAGTTGTTGTCTGTATGGTATCAATATTTTTATTGTCACCGCTATTGTCTTTCGGGTTGTTGTTGTTGTTGTCTTTGAACAGTCCGGCGGTAACACTTAGCTGACGACCACAACAACAACAACTGATGTTTGGCCGGCAAATGATTGAACCGCAGGTCGGCCGCAGATATCGGTAAACGTGTCTAAACATTGTCAACACTTATTATTATTATATATAAATAGTTTTTGAAAACCATTTAAATTACATTACATTTAAATATGTATTTTAAAAAAAACATTTTTGTTTTGTGTTTATGTTTTGAAAATAATAGTCAAACTATAGTCACGTGTGAGACAAATGTTTTGTATATTAATTTACAGCTAAATAAAAGTTTATACCGTTTTATATGATATACTGTACTAATAGAGAGCGCCCAACACTTTGCTTACTATACCAGTGCTTACTATTAGTTTGGCCTTCAATTGGATGTTTATTAGGCTTTTTAAACCAGGAGTCTCTCTTCAATTAGTTTTTCTATTAGTTATTTAGCTATTATTTTAGTAGTAGTTATACTTAAACTTGGTTTCCAATCCACTGATAAATAATAATAATAATAATACTATTAATATTATTACTAATAAAAACAGTTGTCACCCAAACTCAATAAATGCATTGAGTTTTTTTTGATTGACTTTTTTTTATTTAATTTTATTTTGAGTCCATTCCTCATCCAAATTATATTATGGCATTAAACCTACCAGTGTTTGGCTATTGGAATATACGTGGAGTAAGTCCTCTATGTGTTTATCTAAATATATGTATTTAAAAAATATATTTTAATAAATTTCTATATTTTTTTATTTGTTGGGTTTTATATATATATATACATTTTGTTATAATTAGAAGAAAAATAATTATATATAAATTTTCATACATTATATTTGAAAAGTATTTGAAATATTGGGCAAAATATTGCCATAATTTTGTTTGTTTCTTATATATTTATATATATTGTATACATATATAGTAAACATATAATAATACACTACTGTATTAATACTGTATTATTAGTATATTGTAATAAATCATACGATTCTGTGCTAATGTTTATTATAAAAATATTGGTATTTCTGATCTAATAGTAAATAACTTTTCTATCAATTCATTCAATTGCTATAATATACAGTAATATACTGGAAATATAGAGTATATATGAACTGACAAAAAAAGTGTCTTATCTTTTATATCATAATATACTTGTAGTTTGTTTTAAATGTAAAAATTGTTATTTCTAGTGATTAATCGTTATTGAAATTTAAATTTTTTACAATCACGTCTACTATTTTTTATATACATGTATTAACCAACTAAAAAATATCTCAATTATATATATATTTTTTTAAAATTTATAACTATAACTATCATTGAATTGATTATTTATCAAATTATTATATCAAAACTAGAGGCCATTCCCAGGTTTAGTTTACTAACCATCTGAATATATATATACCGTATAATACTATAATATATGTGTTTTTATGTGTTGTTGTTTAACTATAAAAATATTTTGTTAATTCATATCACATATATTTCGCATCAAATAGTTTTTTAAGTAAATAAAATCTTGTTTTTAAGTTTGTTTTTTAAAAATTATTTTTTAAAAGCAAATAACTCTTAAAATTGTTTATTATATAATAAAGAATTTGCAAAAATATATATACAGTATATGTATATATTTTATTGTAATTATGAACAAACGTTTCAATTATTCAATATTTTTAAAATGTAATTTTAGTAATTTTTTTTGATATAAATAAAATATTTTATTTTATAAGATTTGTTAATAAATTTGTATTTTATCGTAATTAAAACCATAATATAAATGAAAATTATAAATAAAAAATAATATATAATCAAAAAAAAATAAGTTATTAAATTCAAGGATAGGGTTTGCTTTTTTAAAAAACAGATAACAAGTTATTCAACAATTCAATTGAGAGCTCTCTATTAGACATATGTTTGTCATATAATTTATTATTTTATGTTATAGTTTTAATTGAAATTTATTTTTGTTTTTTTTCATAAATAATAAAATAAATAATTTACAAATTAATTAATTAATTGCATAATTAGTTGGGACAACCAATCCGCTTGTTATTGGCCTACACTGAGACAGAGTATGAGGACAAGCGTTTTAATTATGGTCCGCCACCTGAGGATAGGGCCGAATGGTATGAAATCAAACCTAAAATGGGTCTCGACTTTCCCAATGTAAGCAAAATTGTTATCACAAAAAATACATATATTTTTTGACATTTAAATTAAATTTTAGAATTTTTTTTTATTAACAATACTATACAATTATACAATACTATAAATGTGAAAATAAATAATTATAATACTAATACATAAAATACTAAAAAAATTAGTAAATTTAATTTTTTAAAAGTATTTTATGTATTAGTATTATAATTATTTATTTTCATATTTATAGTATTAAAAATTATTAATCACTTAGTGAATTGTTTAATCTTTCGAGAGAGAGAAAAAAATTAATTTCAATGCAAATAATCACAATAATAATAATAATTATTAATAATTATAATATAATTTAACTAATTTTTTTTTGTTCACTCAAATAATAAATTAGTTGCCCTATTATATTGACGATGAAGTAAAGTTGACACAAAGTTTGACAATTATGCGCTATCTGTCCAAAAAACACCGATTGGACGGACACAATGAACGCGAAAGGATCCGTATCGATATGATTGAGAATCAACTAAAAGATTATCGGGCCGACTATTTGGCCACTACTTTTGACCCCCATTTTGAGGTGGCCCGAGTCGACTACATCGACAAAAAGTTGCCGACCGTACTGAAAGAGTTGAGCAGTTTTCTCGGCGATCATCCGTACTTTGCCGGCAAAAGTATCAGTTATGTCGACTTTATTGCCTACGAGTTCATCGATTTGCACTATTATCTCGAACCGGAACTGTTTGCCAATACACCCAATCTTAAAGAGTTTTTGTTACGCATAGAAGAGCTGCCAACCATTCATAAGTACCAATACTCGGATAATTATATCCGTTGGCCATCGGGTCTAGTAGTTCGGTGGTATAAAAGCAAGTACTACAGTACGTTCAACAAATATATCAAAAATTAAATGACCAAAAAGTGATTGATTGCCGGCAGCGGCAGTGGTGCCGTGTAATCAACAAATTCAATATCACATTGTAATTGAAAGACAATTTTATTTTATTATTATTTTTTTGAATACCCGATATACTATTTTTTATATATGTTATATGTATCTTTCAATTATGATATTTTATTTAATGAATGCTTATATTATAATAACAATTATTGTTTAATAATGAATTTCACAAATGAATATCAATTATCTATTTTTGATTTAATCAATTGCTCTATACTATTACTATTACTGTGTTTTTCTCATTTATTTTTATAAAATATTACTACTAATAAAAAAATTTAAATGCTAATAATGCTAAGTGTCAAGTTAGTATTAAACAAACAAGTTTTAATATATATAAATTATATATGTATTAAATTTCAAAAATTACTATAAGACAAAATTTATATATATATGTATATTAATAATATTTTATATTTTTATATCATTAATAGTTAATATGCTTTTTTTCATCCATAGTTTACTGTATTATAATTTGACCTAGTACATATGTCTAACTGGTTCAATTACTATATTTTAGGCTGTTAATTCATAACCTTTATAAATATAATCTTTAGTAATTTTTATAAAAAAAAGTTTTGACATTTATTTTTCTCTAGAAATATGTCTTATAAAATAAGTAATGTTTTATAATTTTAAATCAAAAATTTTAAACTTTAACAACAAAACTTATAGCAAACATTTTTGTTAATCACTTTCAATTCATTACTAATACTATACTTTATATAATCGCTAATTATCTCATCAAATATGGTCTCTCAAAAAAATAATGAGTTGAATACGCCATCGATGACAATGAAGAGTCGTTTACAAAGATATTTAAGAATTCATTCCTCAAGAAGTAGACAATCGTTTGATCGTTTCGGAGATGATTTGTCTCAACTGTTATTATCTTATTTGACATTTGATGATAAACTCAAATTTGAATGTGTGTCCAAACAATGGCAACAAGTGATACCACAAACTGTAACAGATATTAAATGTGATGAGAAATTCGGTTCATTAACTGAAGAATTGTTGGCCAAACTGTTGAAGAAGTGTCCAAACATTACCAGAATTGATATCTATTTAAATTTTAATAAGTATTTGCCAATCATTACACAATACTGTCCTTATTTAAGACAAATTTATATCAAGAATGTCTTCGACGAAGACATATCAATGTCAATCTTTGATAAGTTTTTTGATGTCTTTGCCAAACAATTGCAGACAATTCATGTAATCGACAATCAATCGGAAGAACAAATTAAATCATTGGACAGTAATCTCAAGAAATGTACAAATATTTTATTTTTCAATTACATCGGCGACTATCCTGACGATGAACTCTATATATACCGTCACTTCACTAATGATGATTACTTCCGTAAATTAAACAAACTTGAGGTCAACATTGATGACGAAAGAATGGACAAAATATTTGAACAGATTGTCCGGCTATATGGCCAACAGTTGACCTCATTGTCTATAGATATCTATGTCGACATATTGCCGACAACATCGGCGATAACTGATTTTTCATCGCAAATGTCACGGCTTACTGATCTAAAGATAAATATTGCTTCACTTGACAACTGTTGGCCAGAATTAGTACCGAAACTGTTGTCGCCAATTGGTCGCAATTGTCGCCAATTGAAGCACTTGTCACTTACAATTGAAAGCTATACCATTGGCGGTAATGAAGATTTCAATGGTAGTAATCTATTTCAGATTATTTGCCAAAACTTTAAACAACTAAAGAGACTGTATTTGAGTGACAGATTTTTAGACAAATCAATAGATTTTGTTGGATCAGACAATACGATGACTGGATTCAAAAAGTTAACACATTTGTCGATCTTATCAAAAGAGATGTCGCCGACGACAACAACAACAACAATCGGTAACAATTTTATCGGTAATATTGTTGCTAACTGTCCGCGACTACAGTACTTGCAATACAGCGGTTATCCTATTGATTCAAATGCTGTGCAATCGTTAAAACAATTATTACATTTGCAGACAATTGTCTTAAGCAATGTTGACGACAAAGACATCGATTTGAATCAATTGAAATCTTGTTTAAAGTTTATTAAAAAAATTGTTATTTGTTAAAAACCTTTTATTATTATTATTCTTTAATTTTATATTTTATCTATTACTGTAATTTCTTTTGTTACTGTAATGTATTTTATTTTCATTATTAACAAAATGTTACAATTATCAAATATTTTCAAAATAATGTTTTTTATAAATAAAATTTTCTTATAATTAAATTGTTAATAGATTTTAATGTTATAGTAATTGAAATCATACTGTATATAAAAAAAATTACAAATAAAAAAATAGTTGTTATTCGAGAATATTTTTAAAAAATTGATAAATAAAAAATTGTTAATTATTGATTGCATAAAATTATTTCAAATATGATTTTTAAAAAATTAAATGCTTTTTAAATAAAATTATTAAAATTTTTACAATGAATTTCAATTGTTTTTTTTTGTTATAACTAACTCTAATTTATACAGTAATTATAGTTATTAATATATAGATAAACAATAAAATTATTTTTTTAACAAAAAAAATACAAAACATTAAATTCATATAAAAAACTAATCAAATGAATTACATTTTATAAACCAATTTATTTAACAGAATATTCTTATATGTAATATATATATATAGAATATTCTTTATTATATTTTTTGATACACAAAAAAACTAACTATGGTTATATATATATTAAATATAGATTAAATAGATACAACCAGATACCAATGCAATTTTAGATTATCTAGATTATTATTAAATGATCATGGTCAAAAAAAATAAATTAATTTAATTAAAAAATTCTTTAACTAAATTGTATCGCTAGAGTGTCGATGACAGACAATAGATGTCAATAGACGGCACTTGTAGTTAAAAATATGCAAATTAATGATTGGGCACACCGTATGTATCATACAATAACTACATGTGCGCCAATGACACTGTGTATGCATTTATATCTAAAATAATTACTATAGAATATATTATCTATTTATAATTTAATAGTTTTATTTTGTCAAAAAAAATAAATATTTAGCTAGCTTAAATATAGTAATTCTAGATAATAATAATAATTTTTTGTTATAACCTAGAGTCTAGGTCCTAGACACACCAACAGTTGGCATATTATAAAATTATATATATAAAAACAATTTGAAATTTAACTTTAAAAAAAATTATTAAATTATGAATTTTTTTTAACCAATGTATATTTTATATTATTATTAACCTTATTTCTTAGATGATATGGAAAAATTTTGTAATTTAATAAAATAAATAAAATTACCCAATACTATACACACACATAAAAAATTTAAATCTCACAAATTAAATACACACATGAATATTGCCATTAGTATGGCTTCTATTGGTGTCTATAGGAAAGTCAGGTGCAATAGCCTATGTGTACTGTACTGTATGTGTGTATAAAGCATTGAATACAAAGAGAGAGAGAGAAAGAAAGAGAGCACTGGTATGCCGTATATATATAAAACTGTATATAAAATTATAATATAAACTTATAGTATTGGCTGACTATAAGACAACTGGGCGTTCATTGGTAGTAATCGGCCATCTTTTAAGCATTGAATAAATCTATACATACATTAGTCATATAGATATACAGTATATATATATATATATATAAATATATACATAAATATAACGTATATACGGTATATACTATATATTAAACACTATTGCTTTATAGCGTGTCATATATTTATACATGTAATGGGCTTTTCTATGTATGTATTATTATAATATATAAAAGTTATAACAGCTTTGTGTGTTTGAGTGGTGGCCTACAGTTTACTACAATATACAGTATATACTGTATATACATATACTATACTATATATATATGACTGTACTGTCATTGCATTGAATGAGCGTATTATACATTGTGTGACCACACTATACACACACACCAACCAAACACATAGACATTACATACACTGTGTATATACTGTATATATAACTAAATAAATTTTTCACTCATTTGGTGATATAATTGTGGTGTGATTTTTAACTACTTCTTCATCATCACCGACGAGGAAGAAGACTAAACTAATTTAATAATAATAATAATACTGTATATAAATACCATTAAACAATCACCGGATCAGTGAGAGAAAGAGAGGGTCAAACAGATTGACTCAATTGGCTCAACACTTGACATCTCCAGAGAGAGAGAGAGAGAAAGGAGAGCTCAAGATCACAGGATCTGTTGTTTTCAAATTTTTTTCTTCAGTCGTCACTTGTCTTTGTTCTACTCATTGATCACTGATTTAATTTTTTTTGTCATATCATCCCAACACACGGCCAATTAGATCCAAAGGTATGGTATTATTATTGATTGATTGATTGATTGATTGATCACTGAATCAATTGTGCGGTGATATAGATATTGTGGATCAGACAAAGATGCACACAATTGATTGACAATATCTGCTGTATATTACCATTGATGTTGTCTTTCAATTATTAGATGCAAAATAACTGATTGTTTTATTTGTCTTTTCTTTTAGGGAGCGTTTGTTTCCTTTTGGACGAAAGTCAGGTAATACTCAATGACTTCCGGTGGACATAATGTCGGCAGTTTCGGGGCAAACGTCCAAAGGGGAGAACAAATCATCAACAAAACAGAAGTACCAGTCATTGAATATTAATAATCTCTATAAAGGAAAAAGTCTTGAAACCCAAAAGACAGGATCAGGTAGTGATGAATGATATTATCAGTTGTTTTTTGTTTGTATTGACTGTTTTTGTTTTGTCAATCCAATTGTTTGGATCAGTTGCTCCTAAACATGGTTTGCAAACGTTGGGTAAAGTGGGCGCCGGTCGGCGAATGCCACCACCGGCTAATCTGCCGTCTTTGAAGAGCCAAACTACTAGCACTCAGAATATAACATTAGTTCCTTCTGGAGGTCAAGGATGGGGTCAAGGAAAGGAAGAGGACAGGTAAATGACTCGGCATTTGTTTTGTAATGATTTTATTTAATTTGTTATCCAATTTCTATAGTCGATCGACACCTCCTTTACAAACTTCCTCCTCTGGTGCAGACTTAACACAATTGATTTCACAAAAGCCGATCGCCGGTCCTTTAAACACATTAACAAACACTGCATTATTAACGAGCGGTTCAGTTGCCGATACAAATGTTGGAGGCATTGCTCTAGGATTAGCGGCCAACCAATCAATGCAATCAAAGAGCTGGAGTACAGTTACTGCCACAGTAGTAGAACACCAGGAAAATGGTCCCGACGTGAACTACTTAGCCCAAGAGTCGCCGTTTTTTCCTCAGGAATTCCCCAAACTGGATGGTGGCGGTGCCCCGCAAGACTCGACCACAAAAGCAAATGCAGACACTTCATATGGTCCAGGACCCATTCTTCGGCCGCAGACAGAGGGCAGTTGGGGCCGCGGAACTGCTCCGCAACCCGGTTCCAACAATGGCGGTGGCGGCGCAAACCAATTACCGAATGCTGGCAACGCAGGCTTAGGAGGACAATTGATACCATCAGCAGGAGCTGGAGGGCCGCCACCGTCGTCTTCGGTCGGCAACGAACAAAACAAACCTGTATATCCACACACCGGCTCTGGTGGCCAACCGATGCATACTCCGCACGGTCCGCCACTTTTACCGGGACAGACACCCATGAATTACAACCAACAGTATCGAATGATGACACCATATCCGCCACACGTAATGATTGATTTTAAGAGTTTTTTAATCCGATAAATACTTACCCAAATTTATTTGTTGAATTAGATGGCATATCCGAGAGGGGCATATCCTGGGCCTCCATACCCACCTCAAGGCTATCCACCCCCACCTCATGGACCTATGGCTGCGCGTCAGCCCTATTATCCGGACTCGAGGTTTGATATCTTTATAATAATAATATTTAATATATTTTTTTATAAATTTAAATTGAATCGTATGATGATTGATGATAAGCTGAATTTTATGTTGACATAACTTTTCATCACCCACTGAATTACTATATCTGACGATTGATTTTAGTTATTTATTGTCACTAAAATGTCTTACCGGTAATTAGTGTCAACTAATGTTTATAATTTATTGTTTTTTAGGGGACAACGATTAGATGACGAATCATCTGGTGGTCGTCAAAACCGATCGGCCCCGACAATCATCACCGATAAAGATCTCAAAGGTTTTGATGATATACTAGAAAATGCTTCGGGTCAGACGGGCGGTTGGGCGGCGGCTAACGCTGAAATTGATTACAATGCTAAGCTTGTTTTCAGCGATGACGAAGATCAGCCAACAGCAACAACAACCAAAGAGAGATCGGATAGTTATGGTGACACCAGAAGTAATAATTCTAATGAAAACAATAAACGAAAGGATTGGGAACGTAAAGACTATGACAGAGGTGATGAACGACCAAAATATAAATCACAACAACACCAACAACAGCAGCAGCAATGGCAACAACAACATAGACAACAGCATCCAAATCAGCGAAATAATAACCGAATCAATAGCTATGAGCACTCGCGAGACGGACCACCACCACCTTCTGGTTCTTATTCAAAGCAAATTCATTCAAATTATTCTCATTCACGACAACCACCACAACAACAACCGCCACCAAACAGATCTGAACCGATGGTCGCCGACGACGACGAAATGTGGCGCCAACGTAGTCAACAGCAAACTGACGAAATGGCTGCCGCTGTCGTACGGGCGCGACAGCGACGCGAAGAGGAAGAAAAGAAAATGGAAAGAAGCCGACAGGCGGCTCACGAAAAGCTTCGGTATTTAGAAGAAAAGGCCTCACATGACAAGCCGTTGACGTCGTCGGCGGACAAAACCGATATTGATTTCGATCAATCTTCGCGACACAGCAGTGAAAATCGTGACGACAAAGTTGGTCGAGATATGCGTGATATTCGTACACGTGATTACCCACGGGATTCTAATTTTCCGGGAGCTGGCGGCGGCAACAAATACCCGAAAAATGTCCCGCCCAGGTTTCAACGTCTACAAAATAATGGTCAATCAAATGTCCAAAAATCTGATATGACATACAATAGTAATCGATTGCCGTCGGAAAGTGATTCGCGTGATGTCCGCGACGTTCGCAATAATCAAATAATTATTAAGTCCTCTATCGGTGACAATTCCAGGTCAAACAGTCAAATAAGCTCTGGTCACGAAAGTATTGAAAGTGAAAAAGAAAGACGTACTCCTGACTATGATTCGGCCAAAGATAGACGACATCGATCGTCACATTCGGGTTCCGATAGTCAAAATTGGAGAACTGGACCGAAAACACCGTTGACCACTGAACCACTGAAAGACTTGTCCGATAGTCGTCTACCCGATGACAAGGATTCTAATAAATTTGTCAAAGATTTGCATAGAGACTCGTTTTTCAAAGATAACAAACAAAGAGATGACAATTTTGATCATAAAGTGGTCCATAGAGACCAATCAGATCATCACCACCATCGAGAACTTGTCGAACGACAAGAGAGTTCGCATAGTTCTCATTCGGATAGACGAAGTGTGTCGTCCAAAGAGGACAAGTATGCGAATAAAAATATGAATTGGGGTCTCGATAGTGATAATTACGGAACAAAGAGTGTTCACCATCAACAACAACGCAGAGATCATAATCGTCACGGACCTGTTCCCATAACACAAAAGCAATTCGAAAGTATTACCGAACCAATCAAAAAGAATTTTACGCCATTAAAGAAGTTAAATCAGTCGACGACTGTTAGCAGCAGCGGTGGCGGCGATACCACTAGAGATACTATGGCCGACAAATTAAGTGATAGCACAACAATACAGCAAACAAATCAAACGTTAACCAATGAAAATCTTAGTAATAAGTGTAATAAAATGGATAATCAATTGTTATCTAAAGAGGACATAACTAAACCTACTACTGATGTCGCCGGCATCGAGTCGATTGATAAAGAGATGCGCGAAAGTGATAGTCATCTTGACAAAAATGTCGCCGACAAAGATTTGATCAAAAAGGATGACAAAAATCAACGTAAAAGTAGTTCCAATCGATACGATGCTCCGCCATATGCTGGCAGAGATGGCGGAAGAGGTGGAGGACGCTATTCGAGTCTCGGCAGTGGCGCCAATAGAGGTCGTGTCAAAGAATATCGGCCGACACGTACCCCAAGTCATGGAAGTTCGAGAAATAAATCCAATTCGTTTGATGGCAGCGATGACATGAACAGAAAGGATGGACCAAAAGAGGTCCAGAAGTCTAATGCGACTACAACTCCATTGGACACGGATGACAATAAACGTGAGTACGACAGAGATAAGTCTGATCCCAATATTTCTGCAACGTCATCGGTTGTACCGCCAAATCAACGAAATGATTTGTCCCGACGAGGGCGAGGTATGGCCGCCTTCAAGACTACTAGTGGTACAAGAGGTATGCCCCGAGCTTATGGTCCCAGCAACTATGGGCCGCCACCTTCTAAAGCTGCTTTCGGTGATGGATCTATTTCGAAAACAGATAACAACCGGAATTATGACCACAATCGCAATGAAAAGTCTAGCGATTCAAGGAATTCGTATCAAAACAATAGAAATTCTTTTAGATCGATGAACGACGAAACGAGTTATCATCACTCGTCACGTGAAGTCGTCGATAACAATAGAAACAATAATCCAAGTAATCGTAATAAAAGCAATTCATCGATGTCTAGAAATGGAACTTCTTCTGTATCGAACAGTAACAACAATAATAAGAATCGAACGGAACGATTGCCGCCTAGACTACAGAATCGAAGTAATCGATCGCATCGAGGAAGCGAACGAAGTGGTTCCGGTAGTCGATTAGACACTGATATGCATAATGAAGAATGGGAGACTGCTTCCGATAATAGTGAGGCCATGGCTAGAGGCGATCGTCGATCTAATAACAGTAATAGAAGACATTTAGAACACCCGTCACGAGATAACAGAGACAAGAGAACAACACAAGATAGGAGAAGTGGTGACAATTATCGTGGACATCACGGTAGTGGAGGTGTTGGTGCTGGTGGTGCCAATACGACTCATAGAGGAGGCGGCAACGCTAACAATAGAAATCAATCAACAAATAGTTCGCATGGTTTGCGGTCGTCGACAAACAATAGCCAACAGCAACCAAATGGTAGTATTGACTCAACAACTAATCGAGATGTGACTGTTTTCCAATTAAGTGGCGTAACTCTTGATAATCCAGATGCTATTAAAGATGCAATTAATTCGTTGAATAATAAGAACAACAACAATGAAGAAGACAATGATGTCTTGGATAACGACGACGTCGACGACGAAGAGATCGACAATAGTGACGATGGATTTAAGACTATCGAAAGAAATAAGCGACGAAATCGTCCGAATCAGACGGGAAATGATAATAAAAAAGTGAAACATGAAGTGAGTATTGAATGAAAACCAAAAAATAATTTCAATCATTTAATTACACACATTATGATGAATATCCTTATTATAATCTGTCAATCCTATGATTATATGTTTAATGATTTTTATTTTACTTTTATTCTGATGTTTTAATAATTTAATTTTACATTTAAATGATTTTTATAAAAATTGTTAATGAATTTATCTGTTATTTAATTTACCCACATTCTATCAGATTAATCAAAAATCAAAGGGTGCCGCCCCCACCACTACTAATAATAAAAGGTCGCCCAAACCTAAATCAAATCACGTTGCGCCCCGTTTTGCCAAACAAAAGGCAAACAATGACATAAACTCATTACCAGATGGATTTGCCAACAAAATTACCGACGATTTCAAGTCACTATCGATTGTTGATCCGAAAACTGTAGCCACCGATGCTATAGCTAAGACTCTACCCGATAAACTGGACTCAACTGTTCGTATAAATTCTGTACCCAATGCATGGATGAAACCATTGAGTCTATCCTCACAGACAACGGCCAGCAATACAAGCATCACAACAGTTACCAAAACGACAGCACAGGTATCAAACTCTCAAGCAAACAACAAACAAACAAGCGCTCAAGCGTTAAGCACATCGTCGAAATCAAGTAGTTTTGATCAGCACGACAGCGGTGTCGAAGTTTCGGATCATCCGCCGTCTACGGCATCATCGCAACGGTCGTCGCCATCTAATGACGATAACAAGATGACTACGACTACCGCTAAATCTGTCGGTCAAGTGACTGATAAGTGTACTGATATTGTAAGCGATTATAATTGTTGTTAATTATTATTTTAAAAGAATGATTTGATTTTTTTTTAATATATATTATTTGTTTGTTTGAAAAAAGGTAACTGATTTGGATGCGGCCAAACCAATGTGTACAGTGATCTTCGAGAATACCAGATATAAAGAGGAAAACAAAGTCTTGGCTAAGATAGTGCCGGCAAAGTCACCGTCAGCTAAGGTATTGATCCTATTGAGTGATGTCTATATATATATATAGTATATTTTATATGCCTATGAAATGATGAAAAATCAGGAGCCAATCCAATGATTTCGTTTTGTGATTACGAAAACCTTGTCCCTAAGCTGATCCCATAATTGCAATTTGCATTATATGTTTATCTTTTATATACAGAAATATTAATAGTTAAGACATTAACAGTTAACACATAAAAAATTGTTTTTTACTTAAGGAAATGTACTCCAATTCAACTTTAGTTAATAGTGTTGACACCGAAACTGGTGGACATTCCTCATCACAGTTAATGTCTGTCCAGAAAAAGGTTTGTTAAAAAAATACTTACAGATAATTATTATATATTTAAAAAATTGAAAGCGCATCAGTAGACCCGTCGTGTTAATTATTAAAATATTACTCGAATGGGGGGATAAATGTGCGCAAAATTGATTGATAGGCATAACAATTAAAAAATATGATTAAATTATTATTAATTTATTAATCACTCAATTATATTGTGCTTACAATTGTTTGTTTGTTTATTTTTTAGACCGATTCTGCACTAATCGATGATCTATCGGTTAACGACAAATCACAGATTTCGACGAATGTGGCGAAAGTGGTAGGAATGCAAAGGACTAACTTATTGCCCACAGAATCGGATCTCAACGTAAAGATAGCTTCGACTCGTAAAGTATGGGAAAATCCGTCGACAACATCGGCGTCGGCAGCCATTGAGTCGCCAAAAGATACCCAAACGGTTGTCTTCAACAAGAATTTCGATGATAACGACTTAATCAATAATTCAAATCACTGTCACGTCAGTGATATTAACATTACAAAAGTTTCTGAATTGACAAAAGTACACTATTCTTCAACATCAATGGATCAATCAATGCACACAATGAACAAGAACAAGGCCTCACCCATAACCTATACCACGCCGACACCAAACCAAATGAGCTCTCAGTATATTAGTTCTCATCAAAGCCAACAACAGTCGATAATATCGTCTCAGATTTTGGTTAATGCCATTAATTCTCCGCCATTAGTCGATAATCGTTCCGTTCAAAACCTACAACCGTCGTTTCAAATTCATAATATAGCCGCCAATCCGGCCATATCGACACCGCCGACAATGCTATACAATACACACGTCGGGGCTCACAATGTCTATCACCAGCCGTTTAATCCTCAGCTCGATAGCCTGCAAGCTGTTATGGCCCAATTTCCTCCGCAACACAACACTGGCCATTATAGCCAACAGTTGATGCAAAGCCAACAAAATCTGACAAATATATATATGGCCCATCAGATGACTCAGCCGACAGCCAACGATCAATACAAGCAGATGGCCGCAGCCCATCAGTCATCATTGACTAAGACACTACCGATTAATCAGTTTGCTGTCCACCAGAACAATTCGTCTCTATCGAACACTGCTTCGTGGACAACACCTGCCCAACACAACCAGACCAACAATCAGACCGCCAATTATTATCCACAATCCTCTTCAGTGAACAATGCACTTCAAGGACCGCCGCATTTCGCATTTCAATCTCAACCTTCCATTGGATTGATGTCTTCACAACCGTCGCAAACGATCGTTCAGCCTCAGTATCGGCCAACTCCACTGTCAATCGGTAGAAACCCGAATGTAGAAGCAACCAATACGGTGGCCGCCAATATGAGATCAATGTTTACTGGCGGTATCATAAACGATCATAAATTAGGAAATTCGGTAAACCCGACAATGGACGCCAGAAATAGCGCCAACAGAACACTGCACGCCTACACTCAAGGCTCAAGTTTGCAACATATGCCACCGCCACCACATCAACAGCAAATGTATGGCACGAATCCTAAGTATGCCAGTCGACCCATGTTACCCAACTATGCCCAACAAATGCTCGGACAGGTACCCCTGTCTGCTCGACCTAATTCGGCAGCAATACTATCGTCTAATGTCGTCAATTTGGCTAACAATTACAATACACCAATTCAACGACCAAAAGTGAACCACAATAATAATCGTAACAACAATCCAAACACATATGTCAAGAATCCACACCAACAACATGTTCAACAACAACAACAGCATATTCAACAACAACACCAACAACATGTTGTTCAACAACTACAGCAACAACAGCAATCATATACAGGACATATGCCTGTCTCGGCATCGTTGTCTAATACACAACAGGCTAAGATGAGACAGGAGGCTGTCCGACAAACCCAATCGTTCTTTGCCCAGTCGTCGTCTACGTCATCGGCGGCTAATAAAAATGAATCGCAAATAGAGTCTCAAATTAGTGAAGAAGTTTCGACTGATTCAGTGAATACTAATAATAAGATTATTAATGACAAACAAATGTCTGCTGCACTCAATGCCGATGAAAACAAATTGAATCCGATTGAGAAAAACGACTAAATCTTAATCTTAAAAGATTTATGATTAATAATTATAATAATAAATAACGCAATTTGAGAGTACTCTTTATATATATCTCTCTTTATTGAAAATATTGCTAATTTTTTTAACTTAAAAAATATAATCATCTTTTTAGTGGAATAATTTGAATGAAGAAACAAACAAAAAATGTTTTTTTCATAATTTTTAAAAAACTTAAAAACAAACTAATTTCCTTCTAAATATTATTAATAATAATTTGTATTCAATCTATTTATATATATATATATAAATGGACCAAATGTTTGCAGTTTTTTTGTTTTAAAGGACACGACACTTGTGCTTCTCCTTTATTATAATTTATAATTAAATAATAATAATTTATATATCTATATGTGGTATATATATAATACTATTTGAATGGATAAATTGGATTTATTTAAATGATGATATTAATTGTTTTTAAAAAAATTTATGTGTTTTTTAAACAAACAAAACAAAAAAAATGATATGAATTAAAGTAAATGAATCCAAAACTAATGGAAAATTGCTTGATATTTATATAAATTATATATATATATACTGTATATTATTAAATTAGACAATAATTATTTAACTATTAAAAAAATTGAAACATTCAATCGTTGCATCTATGGATATGAAATGTACAATAGATTTGTTGCTAAAAACACACACTTGATGTATAACTCAATTGATTTTTTAACTTTATATATATAATTATTGTGTTATATATATAATTAAACAAAAAAAATGTTGACATATTTGTGGTATTATTATTAATATTATTGATTAATAAGATAACCCAAACATTTAAATTATTATAAAGAATATATTTTATATTAGTTTGTACTAATTATTTTTAATTTGGGCTAAACTTTTTAAAAAAAGTGAATTTTATATCCATTATTTTCTATTGCAATATTGATATGTGTATAAATTTTTAATTAAACAAACAAAAAATCACAATTATATATATATATAAATTATTTAAACAATTAATTATATATGAAACTACATGCAAACTGTGAATGTTATTTGTAATGTAAAACAAATTGATTATTTAAAAAAAAAACGGTAGATATTATTATTATTATTATAATATCAAATAATAAATATATCCCAATTTGTTGATGTGTTTTTTCAATGTTGTTTCTCCTAATTAATATAAACAATTTTATTAAATGGACATAAAATAATTATATTAATAATAACTGTAGTCTATTATATAAACACAAACAACACACACATACTATATAGAGACACGTAAATATAAAACTCGTAACTTATTATTATTATATAAATATATAATAATTTTATTATTTAATTAAAAAATGTTATAAATACCTGTATTTAAATCGGTTATTGAGACATGTAATTGATTTTTTATAATACACACACATATTTATATAATATTTGATGACATCGAAAAACAAAACAATTTATAAAAATTAATTAATTAGTAATTTAATGGTTACATAATTTTTTTTTGCTGTTAAGGTGTATATCCACAAAAAACAACTGCTGTACAGAACTCGTATATAAATATATAAATAATTATTATCTTTCAATTTTTAACTAATAATTAATAATAATAACTAATAATTATTGCATTTTTAGGTACTATAGTTATCGCAGCTTTCAATCTCTGTAATCTTTTTTTCAAAAAAATTATTAAAAAAAACTTGGAATAAAAATTATTTATAATGTCATTTGGGTATCAATTTATTTAATTATTTGTTTTTAAAAACTATCACAAATTTTTCATGAGTATTACAGTTAATTAAATATTTATAATTAAATAAAAAAAACTTAATTACCGTATATAAAAAAAACTTAAGGTTATTATTAGAAAATATAATTCATTTATTTTTACAGTACTATTGTTTCGATGAATGACTTTAATGGCTATATATATCATTGGATGACATGTTTCGGATCAATTGGTCCACTATTTACTGTTTAGTTTGGCCAACAAATCGCTTCGCTTGACGTTTGTCGGCTCTGCCGAAAATGTTGTCCAATAGTCTTCAAATCGGCGTACATATGGCCCGACCAGCGACGGCTTGGATGTGACGCAAACATTTTCGTAGCTCTTTCGTACGGCACTTACCGTCCAGTTCATGGATCCGGTCATCAGTATAGTGTCGTCAACGATGGCAAACTTGTGGTGAAACATTGCCGAATTGATCAGTCGTGGTCCGTATCTGATGGCAATACCTCTTGTCTTCATATAATCGATTTGACTCTTATCGGTCTCGTCTTCGCGGCTGTCGATCACAATACGTACGACAATACCTTTGCGATGTAGTTCCAGACAAACGTTGGCCAACACTTGTATGGAGAACACCCACTGGCAAACTGACAGCGATTTGTTGGCCGATGTCAACACTTTTATCAGTCGCTTCAAAGGCGAAGGTTTTTTCGGATCCGACGAAAAGTGTGTGAACTGACACGACTCCGGACGGGAACACAACTGTTCCGGCGGACTAAAAGATATAGCTCTTGTGTGATAATCTTCTCTGAAGACAAACGGACAGCACATACTGTAATCGGGAAAGAATAGACCCATAGATACAACCGGTGATGACTTCTTCTGGTCTTTCGGTTGTTGTTGTTGTCGTCGTCGTCGCCAATATTGTCGAGTTTGGTATAAAATCTCAGTGACCACTAAAACCGATGATACGTATAGACCGTACCGCATGAGGTCATTCATAATGTCAATGATTTCCGTTGTCGAAGACTTTGGGATCAATTAATTAATTAAGTCATTCATTCATTCATTCAAAAAGTAGTTTGAATTTCAAACCAAATCTGACTTTCATTTAACTTAACTATCAATTCATTCAAAACACATGTTTTCATAAACAGCGCTAAACTTGACGTTAACTTCAATGTTGTGTTGTATTTGAATTCAATGATTGATTCAATCATTTGTTTTATTTGTATTTTTTTAATATTGTAAACAAAACTTTTATTGATTGAAAACATATTGTTTTTTAAATTAAAAAAAACATAATTAAATAAATTATTATAATATTTAACAGTTTGTTGTTGTTATGCAATGCTTTTATTAAACATATGATAACAACACTAATAAAATAAACTGTTTTTTTCAATCAAATTATTTCGTCAATTGTTTTGATTTTTGTTTTGTTTTCATATTTTTATTAAAAACTTTTTTTGTCTATTTGTTTGCAAATACAATGAATTGATCGACAAATTGTTTTTTTATCACTAATTAATTAATAAATTAAAACTTTTAAATAATAATAATGTATGCAATCATTTGTAACGGTCTAAGAGGTCGTTGTCATCATCTGATGATGAATGGTCTGACCAGTTGTTGTCGGCGACTCACAAGTGGCGGTGGTGTCAACCAAGAGGTTGACAATGGCATCAAACGGATCCGTTTATTCAAACGTGTGTTTGCCATCGGCTTGTTTGGCATAACACTGACCACTGCTGTGATATTGAAGAGACAACGATCGAAACAATGGCATGAATTGATGGCAAAGACAAAGCGATTGCAAGTATGGCAAACAAAATAATTTTATTTTTTTGGTATAAATTATCTTTAATTTAAAAAAATTAAAACTATTATCAAATGTATTAAAGGGTCAAAAGTTTGGTGATCTAGAGTTGTATGAAATGCAAGGCCTGGTCATCAGCGAACCGACTGTCAAGGATTGGCTAAACATCGAGTCGTTTGTCTTTCGCGACGATGACATAGTGGTCACTGCTTTTCCCAAATCGGGTATTACATGGCTTCAGGAAATTGTCTGGCTTTTAGCTAACGAGTTGGACTTCAAAACAGCCAAATCATTGACAATTACCGACCGATTCCCGTATTTGGAGTTTCCGTCGCCGGGAATTAAATCGATTGAACGAATGAAAGTACGCCGATATCTGAAGACACATTTGACGCCAACACTACTGTTCAGTGGTAAACAATTGAACGAAACAACTGAAGACAATGATAATAATAATAATATAGTTGTGCCTAAAATGATAACTATTTTCAGGTTTGTCTTCAACTTGCTTTTTATGGTAAAATTTACCGAAAAACTTACCGTTTAATTGATTTTACAAAAAAAAACAACAGAAATCCTAAAGATTTGATTGTTTCATATTATCATTTCTGTCGTATGAATAAAATGATTGGTTTTAAAGAAGATTTCGATCACTTTTTCGATCGTTTTATTAGTGGTTCCCTACCGTACGGACCCGTTTGGAACCATTATTTAGATGTCTTGCAATGGAATAATAGCCAACCGGACGATCGCAAGATTCTGGTCATTCATTACGAAGATCTGAAAAAAGATTTCGCAAATCAAGTGAACCGAATCAGCGAATTCTTGGGCAAACCAAAGCTCAGCGACGATGATATGAAACAATTAACAAATCATTGCAGCTTTGATCAGATGAAATACAATCCGGCCGTCAATTATAAACATTGGGATGACTTGGGATTTAGGGACAGAAACGAAGCTGAGTTTATGAGAAGAGGACAGATTGGCGACTGGAAGTACTACTTCAGCAAAGAACAAAACCATACGATCGACAAATTGGTTAAAAAATATTTGCAAAATAAAATTTATTTTGTATTTGAATGAACAAACAGACAAATAAAACAAAAATTGATTGTGTATTATATGGTATATATAGGTATATAAATTGATAAAAAAAATTATTTAATAATATATTGTATAATTTATTTGTCATATAAATAATAAACTAATTTAATTAAATGCACATATTTTTTGTATAGTTGTATAATTAATTAATTATCAATTATCCCAATATATTAACTTACCTTGTACAATATATTGTAATAATTTAGAACTTTTTTTTTAAAAAACTAATATTTAAAAATTATTATTAGAGTATTAGAATAAATGTAAGGGGGCGCCACCTAATGGGGTTTATATACTGTAGAGGGCGTATTGCTTTTGCTAATATTAACTATAAAACCAAAATATATGGCAAATATTAAATACAATATACAAAAAAAAAAAGTTTTATGATTATTAACAATAAATAACGTCATCTTCAAATAACTAGTTATAACTCACAAATTGTATGCAATATCTAATATATATATATATATATAATATGTATTTCTATGCCATAATATTATCCCATTGTTTGTCCCCATATTTAACGTAATTTATTTTTCTCTGGTTTTGTTTATTATTATGTATTTTATTGTTGTATTAAAATATTATTATTATTATTATTATTAATATACAGACAGACAGTCATACATACATACAGTGTGTATGTGTTTTGTGCTTAAAATTATAGGTAAAGTAAACCTCTTTTTTTGAGTAAGTTTTTAGTGTTTTGTTGTGTTTTAGTTATACATACATACAGTACATACAGACAGACACTACTCTATACTTACTGTACAATCAGTTTGTTGTCGACTGACTGACTGTTTGAATGCATTTTTAGTTTGCAATTCATTATTATTATTAGTAGTATTGTGTTATTATTAGTAGTTTTTTTCAAAAAAATAAAATAAATATAAAATATCATATCATTTATATTATTAATATTATTATTATTATTAAATATACAGTAGTTTTTTTTGGCCACACTTTACAACAATAACAACACATTTTGCAACAGTTTTTTAGTTTTATTTGTGATATTTTTATAAAATAATTTTGTTTTTATTTACCTGTATTTTGATATTTATTAGTAATAATAATAATAATAACAATACTTTATTTGGATATTTAATATTTAATGTGATTATTATTATTATTATTAACTAACATTAAAAGTGATGGCCAATACTGCGACAAATCTATTGATAATAACATTAATTAATTATTATTTAATTTGTCAAACAAACACATCTAATGGTAAGTTTAATCAATCAAACAAACAAAAAATTGAATTAAATATACAAACGTTTATTTAATAATTATTTTGTATTATTATTATTAAAACATTAGTTTTTTTTGTATTTAAAATGTGATTTTGTGTTTCTATGTGTGACTTTTTTTTATTGTTAGTTATTAACTATAGTTATTTTATGCCATGATTTTACAATATTATTATTAGTATTATTAATAATAATATTATTTCTAATAATAAGTAAAATGTCACTAACCATAAAAAATATATGTTATAAAATGTACTTTAAAAAAGACATTATTATTTATGCAAATAATATTAATAATAGTATCATATATTATAATTTATAATACATTTGTATATAATATATGTTATAATGACCTAAACTCTTGATATCATAAGAGAGCTAAAAATAAGTTATTATTATTATATTCATAGACAACCTTATTATAACAAAAAAAAGAAAGATATGGTTTGTATAATACAAAAGCCTATAGTTTTTTTCGAGTTGTTTGTCATAAAAATCTTCTCTCTCTCTCTCTCTCTCTCTCTCTATATATATATATATATTTCTCTATTAATAATAAATGTGTGAATATTTAGTGCGAGAAAAGTGCGGAAATGAATGTCAATTCAATTGACTGACTGTTGGCTCACCTTTTGGTTTAACAAAAAAAAATTATATATATATTTATATATATTATAAGCCCTTATTGTTGAAAACTATCTCACATTGAATTAGGATATATAATGTAATAATAATAATAATGGATATAAAGTATATATTTTTTCTATTTGTAGATATATTGTATGATATAATAATCATTTTGTTGTTGTTATTATTATTAGTCATAATTTAGTTTTTTTAGTTGGGTTATCAAAAAAAGAGATATAAATTTTTATATGTATTATATATTATATATATACTGTATATGTGTTTAAACAGATGATTGCTTTTTAATAGTCGAAGTATTTATTTAATAATGTCTTTCCTGTTTTGTATAAATGTCTAGAAAAATATTTTTAAAAAATAGTTTATATGATTATTAACTGATTATAATTTTTTTTTGAATTTTTTGTGTGTCTGTCTAATTAGTTAAATGATTAGTTTAAATATAGTAATAATAATAATAGTGTATTGAATTTGAGATTTTATCGGCACTAATTTTTTTGTGAACATATATCGGAAATTGTTGTCATAATAATAATATAATTATTAATAATAATGAATAATAATAAGGTTATTGTGTTTTTATGTTATATTATGTAAACATTTATTAATAACAATTATAATTTAATCTTTTATAAAGTATCAAATGATATTGTAATTTAATCACTTTTGGCTACAACTTCATTAAAATATTAAATGTTTGTTTTGTATATTATAATTGAATATTTATATACAAACTTGTATTTTATAAAAATTTCTATTGAAATGAAGTTTTTTTGTTTGTTATTTTTGTCCCAACTTTTCTGAATAAATATATGAATGTTTTTTAAATATAATTGTTAATTAAGGTTACAATATATATATATATATATTATAATTGTTGCCGATGCTAATTATGATGATGCTATTGAGCCAAACATTTATTTATTAATAAAATTAATTTATTTATTTTACATTAAAATATATGATTATTTTCAACAACAAAAAATTATTTATAAAAATTATATTAAAATCAAATAAATTCAATTGAAATTTCATGCATAGTGTGTTATATAAATTATATTTATAGTTGATTCAATGTTTGAATAAACAAAATTAGTTGTTAGGGCTACCAATTGATTTGTTATTATTTTTATGACTATACAAGTTATTATTACAAAAAAATAATATGTTATAATTTTTTGGTATAATATTAGATAAATATTTGAAAGTCACGAAACTGTTTGCTTGCAATTATTTTTAGTTGACATTCATAACGATCCAAATTGTAACCCAATTTCTATATTAATATATAAGTAAATTACACTAAAATAAAGTGTATATTGGTTTTTAGGAAAACCTTGTCGTCAAATAAAATAAGTTATACTTTTAAAAAAGTCTTTTCAAAATATTTATATATAATATTTTGTTAGTTAAGCCTATCTTTACCTTTAAATACTGATTTATTTGTAAAAACTAAATGTTTGTTTTTGACTAAAACTCCATATCGTCGACTAAAAGTTTTTAGTGCCGTTTGTTTGCATTACTAAATAGGAAATGATTTTCTCTCTTTCTCTCTCTGTTTGAAAAACGGATTTTAATTATAAAACTCTTAATACGGTTTTAAACATGTTTTTGCTATATTAAGCAATTTAATTATATATAGTTAGTTTCCTTTTAAATCTTATATATATTTTTACTATAAATACTGCATATATTACAAACTTAAATGAAAAGTAAATTATATTTATATATATCATCACGAGTTAATTTTATTTAATAATTAATATTAATTAGAAATTTTATACCTGTTTTTCATATAATTATTTTTAATCTCAATATATTATATATACTGTAGTATTGTTGATGATTTAATTTGTATCATAAAAATAAGGTTATTTTGTTTCTCTCTATCTCTAACTAATCACACTTATATACTGTATATCGTCATCATCTATAATATAATGACACTTTAACTGTCAAATATTTATTATTATTATCGGCAAACAAACAACAACAACAAAAAAGAGTAATACTAAATGTATTTATAATTGTTTGTTAGGCATACATAATGTAATGTAATTTTTAAAAAAAGTTTTATTTAGTTTTGTTGTAAAAATTTCAAGGGTATCATTGAATTATAATTATTACTGTATTACAGTATTATTATTATTAAAGCGTTTATCCTCTAATATCTAAGTTATGAGTAACACACAAAACAGCAAATTAAGCTTTTAGTTGATTGAATAATAATAATAATTGTTATTTTTTTATTAAATACATTGAAAATTTTATCATATTTTTTTGTTTGTTAATTTATGGCCTTTTTTCCTAAATGTATTGCATGATATTTATTTGATTATATTATATTATTGTATTAACAATTGAATTTGAATATAAATTTGACAAGGAAACTTATATTTTTTTAATAATAAAAAATAAGTATTAATTTTGTAATTTATTTATTTATTTTTCTTTAAATTTAATATTTATTGTATTTTATTTAAATTTATGATTTTTTTTGTTGTTGAATGTAATTATTTATTTTATTTATTTATTTTTTGCATAAAATAGTTTTGGATTTTTGGGAGTTTTCGGACAATGAGTTGAACTCAAATCTAAAATACCATACAATTGTTAGAAGAAATAGCGATGACTTAGATATCAAATTGAAGAAAACATCGCCGACTAAGAAGCCGACAATTGTGGCCAAATTGGACGTAACACAGAAAAACATATCCACCAAACAAACCATTACTAATAATAATACTAATAATAATAAGACAACTGTCAAAGAGACTGTAATATTGCCTAATATTACCGTTACATATGTCGATGTCGACGATGACAACAACACTAATATTACCACTTCGACAGAATTACCAGAAACTCAGAAATGGGTTTGTCATTGATTTTTTTATAGATAAACTAAATGTTTAATTGAACGAAACTTTTTTTTTAAACATTATTATTATTATTGCACACAGAATGAGACTCAATACGAGAATCACACGTATTATAGTTCAACCTTTTATCCGGAATCTCAAAATGCAATGCATTTATGGGTCAACATATCGACATTTCCCCGACACCAGACCGTCGTCCACGACATGCTATCCAATTCCCATCGACGGGCCGCTACTGTTACCCTACCGTTTGAGTTTAACTTCTACGGCCATCGGTTGACCAATGTTACCATAGCCACTGGCGGCTTTCTCTATCTGGGCGATCATGTGCACAGTTGGCTGGCAGCCACCCAATATATTGCGGCAATTATGGCCAACTTCGATACCAGTCTAAGCAATTCGTCAACTATACAGTACGCCTACAATGAAACAGCTTTTGTCGTCCAATGGGAAGACGTTATGCTTCACGATCGCAATCCCGACGGACTGTTTTCGTTTCAAATAATTTTATTCAAAAACGGTGACATCGCTTTCGTCTACAAATCAGTGCCTGTAGTCATCAAAGATCTGTCCGATTCAAAACATCCCGTAAAAGTTGGCATTTCAGACGCTTATATCATCGATAGGACTATATTTTGTATGCAATTGATTGATTGTTTTGTCAATTGACTGATTATTAATTCAATTTGTTTTTATTTTTCAGTTATCCGTCGCAAAACTATCTATGAATATCACAGAGTAGATCTCAAAGACTACGCCATAAGCAATAACACTGCCATATATTTTAAGGCATTACCGAGTAAGTACCCGCATTACTTCGGCATTACCCGATTGTATATATATATATATATACAATATATATATGTAATTATAATTAAAATGATTACATGTTTTTTATCAACCAAACCAAATAGCCTGTGCATCGTTGCAAACATGCGGCGATTGTGTGTCGGCAGCAATCGGTTTTCACTGCGGTTGGTGTGACTCAATTAACCGCTGCTCCGATGGTTACGACCGTCACCGACAGGAATGGATTGTCAAAAACTGTGAGTCAGCTATTAAAGAGGGAACAGTTTCCTGTGCTCCCAATACTACAGCCACAAGTCTACTATCAAATATGACGACACACCCGTTTAGTAGACAAACAATCATATCTTCAGGTATTTATTTACATATTTATATGCAGTATAATTACATAGATGTGTGGTATAACTGGTTATAACTGATTGTGTGGTTTGTATGTATCCTCTTTTTTTTGTATGCCTCCCAGACGACAATAATAAAATCGATATGCATGATGGTTCACTCAACTCGAAAACTGATTATCTATCTGATACATCGCCCGCACCATCATCATCGAGCAGTTCCAGTGCCGGTCTAGTATCTGTACTCGTAATATTGGCATTTTTCTCTGGTATTTCACTATGGGTTTTCTATGCCTATAAAAATCCTCAATCATCGTCGGGTCAAATGTTGATCCGTTATCGACCGTCACAGTGGCGTTGGGCTAGTAGTGAGGCCCGTTATACCGCCGCTTCTATACATATGTAAAAGTGTTAAGTGATATATATTACTGTATTTTGTATAAGTACTGTATATGATGTGCTCTCCAAAATTTTCAGCTTTATATTTTTTAATCATTATTATTACTATTATTATTATTAAGCTAATAATTGTACAGTTATAACACACGATAATAACTCATAAAGATTTTTAGCTAGTTTTTTGTGCTTAACTTATAGTTTTAATACTAATTTTTTAAAATTATAAAATGATAACTAATCAATGGTTAGAAATATATATATATAACTGAATCTCTATTTTTAACACAATAATGCATTTTCTAATATTTTTTTCTATACCTATTTAATTAAATAATAATTATCGAATTATTTATAATTTAGATTTAAAAAATCAAATGACTAATGATTTAAATGTGTTATTATTATTATTATACTGTATTATTGTGACATTAACCCTAATTGACTTTTGTTAATATATCAATTTATTAGTAAATTTTTTATTTATTTTCTATTGATTTATATATTTAGTTTTTTCTACACTTTGATTTAGATCCTTATTATTATTATTATTACTATTATTATGTGTTAAATCTCAAATTGATAGCAATTTTATTTCTATACATTCAATATATATGCGAATTGCATTTTACTAGTCATTAATAATTTTTTTAAAAATTTTAATTGTGTACCAAATCCTGATTTTTATACAAACAACAACAACAATAACACAATTCCAGCCCTAATAATGACAAATCAATTGTTGATAAACTTTTTTTTTATAAAATCAATCAATTTTTTTTATAGATACACAATACACACGGACCATAAAATTGTTTAAAAACTTTTTTCTAATACTAATAATATTATCAATTTTTTATTTGTGAAAAACTGTTACCCTTTTTTTATTATAAAAAACGAGATTTAAAATTTAAGTGTAATTATATTTTTTAACTAAAATATTTAAATACTTAAATGAAATAAAAAAAAACAATAATAATTTTTATATTAACTATGAATTTATTTTAAATAATTATTTATATATAATTATATAAACAAAATCTAATGGTTTGATTGATGATTATCCTTATGTATACCATTGACATCGACAGCCAAATCTTCATTACATTCAATAAGTGAAGTCCTTTCAATTGTATCATCAGTTTCACAGTTGATCTTATGATTGATCTCTGTTTCGATGACATTGATATCTTCATTGTCCTCTTTATCCATATGTTTTGTTCGCTTAAAGAATCCAAACTGTAATTATTAAAAAAATTAAATTAAATTAATTAGTTTTTGTTTAATTAATATCAATTATTTCCCAATTAATTAATAATACCTTAAGTAATATTAATGTTATTAGAATTAATATGAGAATTCCGGTACCAATACTCAAGAAAATGATCCAATTTTTGATGGGCTCTGGCTTTAAGTGAATCTGTTTGAACACAAAACTAGTAGACACCTCTTGGTCGCCATCTTTTTGGACATCGATTTTTGAATCTAAAATACTGGCACTTGATTTGACAACAAAATTAATTTTATCGTATTTTGTATCAAATATTGATTCAATTGTTTCGATATCAAGAGCTGAATGTATAATAAATTGAGCCATCGATAGCTTATCGCCAGTGAAAGGACCGGCAAAACACTCCATTTCCAGACAATCTATATATTGATTGCAAACCTTTATAGACGAAAAAAGTTGTTAATTGTTATTAATTAATTAATTGCTTTTTAAGTGAATTATTATTATTATTATTATTATTACCAAATTTAAAGTGTTTTCATTTGCCAGATATTGTCCATCAATATCTCTTTTATGTCGATTATGTTCATCGGGAATAACTGGAAGGGTAGCTATGGTTCGGTTACAGTTAACCGATACTCCACTGCTTAGCTATTAAATGGATATAAAGTTTTGTTTTTTTTAAAGTTAGAATATTAAACAAAATTATACTATAAATTATCTATTTTTTTATCTAAAAAATTAATAAATATTATTTCCAACCTCAACATATGGTCTATAGATTAGCGATTGTCTATTGAAAAGACTCGGAAAACTTAGTCTAATAAAAACATTTTCAATTGAACTGAAATTTTGTTTAGTTATTTGAAAAAATCCCGAAAATCGTATCAAATTGCTCTGTCTTTTGCTTTTGATTTCGTATAACATTTCAGACTCTAATGGATTACTAATAATAAGAATAATCACATTTAAAAAAAACTTATAAATAATATTTATTTTAAAAAAATGACAGCAAACCGACCCAAACATACGGATCGTGGCGTTTCGTACGACATTTATTACCACAGTTTCGGTCAGTCGACTATCAATAGTCAAATTGCTGGCCGATTTGACTTCAATGTCGAAAACAATTCGATCTAATTTTAAATCCAATACCGATATATCAAAATGTATGGCAATCTGTTGTCTACTTTGGGTTTCCAATGGATTTCCGACATCGCATTCAATGAAATGTTTGGTTTCATTATTATTACTGGTTTTCGGTAGCCGACACCTACTGTCCTGTTTAAGTAAATTTAATTTCGGTTTCGTATGGATTAATACTTTTGTCAAATAGGACGGTTCGCCAGTGTTTTGTACGACTGTCAGCAAAGTCAGACTTTTGTGATAACCCTCTTGAATGATGGCATCTCTGGTCGGTTTAGCTGCCAGTCCGTTGAGTTGAGTTTTAGTCGATATTTTTAAATTGGATACACATTTCTCATCAATTCGACAGCCAGTTTGAAAGTGTAGCTAAAAATTATTATTATTATTATTGAATATAAATTTTTGTTGTGTTTTGATTGATACCTGATTTTTAACTAATTGGTTGTTCATAATTATCGGACATTTAGGACAAAACGTATCTTTGGATTGTTGTAGATGAATAAGAGTATAGTTTAGGGATAACTCAATCGGTGTAAATATATCATCGATTAATGTCCTGTCCTAAAAAGGGAAGTATAGTTTGAAGTAACAGATAATTGAGTTATTATAAACCCGTAATAATGTGATAGTAGTATATGACTGATAACAATACCAAACCTTAAGATAGACGACAATTTCATCGAAACAACTCTGTGTGGAGTTTCTGGTAATTGTCACAACTCTAGTAATGGCCGATTGTATCCGATTCTTGTAGACCATAAAACATCTGGGATTTTCCGGTCGTCTACTGTCCAACTGAAACGTAATGTTCAGATTGAGCGAAGCGGGTACGTGTTGGCCACCGTATCGGATACAATATCGGACGCCCACACAAGCGGCCCGTTTCTGGGTTTTCATTGTATAGTCAATGTATTGGCATTGAGTTTCCTTTGCGTTTATAAAACTTTTATTTAGTTTTATTTCCGATATTATATTAACAATTGGCTTTGTTCTGTCATTTATTTTTTGTATGCAAATATTTTTTTAAATGATTTAAAAATAATTTTTTAAATAATTTTTTCAGACACACAAACACACAATACCTGAACAAAACGGCATTATTTGTTAGATAAGCGCCGACTAATAAATCATTGTAAAAGTTTTTATCGACATCACGTTTGCCAGCAATACTGATACCGAAACCTCTTAGATTCAGATGACTTAAATGATCTTTAGCTGAAATTCGCTGTTTGTTTGTTTGGTTTTTTAAATGAATTTTTTTTTAAAAAAAGTTATATAAACTCAGAAAATTATTCATAATAAATAAAAATATTGAACACATCAAAAAAATATATGTGAATAAAATAATTAATTAATTAATTACTTGACTAAATGATCCAATTAGTCCAAATTTGGAGCCTAAATATATATAAACTGTTCCCCTTTCATTTTCATAGGGAGCCCCTATAGCTATATCTATTTTGTTTTTTTTGTATGTTGTTGTTGTTAATAATAATAATAATGTAAATTAATTTCAATATAATATAAATTTAAAAAACAAAAAATAAAAATTTTTGATTCAAACTATTAATTAATTTGCTAACCATTATAGCCATCAAAATTAATATCTCCCAAATCAGATATAGATGATCCAAATCTTGAGCCTATTGTCTCGGATCCCATAATTATTTGCGGTTTATTGAATCCCTTTTTAAAAACATTTGCATTTTATTAAAAAATAATTATATTAGAAGAAAAACCCCTATAATCTGTTTGTTTACTTTGAATATATTATTAAATTATAATAATTACATAATAATAATAATGCTTAAGGAAATTGCATTATATAATTATTATGTATAAATATTAATAATAATAATATATTATTATTATTAATAGTTTAGCATTGAAGATTTTACTTTTTGATATATACAGTATTATTGCATTTAAACTAATTTATAATAAAGTGGTAAAAATTTTATTTTAATGAATCACAAGTGGAAAGTAAGTGAAAAAAATATTTGCATTTTTCAAATGAAATATAATATTATTGAATAATTTTCTAATAGTTATTATTTATTTATATATTATTAGAAAAAATTTAAGTGGAAATGTTATGACAGATAATTATGACATTTATAAACTATTATATAGAAAAATCTGTTAAAAAATATAACTATTATACAGTAAAATATCAAACATAAAATCCAATGTCAATGAAAAAAATTGTTTTGTCAATACTTATGTGAAACTATAGTAGATATTTATATGTAATTTCTAAATGATTAATAATTTACCAGTAAATATAAAATTTAATTAATTAATTAAAAATAATATTTAATAGCAACAACAACTACAGTGCCATTAATAGTTTGCTATAATTATAATTTTATTTATTTAATTAATTTTAAATAAAAAAAACCTTACATTTCCATTGCTCAGGTAGACAAACACACGGCCACAATCGCCCGAAGTCTTAATTGAATAAAACGGTGCGCCAACTATCAGATCGCTGTAGTCGTCGGCATTGATATTTGTGGCCAACAATGAGGCGCCGAAATACTCGCCCATTTGAAGGCCACCTAAATAGCCAAACATATGTGTAGACTCTTCGCTATGGACTCCTCTGTTTCCTAAGTTATAGATATAAACCTATAGATATTAAAATAAATTAATTGTTTTAGAAATTATGTTTGAATTAAAAAAAAATTATATATATACTATATATCTATACTAACCCGTCCTTTATAATTCATATCTCTCGGAGCGCTAACTACTATTGAATTATGAATTCCGGCCAAAAAATATCCCGAAGTTATAGCATATCCGGTATACGACTCTACAGTATATATATATATATATATATATATATATATATATATGTATTGATATATAATTTTTAAGACAATTTTTTTTGCAAATTTAAATAATTACTACAAAATTTTATTATCCAAAAGTGCAATACCCGTAGCAAACTTGGATGTCTGATGTATGACAAACTTTTCACGCAATATACCAGCGGTTTTCAAATTTTGTACTTCAAGTACTGTTCCTCTCCATTGGTAAAATCCCGGTGCGCCCAACAATAAATGGTCGCCACTCTATGTATTTTATATTAGTATTTTATGTAACCGGTATTTTTTGGTCAATACCTGTGTAAAAGTGGCCGAAAAGCCGCTCATTGCATGTGAATAATAATAAGTAGAAAAGCGTATTTGTTGGTCTATGCTATCATTAAAAAAATATATATCAATTTATAAATATAATTATTATAATTTAAAATTAGATTTATTTATTAAAAAAAATCTATTCAGACTTGTCATCGGTAATATAGGAACAGGATTTCGATGGACATCACCCAAGTCGACAACAAAACAACTACCCGACGGATATATTTGATGATCGGGTCGATTCGGGTACAAATCTTGCGACCATTTGTGGCCACAAACGGCTACCTGTTCACTGTTCGGACGGGACACTATGGTACCGCCCAAGTACATGTCTGGCCGGGCCATTACATTCATTGTACCTAAAAATTAATATATTGAGAGAAAGAGAGAGAGAAAGAGAGAGAGAAAGAGAGAGAGAAAGAGAGAGAGAGAGAGAGAAAGAGAGAGAGAGAGAGAAAGAGAGAGAGATGTCGATATTTTTTAAATATACGATTTATGCGATATATTTACATTACTTACGAAAATTCATATCAATTTCATGACACATTGTATTTAAATTATGATTTAATTGACATCTATATACAGTTCCCGTTTTTGATGTGTTATATAGGATTGATGTTGTTTTTGGGGCACCAATTATGAAACTATTTACCACATTTAATTTATTTTTAAAAATCAATTATTTAAATAATTATCAATTTGATATTAATATTTTTAATAAAAAATTGTTTCTAATGATATCATTTTAAATATGTTTGTAATATTGTATATTGAATAATAACATTTAATAGAAATCAATATATTATTGTATAATTTAAGTTAACACAATTATTAATAAATTATAATATCATATAATATATAATATATTATAATATCAAAGTTATAAATAGATATAAGAGTGTTATAAAATGTTTATGTTATACAATAAAAGTTTTTATTTTTGTAATTTTAATGTATCATTTAGAAATAATATTTATAACAAAAATATACTATAATTATTAATTTATACAAAATTTAATATTTAAAATATTTTTTAAAATACAAATAACAATATAATTAGATCTAAAAATATATTATGTTTGTTTGTTATAATAAATAAAATTATTAACTTTTATTTATAACTAAACAATTAAATGGCAGTTAAATTAAACATAACTAATAAAAAATATCAGTTAAATAAATGTGTAAAATATTTGACACATTTTTTTTTAATTACTCACTGAATCTCATTGTGAATGGTTTGCATCTCAACGGATACACCAAAATAATTGTCTGCATTTTGACTATACGTTGGCTTAAAAATTAATGGATAATCCGTATCAATGTTGAAACAAATTATATAATCACAAAAACATATTATTAAAATCAATTGAATAACTTTAATATAAATTATATTTGTATTATTATTATTATTAATAAAAAACTTCATTTTTTTATATGTACAGTAATTACAAAAAATAGCAACTCTTTTTGTGATCTATGAAAAAAAAGTTTGCCATAAATTGCTTATCAAATCAACAAAACTTTTCATATGATATTATGATATAAAATAAATAAACTCATTAAAAGAAATGATACAAAAATAATAATAATAATAAAAAATAGAGATATTTTTTAATAAGTTATTTTATATGAGAATATATTATATATTAAAGTTATAATCACTGTATATTATCATAAATAGTGTATACAATTAATCATTATTTATAGTGAATTAATTTTATTTATATCATTCACATTTTTAAACGGATTTATCAAAAAAAAAAAATTTTTTTGACTCCACAATCAAATAAATTATATGTAAATTGAAAACTAATCGGAGACTATTAAATAATAGTAATAATAATAAAGCGATTTGTTATTTACCGGAAACCAATTAATAATAAAGCAAAAAAAATTGTGTGATAAAAAAATAAACAGTATTATTATTTAAGTATATTATACTTAAGTATAAATATTATTTTTTGTTTATGATAAATTACATTACATATTGGCTAAATTCATCATAAAAATAATAATAAAATATTACACGAACCTTATGAAATAATTTTAATAATAATTTATTATATTTATTATATTACTATTGAATTTATATGTCGCTATGATATCTCATATGTGTTATGTGTGAGGAATGTTATCATTAATATATTAAATAAAAAAATAAAAAATTAATTTTAAAACTTCATACTATAATATAATAAATTAATTAAGTTTTAGCATAAGTTTATTTAATGTTTATAAATAATTTGTATTCAGTAATGCAATAATTATCTAGGTCATACTTTATTATTTAAAAAATATTTTATAAATATAACAGTAATTTAATACTAATCAATACAATTTGATTGAATATAAATATAAATATATATATATTTTTAATAACTCATATAATTATTTGTAACACAAGTTTTATATAAGTTTTGTATATTTAACGATAACTAAATGTAAACAAAAAAACTAATAATTTGACGATAATATAGATAAAAAACACTTATAAAAACATTCACATCAATAATAATAATTTCAATGATAAGTTCTTTATATACATAATTAATAAATAAATTTGTATAACAAATAAATAAATTATATTTATATAAAATGTGAGATTAAAGTTGAGATTTTTTATTTTCAAAAATATTTTTTTACTAAATAATTAATTTTAATCAAACTATTATTTGGGTCTAATTTATAGAGAAAGAGAGAGAGAGAGAGACATTAGCTAGGTTATTTTTTTTATTAAACTTGTAATTTTTATATATACAGTATATATAAATCTAAAAATAAAATTTGAATTCAAATGTTTTTTTTGATAAATTTTTTTAGAAAATTTGAATTTCTTTCCGCAACAACAACTCAAAGATGGTATCTTTGACTGCTTTGAACACAAACCTAATATTATCAGTATTGGTGGCACACGTAAAGTACGAATAGATAATCCGTTTCAGACTATAGTCAGTGAGTAAATCAAAGAACATATTCGTAATGAATTGTCGACCACTGATGACATCGCCATCCGGACCGTCATAATTCTGAAAGTAATGGTTAAGATGTGAGACACCCGACAGCATCTTCTCCTCAAACAAATCATGTTTGTTGAAGAATATAATAACCGATGAATTGTGGAACCATTCGCAGGTGACAATTGTCTTAAACAGTGCCATACTTTCTTGGAGTCGGTTCTCGTTTTTGCATTCATTCAAGACCTGATCAAATTCACTCAACGCACAGATAAAGATAATTGACGTCACATTTTCAAAACAGTGGATCCATTTGCGTCGTTCGGATCGCTGTCCGCCGACATCGACCAACCGGAAGATTATCGATTCCATGGCAAACGTATACTCATTGATACCGTTAGTCGGCGCCCGGGCTCTGAGTATGTCCTGTTGTGTCGGAAGATAGCTGTCTGAAGCAATACGATCGACGTTTGCGATGTAATATTTGGCCGAATCGGACAACTGATACTCGTTTCGTCGTCTATAGCATTCCTGGACACCTGAATCGGACCACAAATATTTGATTGCTTCCACTAAATCATTGTTCAGATGATGATGTTTATTATGATGTAGTGAATTGGTGTCCAAATTCTGAAACAGTTGACTATAATTGTGACATTCCGGGGACTGGTAGCTAATTTTCAATACAACCATTGCCTTAACAATCGATTCCATAGCCATCAATATGTTTGAATGAATAACACAAATATATCGTTGTTTTTCGGCCGATGAAAAGTCTTTTTCCTGAATAATTCGCATTTGTTTAATGAAAGTACTTTTACCCGACTCTCCCGTTCCCAACAATAACAACTTTATCTGTCGTCTGGAGTTTCGTTTGTCTTTTTTGATCTCAATTTGAATCCTTTTGTTAATCTTTCTTTCGAGCGAACTCTCATCACTTCGACAGCAATCCATGGTCTGGTAAACAACAACACAAACAACAAAAACAACTGTTTATTATTTTATTACAGAATATTCTGTGAATTTAGTCGACACACACATACATACACATATCGTACACAAGTCTAAGGCATAAACATTTATTTTAATATATATTTGTTGTCTAAATAGTATATAAAATTTAAGTACAGGTACTGTTAGTTCACGTTTTATTATAATAGGTTTGATCTCTTATGGCTTTTATGGCCATCAGTTTTATTACTTTTATATTCAATATATAAGTTTTATAATTTATTTATTTGTATCATTACTTCATTGGCTTATAAATAAATATATTATTATTATTATTGTTATTATTAGAGTGGTTAATAAATAAATACCATTTTTGATAATATTAATTATAATGAATTTATAAGTAATAAAATGTTTTATATATATATGTTGAGATTTTTATTTACAAAACAATTTTTTAAATAATTAATTAATTTAAATAAAAATATTATAAAGGTTTACAATATTTTTGAAAATATTTATTTATAAATTAACATCAATACGATCAATAATAAAGTTATAAAATAGATATATTTTTGAAAATTATATTTGATTTAGTCACTATTAAATAATAATTTTATAATGTTTGCAAAAATCTACATAAACAATATTGTTAAACCTAGCTTGATTAAATTACAGATAATAATAATAATAATAAAAATATATGTTAGGTCAATTAAGTAACTTATTATATAAATGTCAAATTGGAGTTTTAAATTAATTATTTTTTATTTACATGTAATATAATAATATTATTGCAATTAAAAAAAAAAGATTTTTACTGATAGTACTTATAGTAAAATTAAACAATATATTAATATATTATATATATTATTGAATGTTATTAACGGGAATAAATAAAATTATCTCGCGATTGATTTGATACATACAATCATATTAATTATCTCAATATAGATAATATAAAACTTTTTAAAAATATTTCAAATTATTTATTTGACACAAATTGGCACAAACATTTCCAAATTATATAGTAGTATAGATTAAACAGCGTATATAATTAAACAATTAAAATAATCAATTAAATTATTATAGGAGTTTATAGTTTTTATAATAAATATTACTTATTATAAAAAATAACATACAGCTATAAATTATCTTCAATAAATTTTTAATATTTAATTGAATTAAACAATGTATAACTTATAAAATATTAGGTCAAAAATATTGTATAATATTGATATAAATTGCTTATCTATCTATTTCAATAACAATAATAGATATTTAAAGTACAAAAAATAGTATGCCGTAAATTATAAAGAAATAGAAGAATATTATAATTTTAATTAATTATATTGTATTAAGAATATGGTATATAATTTTATTATTATTATTATATTAATATATAAATTGTCTAAATTATGACAAATATATTAAAAGATTAATTTAATATTTGTTATACAAAACTTTAATATCATTTACTAATTAATAATATTAGTATTGTGTTTGTGTTTGTACTTTAAATGTAAAACCAAATGACTTTTAATTGCAAACACTTTCTTACAGTCAATCAAACCGCATGAGAATCCAATGTCTTTGTGGACCAATTGCTGATGCAATGCATAAGTATTTATTTGATAAAATTTTTTGCCACAACATTTCTGACCGCAAATCAAAAGTTGTCTTTTTATAAGTTTGTTGTTTTTATGAACTAATTTTTGATGTCTTGTTAGCCAATATTTTGTACTGAATCTGGCATTACATCCATAATAAGGACATTGAAGTTGTTTGTGAACAAAGTTGATATGTCTTTGTAATTGACAATTGCGACCAAATGTTTGGTCACATACTTGACATTTATAGGATTTCTTTCTCCGATAATATTGTTGGACAATAAATTGGTCACTAGGGTTAAGATATTGCATTTTTATTGGACAATAGATACCAATAAACTCTATATCATTGGATCCATTATCTTCTTTTTCATTATACTTATTAGACGATTGACCACTATTTTCATAATCACTATCTTCAGAACTGTCGTCAATATTTATCACGACTTCTTTATCACCAATTGTTCCGCAAATATCTGAATTATATGTCTGTTCCTCCAAACGAATTGTTTCTCCATTATTCTTGAGATAATCTGAGTTACCATTACTGCTAACCATAGAGTTGTCGAGATTTTCAATAACAACTCGATTGTCATTCAAATCATTGTTTTCTAACTCATCTGATCTGTTCATATAAGAAGTCATCGATGAAACAGTTTGATTGTCATCCGTAAGTTCATTATTGAGATTAACTTCACTATTGTTTTGTTGATTATTATTATCACTTCTGTTTGTATTGTCGTTAGTAAACACTTCTTGACTGACATTAGTGTCCATTTCGTTATCCAATTGAATGATTTCATTATTCTTGTGATAAAATGAGTTATTGTCTTCACTGACCTTAGAGTTGTCGACATTTTCCACCACAAGTCGATTGTCATTCAAATTATTGATTTCTAACTCATTATCTGATATGTCATCCAAATAATTGTTTACCAATTCTTGTGATCTGACGATATAATTATTAGTCATCAATGGTTTGCTGTCATCTAAAACTTTATTTTGTTGACTGACTCCGAATACATCATTGCTATCATCTGATTCAATCATTTCATTACTTGTGGTAAATATCTGACTTAAATTGATTGGATTTTTTACAATCACTTCAGTAGATATTTCTTGTTTAACGATCAGTTGATGACTTGAATTAGTGTCCACTTCGTCGTCCAATTGTATTATTTTAATTTCTTCAGTCTTTGTTAAACCGACGCTTAGTTTGCGTCTGATTTCAATGTCTTTATGAGTTGTGAAGATCTCAGACGATAAATAATCATTTAGTTGACCACCATTTGTGAAGAGATCCAATTGATAGCTAGCGATAACAAGTCTATAATATTTAGCCAAATGAGCGCTGATTTCTGATTTCAAATCTTTAATTGTCTTAACCTTTAATGACATTTGAAACCAGAAGTCATGCACTTCTGGTTTCAATGTTTTTATCGATAACTTAATGAAACGATTGTTTGCCATTAGTTTTGACAATCAAACAAAACTAATGTCTCTAACAATCAATTGATGAATCAGTAAAACTGGACATCAATTCAAATTGAATGTAAAATAGAAAATAAATGAATCAATGAATCAATGAATCAATGAATGAATTCTATATCTTTCATAGGTTTAGTGATATGAGGTTTAGAATACAGTTTACTATTTTATTTCAATGTTTAATACTAAACCTATTTTTATTATATAAATGATTTTATAAATTATGAATTTGATTATATTTTATTGAATATGGGTATTGTATAGTATAGCTGCCACTTGTTGTTCACGCGATTAATATTTAATACAATTTTAAAGATAAATATATGAATGTCTCGTGAATTACTATTAATTTTATTGTAAATTAAAGAATATTTTCTTTGTTAAGTTTTTCTTGAAAGTTATGTTTCTTTTGAAAGCTATGACTTAAATTTAGTGAACAAAATGATTAATCTAAAGACATTATTTAGACTAATACTTGTCTCACAGGAGACAATGATTAACTGGTGTATAACAATGGGTTTATTATTAGCAACTAAAAAGTGTCCCATTTGTGACAACGAAATGGTAAATAATTAATTTGCAAAAAAATACATTAAAAAATTATTTTCGTAGAAGATAATTGTCAAACAATTATCGTACCGGTGCCACCAAAAGCATGGACAACCTCATGATTATAGACTAAGTGCTTTGAATAATACGTGGTTTTCTGGATCAAAGTTTAGCATTGAAAACATAATAATCTTGACGTACCTGTTTTCGGTCGGCACAACAAAATATGAGGACATTAAACGAGAAACAAGTGATTTAACTAAAACAACATCTCATAACACTATAAGTGATTGGCTTAACTTTTGTCGAGAAGTGGTATTTGATTGGGTCGAAAAATATCAATCAGTTGATCTCTTAGGAGGAGAAGGTAGTATATGATACATATTTAATTATGCACGTTACCTAAACCTAATTATAATGGTAATACCAAACTGATAGTGTATTAGTGTTTGCTCTGTTACCTAACCTGGAGTTCCGACCGCAACCTAAACCTAATTATAATGGTAATACCAAACTGATAGTGTATTAGTGTTTGCTCTGTTACCTAACCTGGAGTTCCGACCGCAACCTAAACCTAATTATAATGGTAATACCAAACTCATAGTGTATTAGTGTTTGCTCTGTTACCTAACCTGGAGTTCCGACCGCAACCTAAACCTAATTATAATGGAAATACCAAACTGATAGTGTATTAGTGTTTGCTCTGTTACCTAACCTGGAGTTCCGACCGCAACCTAAACCTAATTATAATGGTAATACCAAACTCATAGTGTATTAGTGTTTGCTCTGTTACCTAACCTGGAGTTCCGACCGCAACCTAAACCTAATTATAATGGTAATACCAAACTGATAGTGTATTAGTGTTTGCTCTGTTACCTAACCTGGAGTTCCGACCGCAACCTAAACCTAATTATAATGGAAATACCAAACTGATAGTGTATTAGTGTTTGCTCTGTTACCTAACCTGGAGTTCCGACCGCAACCTAAACCTAATTATAATGGTAATACCAAACTCATAGTGTATTAGTGTTTGCTCTGTTACCTAACCTGGAGTTCCGACCGCAACCTAAACCTAATTATAATGGTAATACCAAACTGATAGTGTATTAGTGTTTGCTCTGTTACCTAACCTGGAGTTCCGACCGCAACCTAAACCTAATTATAATGATAATATTTTGATAACTTTTAATTCAGGAGTTGTCGTAGAAATTGACGAAACAAAAGTTGGTAAAAGAAAGTACAATAGAGGTCGACTAGTTGATGGGACGTGGATTTTAGGTTTAGTTGAGATTCAAATAGGAGCTAATTGTCGACGTGGAGGTAGATTTCGTTTAGAAATATGTCCCCTAAATAAAAGAGATGCCGACACTCTTTTACCTTTGATACGTAAGCATGTAAAAATTGGGACAACTATTGTGTCTGACTGTTGGGCTGGATATTATAGACTAACAGACAATGGTATAAATGATAGATAAAACATATTATTAAGTTAATTAATTTTTTAATTTTTAGGTTTTGTCCATTTTACTGTGAATCATTCGAAAGAGTTTGTCAATTCACATACCGGTGCAAACACACAGACCATTGAATCTCAATGGAGAGCTATGAAACGCAATCTTTTAAGAGGGGGTATACCACAAGATAACCTTTATCTACATTTAGCCGAATATCTTTGGCGCCGACACGTACTTCACAACAATTTAGATAATTTTATTTTTTTTATTGATTGTATAAAACAATTATACAACCCTTTAATGTAATTTTAATTACAGTATATACAGGTATATATATATTAATTTGCAATGTAAAATATTATTTCATAATAATATATTTATATTTAATAAAATCTATTGTAATTAACGCGATATTTGTATATTTAACTTTAAAATTGTATTAAATATTAATCGCGTGAACAACAAGTGGCAGCTATACTATACAACAGCCTTGAATATTAATAATAGAAAATAAATTGTTTATTACAATCTTATTATTTACTGTCTGTCTATAGTTATATTATACATTTAAGCCTTAAAATTGTTATAAATATAATATACTGTATAGTACTGTACTTTATTTTTCTTTAGTTAAAGTAAAGTCAATAAATATTCAAATAACTTTTGAATTGAATTAAATTTATGAATTCAAAATATTGTTGTCTATCGAGAGAAATATTTTTATTTAAAAATTGTTTTCAATTATTGTTAGAATTGTATGTGAATTAATATAATTTGTTTAATATAATCATTAATTAATATTTTTTTAAAAGTTATGAGATATCACAAATTGAAATTATGTTAATAAGTTATACTGTATATGCTTGAAAAATGTTTATAAATTTAGTTATATTAATAATTATCAATTTAAATGCTATTGAATTTCATGAAACAAACAATTTATGTATTAATGACATCAAAATTGATTCAATAACTAAACTAAAAAATGGATCACTATTTATGACAAGTGGTTCATACTATTGGATTCTCAATAGAAATTCAATGAATTTATTTGATTTGAATAATAGACAACTTATTAGTAATATTTTGTCAGAAAATGTTACACATATTAATTCAGTCGAAAGATTAATATATTTTAATAATAATAATATACAAAATGATGATTTTCTTATATTTTATTGGGTAATATTAACAGTAGTATACTATATAAGTTAAACTAACTTATTATACAAAAATAAATACAAAATTTTAGTGCATATAATTACAACTATTTTCAAACAAAAATTGATTGTTTAGTTTAATCGTAATGATAATGAACCAGAAATACGATTTGTAAGACAATGGAAACCAATTAATTGGAAACATATGATTGAATTGACAGAAATATTTACATCTAATTCAAGTGTCATTGATTGGAATAATCCAATTGATGCCATACTTTCTTATAGTCTATTGAATGAATCATTTATTGAAATTTATCAAGGTAACTAATTATTTATTTATTTAAAATCAAATATTATTTTTTATTTTTTAAAATAAATATATTATTATCAGACAGAAAATGTTATAAAAGCAAAATCGATGGCTATATTGATTGGAAAATCAATAAGGATTGTCCAAAGTTTAGAGTCAATTCAATTTATTCAAATCAAAGTCATATATCAAATAATATATCAAACATTTATGTATTTTCTGATCAATACTTTTATATTATTAGACAAAATGTAATGTTATATAATATATAATTATTTTATTTGATTACTGATTATTTTCTATCATTAGACAACTCATTACTTTTGTTGTGAAAACCGGAAGAAAATTTCAACGGATTTCTTTAATTTGTCACTGAATTGTTCGCAAAGATATTCAACTGTAAGACATAAAACAATTGTCAAAAATTATGATTTAATACAACAAATGACACAATCATCTATCCATTTGTCCAATGGTTACAACATTTATTTAACTAATAGTTATAATATTATTATAAATTTACTGCAAATATTAATAATTAACAGATATGTTGACTTGTATTAATTTTACGTAAATATTTATTTAAATATCACAAATGTATGAAAATATCACAAATATATATATATATATTCAGTATATTATTTTGAGTTAAAGTAGAAATACAATAAAAAATAATAATCGCAAAATATAATTACAATATACAGTATAATTAAAAATCATTTGAAAGCTTTCATTTGATTGATCCAAAACTTTTCGGGATTAATATATCCTTTGAATTAATATATAATATCTGTTTACTTTAATTATTTAAATAATTTTTACATTTTATCATTAAAATAAAAAGTGGTAATTATATCTTTTTTGTGATTTGTTTTATAAAAATATTTATAAATTAAAAGTTAATTTAAATATAAATCACTTAATCTTTAGGAATATAATAGTTTTTGTTTGTTTGTTTGTTCATAAAATTAGCTAACTTTCAGATTAAAAAATTAATATCATATAAATACTGTACATTAATAATAACATAGAAATTAATGTGTTTTTTAACAACAAAAAAGTAGTTTTAAATACATTGAAATTGAGCGCCACTTTTATGTAAGCAAATGCAATGCAAAGGGTGGGGTCATAGACATAGTGTTCATGTGTTTACATATAATGTAAACCTGTTTTTTAAACGTCAAAAATCTAAGTAAAAGCCATAACATAACTACGATTACAACTAATACTAGTACTCCTGTGATCACAACAAACTACAAGTGCTTTAAACTAAAATACAGTATTTTTATTATAAATGTTATTTTTTGTGTTTTTTTGACATTATTTTGTGTTTCAAAATAATAATAATAATAATAGTGTGAATATATTATACACTTTTGATTTATAATTAGTTTTCACACACTATTTTCAACAACAAATAATTCGTGTGTTTCTAAATAATTATACAGAAATTATTAAACATCTATTTAACCGTAAGTTTTCAAAATATATAAAATAAAAAGTAAAAGTTTATATACAATACAATTACAAACTAATTTTTTTCAAAATGATATTTTTGTTTTAATATACTGTAGTAATATATAAAACGTAAACATAATGTGTATATATATATATGTTAATTGTTTTTGTGTGTGTATTGTTTGGTATTTTTTACAGTACAGGTATATCATATGCAATAATAACATATAAATATTAATATTATTTGATAATTGATTAGTTGAACACATACTGTACTCATACAGTATATGTTCAATGAAAATAACAATATGTATTAGTCATACCATATGTTTGCTAAAAATATTTATTATGAGATAATTAGACAATTCATTCAATGTGTATATCATATAAAAATGCATAACAATTGCTAAGTTATAGTGATAGCAGACTTAATAATAATAATAATAATAATAATAGTATAATATCTGTTTGACATATATTTTTAGGTCGACTTTAGTATTATATTGTATTGATTTATAGAGTGTTAATCTATAAATGAAATGTTGTTTAATTGCATTACTAGTGGTATCATAAAAATATATACTTATATATTATAATATACTTAATGCAAATTTACGGTAATTTTTGTGATTAATTTTATAATATATAAATGTATTATAAAAACTTGTTATTGTTTTACAGTTTATAATTTAAATGACACCCAAATGAATGAATAAATTTAAATGTGTTTTAAAAGTCTATTCACTTAACAAAATATGATATAATGAAATAAAACAAAAACAAAATTTAACTGTAAAAACCTTTTGACAGGTTTTTTCACATAACAACAACATATGTTGTTATAATTTTAAAAAATTTTTGTTACAGTTATTTACAGTTATTTACAGTTATTTACAGTTATTTACAGTTATTTACAGTTATTTACAGTTATTTACAGTTATTTACAATTACTTTTCCAATATTTTGTTTTTACTAATAACTTGTTTTTTTAAGTTATGTTTGTAAAACCATAAGTATATTAATTATATTAAATTTTAATTGCAGATTTGTCCACAAAAAAAATTGTTCAAAAAAATGTTGTCCAAAAAAATGTGATATTTGATAATTAAACTCAAGATTTTCATTATTATTGTCCGATAAAATATTCAATTGGTAACCACTATATGACTTACAATTAAAACTCACCCCCCCTCTCTCTCTCCCCACCCCCAAAAATATGTCAATAAAGAGTCGCCGTAATCGTTCACTACAATGCCGTACCCGTAAACATGTACCGATGCCGACCGGTCCGCTCAAAATTATCGGCTATCGGGACATTATGACCGGATTTAGCAAAAAGGGCGGAGTATTGGTTCGGCTCTACTATCCGGCCGCTAATCAATCGAAAAGTATTGAAGAGCAGCACCTGATTTGGCCCAATTGGTTGCCACACGAAAACTATAGTCGCGGTTACGGTGATGTTGCAGACATACGATGGGAACCGCTTTTTCGTTTTATTCAACGTCTGAATGGCGACATATTTATACCGGCCATACCTAATGCCAAACCGTTACGAGAAAAAGGTGGTAAACCCTATCCTGTTATTGTCTTCTCGCACGGTTTGGGCGGCTGTCGGACTGCCTATTCATCTATTTGTTTGGAGTTAGCATCGCATGGATTTATAGTGGCCGGTAAGTGATAATTTAGTAAACGATTAGTGAAATATTAGCCAAAACTACTATATATATTATATACCTAATTGTAGCGGTCGAGCACAGGGATAATACAGCCTGTCTGTCCTTTTATGCCAAACAAGTACGCTATTCAATGAGAGAGTCGAATCCAAACTTTTTCAGCGAAACCGACGGTCTTATGGTAGATGAACCTGATTTTGGCGATGAAATCGATGATCCAAATTATATACCACCCAAAGCACTGGCAGCCGTCTCATCCGTACCACATATAGCCATGGAATGGGTTCGCTTCAGGAATATCCCGATTACAAAAACCGGTAGAAAAATCTACAATTTCCGTAATCAACAAATTCATCACAGAGTTAGGGAGTGTTCGCGTGCTCTCGATTTGTTGGAGGCATTACAAGCTGGCTATGAGCTCAATAACCTGTTGGATCCGCTGTTCAATATATCAGAGTTTGAGGGACTGATCGATCTTGAAAAGGCCATAATAATGGGCCACTCGATGGGCGGCGCGACAGCTTTAATGTCTGCCGGAACTGAACTCAGGTTTAAAGTTGCCGTCTGTTTGGACGCCTGGATGTATCCAATCAAAGACGAATGTTTTGATTTGGTTACCCAACCGATACTTTTTATTAATACTGAAAATTTTATTGAAATGGAAGCAAATCTGAATAAAATGAAAGAATTGATGACAACAACAGACAATCCAATTGGTAGTGAATCATCTGTTGCTGAAGATTATCGTAAGGCTCAGTCCATCAGAGGTGCCGTACATTTCAATCAATGCGATATTCCGTTTGTGTTTCATTGGTTGACAAAATTATTTATCGGACAATATGGCCAACGATCTAAACGTAACCGATTTACAGCTATGGACTTAAGCAGCTATTTGGCCCTTTCGTTCATAAGCAAACATTTAGGTATAGATTTATACTGCCATCCCATCCCCTCCTAAGAAAATCTAAATTTTGTTATTGATATCACATGATTAGTATTTGTAATTAGTATTTGTTTTATTTATATATTTTTTTAGACATTATTATTGATGAAGACGTTGAGACCTACCTAAGCGAACAAAAGAAAAAATTCAAACCCACTTTCAAGAAGTGACTTAACAATTGATTGTAATAAATCAATGATAATTTCATTAATAAATCGACTGATTTACTCTATAAATCATTTAAATATATATATATATATATATATATATATATATATATATATATATCAATTGAATTATTATATAAATATTATTATAAATAATACTATTAAATATTATAGTCTATAAGTGCTATCTATCATAATCTCTTGTTTATCAATATTACTAACCAGTGCTGAATAAACAAGAGATGACAATAATTTAACAGTTCTTTCATTGATTTGTTGATTAAATTTTTTCATTTGTTGTACATTTGATTGTGATTATCAATATATTATTAGCATAGCTTAAAGCACAAGTTCACAACAAAAAAAATATTTTTTAATGGTACTATTGGTATATTATTTTTTATTTTATTATATCAAATACTTTTTTTTATATGGTAACCAATACGAAATATAAATGCATATTCATAATTGTATAATTTAAAAAAAATACTATACAGCATTATTGTTCAATAATAATTATTGTAATGTATAATTTATATTTTATTACACACAAGTTATTTATTTACAATTTGCAATTACCGTAAATATATATTAAACCATTTTATTATAACCGTTAATTAATTATTACTGTTGATGTTGTTAATGTTGAACAGTACTTACTAAGGATTTACATTACTTACATCATTAAATTAACTATGAATTTATATAAATGTATTAATGATAGTTAAAATTGCCAAATGATTGTTAATAACATTTATTCGTAACATTTTTTTACTCTTTAATGTTTGCTATTGAAATGTTAACGTTATTATATACAGTATATACTGTATATAAAGAATTTATGTAACACTTTATAACTTATAGTCTTCCATATCTTTACATTAAATACTTGCCTTTAATTTTGATTATCTATTTTATTATTTTATCATAAAATTTAATGATTAAATTTATATCATTAACAACACACTTAAATTTTTAAACAAATACAGAGATTTTTTTTGAAAAAATGAAATTATATTTTATTTTTTAACTGTTGTATATTATATATCTTATATAAATTTTAAAACATTAGTTTTACATTTTTCTATTTTTATCATAATTTTGATTATTTAAAAAGATATTTTTGCCATTTTTATTTTTTTACAAACCTATATAACTTATATAGGATTATATAATTTATATTAATTTAGTGTAAAATCATATTACATCTAAAATATATATCTAACTTATGTTATGGAAAGTTTCTAACATTTAAAATTTTTTTTCTATATAATTTAAAATGTATGATAACAATTTTTATTATTTAATATGTTATTTATAATGATATTATTTTTGATATTAAAAAATAATTAAGTTTTTGATAAAATTTATGACATCTTTATAATATTAAAAACTAATGAAATGTAAAAATAAAAATAAGTGTTTATAAAAAATAATAATTATTATTATTATAAAATTAATTATTAAATATTTATGTATATTATAAACATGTACTTTACATATATAAAGTGATTATATTTTAAATTACCGTAAATATTAAATTAATTTATAAAACATTGGCGCCGATAGTATTAATGATCTAATCATTGGACACTCTTGTATATAAAAAACAAGTTTTTTACAAACAATAGTATTATTTCTGAAAACATGTTTTATAAATAACGGTAAATTAAAATAATAATAATAAATTTAAAATGATTTATAAAAATGTAATATGAACAAAAAATAAAATTAAAAAGTTTATACAATAATTTAAGTATATATTTTAATAAATTAATAAAAAGGAATGTAATATAATAATTATAAAAAACATTTTTTGAAAATGTCATTATATTGTAATTTATATTCCTTTTTATTTGTAAAAATACTAACATTTGGAAAAAAATTATTTTACAATTCATAATAATATGTATATAAAAAACTCTTTCATACCATTTAATTGTTGAAAAAAAAACTAGATATGAATTAACGCTAGATTTGTTAGCGTTGTCCTCAAAATTGATGTCATATTTTTGTAAATTACATCATTTGTCACTTTTGACAATTTGGGATCAGTTTAGCAATCATTTTCTTGAGCTCTCGACTAACGTGTAATCCAGATATCGTTGACACCAATCTCGGACACCAAACTGATTGCCACAACACATGATAAATGCATTGTCATCGCTGGTCACTTGAGCGCACTGTCCGCATAGCATTTTGGTTGTTTCGCCGCCGCACCGATCGGCTGGTATTTCGGCAAATATATTTCTGTGACGGGACGGCGCTGTCGAGGCCAACATTGCCAGACATGTCAGACAAATAGCGATAATAATAATTATTTTTGACATATTTTTATTAGTAAACAACAACAACAAAAAGTTTAAAATTTTTAAAAATATTTTTTCATAGAATATTCTTAATTATTCGTACAAAAGTCTTCATATAATTAGTTTCTTTTTTTATCAAACAAAAAGATTACAATATTTATTATTAAATATTAACAACAATAGTTGTAAAACAGTATATTTACTGTATATTATGTTTAATTGATATATTTTGCCAATCAAAAGAAAGTGATGTTTTATTAACACAATTTTGTAGTTTATATACTATAGTCATGTCTATTGAAAATAGTTGTACTCTTTACGCCACTTTAAAGCCAACTAATATTACGCTGACTATAAGTACGGCCCTAAACTGTATGACAGAGACTCCCCAAAAAATATCATTATTAAACACATCATTGTTAGCAAAGGGCTGATCTAAACATATAACTAACATTTTATGTCTTGTTTGCCGTAAAATTGTATAATTTTATTAAATATTAACACCACAAGAGAGTTACGCCACTTAACAAAATATAATGTTTTAAGAGTCGAGAGTTTGTATTATAAATGTCTTTTATATATTTAATATATAAAATATTATATAAACTATTATTACTTACTATTGAAACTACCGACCAATGTTTGTAAAGGTTTTTATTTTAGTAAACTTTGCCAAAATTGATAACAAGGATAGTTAGATGAGCTACATATTAATCATAGAGATATGTATATATATATAGCATATTATCATACATCATATGAATTTCTTATATATAAATTGACTATCAATTAAATTAACACATTAATTAATAGGTAATACGTGTACATTATTTTTTTAAAAAAAATGTTTGTATAATGTTAAACCATAATTAACGATAATTAGAGAATTATGTTTTTGAAATTATAAAAAATAAATTTTATTTAATATTATTTTAAAAAGCGTGTAAACACATGACTCTCGAGTAGAAAGAGAGAGGACAGTGACTCCCAGTGACGCCTGTCCTCCTCTTGAAGGATAAAATGTGGTACGATTTTGATGAAACATTTTATCGGATATAATGTTTATATCTAAATGCTTATACAGTACTCATAAAAGATTTTTTTTCATATACTGTATTAGTAAATGAAGTAACGGTTTTCTCCTCTATTTTATTAGATATATTATATACTGTATGCATACACACACACACACACACACACACACACACACACACACACACAAATATTGATTATTTTAATTATACATTTAATACATATTTTTTATACTGATAAATTAATTGTGATTTTTAACACTTAACTCTTTTAATACTATTTAATATAATATCACATTAATAAAAAAATAATAATAACTGTACTTACATGTACAGTATGTATATTTTCAAATTTGTGATAAAATTATTGAAAAGTTTAATGGAAATATTTTATGCCAATAAATAGGATATATTGTCAGACAACTATTTTTAGCAATATAACCCTGCTTATCAAAATAATACTTATTATTAATATTATTAATATTAAGATAAAGTGTCCATTTGTATCCCCAAATGACATACTTTAATGTTTAGATCTAATTTCATATATTTGCAGATAATTTTCTTTCTCTCTCTCTCTCTCTCTCTCTCTCTCTCTCTCTCTTTCTCTCTTTCCTTCCCATTCATCGGTTGCTATAAATAGGAAATTGTATGAAATAAAATAAAATAAAACAAACCTAGATGATAGTGTTTATTAGATTACACTTGTTTTATTATAGCAGTTATAACTTATAAGTTATGACAAAACTTAATATATTATATATGATATAAAAGTTTATTTTTATTATAATACTTGTTTACATTTGTATATATATTTTTTCTCATTGATTATAAATAAAATTACACACATTTTGTCACGATTCTACATTGTGTTACTACTATTACAAAGTGGAACAAAAATTATCAAATAATTAAATTTTATTATTTTAATAATTTATAACAGAATATTATTTAATTTTTATAATATAAATATTTTTGTTTAGTACTTTATTTACTATAATGAAAAAATTGATAAAAAAATTAATGAATAAATATTTAATTATTTATCATTATATTAAATAAAAAAAATAAAAATTTATGTGAAAAAAATATTTTTAAAATTTATTGATTAGATATTTACATAAAAACAGAACTTAATATTCAGATTATTTAATAAATTTAAAACAAAATTTTGATTATTATTTTAAAAAAATATAATAATATCTGTAAATTGTATCTTTAATGTGACAGTCAATAACCTCAATAAAACAAACAAATTTCTTTTAAAGATTTACCGACTAATCCATATATCAGACAAAATATTTCATATATTTTGCCAAAAAATGTTAAATATTTTTATATAAACAAGTACTGTATTACTGTGTGTATGCAATAATACTATAAATCATATATGTTTTTATTTATTAATTTAACCACATTGCCATATAATAATTTGCTTAATTATGTTTAAGGTTATATAATTTTTTTAAAAAAAATTGCTATCAAGTTATATAAAAAGTAATGATTTTTATATACAAAATAGAGTTGTAAAACAAAATCCTGTCTTTGTTTTGTGATTTTGTATATAACAAGATACTAAAAATTGAAATAAATTAAATGATTCAGATAAGACGGGATGGGATTAAAATAAAATTCAATAATATATAATTTATATTAATGAATTACACTTGAATTTTGGTGTCCAACTTATATTAAATTATTAACAAAGTTAATATAATATATAAGTGTAATTTATTTAGTTATTTTC